AATGGAATTGTAAATTAAATTGTAATATAAGATGGAATATATAGAAGCTCTAAGAAGCATTAAATAAATAAATAAAAGTTAGCCCAACTTACCTCACTAATAGTGAAAAAGTTACCCAAGGATTTTGACATTTTCTCATTGTTATTAGTAACATGTCCATTATGCATCCAGTAACTCACACTGCTCCCTTGGCACGCAGCACAGCTCTGGGCAATCTCATTCTCATGATGTGGAAAAATCAAGTCAATACCACCACCATGAATATCAAAGTTGAAAGTCAGATAATGTGCACTCATCGCACTGCATTCAATGTGCCATCCAGGTCTTCCAGGTCCCCAAGGGCTGTCCCAACTTGGCTCACCAGGCTTTGCAGACTGCAAATACATTGAAATATAATAAATAGGAAAACACTATCAAAAACAGCAAGAACGTGGTAACTGGTTTGGGTTTCCAGACCTTCCACAATGCAAAGTCTGCAGGATTACGCTTTCTAGAATCAACAGCAACTCGTTCACCAGCCCTATTATGTTCCAACCTTTGTCCAGATAACTGGCCATAATTTGGAAATTTTTCAACAGCAAAGAATACATCTCCATCAACTGCATACGCGTAATCTTTGTTGATGATCTGCAAAATATAACAAAGAACAAAAAACAAAAAAACCATCACAAAAGACAAACGTCAAAAGGTTTATCAGTGTCAAACTTGATTCAGAAGGACTTTATTATTGGTGACAGAGATAAATTGACTTGAACCTCCAAAGGTTTATCAGTTTCAGAAAACATAAACATCTATGAAACAAAAAATGACACGAAAAGGACAAGCATGAAATTCTAAAATTTAAAAAAGAAAAGACACGCACACATTATGTTTACATATTTGAAGCACTTACTACTTCGAAATTTAGCATTAGATTAGGCATTCAATAGAAATGTCCCAATAACTTTCCAAACATCAGAAAGTATCTCCCCCATTGTATGCTATAAGATTGCCTATAAATATATCAACAACGTTCCTGCACTAATATGCTAACTATATGCAAGTGTGGATATATAAAGAGAGACGACAGAGAGAGAGAGGGTAGTTCATATCATATCTCATAATACATAAGCAGAGCAAGCACAAAACCTGTGTTATCAAATCCTTGATATGTTCCATGTGATCAGAAACACGTGGCTGATGGGTGGGGAGAAGGCACTGGAGATCGCCCATGTCCTTGAGATATTCTTGGCAAAAACGATTGCTTAAACTTAGCGGGTCTTCCCCAACCTCATTTGCTCGATTAATTATCTGAAATGTCCAAATATTAGCAAGCAACATGAGCGTTTAAGTACTCAATGAAAATGAAAAAGAACAAGAACAGTCAGGCAATAAATCATCAGTGTTTATTAAAAGAAGATTCAAAAGATAAATTTGTATGGATTACATGTGTAATAGAGTTTCAACCTTAATATCAGGAAAATTTAGTTTTAAAAAAAAGGTAAGGAGATTTGTGGTGTACTTCAGTCCAGCCAAAAGGAAATATTTTAACTAAAATGAGATAGCAAATAGAATTATGACGACGACTGAAACATTAAACACTGCAGTTTACTCCTATAAAGCAAGAATGTAGAAGAGTATTGTTAATGTTTTAAATGAATGAAAACGAGAGTCCACAGTAATCAAAGAAAAGAAAGGAAGGAATGCAATCAAAATGAGCTCATTATACGATTCAGAACTCTCACCTTGTCATCAACATCGGTGAAATTCCGAACGTATGTAACCTCATAACCCAAATGCTGTAAGTATCTGCAGTAGTTTCAACTTAATGTTATGCATGCCAGAAACTAGTCCTCGATTCTATATATAAGATCAAAGTAAAGACGACAACTTAAATGCTCCAGGCAATAATGTTATTATGTCAAACAGATCTTGCTGCGTTTGACAGTGGTCAACCAAATAGCTTTATTAATCAATAAAAAGAAAGCCTACGAATTAAAACAGAAAATCCAAAACAACCAAAAAAACATGCACATCCTAAATGCAAACCTATCAAATTCTACACTAATCAAAAGCACAATAAATAATAAGATCGAATGTGTGAACCTGTAGAGAACGTCGAAATTGACAGCCGCGCGAGCGTGGCCGAGATGGCTGAGGGCATAGGCGGTGACACCACAGACGTACATGCCGACCTTGCCAGGTACTTTTGGCTTGAAGATCTCCTTCTGGCGAGTCATCGAGTTATAAACCATAAACTCCTCTTTGCTGCCGGCCATTCTCAGACTACCCACACTCTTGCCGCTCAATCCTCTGTGTAAATTTCTGAAATTGAATTCAGAAAAACCCTTACCTCTATTTTATGGAGAAGAAAACCCTAGAGCTAGAAGGATTGTAAGTCCCCCCTTTTTGTTCCCAAATAGATTCGCGTTCGCCTCGAAGGTACGCTTTTTCAAATTTTTGTTCTTTTTATTTTTTGGTCAGTAAGTAAACTCTGACTCTCGGAGTCGGACACACGCAGGCCAAAATTTAAAGAGTTATTTACTTTAACACCCCTAAGGTTTTTGACTTTTTTACAAATTTGTTTGAGGTTTTAGAAATTACAAAATACTTTCCGAAGTTTTAAATTATTTTCACAAAACTCTTTATTTATTTATTTTTTATTCAAACATTGATGATTTTATAATAATAAAAATTCCAAATGACAAACTTGGCCTTTAAGATTAGATTGCATATACTTTATTTAGGTTAATTTTGTCATTTGTATATTTTTTTAAAAAAATCAACAATTTTTGAACAAATAATTATCAAAAAGGGACTTTATAAAAGTAAACTGAAATCTCAAAGAGTGTTCATATAATATTTGAAATTTGAAGTGACTTAATAAAAACACAAGAAATCTCAGGAGTATTAATGTAAATAACTCAAATTTAAATAAATAGAAGAAAAACGGCGTGATTACAGGGAGGTCAAATAGTCTGCTCGCCGGTTTTTTTTTAACTTTTCTGTTCTTTGAACACAACGCCAGAACCCAGCGACTGAGCCTGCTGGACCCGATTCCCTTCCAAAGTGGGCTTTTCTCCTATTGGACTGCCATTCATGAGGGGGTTTTATGGAGCAAGTACGACAACATTTTCTATAGAAAGCAATAATATCTACATTATTTTATTTATTTATTTTTAAAAGTATATTTTTACTAATATTTTAATTTTATATTTATTATTATTATTTTAAATGGTTGAATTTTGATTCTATTGGACATAAATCTATTTCTTATGACTATGACTTATGGCCCATAAGAAATGATTTAACACCTATTAATATGATCAAGGCCCAGATGACGTACTTGGGTTCCCTACATTTCGGGCTCCCTTGTATTTTTATGGCCCAATAGGACTCAAGGCTCGGCCCATAACATTTCGTCGAAACATGCATCAAACCCAAAAATAAAAATAATAATAGAGACCCATTTGACTAAAAACTTGCAAAAAAAGTTGCAACTCACGATTTTCTTCCCCTCCCTTCTTATCCTTTCTTTTTAGTCTCTCTTCTCTACAACCTCTTTGTTACAGAGATTTTTCACTGGAATTAACCCCTTCGGCTAATAAATCAGGCGACTCTCTCCCCCGTCATGTTGTAGAGAGATTTTCCTTCCGAGCTTTATGTTGGGTTTTGCTTCTCTCCAATTTTGTCATGTATTTTGTTTATCCTCAGCCCTTTTGGATTGGCTTTTAAAATCCTTTATGTTGAGGAGGTAGAGTTGCTAGATCTAGATGAATCTTTCATACTGGGTACTGTGAGATCATGTGGGATACTGGAGGTGTTGTGGCCTTCTTTGGCCAAGTGGATGTTAATGCCCTTTCACTTCTAGTGCTTATGGTTCTATGTTCATGCAAAATCAGTTGTTCTAATGCTCTCTTTGGCACCATTCATTTGTATTGTATGAAACTTTGGGACATCCATATAAGGTCCCCTGTAAAATATAAATATAAATGTAAATCCAACCCAGCCACTGACGGACCCATAAATTTTTTAGTGGAGGTGCAATATTGACTAAGTATGAAAAATGGTTTTTCAGAATAATTATTTTCTCAAGATAATTTTTGGCGGCTTTTATTCCTTACACATCAAATAAGAAAACTTGATTTTATGGGATTTTAGTATGAAGTATATATTGACTTAATAAGCCATCATTTTTAGCCTAAATCGTATTTTGCACTAAAACCGATTTTTCATATTTTTATTTGTTGGGAATTTGATTTTCTAGTATTTTTATTTGAATCCAAATGGGGGGTACTTCCTTATTTACATTGTAAACTTAAGTAAATGGAGTAATATTTGCAAAAGGGCAATTTGAAGCATCTACAATGGTTTTTCCGGCTAGAGAAAGTGCAGCTGCACCTCTTTGCGCCTTAATAGGTCCGGCACTGAACCCAGCTAAGGTACATTTTGGGATTTGAAACCTCGACTTAAGAAAATTGGAATACTGTGTTCTTGATCATCCAAATATTAATGCTTCTGTTAAACAGACAGATTATAGACACTAACTACTATGTTTAGGGATTCGACAAGAATCAACCTTTTGTTCATAGATAGATTAAATATATAAGCTGCATATTTAAGCTGATCCTAGCTCTGATATTGAGGGAAGTTTTGCTTTTCTTGCCTGCTGCAGACAAAGACACGCTCCTGTGTGGTACATTTACTCAACTTCCAACCAGTTTAAGTATATTTCTGGTATGGACCAGCATTCTAATAAGTATCACCTGGGAGCATGCAAAATAATTTGATTTTATATATTGATAGGTTTTTTTTTTCTCAAACAAAACTTCTTTGCTCCAAAAATACAAATTTGCAAATCTTCACACAATCACACATTTCATAGCAAATGGAAAATTTTCAAACCTAACTGTCTCTCCACAATGTCAACAAAAAAAAAACTGTGGAGAACCCAACAAATTGAATCGAAAATAAGACAATGAAAGTCAATCAAAAATCAATAAATTTTTAACAAGATTAATTTAGAATGATTCCTGCCTCTGCATTCTCATTTCTTCATAAAACCTGTCAATGAACATCTGAGCCCGCAGGTCAATTGAAGCTTCTTCATCTCCCCAATCCAACGGCTCCAATAAAGCCACTGCATTGTCATCTTCTCCAGTGGCAGGAGGAAGAGTCTCCATAGTGAAATCTCCACATATATCTTCTCCTTCAACTCTCAAGCTAGAACCCCAACATTTGCAAAGAAAGAAGAACAGAGAGTATATGTCTTGAGGGCTTCTGCTCTTCATGAGCTGCTTTCTGTGGTAATGAATGAGAGGAGTGTTAGAAGGAGAAAACTGGTATTCTCCACGGAACCCTTTGTTGTAATGCTTCAGAAGCTTCAACTTCTTTGAGGTTTGTAATTTCCTCCTGAGAAATGAGTTTTCAAATGACAGTTTTCTCACTTTGGCAATGAAGATGAAGATCCTAAGGAGCTTTGAGACCTTTTGGAAAATGGGCAGTTGTTTTTTGGACATTTTGGTGGAAAACTATGGAAGTAAAAGAGGTGAGAAATCAGATCACTCTCTTTTAGTTTTAGAAAGTTTGGCTTGGGTTTGCGAAGGCATAGGCTTGTAGGCTTTGAGTCATGGAGTGTTTGGATTCGTGAGAGCATTTAAGGATACAAAAAAGTTGAATGGAGTGAAAAGAATCTAACCGGGTGGTAGGGAGCCAAGCTGTAAAAAGAGGGTATATTGGTCGGTTGCTTCTTGTTTTTTTAAGACTTGATATACAGCAATGAGCAAACTAGCCGTTGGACTTGAACCCCAAGTGGGTTTCCTTCCCTCTATAATTCTAATTTTGATAGCACTTCTTTTTAATTTATAGTTATGTTTTTGGAATAAAAGTGATAGTTTAAATTATAAGAGAGAGAGAAGGGAGTTTTTCACACACTACAAAGACGTTATAGGGTTCCAACCTCTTTTATATTGAAAATATGAGATTCGAATACATGACCTCGAGTATAAGAATAACAGCTTTTAACCATTTGTTGAGCTACAAGTACTTTGCGAGAAATTTCTTATTAATTATCACAGTTTGTGATTTGAATTTTCAGATCGATTATTTGGAGCCAATTTCCAAGCAGGTTGTATATAATAATACAAAGTTAGTTACTTGTTTGGTATTAAAGCATACAAATATACATATCGTATGGAGTTGGGCATGCAGATCTGGATCAAGGTTTCCTTTCTCCTTACACATTCCTTAATTTTATGTCACTCTCAATTTATTTGCAGTCTGAAAATGCCCTAACGGGTTTGGGTGGGTTGCATTGGTCCGACCGACTTCAATTAGGAGATGATGGGTAGAGGTTTAAATACTGGGTCTCAAAAATTCCAATCCCCTCCCCCCCCCCCCCCCTTTCAACACAGTAAAAGATAAAACTTTCCATTATTGTTTCAAGAAAATTTAAAGTAGAGAAAGAAAAAAAATAAATAAAGCATATTTCTTCCCAATGTCTCAAACCAAATATGTGTTTGACTTATAAATATTTGATCACTTGGAGAATAAAAGTAATAAAAAATTATTTCATTTGACTATTTCAAACTGTTGGACTTGACCTTTTGCTGAACAAACATAATACAGTGTAACTGGGTTGTATCTTGATAGCCGTTGGCCAATGTACATCTATGGTATCATCCTTGTTGTACATGGATGTCTGTTTTTTTTGTTTTTTTATTCCTCTGTATTTATTAAATTTATACAACTTCCTCTAGGTTTTCATCAAGATTTCCATTTGTTTAGGTTCAAAGGTTTTATTTACATTTCAAATTTAGATGCCTCTAAAATTAGTAATTCATATAAAATAAGAATTTTGTTCAAAATAATTAAAACGACAGAAACAAATTTGACTAGCTCGCTACAAACGTATCGAAAAAAAGTATAGTAATAAAATAAATAATTCGCTATAACAAGATTGTGTTATTTCCACGCCAAGTTAAAGCTTCTTTCACTCCTTCTTGTGAGTGCTCTGAAAAATATGAAATATTGATTTTGGAGTTTAAAATAACAAAATGTATGAGGGAAAAATAATTCTACATAAAATACGATAATTAGGTTATTATGGTTAATATTTGACATAACTACACAATTTCATTTACACATGTTGGGGTTTAAAATTTTTGTGGTAGCTACAATCACAATGTTGGCATTTTTTAAAGTAAAATAAAATAAAAATAGAAGCATATTGCCACCAAAAAGAAAAATCTTAAATGAAAATAGTTTTATATCAACGGCTAGAGAAAGAGATCAACGAAGGCAGCCCAAATCAGAGGGCTGTTGCGGCCATCCTCACTCAAAAACGACGCATCACCCGGGAAACCCCAGCGGTGCGCAAAAGACACTGAAGGCGCACATTAGCATTTGCCATAAACAAAAATTAAATTGAGAGAAAATAAAATCAGAAAGGCCATGATATAAAAACCCGAACGTTAAAACGCCCTCTCGGAGTCTCACGCTCGCACTCGTATATAAACTTGCGTTTCCCGGCGATTTGTGAGAGACACAAAACAATAACAGCAACAATCCCAATAGCGTTCTCTAGGAAAATTTTCCCTTTCCCATAAAATCCCCGAGATTTTCCGAGAAAATAAGAGAAAGAAGGACGAAGAGAGAGCTGTGATCTAAGAGTGGCTCTCTTGGTCTGAGTTTCCGATAAATGGTGTATATAGGTGTGTCGGAGGAGAGAGAGAGAGTGGCTGCTAAGTCCATGGCGATGGGTTCTGAGAGAACAAAGCCTCTGCACAATTTCAACTTGCCGTGGGATTTGAAGTGGGGGAACCAGAAGCACCTAAGGTGCATGAAGGTGAGCTCCGACGCCGGCGGTAGTACCGGAGAAGCCTCGGCCGTTGATCGGCGATCTTCGGCTCAGAGATTGGAGAGTTCGGTCATGATGACTCGGCGGAGGGAATCGGAGTTTGAGAAGCGGAGGTTTCGGGCTCCTCGGCCGAGGATCGAAAACGACAACGCAGAGGAAGGGATCGACGCGGTTAGGGAGAAGCTCATGTTTGATCTCAAAACGGCGGCGGATAAGATGAAGGACGCGATTTTGAGGGAGGAGGAGGTGGCGGTGGCGGCTGCGGATACTGACATGGCGGCGGATGGGGAAGATGTTGAGATGGCGGAGGAGGGGGAATCATCGCCTGCGGCGGCGGCAGAGGTCAGGCCGTGGAATCTGAGGACGAGGAGGGCCGCGTGTAAGGCTCCTCTTGGTGGTGGTGGTGCGAAGGGGTTGAGAATCGAGGAGAAGAAGGCGAATTACTCGCCGTTGAGGAGTGAGGGTAACAATGGCGTGAAGTCGCCGAGGCCGGTCAGAGGGGCTTCAGGTTCGGGTTCGGGTTCGGGTCCGGAGAAGAAAGAGAAGGAGAAGGAGAGGGTCAAGTTCGCAGCGTCGCTTACCAAGAAGGAGATCGAGGAGGATTTCATGGTGATGCTCGGCCACAGGCCTCCCCGCCGGCCAAAGAAGCGCCCAAGAAATGTTCAGAAGCAATTGGATGTAAGTCAATTTCAAATTCTTACTCTTTCTTCATGACCCTTTTAGTTTCTTTTCTTTCTTGTGTTTAGATATACATTAACTGTCTGACCAATAGTAATTAATGTTCATGGTGATTGTTGTTGTTGCAGACGTTGTTTCCGGGGATGTGGTTGACGGAGGTCTCAGCTGAGACGTACAAGGTTCCTGAGTTCCCTGAAACTGCCAAGGTGATTGCTTTGTTCTGACTTCTCTCTGAAAACTTCAAAAGTCGTTGCTTTCATTGATGATAACATTTGAGGGACACTGAAAGAGAATAATGAGAATTTGGGGTCTTATAGTTTTGTGTCCCTCAGCCTTCAAATTATGGAATTGGGCTCAGCGTGCTTGTTCTGGGGTTTCATGAGTTATGAACAATAATGAATTCAAAGTTCCCGCTTTTCTTCTCTTTCCCACATTTTCAAATCACGTATCAATCAACAAAATTCGTGTTCATCTGCTTCTGGGTTGTAATTCCTGGATCTTGTTTTCTCTATCTTTCACAAGTTTGTTTAATTTTGAACTGTTGGTCATTCTTTTTTGCAGAGGTAGCAGTGGGAGTGAATGATGGCTTCTGTGGAATGTTTCAAGGCTCTGTTTTTCTGACTGCTGCTGCTTGCAACGCTAATTAGTGGGTATACCACACACATGGGAGTTTGATGAAAATTGAAATCATCAAATCCCCGTACTGGTGAATGTTCAGTTGCTTTGGAACGCTAATTTTGTTTGTTAATTATAATTCATCTTTCTTCTTTTCTGAATAAATGTAAATAAAGGAAATCTGGGCGGATGCTGTTATATGGAAAACAACTTTTGTGCTATGAGTTTGATTTTGTGACTATTAAATATATCAGTTCCGTTTGGTATCAGTGTACCAGTGTTCTTCTTTATTTTGGGTTCTATAGCAGAGCATCAAAGTGCATGATTGCCTACATACTACTTGACATTTTTTAAACTTTTAGCAGTTCTCTTCATTTACATCATGAGAAGACTAGCTAGGGAAATAATTATTTCTGTGTAATTGGTTTCTGAAGCCTTTATCATGCTGTACTATATTTCCTTCTCATCTGCACATTGTAAATATTTAATTAATAAGCCATGCTTTTCGGAATGTAAGTGAACTTCTCATGTAAATTGCAAGTTTAGTGACTAATCATGGCTCTTAGGTTCATGGAACTAGTGTAGCTTTAAGGTGGTAGATCAAATACTTGGTTGCTTTAATTTATTGATTGGGCTTCCTTTTTGTTCTAAATTTCTTGCCTGGCCTTGCCTAAAAGATATAGTAATAAAACATAACTGTTGACAACTAGTCACAAGTCACAAATTGCCTGCCCTGCTCAGTTATCTGTATTTTACTACCTTAACATCTTTGCTTATTGATCTTCATAGTTGTGATATCATTTTCCTTCTTTTTTCCTTTTTGGCAAACACAATCTTTTTATAATTTTCCTTCCCTGCTAACTGGCATTTCATTATAATTTTCTTCAACAATGAGTTCTATTCTACTACTTTTTTGTTCATTGTTTATTGGTAGTCAATTTATCTGGTGAATGTAGAGTTGATCTGTTACATAGTAGTTTATGGGTTCTTTAACAATATATTGTTTGTCTTTTGCATCTGTCCTACTGGTATGAGATGGATAATGTTTTCTTGTTTAGTTTATTCCTATTAGAAGGCATGCTAGAGTTTTTGGTCAAACCTTTCACACAATTAATTGGCTTGTTGAAAATTGAAAATTAATACTCGATACTTCAATCACTTTCCAAGGTGGTAAATTGTTATTTTTCTGGCTTTATATTCTTATGCAGAACGATCAAACTAGATAGAAATTCTGATTGTGTTAGTTCTGCATGTTTAACTTTTTTTTCTTTTCTGAAATTTATCATGAAATTTTGAGATGCACATCAAATTCAAAATTGTCTGGAACTCCTCAGGGCAAGTCTCCTCTGTTAAAGCAATGGCTAATGAGGAGTTTTTTTGTAGGTTGATAATCAGTAACCAACCTCTCATGATCTTACCATTCATAATTGGCTTGCTTCTGGTGTGCCTGCTAATCTGGTCTCTGCTGGACTTTTTCTATGCCAGAAATTGGATAGCTTGACTCGTTATTTGACTTGTATTTTGACTCGTGAGTTTTGTGCCTGGGACTGGATGACCTGTTATTCTTGTGGCACTTGCATTTCAATATCGGCAAAAACCAAGGTCCAATCCAAAGTAGTTGTTTTGACTCGGCAACGTGTCCTTGACTACGCGTTCGCCTATTGTTGTCTTTCGGTTCTCTCTCCTCTGTTCCAACTTCCATTTCAAGTTTTGAAGCCCAACCCATTTGTTGCTCCAGTCCAGTAAGTCTTGTTGCAAGCTTTAGGACACTAAAGTTGAAACTGGAACTGCTGAAGAAGTCATGTCTATTTTGAGGAATCTTTTGCAGCCGATAGTATCATAACCCTACGAAACCAGCCAAATTGTGTTTGGCATGCTACTTTCCAATCTGTCATGAACTGACATTCTTTGGATCTATTTGGTAACCAAACCAACCCTCCTCTATATCCATTTTCCAGCCGTGCTTCGCATCCACATCAAGTTTTTCGACTCAATAATTTAGGTAAACTCTGTTTCCCTTGTTTGTTGTTGTCTGAGCTTCAACCTCCTCCTTGTTCTTGCCGATGTTTCTTTTGCTTGCGGAAAAACCAACAATGCCCCCAAATAATCACGGATTAAAGAGACAATTTTGATCTAGCTTCATGGAACAGGGTTTTTAAGCACTTTTGTTTGATCAACTTAGAGAAAATGATGGTGGAAGGAAACAGAGACAGCGGACTCAAGGATGGACCATGTTATGGTGGTTATGAAAGGCTAAGCTAAAGTATATTGATGCTTAGATTATCAGACTAAAAGTTTAGGGACCCCTTGGGGCTTGATCATTGATTCTTTTTTGTTCAAACAATTCCTTGAAGCACAGTGTTTTTGTCCTAATACTACACAGAATAAAACAAAAACGGAAGCATCTTATGCAGATCAAGTATTTTTTTAATGTTCAAAAGAAGAAAAGAGAGTCATATTTACTTATTTGTATTTGTACTACGAAAAGATATCAAAAGCATAAAAAGAAAGAAAGGGATGGGAGAGCCGTGAAAGAAAGATACCTTGTTGATCTGTCTCCTAAGCCAGTAACATGTTGATATGCATGCACAATTACTGTCCCTACAGCTTCCCTTCCCCCCACTGTAGTTTTCACCCTTCTAATAACCAAAATATCCCATGAAGTATTCTTTTTTGTAATTTTTGTTTTTTCAAACATAATAATAAGATTCTTGACATTTCTTATCACTAAAATTTTCTTCATTTTACAGAGTATGATCACATGCTAGTTAATAATACAAGATGGCAGACAGCTAAATTCATCTGTACTTGGAAGATTCATCCACTCACTCATGAAGGAAACTGATCTGAACCCATCATTTCTTCTTCTTTTTTAACTTACCATTACAGAAGAGAGAACCAAACCCAAAAAAACTTACTGTCACTTTGGAAATGTATGGTGGTGGGAGATTCAGAACAGGACTAATTCTAACCCCATTGCCATAAGATCCACTCTTCCTTAACGAAGGCTTTTGCGGGCATGAATTATTATAAGCATAATATGTACTTGAATATGATGATGCAGATGATCTTCTGCTTGAAATAGATGGTTGTTTCTGCAAATGCTGCTTCTGATGAGTTTCCTTTGGAGCCACTGTCTGCTTTGCATTTGGAGCCGACCCGGTTGAATTGCTTCTTGAAAGAAATTGTAATGACCGAATTAAGCTCTTGCCGCGAGCAGTGTCACAATTGAGGCTGCTACTTCGCCTGAACTGCCAGAAAGGCTTTGTTGGAGGCTTCTCATCTTCATCTTCATCTGCATCAACGTTGGTGTCTAAGAATTCTTTCAACCTCTTCTTCTCTGTTGTGTTCCTAGTTGTTGGACGATGATGAGCAGGTGGAGGATTAACAACCTCATCAGGCTGATGGGCTTCTTTGGCGGCAGTGGCATTGGGATTTCTCTTGATTTGGACAGGAAGAATCTTCCCATTGGAGAAAAGCTCATCTGCAGAAGACAACTCTAGTTTAAGGTTATTGACAATGCAGAAGTCAAAATCAGAGCTTGAATCCAAGAGAGAAGAGTCTAATCGTTGCCCTTCTTTTGCAACAGGACATGTCTTGTCTAGATCATGAGAAAATGAAATTCTTGGACTAAATCCAGGGCTAGAAATCTCCGAGCACACCTCGATGGCCATAGTTGCTGCTAGCAGTGCTTTTTCATAAAGACTAGTATATTTCTGAAAGAAATTGCTCCAACCAAGTTACCGACCACTGTTTGAAACTCAAGATGAACCTGAAGAAGGCTTTAAAATCCACCAGACAACCAAGAATGGCATTGACTGTCAGCAGATTTGGAGTCAAATGAAAGGAAAAGTGGGAAGGAATTTGAATTGTGGGAATAAGAAGTCAGAAAAAGCAGCTTTATCCTTTTCATTTTGTCTGAGCTTTGAGCATATCTGAGAGATTCCAGCATTGGAGGATCAGATGAATTAATGCAGACTGAAGCAGAGGGACAACTGAACTGGGTTATATTGCGCCAAGTTATCAGAAAAAGAAGAGAGAAAGATAAAGAGAAGGAAAGTGGTTGAATTTAAGCACCGAAAGGCTACAAAAGAACCCTCCTCTATGGGGTTTCCAATGAAACTTTTACTTTTGGGGATGAGAAAACAGAGTGAAAGTGAAGTGAGTGAGAACTGAGAGGAGGAGGAGGCAATGGCCTCACTGTTTTTATGGGATTTAAAGTCCAAAAGAGAAGCTATATAATATATGACAGATTAAAAAAAAAATACAGAAAACAAATTAAATTACACAACTGTAATTATAGTTTTCCATTAGGAACTTTCTATTGGGGTTCATTGCTGAAATCAATCATCTGAAATCCCATGTGAATATTTATCTAGCATATGTATGCTACTGCTACATGTTGCAGAACAAGTGAATTAATATCGAACACCCTGCAGATTATTAAAACCCAAATCCTGATATCTCTGCATGAAAAGGAACAAACATTGCATGGGGAACAACTGGTTTTGCGGGGGATGTAGTTGATAATAAATTAACTTAAAATTTGGTATTAGACACAAGGTACGGTTAGATCTAAAGGGTCGCGATTTGGATTTATAATTAATAGAGTTTCATTTCAACAAGTTCCAACCCAAAACTATTGAAATTATTTAGAAGCAAAATGCGTGGTGTTGTTGCCTAACTGGTTGACAGAAGATTGATAATTGATCAGGCAACAATAATGTGGCACGCGAGGTAGGGTCCCATTTTGGACTCGGCCCATAATGTTGTTTTATGTAGGCTATTATTGTTATGTTTCAAAGGGCTCAAAGCAGTGGTTGCCTAATTCAGCGGAAAAACTTTCTTGAAATTAGAATAATACTGTTTTGCTATTTTCGATCAATAACACAATGATACATAACAAATTTATCCACATAATTAATAATTTACAGATATCCCTATTGTGTGAAACTATTTCTCAAAAAGCAAAGGCTCAAAAAAGTTGTACTTAATATAACGCTCATGAATCTACATCTGCAACCAAACCCTTAAGCAAAATTCTTTGTTTGAACACCATCAACATTTCTGAAGGTGTGGTGTTGTGTTCTTTGCATGAATCATGCAAATAACTGTAAATTGTTAATTATGTGGATAACTGTAAATTATTAATGTACCTGAATTAAGTTCATAACGTATTAACGGTCAAATTTTACCTGTAACTTACAACTTTACGGGTGACGAAATTTGACACATATGTCAGTGATTTGTTAGTCTCCATGTATTATATACTTAACAGTTAGAAGGTGGCAATGTGGACGCATGGGGTAAATGAACTGGGATCCATGGACACATTGGCGTAGGCCCACATAACATGTCCGTCTGTGACAGTGCCAAATGCCAAGGTCCTTTGCTGCTTGACGCTTGTACATTCCTCGTCCCACCGCCCGCATGTTATGATGTTATATGCCCTCCTTCATGCAGAAACGACATCGCACCGTTTAGGAATCTAACGAGGATGCATTTGGCATATCCTAGAAAGTGATGGTTAGATAAACAGAGATAGATTGAGTTAGTACAGCTACACCTCAATTTCATTCCTCTACCAAACGCTGTCGTTACCCAATTACCCACCGTAATATCTGCAACTGCCATTTGCAAAGGCACTTAAAACACAATCATCATAATACCCAAACAGCCCCCAGACGCGGACTTTTACCAAACCGAACAGCAAATATTGAAATATCGGGGATTCAGATCTAAACCGGATCCGACTGCATAGACCCACACGGACCGACGCTGACAGTTTTGACTATCGATTATCGTAAGCGCTACCCTCCACATTTTACAACCGACACAGCCCCTCATTTCCCTCCATACCTTTTTTTCGATCTTCCTTCCTCCTGCAATTTGGCCCAATTGGAGCTGCTTCGTATATAGGCCCGAAATGAGAACATGGAGCCCTGGGACAAGAACATGAAGAAGAAGAGGAAGCGGAGCCGGAGGCCCGTCAGGCTCAGATGCTCCGTCATGAATTACGATTGGGGCATTGTCGGCCGCCATTCCAAGGTCGCCAGGCTTTTCGCGCTCAATTCAGGGTCGGATATCGACCCCGCCAAGCCCTACGCCGAGTTCTGGATCGGGACGCATGAATCCGGGCCGTCGTATGCCGATTCCGGGTCGGAGCCCGTGAGCCTCAAGGCCTGGATCGCTCAGGATCCCAGTGTGCTTGGGGACAAGGTTGTTGACAAGTGGGGTGCTGATCTTCCCTTCTTGTTCAAGGTATGGTTTCCGCGTTCTCTGTTTGTTTGCTGAGAAAATGCGGACAAAGAAAGGAAAATTGCATTATGTTCAATTTTCTTGGGAATTCAAAACGAGTGTGTGCTTGTGAATTCAATTTTCTCGAAGCTGAACACTTGCATTATGTTCTTTCTTTTGGTCAAACACATTATAAATCTGAGATTTAGAACTTTCTCCTGCAAAATGTTGGTATTTTTTTTTTTTACTGCGTGGACCTTAATTTTGACCGGATGAATCTGTTTAATTGGTGCTCCAAGATTATGGACTTTGGGTTTATTGTGGGATTTTAGGTACTTTCGGTTGGGAAGGCTTTATCAATACAGGCTCATCCGGATAAAGAACTAGCTAGGGTGCTGCACAAGTTACACCCAAATGTTTACAGAGATGACAATCACAAGCCTGAAATGGCATTGGCATTGACAGAGTTTGAGGCTCTTTGCGGGTTTATTAGTGTCAAGGTAAGACAGAAATCATCATTTGGAGGTCATTTGGTTTGGATTTTTGTTGGGCATATTTGTATTGAATATGATCATAACTCTAAGGAGATAATCATAATAATATACTACTTTAAAAAGTCTGCAAGGACGTCCTTAGCTGCACATTTTATCAATTTCATGTAAACTGTGAGTTATAGGTGCTATTGTTCAGATCCTTAGTAATGGAGCATAAGCTCTGCCTCTGCTTTTAGTTCCTACTGCATGTCATGAGACAGAGCATGTTGCAATCAGTTCCACTGTAAGAAGGAAATTGTCGCAGTTGAAATCAATAGATAAAGGCTTGGTTTGAATAATACATAATGAAATCCATGAAGAAACCTGCTTATGATTTCCCTTGATTTCTCATTCTCCTTGTACTTATCAAATAATTTATCATTTCTCATACTCCATCTGATTTGCTTGTACTTATTGCATGTTTTATATATTCCAGGAGCTAAAAGACATGCTTAGCAGTGTTCCCGAGATTGCAGAGTTGGTTGGGGTTGGAAATGCAGAGAGAATTCTACTTGTTAATGAGCAGCATGAGAATGGGAAATCAAAAACGGATTTAGAGTCCATCTTCAGTCGAGTTATGTTACTAAGTAAAGATACAATTTCTGAGATGATATCTAAACTGAAAAGGCGTCTTAATCTAGAGAAAAAGGTAATTTGAAGTTCTGTTAGTTGTATAAAGTTTTAGTGCATATTTTTATTGTTGGCATTAAAGTGATTCTTTTCTTTAATCATATTGAAGGATGTAACCAGCAATAACTAAAATCACAGTTTGATGTTGGGCTATTGATACAAAATATGAAACCTCTAAGAGCTTCCTTTTGGAAGTGCTAAATAGATGTAAATATAATCTAGTCATTGACCACTGAGGTAAAAACAGATGACGATTCCAACTAATTTTGTTTAGATTTCAAGGAAAAAGTGTGAAGTATGGTAGTGTTTCAATTTAAGACTTGTCAAGAAATTTGAAGTGATAGAGGAACATTGTTGTTTTAATCGTCAGAATAACTGAAGTGCCATCATTATCCACCATGTTCATCTTGACTGCATTTTTTTTTTTTTTTTTTTTTTTTTTTTTTTTTTCATATTTTCTCCTCCTTTTTTTTTTGGTCATAACCATATTTTCTCCTTCGTTGGACCAGAAAAGGCAATTGACGGTTAAAGAACAACTGGCACTCAGATTGGAGAGTCAATATCCAGCTGATGTGGGTGCAATAGCAGCATTTTTTCTTAACTATGTGAAGCTGAACCGTGGTGAAGCAATAAGTCTTGGGCCAAATGAGCCCCATGCATATATTTCTGGTGAATGCATTGAGTGTATGGCAACTTCTGACAATGTTGTTCGTGCCGGCCTTACCTCAAAACCACTGGATGTCCAAACGCTTCTTTCTATGCTTAAATACAGACAGGTAACAATAAAATTTGATTCTAGACTTTCCAGATTGTCTTTCCTTTTCTAGGGGCATGCTCCGTCTGTCACTTTTGTCCAAGAACATTAGATTTATGCATTTGCCTTGACATTATAGCTATCCCATCCATCAGTGATTGGCTGGATATTGCCATCACGTCTTTTGGAGGAGATGGGCGTTTTAAACCATTGTTTTGTTTTTGTTGCATTATTATTTTTTTCTTTCTCACAACTCTTTTCTCTCTTGTACATATGGCCCCCACTATGTGCTGAATGTCATATGATGGGATATTTCACTTTACTTTGTTTTAGTATCAGCTACTTCTAATCTGTTTTCTATTGTTTTGCAGGGTTCTCCTGAGATTTTGCAAGGGGTTTCTTTGAATCCATACACAACAAGGTATCTCCCACCTTTCGAAGAATTCGAAATTGATTGCTGTAACCTTCCTCAGTCTGCAGCGGTAATTTTTCCCTCAGTCCTAGGACCATCCCTTTTCCTATTCACTGCTGGGAAAGGACATTTTGATGCAGGTCTGCCCGAGGATGATATGGTGAAGGAGGGGGATGATATAGTTGAAGAGGGTGGGGTTTTCTTTGTGCCTGCCAACACGAAGATTAGCATTACTGCCAAATCAACAGAACTGCAACTGTATAGGGTGGGGGTGAACAGCAAAATTTATAGGGATTTGTAGTCTGCAATTACGTCGAATTCTTACATTTCTTTTTTGGATGGAGAAAAAATGCGGACCAGGGTTTTACACAATCACATCTTTATGTAATATTTACTCCTTTATTCTTTTAATTAATTTATTTATCCTTTTCAATTCATATAAGAGCATCTCCACCCACAAGGGCTAAGTCTAAGGCAAGGGCAAGCAAGGGCTGCCACTATTCACGTGAATAGTGTCAGCCTTTGCATTTGTGGTTCCACCCATGAGGGCAAAGTCTAGGGCAAGTCTAAGGCAATTACTATTCATTGTACTTTATTTCCTATTTGTTTATACTTTAAACTATTAATTTTGATAAGCTTTTTAGATTATATTTTCGGTTGTCACGTGTCACTATTTATTATAAAATTTTCATTTAAAATTTAAGATAACATTTTTCGAATAAAATTTTCAAATAAAATTTTTGGATAAAATTTTTCGAATAACATTTTTGGTTTTGCCTTGACTAATCTATTAAAAAAAAAGAAATTGGAAATGCAAGAAATATATATATATAAAAAAAGACATTAAATTGAATAAAATTTTTTTTTTTTTTTTTTTTTTTTTTTTTTTTTTTGCCAAGCCAATTTTGATGTTGGAAAGTGAAAAATATTGGAAGGAGATGAAGTTTTTATGAAGATTTGGTGTAGAAAGTGAATAAAATGGTTAGGTATTTATAGGGAAAAAATACATAATTTTTTGGTATTTTAAAAAAAAAAATTCAGAATTTTTCAGAATTTTTTCGAAAAAAAAATGCGCTGACGTCAGCGTGACGTACCAGCGCTGACGTCACAAAACTCGGGCTTCAGCCCAGGCAGAAGTTGCCCTTGGGCTTGCTCGGGCTCGTGGGACCCACCACCAAACTGGGCTACGGGCCCTGCGCTGGAGTGAACTCGGGCTGCGTCGGGCAGCCTTTCCCCCCTAGCCCGACCTGCGCTGGAGATGCTCTAATTCTATAACTAGTGTAATGATTTTCCGAAATTTTGTATTTTCGATGTTGTATGTAAGTTTCAAAGATTAACATTTGGATGGAATTACGAATTGTCTCATTGGTTTTGTTTAAAATAGCTTATTTTTGTAATCTATGTTAATTTTTTTACCGTTGAAAGATTTTTATGAGGACATGGAAAAAATAAAAAATAAAAAATTCGGTAATTGCTTGAAGCCCAAGTTGGGTTGGGTTGAATGAACCGCTGAAGAGGGTTGGGTTGAAACAGTAAATGCTTGAAGCCCAAGTTGGTGACGATGGGTCAAACGTCAAATGAGCGAAAGCAGTCGGAGTTTAAGACAACGCGTCATTTTTTGCAATTACAAGTGGAGGGTTAACTTAAGCCCAGAAAACGGAAAAACCACAGAATCTCTCTCATCCCATCCCATCACAGTCTACTGCAACGAAACTGATTCCCTCCACCAATGCTTTGTCTGCTTGGCTCCGAGGACTTATTTAGGGTTTTTTCTTTCTATCTATAGCTTTGCCAGCTTCCCGCACACACTTACTCCGAAGATCCAGAAAGGTCCTTTCCCGTTTTAGAAATGCCAGGCAAGGACGATGGCGGCTCCGATAAGGAGAAGAACCTGGAGCTCTTTTTGAAGGTCGGGTTGGATGAGCGAACGGCCAAAAACACCATCGCCAACAACAAAGTCACCGCTAATCTCACTGCTGTCATTCACGAGGTACTCGATTTTTGTTTTTTTTTTTCTTTTTTTTTTTTTTTTTTCATTTTTTCTTGTTTATAACACCCTTGGGTTTATTTTATTTAGTCTACTAATTTGTTCTTGAATAATTTCAGGCCGCAGTTACCGCATTTCTGATGCAGTCGAACTGTTGGTAATCTCCTGGTATATCGGTAAGTAAGTTTACTTTTAAGCCATCTGTTAACGTTTCTGCTTAAGATATTAATCCAGTGATTATTAGTGTAATTTCTAGTCTTGGAGAAGTTACTTTGGCCTCCCTTGTTTCGAAATGGGTAAGAAAAGTTTTGTGGATTGGAAGTTCTTGAATGCATTTTTGAAAACTATTACAGCCGCTATTTTGAGTTCAATCCTTGAGCAAAATACGCTCGAGTAAAATTCTCAGAAAGAAGTTTCTAAAGTCTACCAATCAGCATAAATTTTTTCCTTAAAAGTTGTAATTTTTGGTGAAACGCCCCTGAGAAATGAGATGTTTTCATTCCAATCAATAATTTTTTGTGCACTGGTGTTCTATCATCTATGGCAGGTTGCCACGAAGCACCCAGCAAATGCCCTTGTGCATCGCCCAACGTTGGTGCAACACATTGTATCATCGAAGGTTGGTGAGCATACCTTCTTAATGTTTTAAATTTAAACTACGTACCTTCATCAAATCCTTACACAGTTTCTCTTTTCCAGATCAAAACTCCAGCCCAGTTAGAAGCAGCGTTTTCATTTTTTGCAACTACAGGGCCAGAGAATTTCAACCTAAGCGAATTTGATGAAGCATGTGGTGTTGGTACGGTTACAATGGGTCATCTAGCTTTCTTTGGTTTTTTTTTCTTTTCCAGTTACAAAGGGTCATCTATTTGGAATAAATTGAGCAGTAGAATGTTCAATGAGGACTTGTTACATAATGCTTTATATCTGGCATTTAATGCAAGTTCTTACTCTTTCCCTTTATCCATTCTGCTAGTAGTCGCATTTGACTTCATTGAAGGTTACAGTTTCTAAGTTTGAATTAATTGTATCATGTTAGTTATCCTGATTCCTGTCTAAAATTATAGACATTGATAACCTCATTGCTTTTACGAGCAGGTGTTGAAGTTTCAGAAGAAGAAATAAAACAAACTGTTAATGAGGTTTTTGAAGAGAATAAGACAGCAATTTTGGAGCAGCGCTACAGAACAAATGGTTAGTCACACACACACAAACTCACAACCAAGAAAACGTTATGTTATTGTAGGAGAACATGAATACGCTAGACATTCATACTATGTTTTGTAAATCTATTGAGAACCCTATCATGTTACGTTATCATAAACTCTTGGAAGTTATTCCATATCAAGGGAAAAATATATGATACACAGAAACATTCATAATTCCATAGATTGGTTGATTTGATCTGGCTCATGGATGGTTCCTTAAGTATCAGAGTTACTTTTAGTCAACATTCTGTTTGAAACTACTAAACTTCACATTCTGTTGTTTTGTCTCTAGTCGGTGATTTATTTGCACATGTTAGGAAGAGGCATCCATGGGCTGATCCAAAAATTGTCAAGGTGATCTTATTTTGCTTCCTTTGAACTTATTTTTAAATAATATTTCTTCGTTTAATAGAAAAAAATCAGTGACAGGCAAACAATTTTCGTACTAAAACATTTCTGACTGTGATATCTTTCTGTGACAGCAATTCATTGATGCAAAATTGCGTGAGTTACTTGGTGAAAGGACTGCAGCAGATGATGAAAAGGTTCCTAAAAAAAAGAAAGAGAAGCCTGCTAAAGTAGAGGTTAGCATTTCTGCAATGTCTGTTCATTTTGCTTGAAATGTTTAGGGAGATGACTGAAAATCTCTCTCACTGTGTCTCCTCCCCCTCCCCTTCCACTTGTGTAGGAAAATCCATTGCTGTTTCTACTCCAGAACAGCCATCTGAAGAAGTTCTTAATCCATTTTCGATATTCCCTCAACCGGAGGAAAATACTAAGGTATGTTATTCCCTTTTTTTTTTTTTTTTTTTTTTTTTTTCTTGTATATTCATTCTTCAACCGTTTATACAGGCTTTTATTGAGATTCGGACAAAATACTGAAGAAACAAAACAAGTCATTTTTATGTATTTTCTTAAATAGGGGGTATTTTTATTGTTTGTTATCAACTTTGCCTTTGGTCTTTTAACCAACCAAGGGTTGTTTTTATGATTTTCCAAATCAAATCATACTTAGTAGGATCAAACTCATGCTTTTATCATGTTAATTTTGACTTACAAGTATGACATATTTGTGAATCCTTACTTTTTTTGTTGTCGTATTGAGTTGTGAGCTTGCCTTCCATGTTATCATATGCAGCTCTCTGGAAGCAATTGATTAAGACATTTTGTTATTCTGTTGTCAATTTTCAGGTGCATACTTCAGTTTTCTTCAGTGACGGATCTATTCTGAGATGTTGTAACACAAAGGAACTGCTTGAGAAACACTTAAGTGTGACCGAAGGGAAAGTTTTGACCCGCTTTCCTCCTGAACCAAATGGATATCTGCATATAGGTCATGCCAAGGTAAATATACTTATGTGTTCTAGGCTAGATTCAGTGTTTGCTTTGTCTGTGGTTGTTCCTCATATTATAACCATAATTTTTGGTCAGGCAATGTTTATTGACTTTGGCCTGGCAAAAGAGAGAGGTGGAGGCTGCTACCTACGGTGAGAGTCTTTCCGTGTTAACTCTTTTTAGTATTGTTTTTCTTTTCATTTTCCAGTAAGAAGGGGAAAAAATTAGAATAGACATGGAAAACATATAATTGATTTTTTTTTATATGGGTTGTTGATGCCAACTTTATAAGATGGCATATGATGTACTATTTGTAGTATTGCTGAAGAAGATCCAGTTTCCTGTTTGCAATATCTCAAACCAAGAGATTGTTTTCTGGATTATTTCTTATTGTATATAGTCAGATATAGCATAATTACTCCAACTGTTATAACAATACACTAATTGTGCCAGGATAACATATTCAACTAATGACTGTTGCAGAAGTTTATAATCTTCCTTCAAATTTTTCTAATTGCTCTTTAACTTTGAAAAATAAAAAGAAATTTCCATCTGCTATTGTTTTTTGAGAATTGATTCCTACTTTGTGTCACTTTTAGGTTTGATGATACAAACCCGGAAGCTGAAAAGAAAGAATATATTGATCATATTCAGGAAATTGTAAAGTGGATGGGTTGGAAGCCCTACAAGGTAAAAAAGTTGGTTGGTACATCTTTTGCCGCTTTGCCTTGTTTCTTTGTGATAGCTGACATCTGTTGGATTTCTGCAGATCACTTACACTAGTGATTACTTTCAAGATCTGTATGATTTAGCAGTGGAGCTCATACGAAGGGGTCACGCTTATGTTGATCATCAGGTTTTGTTCAAAATTTATTTGAAATTTATGTGAAAATTTGGCATATTGTGTTATATGATGTGAGCATTTAGTTCTCTACATACTTTACAAATCCTCTGTAGAATGTAGTTCAATTTTGCCACTCCATGCTCGATCATGGATTATATATTGCTGGCTAAACCTTTAAACTTTCAGTGATATTATCAATTGATTAACATTTCAACTTTGCAATCATGAGTTTGGTTTTATTTACTAATCAACATTGGTTTGAGAAAGATTCTTACTTTTGTTAATATTGGTTTTAGACACCTGACGATATAAAGGAGTACAGGGAGAAAAAAATGAACAGCCCTTGGAGGGACAGGCCAATTGCAGAATCATTGAAACTTTTTGAGGATATGAGACGAGGCCTGATTGAAGAAGGCAAAGCAACCCTTAGAATGAAGCAAGACATGCAGAGCGATAATTTTAATATGTATGACCTTATTGCATATCGTATCAAGGCAAGTGTGGACCTTAAATAATCCTTTTGATTGCTCAAGCTCATGGACGTTCTCATTATGATGTGATTTTTTTTTAGTTTACTCCTCATCCGCATGCTGGAGACAAGTGGTGTATCTATCCAAGTTATGATTATGCTCACTGCATTGTGGATTCTCTTGAGAATATCACACATTCGGTATGCTTTTGACCTTTGGTTAATATTCTTTCCTAAGATATGATCATGGTATAATTTATGATTTTCCCAAATCTGTAACAAAAAGTAAATAAAAAATTCATGCCTAATTTATCTGAGGAACCTTTTTTTTTTTAAGAATAAACATAGGAAGCATCACTTTTAGGTTTCTCTCACAAAAAAGAAATATAAGCTATACTTTATCTCAGGGGCTCAATTCTGAAGTAGTTGCGCATATTATGCGTTTTTGTTGCTCAGTCTCATACTCTTTTTGACAGAAGTGATAAGTTACATAAAGATGTAACCTGCACATTCTGTATCTGGTGTGAACCCTGCAGAAACTCTGAAATCAAGAGTCATCTCCCTCCCTCCCTGTGTGTGTTATTTTTCATTATTATTCAAATGTTGATGATTGAGTCTTGAGATCAAGGGTGTATATATTGCCCTTGAGATCGGTAACTTTAATCATCTTGTTTATATCAATATGGCAGCTATGCACACTTGAATTTGAAACACGCCGTGCTTCATACTACTGGTTGTTGCACGCACTCGGAATTTATCAGCCATATGTATGGGAATACTCACGACTGAATATCAGTAACACCGTTATGTCAAAGCGTAAGGTGAGTCAACTGCTGAACATATGTTCAGTGTTATAATGTATAATGTATATTTGCTATCTGTCAGCTTTTACACTTAACAATGACCTTTTATGTTGCAGTTAAATCGATTGGTGACAGAGAAGTGGGTTGATGGTTGGGATGACCCACGTCTTATGACACTGGCTGGTTTACAACGTAGGGGTGTAACATCTACTGCAATAAATGCTTTTGTTAGAGGAATTGGAATCACTAGAAGGTTCGAATATGTCTGTGTGTGTGTAATGTGTTTTATAGTGCTAATTCATTATCATAAATGAATTTGTGGTTCCTTCTGTGACAGTGATTGTAGTATGATACATTTAAGTCGCCTCGAGTATCACATAAGAGAGGAACTAAATAAAACAGCTCCTCGCTCAATAGCTGTGCTACATCCCCTCAAGGTGTGCATCTTATTGGCATTGCTTTTCTCTTGATATTTTCAATCCATCTGTGTCTGACTGATCATTCCTTATCTAAGGTGGTTATTTCTAACCTGGAAGCTAAAACTACAATGGATCTAGAAGCAAGGAAATGGCCTGATGCTCAGACAGATGATGCATCTGCTTTCTACAAGGTAACCTTGGATTTCACAGATCAATATTATGCGTAGAGGTTAATGCTGAGATACAAGATTTTGAACATTTTTCATGGCAGCTTAACGTTTTTTATGTCCATAAGTTCTGTTATTCCAATGGTATTTGGTTCCATGTTATTAGACGAATGATTATAGTATTAGATTACTCTCGGATAGATTTTTTATGTGTTTGTTACATCCAAAATGAATAATTTAATATAAAATCCCGAGAATCGCTTTTGTTTTTGGCCTTTTTGCTAATATCACTTTGTTCTTTTTAATAAATGTCGGCCTGAGCTTTTGGTGCTTTAGTTGTCACATAATTCTTTTTATTTGCCTTCACAACAGGTCCCCTTTTCCAATACTGTTTATATTGAGCGGTCTGATTTTCGGCTTAAAGATTCAAAAGATTACTTTGGGCTTGCTCCAGGAAAATCAGTCCTACTTAGGTATGTATAGATTACAAGTTTTTAGTTTCCTTTCCACTTTAGCAGATTGGGGTAGCATAGTGAGAATCTTATCTTCGTGGTTGCAGGTATGCGTTCCCTATTAAGTGCACAGATGTCATATTAGCTGATGATAAGGAAACTGTTCTTGAGATACGGGCTGAGTATGATCCTACGAAGAAGACAAAGCCAAAGGTCTATGATCTATCTGTTGTGCTGGAATTATGAATGTTGTTTGATGCTTGGATATACTACGCTCTGGTGCTTCTTCTTAGTTACTTTTTGTTTCTTATTGGTCAATCTATTCCACAGGGGGTGCTTCATTGGGTTGCTGAACCTTCCCCAGGAGTTGATCCACTCAAAGTGGAAATCAGATTGTTTGACAGACTGTTCCTTTCAGAGGTTGGCCATCATTACTTTCTAAAAAAAACAACCCACCCCCCCCCCCCCCCCCCCCCCCCCCCCCCCCCCCCCCCCCCCCTCTCTTCTGAAAATCTAATGTGTGTGTGTGTCAGAATCCTGCTGAGCTCGATGATTGGCTTGCTGATCTGAACCCACAATCCAAAGTGGTAATACCCGATGCATATGCTGTGCCCTCACTTCGGAGTGCTGTTGTTGGGGACACATTTCAGTTTGAAAGGCTTGGTATGTTCCTGCATTGACTTGTTAATGTTTTTTTTTACACTTCAGCTTCATTTTATAGAATAAATAAATAGGCACACTTTGCATGAGACGAATGAATCCATAGGTGATATTCTAATTGTAATTCAATTCTATTATGCCGTAGTCAAAAGAAAGTATCTTATTGCAAGTCTGTCTGACATTGTATGTTTCTTCTGTTGCAGGCTATTTTTCAGTCGATAAAGATTCGACTCCTGAAAAACTTGTGTTTAATCGTACCGTGACACTGCGAGATAGCTATCATAAGGGTGGGAAGTAGGGGGGTTAGTCGTGGAAATCAGAGTAGAGAGGAATGTGGGAAGTGATTTTTGGCAGCAATAAGTAACGTGTTTTGAATATTTGTGGTATACAGTTGACACCGTTTTTAACCAACCAATTATATTTTGTGTATATTGAACCAATTATACGACAAATTCATGTATACAGTCAGTCGAGATGGTTTTCATGGAAGTCTGTTCACCCGCGTTTTCAGTGTTGTGCATTGTTGTCGTCGTAATTATCAGGATGCGTCTAGGATAGGAGCTTCTAGGTGTTGGTGTTTACAAAATGCATGGGTGTTCTTAACTTTGCCTTTCGTCGACCCAAAAACCAAAAGAAATCATACTACATTCAGTCAAAAGTTAAAACGTGAAGTGTAGACAGATCTTATAGAAAGATTGAGGTGATTGAATTTGAAGTTGTACAATGAAGAAGGAAAGTTCCGTTGTTGCTACGAAAGCTGATCAAAAATCAAGTGACCTTGTCTACTTGTCTTAGTGTCAAACCAACAATATGCAACTGTTGACAACCACATATTATTGTGAATGTTGAATGGACAAGAATATCAACCTTGACTATATGAAATGAAAGGATTTTAAGACATGCGTGTTAGCAAGGGCCATGAAACTGCTAAACAAACAACCTCCTAATTCCACGAGTAAACAAAGCTATTGATTTTGTGCTAAAAAAGGGAAACCACGAGTGTCGGCTCTTTCTAGTTAGTGATTGATTAGTGGGGTGGGGTGCCCTTAAACTTGATTAAAAGGGGCAATAAAAAAGTATTGTTGAGTGTTGAGTCTCGTTGAACGCAAGACGAGTAAGAAGAAAAGTAAAAGGTGCAAAAATGAGGTGAGGTGAGGTGGGCTAATAGGAAAGAGTTCGGTCTGTTCACGCTTACTTGTGAAAGCGAAAGATTGATATGATTTGATTGAGATTTGAAATTGAAAGAATAAAAGTGACAACCATATTCTGTTTTCCCATCATCCATTCTAAATCTAAGGTTCCGTTCCATCCAGGAGAGCCTCACATGAAAATTTAGCCACCATTTTGGGTCACATGCTCTGCTCTGCTCTGCTGCCTCTTTTTAAAAAGATAACCCTCTCATCTCACTACTATTTGTCCTCTCTCTCTCTCTCTCTCTCTCTCTCTCTCTCTCTCACCCACATTTACATTTCACACAAACTTTTCCATGAAAAACATCCAAGAATTAGATACTCATCATCACCCACTAGAAAAGATCCATACCCTACCAGTCTAGCTAACAGCTTCCCTAGTTTTTATATAGCTTAGCTTACCAGTGACCCTTGCTATATAGAATCAAATTGTTGTTGACTGAAGGTTGTAAAAATAAACAAGAATATGTAATCATATGGTTGGTTCCATTCCATGATCATTCCATCAAGAATATGATCATAATTTATTCTGTACATGATTTGTAGTAGAAATAGAAAAGCCCCTTTCAAGCCTAGTTAAAAATGGGTTATATTTTTCAACCTTACTGTAGATTCTGCATTATTTTTCTTCCTCTGTTTCTGTTTGCCGACGTCGCTGCTTGTTTGATACAGTTTTTCATAATCAAACATTTTTGTTTTCCTCTTTAGGTAGTCATTCTCAACTGTCATGTCAATGACAACGTTTTCCAACTAGACAACAAACTCTCTCTCTCTCTCTCTCTCTCTCCCTCTAAATTCATTTGTCTCCAGGTTTTATCTGCATCCTTCTAGTTCATTTTGGCATACTCGAAGCATTCTTCTTCTAATTTTTTGATCAAGGCCCTGCCCTTTTTTACAGCTTTTTCATTGCGATATCATAAAATAAGAAGAAGAAGAAGAAAAATAAAATGTAAACGAGGTGTGTGGTGTATGCATCGGATATCCATATCCACAATTAAGATGTGACTCCACTTTTGTTGCTTTTGAGTTTGAGTTGTCACTTCAATTTCTTGGATTGACTGCACACTTAATGCAACGTCAAACAGCATCTTAATCATGCAGTTTAATTTTGTTTCAAATCACAGACTGCGTTGCTAACAACATAACAATCATTGTTGAAGACACAATTAATTCATAATGTCTCTATCTATCCATAAACACTACACTTCTTCTCTTCAACACAGAATTGAGATTTTAAGGGGTGTATTGAATTGAGATTTTAATAGATTTTAATTATATGATTTTAATGTAATGAATTTCAGCCGGATTTGTAATTATATAACTTTACTTACAATTTTAATTTATTGCAATTACATGATTTTACTTATTATTTTAATTCACTTTGGATTTTACTTATATTTTTATACAAGCTTGAACTCTATTCACATGAATACATACTCTGAAGGCATATACCATTACACAGGAAATATCATGATTGTGGCATGAGAGCAAGTTAGGACTGAATCAAGAATGTAGATAGAAAATCATCACGAATATATGAAGTGGTCCAGAGTGCCACCCAAGTAATTGTGCCTTTACACCCACTGCTCTTGAAAAATCACTTTGACAACTATTTGTTTCATCGGTTCAGATTTTGAAACAGTTCATGAGTTCATATTAATGTTATTTGATGACTTCTTAACATATGTGATTTTGATATTTTCATCCCCAAAGAGTAGGAGATTCTCAAAAAAGTACTGAACACATAATGTTGCTCCAAAGAAGCTTGTCTACAAGGAAAGAAGAGTCATTGGAAAATGCACATTAACTCCCAGAAGAGGCAATATCTTCTCTCTTGTTAATGTTTCTTTATTGTCTCTCTTATGAAAAGTTATTATTATTATTATTATTATTGTATAGTAGAAAGCATGAAAAAATAGTGGGAAAAAAAAGAGTATGAGAACATATATGAGAATTAGGCATAGGAGAGTGGGATTTGTTATGTGATTTAGTATTTATATCACACATTCAAAAGTTTCACACAATACACCATTTAATGAAATACATTAAAATCAGTAATTTTTTTTTAATATCACAATACTTTTTCTTATCTTTTAAAAGTCCTAATTGAATACTACCGAACTTGTATTGATTATTTAAAAAATTTAATTGAATACCACCAGACTCTTATTGGTTACTTAAAAATCATATTCTGGAAAGTACTGAATATTTATGTCGGATAATAATAATATATTCCGGAGAGTACTGAATATTTATCCATAATATTATAAGATGTTTGATATTGTTCCAAATAAATAATCTGACTATGTTATGCTGTGTTTGATGCTCCGATAGATAACAGTATATCAAACTATTTTTTTAAAGTTCTTCGATAATTTATGGGATCATTCCCTTGATCCAATTTCCCATTTTACATGGCAGAATTCCCTCCTTCAGTCATAGCCCCCACTGGTACTTGGACCGCCTCAAATCCCACAACTTCAACATCCATGCCTTCCACCAAAGAACAGCCTTATAAACCGAAAGTCCTGATGTAAAAGGCAATATCATGTTATATGAAGAAAAATAACGAAAACCAAGTCCAAATCTAGATTTGAATCGAAATTCAGCAGTGCATGAGCAACTAAAAGCTTCATAGATCATTCAAACACCAAAAGAAAAGATGATAAACCCAGATCATAAAATTAAACAAATACAAAATTACCCAACACTCAAAAGAACAAGGTCAAGTGCAGCCTTTATATGCGTTCAATTTACGAATTTTCAAATAAAGAACAAATAAATCTGAACAGTTACTCCCATATCGCAATTAAAAGCACACCAAAGAAAAAAAAACGCATCAAATAACATATTCAATACATTCAAAAAGATTGGGACTTACATCGAACAAGCAACAATATCCAATAAAATCAACCCAACATATATGATCTAAACACAATTCTTTCACCAAGATCAATCGGATCAACCCATTAACCAAAATTAATAACAAAAGAAAACAGAAGAAAAAAAAATGAAGCCAGAGGAAGATAGACAAGTTGAACGTGTATTATCTAAATTAGGGTTTGTGGGTTGTATTAGTTGGTAAGGTAAGGAGAGTATTAAAAGCCCAATCTATTTAACATAGTCACGTAATTAAATAATACAAATTGACACCAAACAAACGACATGTACTATTTACTCATATCCGGACCGGAGTCTAATCCGGTGTACCAAAAGCAATAAGCAATAAGTCACTGCTTTGCTTTGTCTATGAATACTTCAGTTATTAACAAAAACAATAAGTCCCTGTCGTCGACAAATGCAATATGAATCCCAACAACAATCTCTACTTATTCTACTATTCTCTCAATTTCAAAGACCATCCAGCTTGATGACGCCCCGATCTCATCTTTCCTAACTTTCTAAATTGTCACATCCCCTCCATGTTCCATAAAGTGTCAGTCATGTTGTCCAACATCCAATCACCTGCTGTCATCTGGCAATCAAACTGTTGATTGTTAAAATCGCAAATTGCTGAAGCAGGGTCCAGGTTGAGACCCTCCATGTCATAGGCATAGCCACTGCTGGTGTCCACATAGTAACAGTCATTTAAAGCTGGGCTGCTGCTGTAGACGGTGTGGTCAAAAGCATGAGTTGGACTTGTTAGGCGTTCTGAAGTTTGAGGCAGCTGGGAAATCAAAGAATCTGAGGAAAAGATACTTGGGCTTCTGACAGAACTGGAATTTCCATTAATGGGATGCTCAAATATTTGTGAAACCTTGCTTGGTGGAGAAGTTGAGAGCGAAATAGAAGGAGCAGAGCAATTAGGTGACAGAGAAGGAGATGCAGAGTTCTGAGAACTCAAGGTTGTTGGCAAGTAAGAAGAAGAAGATTGCTCCATCTTTTGAAGCAACGTTGGCATCCAGAAACATCGAACCGCGTCAAGGAACCTCTTGCTGTTGGACTCGATATTGAGCTGACGTGCTTGTTTTTGGACCCTTGTTCTCCAATAGTTCTTTATCTCATTGTCTGTTCTTCCTGGCAAATGCTGTGCAATTTTAGACCACCTGAAATTGGCAAAATATAAGAACACAGAGTTAATTATGATTTAACATAATAGTTATAAACTTTACTGAATGATTAAGCTTGAATATAGATAATGACCTGTTACCCCACTTGGAATGGAGTTCAAGGATCATGAGTTGTTCTTGTGGAGTGAGGTTGCCACGCTTAATGTCAGGTTTTAAATAGTTTAGCCATCTCAATCTGCAGCTTTTTCCAGTCCTCTTCAATCCTGAAAAAAAGTTGAATGACAATCAAGAAATGAAATGGAGGCCATAAGCAAAAGGTTGTGATGTCATGAGAAGGGCTGACACTTACCTGCACATTTTGCTAACGAATTCCAATGGCCTTCCCCGTGACTAGCAATGTAATGTATAAGCAAAGTGTCTTCTTCAAGTGTCCATGGCCCTCGTCTTAGATCAATCTCCTCTTCATTAGGATTGCATGCCCTCTTTGTGACAGCAGCCATAGCTGCTCTGCTATGTTTCGTGTGTATATTTGTGTGGAGGAGAGACTGGGAGTTTTTTTTCACAAGCTTGGTTGTTTTGAGAAAGAGGAATGAAAGTAAAGCCAATCAAAGCCAAAGATTTATAGAGCGCAACAAAGTTGAAATAATTACAACTTCAAATCTAGAAAAGTAAAAACCCAAAAAGAGTTTGTCCAATTGCCTTTGGCTTTCTAAACTGACCAAAATAGAATTTTTTTTTCTTTCTGAAATAAGGTGGTTGGTTGTGTAGTTCAATAGGGCTACGAATTATTGCCTTGCAGAGGTGGCAAAGCCAGAGCAGCTAACTAGAGTTGGGCCACAACACAATAAATCATATTCGAGTCATCCCTTGGCCGAGTGTACATAACGACAGAAATTGGACAACTCAAAGGGCGCTCTTTTTCTTTTTTTTGGTCAGAACTCAAAGGGCTCTTTTATGTAAAAAAAAAAAAAAAAAAAAAAAAAAGAAATTTAAATGTGTTTGAACAAAGGGTGTGTGTGTGAAAATGGTCTTTCAACTTGCATATCAATGGTCTCATGTTCGAACCCTTATAACATTTTGGCAGTGTATGTGTGAGAAAATCCTCCTCCCCCAATATCGCTTGTATCAAAAGAAAAAAAATTAATGTATTTGAACATTATTCACATAAGTGCTTTATTTAAGAGACACCCTTATAGGGCCCACTCGGTATTGTATTTCACTAATTCAAACTATCTATTTTTTTATTATATAATTATTCAAAGATCATCTCTACAAAAAATCACTTGAATTCGATATCATTTAACCACTCAATTGAGTTATTGAAATTGTAGTACTTTCTTGAAGCACCGTGTTCATTATTTTTGTATAACACAATTTAATGTTAAAAAGGTTTCCAATTTGTCTATTTTTTTGCAATGATGATTTATGAATGTAGACTTAAAAAATAGATCGTTTGGATTGTTGAAAAAAAAATTAGTAGAGAACCCTAAAAGGTGTCCCTAAAATAAAATTATTTAAAGAATCCATCAATATAAGGGGACTACATATATATATATATATATTATAAAACAATAATAATAATTTCATGTACTGTTGGATAGATTTGAAAAAGGTCTAAAGAAAAAGAAGACGGATGAGACTTTGTTCTTGGAAATAAAATGTAGGTATTTCTTTAGGGGGAATGCTACCTTCCATTTCTATCCTTGTCCATCTAGATCCCCAATTGTGCAAGAAACGTGCTTGACTAGACAAAATATATTATACTCCACAAAACTACAAAACTACAAAAACAACAAGACTAAATGTGGAATGATGGGGGTTCTTCTGAGTTGGGTGGCATTGAAGCATGTTTCAAATTTTGTCAGATATTGACGGTGGTTGGAATATAACGATGCTTAACCCAAGCACAGTAAGTAACTGTGTTTCTTTCTATTTTCTAGTTTCTCCCAAAATCCTTGCCAAATTCGCAAACCCAATTTCCAAATACATTTAGGAGGTGGATAAATGATTAACAACAGAACAGAGGTTAATAATTATTTACCTAGTATTACTATTCTTAAACTTGTACTAATTATGGTTATGAAACTAGAATTTCCCTGGCTCTCCAACCAAAGTGGGTTAGATTCTAGGGAAAGAGGGTACTAATTACTCAACTAAGAAGAATCAAGTGTGAGAAGGAAAAGGTTTGAAAGTGGGAAGTGGCCAAAGGTGGTGGGGGGGGGACCAGGAATTGCTTAAAGGGTTGCATAGATTCAAAGGCAGTGAGAATCAATTATTGGCAGATAAAGGTTTCCATATTTGAGTCAATGGCTGTATCAACGGAGATAGATTACCTATTTTTGAAACATCTAAACAACTTTGAAGACTCCTCCTGCTCATCATCATGTGAACTGATATGGGATAGGTAGACTCACAGGACAGAAGCATCAGATATCTCTTTTTCCATTTTTCCACACGAAAAATTTCATGCAATTATTGGTATTGTGTTGTGTGTGTAGCTAGCTAGCTAGAATGGAATTTTGAACCGAACGTAAACGACAACGGCCATCAATGATCCAATGGAATGGAGGCACGCGTGTTTACGTAGTGGGGTGCTAATCATTTGCGCTTGATTATGTTAATCTGCAGAATGAATGCTTCATTTTGTTCAACAACAATGTTGATTTTGATCCCCACCCCAACAACGATTTCAAGTGTTTTTAGTGGCTCTAGTTTTGCTTTGTCCAGCATTGTAGTTGCACCAATGTCCTTTTAATTTTGTCCATTATCCAAGTGCAATGTATAAACCAGGAATAAATAGGAACCCGGTTGCCTCATAATTAACCAAGAAGAAATTAGGAACCGGGTTGCCTCATAATTAGGAACCAGGTTGAGTTGAGGCTGACAACAACTGATCACACAGAGCACAAACAGAGCATGCACCCAATACTAATACAAAGGCTAACTCCAAATTCTTTTGTTTCGTCCAAGTTCAATGAAAGCATCATCTCAAAATAAAATGAGACTATATTCTTAATAGTCATTCGATGATTTGATGAATTTATTGGACAACTGGATAATGCCGTTTGATTTGATCATATCTTTTCACAACTTGAATAAATAGCAAACAAAAGAGTGGATGCGATTAGAATAAAAATTAAGTTCCTTTTACCACTTATTTTGAAGAAAAATACTTTAGGGCTCTTGAACTATAAGTTTAGGCTAAGGCTAGGCTATATGAAGAATTTCGATGTGGTATATGATGCTGCTGAAGCTGATCATATGTTTTGGCGTGTAGCTTTGCACTTTTGGAACAAATCCCTGACCTCATCATCTACTGAACTAGTACGGAATATATGATCGTAAAACAGAATTCAGCATCGTAAGTCCAATTTTGACTTCACCGCCACCATCATTCAGTCACTTCAATTAGACTCTCATCTCAGCTCATGTATTCCAAAAAGCTTATAAATATTTGGGCCTGCCATTTGGACTCTGCTAATGTTTGAGCCTGTTTGCGGTTGTAGTAATGTACACACTGTGTCTTATTGGGCCCTGGTAAGAGTGGCTTTAGGTATTGGGCTGAAAACATCTTGCTAGCCCATTCTCATTAGACCCGAACTCAAGCCTATACTTTTTACCACCAAGGAATTCAATAACAAGGTGACCAAATCCATCATGATGACCTTTATCTCATTCTTGAATTAAACCCAAGGTTTTTTTTTTCTTTAGTACAAGCAATTGTGGGAGGGGAATTTGCACAAATATTTATTCGGTGTTTAGAATTTTTGACCAACTGAGCTATACCCCACTGACTAAACCCCAGGTTTTGTCACTTTCAAAACAACTTTAATTTAAAGCCTCCCCTTCCGTAATCATATGGCATTATTCGCCTATCACTTTCATCCCAACACATTGAAGCTTCACGATCGATCTATCTGTACATCATGTAGGCTGCTGCTGAGATGAATATTTGATTATAAATTTTAATTTTGTGACCGAAGGAGAACCCTAAAACACTACTGCCTACCAATTTGGGCTACCAAAATTGAAGTGTGCGTTTCTTAAGAGCGAAATGTATTGTTTTAGAAGCATTCGCACGTAGGAATAGGGACAAAAGCAAACTTCACGTATATACGCAACGCAACAATACCAAACTGGTTTATGTACACCTAATTGCATTGGATAAATTAAGTATAGGTCTTATGAGAATATAACAACTGTTCGAGCTTTCAACAAGTTCCAATGTTAATCTTTTCCCATCTCTCTGAATTGAAAATATTTAATTATATGAATCAAGGACTAAACAAGTACTTAAAGTCGGTAACAGCCCATTTGTGATGCACCTTCAAAATAATTTGGATGAGGATGGTGACAGTCTCATTTCACCTTATATGGCAAAGTTGCCATTAAATCTGTAAACCATAGCCACATTCTGGTTCCAACCATTAAAGGGTATATAATTTGGCATAGCTAGAATACATCCTAACCTAATTCAAAATCAGGCAGGCAGCTACCACAATAATACTACAAGGGCATAAGAATCAAAGACTTATTATGCTGAAGATCAACACATAAACGGTACTTAATTTGTACTCTAAGATGCTACATATTCTAGGTTTTGAAAAAGAAACAGTTTCAAGACGCGCAAAAAAACAAACTTGCCAGGCAAAGCATGCATGGCATATCAGAATGCCCAATTTGGGGTTTTGAGGGGGATGGGGGTTGTGAATATAGGTCGGTATGGGATTTCAACGTGCATTTGGAATAGAGAAATCAAGGCTCCGCATTTAGAAAGTTTAGAGTCAACATTTTCATGGGTAGTTTAGATTGTGAGCACACCAATTAAGGTCAATCTTTATATTTGGTTTTACAAGCTTTGATTGAAGGGTGTTGAAGTGGAAAGCCTATGTATGCGATTTGTGGTAAGATCATCATTATCCATAAAGGAAGATACATGTTCCCATCAAAAACCAAAAACTAAACTTAAAAAAAAATAAAGATAATTAATCACACCAAATTAAATACCAAATTTTGCATAATTCACCCTCAAAACTGGTGCATGGTCCCACGTACCAGGTCGATATATCGACTGAATGAGGATATTTCCAAACCAAAAAAATAAAAATAAAAACAGAGAAAGATCAGAGGATACAAAGTCAACTTATAACTGAAATGAAAATCTGTACGTATAATTATTCTGCTCTTGTACTTCAATTTCTATAAACTCGATCTGTCTCTCATTTGCCTAGGTAGATAAGTGTACTAAAGGCATGCAAAACCTCAAATTTCTCTGAAGACGATTGGAAGTTGAAACATGGAACTCATAGACAATCTTTGTGAGTTGGAGAATCTAAGCGCCAATCATCATGAAATCATGGCTCTCTCCAATGGCATGAGTTTTAGCGATCATCAGCGACAAACTAACCAGCTCCCTCTGAACTTCATTCATGATAATATTCAAAGCTTTTCCCATTCTGATGATCCAAATCACGATGTCTTAGTTGCTCATTCCACATCTCTGACTGGAGATTTTGCCCAAGAAGGCGAAAAGGGAAAGGTAATGTTGCTCTTGTCTTGTTATCTCTCTGGTTTATGGGAAGCTAGATTGATTTTCTGAATTTGTTTTCGTTTGGTAAATATTGGCAGCCTTTAGGAGGAAGAAAGAGAAAGAGAAACAATATTGACAAAGATGGGGAGAAACTAAAAGAAGTCATCCATGTGAGAGCTAAGAGAGGCCAAGCTACTGATAGCCACAGTTTGGCAGAAAGGGTATTGTGTATATATATTTAAATTCTTTCAATTCTACTAGCTAGCTATGTGGTCATGAGCAGATGAAAACAATCCTGTTACCTGATCGATAGAGTTTGTGCTTTAGAAGTACTTGTCTTGTGAATTTTCAAATCCAAATTTTGAAGGAAATTGTTCAACATGGTAGGTAAGAAGAGAGAAGATAAATGAGAGGCTGAGATGCCTGCAAAATCTTGTCCCGGGATGCTACAAGGTAGGTGAAGTGATAATGTTCTTGCCTTGAACTACAAAGCAAAGTGATGAATTATTGTTTTAAGAGCAATCAATCATTATATTGTTTTTGTATGGTTAATTTAATTTGCAGACTATGGGAATGGCAGTAATGCTGGATGTGGTTATCAGTTACGTTCAGTCACTGCAAAATCAAATTGAGGTGAGACATTTATATATATATATATATATATATAACCATATGATATATGATGGAGATTTCTCATAAATAATAATTATCATGATTCATGTCCAATGATATATTTGTTTTGTTTTGCTGTTTCCAAGTTTCTCTCTATGAAGCTTTCTGCAGCAAGCGTGTATTACGATTTCAATTCACCAGGTGTGGATGCTCTGGACACAATGCAGCAACAGGTATGAATTTTCAGTGTTTTGCTTTTCATCTTTAAAAGTAATTAGATAATGATTATGTTGTCTTATAATTATGATATAAATATACTGTGTGATGAATGAACGAATGGGTATGTTGAAGTTGAAACTGATAAAGGCGAGCAATGTGGAATGGCTAATGATGTTGCAGGGGACAAATAATGCATATGGGGAGGTACAAGAAGAGATGGTAAGATCAGAAGGGTATGGAGGAGGGCTTTCTAATTACAACAACAACTCAACATGGCCTATTTGAGTTGATGAGAGACTTCAATATTCACATCCCATGCTCCTATCCTATAGGCTATAGCCATCTCTCATCTTCTCCTCATCCCATTATAATAAAATACTCTCTTCTCTTTTCTTGCGCATAGGATTCTTATACTATTATTGTATTATAATTAATTAATTAATTATAGCTGCAGTAATATTAACAGAGGATTGTATTTCTACTGCTGTAACTTGTGTCAGTAGTATCACCATTACTAATTAATGATCATCAAAAGATTGAGCATATTAATTAGTCTCTTCTCATAATTATATTAAATTAATTGAATCAAGAGTACAGGTACATTGCATCCTCCATAAGTTATGTGGGTTTCCTTAGCCCTTATAATTAAGGACACTGAGCTCAATAAGACTTGAAGTGCTCAGAGAGAGAGAGAGAGAGAACCATTAGCCATGGGTCCCTCCTTGATCACTATATTAAACAAGAGCTAGGCCCATTATCTAAACTTATAGATTGTTGGGGTCGTATTGTGGGTACGTATGACCTTTTCCTGGAGGGTAGGGGGACAATACCACCTTTTACACCTACAACGCTCAATTCCTCAATGGCCAGGTTCAGTGACCCTCAGCTAAGTTGAGCTGGGTGGGACAAATTGATTAGGCATATGTACCTAAAAAAATATTATACATAATGAATAATTAAAAAATGAAGACCATTTGGTTGCATTTGGTCTCAAAAAGACCAAAGAGTTTAACTGAGACTAGGATTTAGATCCAATCTCAAATATGGACCCAACCCAAGTTTCACCAAAAGGATTCTGGCCCAATAAGCCCTTCCATATTGTTTTTGTTTTCCATTTTTCTTCTTCGAATTTTGTGTCTTTTCTCATGTCACGTGTGTGTGAATTGCATGGGTTCGAACCAAAGTCTAAAATATCCTTTATATCGGAAATATCGGTAGTCCCAAAACAAGGAAATATCGGGATATTATCGATCGATAAAAATTGAATAAAAATCACGGAAATTGTAAGAAAATTTTGATTTTTTGTTGTTGAAACTTTGGAGGATATTTATTTAATCAATTATCTATTAGTTTATCACAAAATTTTTGAAAGAAATACATTGCATAATGGGTTTAACTGATTTAAGTTGATTATATAGTGTGCTGACAAATATTGTGAGTGTACAAAATATGTAATAATTAATGAAAGAAAATTAAATACACCATGATCATTTTATATATAATGATTTACTATAATATTTTACACTTTATACATTACATGGTAAGATACGTGAGTGACTTAGTACCATATAAAGTTCTCATTTGCACATTATCACAAAAACATAAGCAACATGGTGGTTAAGGTGTTGGAGGAGTGAAATGGCAAGAGTTCGAATCCCATTTGCATGCGTGCTTTGTGTTTTTTTTCCTTCCTTTTTTTTCATTACATCGATATTATAGCGATATTTTGATAAAATATTGCTGAAGTGTGAACGAAATTATAGACATCAATATTTTCCGATATTATCGATATTTATACGATATGTTTATGGATATGTTCTGAAATATCCTTGACCTGAAAAATATATCCTCGATATTTCATCGATATTATTAATATTTTAGACTATGGTTCTAACCACTGACGGAACCAAGTTAAAGGCTACCATGGGCTCTAACCTAGATAGCCTTTTTTGAAAATTAAAATATAATAAATATATTTTAATGTGATTTTAGATTAATTTTCTTGCTCAATTAAGAAATAATCTTTTAGTAAACATACATGACTTTAACTTTATACCTTTTTCTATTTTTTTTCATTTGTTTTTTTTTTTGGTCAATATTAACGACACTCTTTTCAATTAGGTAGTCCAAAGAGTGGGGTAGTGCGGTTCATATGAAGAATATGTTTATAGCAGTTTCTATTATTGTCTACATTGAAAAAGAATTTGTTGACAATATCAATTCATACACAATAACAAAAGATTTCAATCTTCTCAAAAGAACATAGGGCACAACTTGAATATGTACAATTTCAATTCTGTTATTGAATATATTTTCATTTTGATACTATGTGTGTTTTTGGGGCATTTCACATGTATTTATTTTACGTTAAAGCTTATTAGAAATTAGTCAATATAAACTAACAGTGGTTTATATGTTTTAATATATATTTTATTTATAGAAAAACTATAAAGTACCAAAAAAAAAAAAATTTATCATTAGATTTTAAGCTAATAACTTTAATTAGCACACCAGCTAAAAAATTCATGTTTCCGCCTTGGTTCTAACGCCCCGCTAATTCCAACCAAAACTCCCAAAATCCCCAACTACCCTGACTGACTCCTCCGTGTCTGGTCTCTGGTCTCTGGTCTCTACTCTCTCAGCACTCAGCAGAGATGTTGTTGCAGTTGCAGAGCCTGCGTGCATTTTCAGTTGCCGACCGCACTCACGTGTCCCTCCCATCCTCACGTGTCATCCGTACGTCGATCCATCTCCACCGTCCGTCAATTTCTTTTCCGACTACCCGGCCACGTCTCCGATCACTCCCCACCGTTAGGAGCTGTACCACCCTCGCATTCGATTTCAAAGATGGAAAAGGGTACTTGCTTGCTTACTGCATTCAATTTCTTGGTCAATTTTGGTCCTCTTCATGAATCGTTATATCCCCATTGCAATTGTTATATGAAAATTCATGGTTTTGTTGATAGTTGTCAGATCAAAATTGTATAACGTAACCTAAATTTGTCTTTTTTTTCTCCTTCTTAGAAGCGATTTTAGGTGTTGGGTTCCGGTGTCTGAACGAATTTTAATATGTAAAGTAAAGCCTTCTCATTTTTGCACCTTGCAGAATGAGTGAGTTTCTTGATGTTGAGCTCAAAGTCCGCGATTATGAACTTGATCAATATGGCGTCGTTAACAATGCTGTTTATGCAAGTTACTGCCAGCATGGTAAGACTGCTGCTTTTATTCTTGTCTGAATTATATATAGTTAAACATTTGTACAATCTGAAAGGCCTTGAATTTCAACACAGTTTATGATGCAAGCTTACTTGTAGGCTTTGATTGTACTAAATTCTAAGGTCCTCAAATGTATTGGCTCATCCAAAATTTCATTTCATTACTAGATTTAAATGTCGCACCCAACCCAACCTATATGCGACTGTGGCTTTCAGTTCATGCTAACACTTCCATCTGGTGTTGCCTGCATCAGGGTGTTGTAATAAGGATGCCCAATTTTTTACAAATTTGATGGAATGCTACTCACTTTGATTACATTATTTCAATAGTTATATTGATACTGCATTTAGATTGGAATTTTTTGTTCAGTAATCCTTCATAAATGATGTTTGAACATTTTCTTTCCTTTTCATACATCAGCTATTCATAACTGATGTTACTTGGGCTTCTTCCAATCAGTTCCTGCTTCGAAAGGTCATGTTACTGCAGAGGTGATAGGATTTTCTCATGGGAAATGAATCCATGGTGTTATTATACATGAAACCTGCAATGAGTTAGAGTTAAAAAGATCGCATCTTTTCAATCTTGACAACTCCATCAAACTAACTGAGATGTTGTTGCTTCAATATTTTGATCAGGTCGTCATGAACTTCTGGAAAGGGTTGGCATCAGCGCTGATGCAGTTGCCCGCACTGGTGACGCATTAGCATTGTCAGAATTGTCACTCAAATTCCTTGCGCCACTCCGAGTATGTCTCCATATTTACATTTGGATCTCTTAAGTTTCAAACATTTTTTCATTCAGCATATGCCATCACACAAATCAGAATGTTGAAAGAAAAAAAATCTTATTCTACTCCAGTATGCATGATTGTACCACTGATTGTGAAAACCATCCTTGTTTCTGCTAACATGGTCTGTGCTACTAGAGTGGAGACAAGTTTGTAATAAAGGTCAGGCTCTCTGGTTCCTCAGCCGCTCGCTTGTACTTTGATCACTTTATTTTCAAGCTGCCAAATCAAGAGGTTTGTTATTTGTCAGTCCTAAAAATTTGCACTCCATTCATTATTAAGGAGTTGTCTTGACGCAGAGTGATCCTCTCTGAACAGCCTATATTGGAAGCAAAGGCCACAGCAGTGTGGCTTGACAAAAGCTATCGCCCCGTCCGTATTCCACCGGAGCTGAAATCTAAATTTGTTCGATTTCTTCATCACGAGGAGTCTAACTGATTTTCCTGCAACATGGAGTTGGTGGGAAAGATTCCATTACTACAGCTCCAGTTGGATATGTGTTCTTTTTCCCGCTTGCACCGGGGACATGGAGGAGGAAGAAGAGATTTCAGTCGCAAATTACACCTTATTCCTTAATAAAGTTTTTATTAATGTCAAAGATGTAAACAATTACTTTTATAGAATTCATCAAACTTGTCCGGTCATAATCTGTAGGACGCAAACAAGCAACCTCTTAACAATTTCCAGTTTAAGAGAAAAGTAGGGAATGTCTGTGAGATGAGGTATTTATAAGATTCATGATTGGCTTATGATTTTAATTGAAAGGTAACTATGATAGCGTCGAATTTAATTGAATGATTAAACCCTGGCTTATGATTAATCACTTCTTGTTGTCTGAGCAGAAAGGTGGTTGTTCAAGCATCTTGATGAGCTTCGCAAAAAATCCCACCAAACACGGAACATCAAGCAATATTGATGAACTATCTTGTTCATCAAGCAATATTGTTCAAGCATAATATGTGGTGGTTGTTAAAGCATCTTGGCAAGCGGCACCAAAAAAGTTAGATTAGCACGACAACACGTGTGCCTCGTTGTAGTTTGATTGTTAGTTAGGACTTTAGGAGTTGGCACATAGAGAAGATAAGTCGTCCTTAAATGGCCACGAAGAAGGCATGCACAGCAAGACGTGCTCTGCTTTGCCTACAAAGACAAAAAAAAAAAAAAAAATATATATATATATATAGAGAGAGAGAGAGAGAGAGAAGATGGAGCAGGAAAAGAAGGAGAAGAAGAAGGTGATGGTGGCAATTGATGAGAGCGAGTCTAGTCACTACTCGCTTACTTGGGCGCTTGAAAACCTGGCCGACACCATACGCAATTCTGAGCTTGTTGTGTTCACTGTGCAGCCCACCAACAGTGATTTTGCTTACACTTATGCTTCCAGTTTCGGTGCTGCCCGTACGGCCTCTAATCTCCCTCTTTCAGCTTCAATCAAATACTTTTATCAAATAATTTCTCAGTAATTATTCAACTTGAGTTACAATTATACGCTAGACACCTGTCTGTCGATTTCTAATTTTCTTTCTCTATGAATTATGCAGCTCCTGAGTTGATAGAATCTATCCTAGCAAACCACAAGAAGTTCGCATTGGCTTTATTAGACAAAGCTAAAGACATCTGCGCCAAACATGGGGTACAGTTTCTTAACTCTTTTTATTTTTGGGAGATTTATTATTATATCCAATATAGATGTCTAAATTATATAAAATATATATATGCAATAGACTTTAGAAACACACCGAAAGTCCATTTATAACATAACAAAGAGCCTTTTAACTTCTTATGAGTTTTTTTTGTTTGTTTATAGAAATTACAAAACTGCCATAATAAATAGCATTTTAACTTCTTGTTTATAGAAATCAACATAACAAAGAGCCTTTTAACTTCTTATAAATTACAAAACTGCAATTGATTTCTTAAAACAAGTCCAACCTCAAAACCTCATATAAAAAACCCAAAACACTCAATAAGACATCAAAGTAATTTAATAATCAAAATTAAATTCAATAGGGCAAGTTGTAATTTTTTGAGTTTCTTTTGTTTGTTTGTTTATAAAAATTAAATCGTGTAGGGTTTATTTATATTATTAATGCTAAGAATGAGTATATTACTAAAGATCTCTTTATTTTTTTTACTTTTTGGCCTCGTTTGGTTCATGACAAATGAGGCTTGGGGATGAGAAATCAGTTGTTTTCTCATATTTGGTAAGTCCAAACATAAGAAATCGTTGCCTTGCACATGAGAAAGTAAGGGAGAAAGTGAAGCCCTCCTCCACTCGTGGGCCTCGTTTGATTCACAAAACGGATTTGAGGGAAAATCACTTGTCATTTCTCAAAGGATGATAAATGAAAGATTCATTTATCATGTTTGGTAATGGCGGGAAAGTAACTGGGAGATTTCACTTTGTTTCTTTTCCCATGTTTGTTTTGAGTAGGAATGGAAAACAAAGTTTGTTTAATTTTTCAATTATACCCATATTAAATCAAATAAAAAATGCATTTAATAATACATTGTAATTCTAAATTGTTCATGGGGACATAATGATCATGAAAAATATACATTGAATGTTAGCTCATTTTCCCAAACTTTATCATGATGAGGGAAAACAAAACCCAAGTTGAGAACATGACTTCACTTTCCCCCTACTTCCCCATGTGCCAGGCAACCATTTCTCATGTCTGAACTTACCAAACATGGGAAAACAATTGATTTCCCATCTCCAAGTCTCCTTTCCCATAAACCAAACGGGGCATTGGGTTTTGTTTCCCTCATAATGAGACGGTTTAGGAAAATGAGCCAACATTAAATACACATTTTTCATCACCATATTATCCCCATTAACAATTTAGAATTACAATATATTCAATGCATTCTTTTTTTATTTGATTTTATGTGTATAATTGGAAAATTAAACAAACTTTTTTTAGATTCCTACACAAACCAAACATGTGAAAGAAAATAAAGTGGTATTTCTTGATTCCTTTTCCAGGATTACCAAACTTGGGAAATGAATCTCCATTTCCAATTCCTTAGGAAATGACATGGGAAGTGATTTCCCCTCAAATCCGTTCCGTGAACCAAACGGGGCCTCTGTCTAGTAGATTTTTCATTCTAGATTCTGTAAAAATATGTTATTTTGATTCTTAAGATACTGGTTGAATTTTATTTTATTTAATTTCCTTTCGGTGCTAAAATGGATTAGACATAAATCACAATTAAGCTACAAGGAAGTCTTTCTTGGTACATACAGATTGTTGCAGAGGCAGTGACAGAGGTTGGGGATCCTAAAGAGGCAATATGTGAAGCAGTGGAGAAACACAACATCAAGTTACTTGTATTGGGCAGCCACGGCCGGGGAGCTGTAAAAAGGTATGCTCTGCTTTTCCATTTACATTTACCCCTTATTTCTTGTTGATGATGATCAAACAACTTGCAGCTTTGGTATAATACTTTTTCCATGGTGTTCTTTGCTGTTGTCATTCAATTTTGAGTGCCTCAGCTTTCTGAAATACAAGTCATTGTTGTTGCATTTGGGAATTCTTCTAATTCATATATGTTGGGGTTGGGGACTTGGGACAGGGCTTTGCTGGGAAGCGTAAGCAACTACTGTGTTCACAATGCTAAGTGTCCTGTTCTTGTTGTGAGGAAACAGGAATGAAAACTCTTCTGCTATATGCTCGATGCTCGATCCAGGTCCGGGGAATGTTTATTTCTACAAGTGATTTTTATTAAATCAACTTTAACTTGCATATCCTGGAAGGAAAAAAGTTGTTCTTTTCATTTCATATGTTGCTTGGTGTGATTGAAATAAAAGTCCTGTCGAAACCTAAAAGCTATGATTGGATAAAGCAAAAATTAGTTAATTCTGCTTCAGTTTTAAGATTTGATCCAGTGGCTATAGTTTGGATGATTTAGAGGTTTCAAATTTACAGCTCCTACATAGTTATCTGATACAATTAATCCTAATGTCTTCACCTATATCAGACAGACTCTTTTTTTTCCTTCTTCTTCTTTTCCAGCCATATGCAAATGAAGTGGCTCGCTTGCGTGTTTTTGTCCACTAAGAAGTAAGAACCAAGTATTTGATATGAAACATCTGAGAGAAAAGGAAGATTCTGGGATTGTGAGCATAAACAGTTGAAAGAACCATTCCAGAATCAACTATGAATGACAAATTTACAGCATGAGTTGACTTCACAACTCAAACCATTGTTAACTAAGGTCCATGATTTGGTGAGAGATCATTATCTGCTACAGAGGATGGGATGGTGGGATGGGATGGGATTACCAACCCACTGGAAAACAAAATGGATTAGATTTTGATTATGGTAACTTAAATCTTAGGTAACCAAAATGGGAGTGTGAAAATTTTCCAATATGATTAACATGTTGCGTCACGGAATTGAATTATATGAGTAAAGTAAACCAACCCACCGACACAAAGAAGATGAGCAATAAAAAGAAGAAAGCGAACTTATCCAGTTCCTTTCATGTGGAGACTTAATGTTTGACTGGCCGTTATGACCTATGAAAGCCCGCCCCCTGTTTTCTTCAACTACCCTTTTGATAAAACAGGAGAAAGAGCTTCTGTTGAGCCCATAAACTCCCAAAATATCTGATAAATAGAGAGAGCACTCTCTGCTTTTTCCAACCACATGCAAATTATCTGCCCTGTTTTGTAAAACCCAAGACGATGGCTGAGGCAATGGAAAACGGAACTGGCACTGACAAGAAGGTGATGGTGGCCATTGATGAAAGCGATTGCAGTCACTATGCTCTCATGTGGGTTCTTGACAACCTCAAAGACTCCATAACCAAGTCTCCCTTGATCATCTTCGTGGCTCAGCCTCCTGCCACCGGAAATATCACATTTGCTGCGCCTCTCGGCGTTGCTCGCATGTATTACCCTATTTCATCCAGTTAAGTTCTTCAATTTCTCTCACTGTTGTTGATGTTACATAAGAGAAACAAATACCAACTTCATATATTTCTTTTTTTCTTTTTTTAAATTTTATTTTTTGGTGCCTAGTAGCCTACTTTTCTTTTGTTTATTGAGCACAAGGGTGTTTCTCAAAAATTGTTCTTGTTGTGAAATCAGCTCCGGGTTATGTTGAATCTGCCCAGGAGAATCATAGGAAGTTTGCGGTGGCTCTATTGGAGAAAGCTAAACAGATATGTGCTAGTCATGGGGTAAGGCCAAACATCTTGATTCTAAATCTCAACAAATTTTCTATTAAATTATTTTTTTATAAAAAAATTGAAGAAAAAGAGGAAAATTGACCCCCAAAAAAATGAAGAAAAAAAATCTTGGGACCCATTGAACCAAACCCATCGCCAACACCACCACCCCCCCGGCGGCTCTCTCTCTCGATCTCGATCGATGCTCGCTCCTCCAGCAACCCCACCAACCTCAAGCCACCCCCTTCCCCGCGTTTACTCCCTCTCTCTCTCTCTCTCTCTCTCTCTACATACAACCACCCCATCCACCCCCACCCCCAGCCGGAACCCATCCCAACCCCCAGCCCTTGCCCCCCGAGATCCACCCCCAAACCCAGACCCATCCCTCCCCTCCCCCCAAGCGGCGGCAACAGACCCACCTCTACCCACAGAATCCAGCCTGCAACCCACCAAGAGAGAGAGAGAGAGAGAGTATTATTTCATTTTTTTTTAAGTTTTTTTTTAAAAAATATTTATTTTTAACTACAAAATGATCATTTTGCCCTCATATATTTAATAACAAATTGAATAAAATGTTGCAGGTTTAGATGGTAGAGAAAAAATTAGCAAGAAAAAAAAGTCGATATCCTTAATTTTTTATAATTTAATATATATATATATATATATATAGAATTATCTGAAGCTATGTAAAAGTTGAGGAAGTAAATTAATAGTTAAGCCTTAAATTCATAGTATTTTTATTATATGACAATTTAGCCCATCTTGGTTCCCTGACTGACAGTGACAAACCAAACTCCCACGTGTTACTCATTTAGGTGTTATAAACAGACAAAAAACAAATGTATATAGGAAAAGATGTAAACAGAAAAAGTAGATTCGCTTAATCTATAGTGACAAAAACTTTGTTAATTCTTGAAATTAGTGTAATGATTTACAAGAAAATCCTCTGTATTTAACTGCTAATTTGTCTTGATTACGTAGCAATCCTGTTCTAATTAGCTGGTATGAAAATGAATGCTTATGGTAGGTAGACCTTAAGTATTTCTGATGTTTGTAACTTGTTGTGAGCGAGATTCAAACTTATAACCTCATATGCTTCAAACTTCTAATAACCTTATATGAGTATATTAGTTTTGTAATTTTCTTTTTCATAGGTAGAGGCAAAGGTCGTTACAGAGATTGGAGATCCTAAAACAGCCATATGTGATGCTGTTGAAAAACACAACATCAATTTGCTTATTCTAGGGGAGCGTGGACATGGAACAATCAAAAGGTTAGCTTCATTCTTTTCTGTTTGTGTGTGTATGGGCATGTCCTTGTTCTTTTGTTTAGTTAGAGTGGTCTTCTGATGATTTTTAATGTGGTGACTCAGAGCCATACTTGGCAGTGTCAGCAACTACTGCGTTCAAAATGCCAAGTGCCCCGTTCTGGTTGTGAAGAAAGCACAAGTTCAAGTTGCTTGACATGATCCAGATTTCGGGATGTAAATAATATTGCATAATTAAGAAGAATGTACTGTGACATATTAATTATGTTTAGATATGGATGATTCTGGTATCCGGTGAACGATGGCGCATATTCAAGCCATTTTCTGTTAGATTTTGTTGGAATTTTGAAAAAGTTTTAAAAATTTAACCGTTTTGATTTATTTAATTATTTTGACTGTTTTATTTTATTTATTGTAAAGGTTATAAATATTTAAATTTTAGGTTTTATTTCTATGTTGAATGCCTTAATTTTATAGTTTAATGTGGTGAAGATTACATGTTATTAAATGCCTGTAAAATGTCACTTCTCCTTCACATTTGAACAACTACAATACCATCAGAATATCATATACCATAATCACCACCACAATCTGATTCTCTTTTTTTCTACTTGTATATATATATTTATATATATATATATTCTCTACTTTCTATTAGTATTTTCAGGCAATGGTTATGTGACTTGGAAACATATCCATCTGTGAATGTGCTCATAGCGGATTTTGAGCTTGTATAATAGGGTTGTATCTTGGAATCTTATAGATCATCAGTATATGCACGTACGGAGGCTACAAAGTTTTTAGGATAATGTCTTTGACGTGCTTCACCGTACCAAGTTCACTTTCTTACTTATAATTTATTTTGCTTTTACTTACCTGTTATTTTTCTTTAGTGTCATTGTACCTTAATAGCTTTCCAATTTTTTTATATGTTATTTATAATATAAAGGTTTTTGTATTTGGCTTTATGGAAAGAGAAAAACAATATTATTTATAACAATCTAAAGCCTTTGTAGATTAAAACTACTTTCTTTTCGTACTGTTGTTGAAGTCTCAATTGAATACTTGATTGATGAGATTACCACTTGCCACTTGGTTCAAATTGTAGTAAACAAAGTATTATCTTACATGTATTTCAAATAAATCATATTTGTTAGGTTGCGTCTTTATCATGGCATAAGTTTGATTATATATGTGAGACCATATGTCTATTGAACATTTGTAAGTGAAAGTTGTTTTCTTCCCGTATTGCTTTGCTTTAATACCTTTTAACTCTTTGATTGAAGCTTTTGCACTTGTATTGGATTTTCAAAATGAAAATTACTATTTGATTTGGGTAGATGTAGTTTAAAGTTTTCATGTTCTCTATACAATTTCAATTGCTTTAAATATTGTTGGTACATTTATATTTTTATAATTTATTGCTAACGTTTGGGCAATTACTGCTAGTGTTTGAAAAGAAAAAATCTACAGACTAATTTATGTGGTATTATTATTATTATTATAGCTCAATGTTTTGGAAGAGAATAAAACTTTAATAACTCAAAGAAAATCAACCAATTAATTACAAAATCAATTTAAAGCTAGATATTTTGTGTGTCTGCAAAATTGTTTTAAAATAAATTTCAATAATGTTAGTATTCAAAGCTAATCAAGTACACCATATTATATAACCCTTGATTAAAAACATAAAAAAAACAGTCGCATTTGGCCGGCTTGTATCATAAAGATCATATATATTTCAAACTAATTCATTGAAATTGTGACCCTTTTAATTCTGATATTATTCCACTAAATTTTTATTAAGTATTAACATTCTGACTTTATTCCTCTGTATAAATTTAGTAACATATTTGAATTTGTGGTTTGCAGTTGTGTACGTTTTTCTTTACACACTTGTATATCTGTAATTGAGAGTTTACTTCGATGAAATTTAAAATTTTATTATTATATTTCTTTTGTTTCGAAACAAATTTAAAAAGTAAATAAATAAAGCTTAATTAATTTGTGTTGAATCTTTACACTGGCTATTCATTCGGAATTACTAATTGTTTTTTTCTTCGAAGCGTAGACTACAACTTATTTTATTAAGGCTTATTTACTATAGCGCTCCCTGAAACTTTGGTCAAATTTCACTTTACCCTCTGAAAGTTAAAATGGCCCACTTTGCCCTATTGACTTATGTTTTGCATCTCAATTTACCCCCTACCGTTAAGTCAGTCAAAAGCTCTGTTAAAAATGTCAACGTGGCATGAATGGGACCCTCAATTTTTTTGAATTGGATGTCAAAGGTGCCATGTGTAAAAAAAAAAGATTTTCTTTTAAAAAACTTAATTCAATTATAATTAATAAAAGAAAAACAAAAGAAAAAATTAACAGGAAATTAAAAAACCAGCAGCACCGTCTTCTCCACACCACGCCACCCCTCCACCATCGCAACTAACAGATCTCCTCCCTCACCCCACCCCCTCCCTTTGTATCTAGTATCTATAAAAAGGTGGTCTCCTTCTAATAGAGAATTGCCTTAAAATATTGCCAAGACCATGATTATCCTTCATGATTGTTATGATTTTGATGATGATAGTGTAAAAGGTCGGCTGGACTTTCAAGGCAGAGGGGAGAAGAAGGGCCTCCATCCCAACGCCCTCCTACCCCAAGCCATCCCTTATCTCTCTCCAGATCCGACAAGTCTGAAACTTCAGATTCGCTGAGGATTCAACCCAACTGCCATCCCAGATCTATCGCAGACTCAACCTATCCGCAATACTAGATCCAACCCTTGAATACCAAGGCTATGCCACTATCTTCGTCACCAAGCGTTTTGCCCCCTGCAACCCAAAACGCCATCCTCACCACAAATCTATGCGTTGTTCTTTATTTTTTTAATTTTATTTTTGCTGTGGGAATGGCTTGTGGTGGGTTTAGGTGGAGATGGATGATGATGGGTGGTGGTTGGTTGCGAAGGGAGGAGGAAGGATGACAGGGGCAATCATTTTTCCCATCGCGGTGACTTTCAAAAATATTGTTGATGGATTGACAAGGGAGAAGACACAATAGTTTTTTTTTTCTTTCTTGATATGGGTAATTTTTTCTTCTTTAATTGATCAACAACTTCATTAATTGTTTTACTTGTAAGTTTGAAATTATTGTTAATACGTATTGCAGTTCTTGGTAAGTATGAAATTCGATTTTTAACTTTGTAAGCTTCAAAACCTAAACTCATAATAGTGTGGAGATAATCCGGCTGCTAATTAGCATTTGGTGAGGTTAATTTGCTGAAAAAACAAAGAGAAGAGGAAAGCTTTGGCTTTCTGTTCAGGCTGCCATTAATTCTGTTCCTGAAGGAAATCGTAATCCATGTTAGGAAAGGGGTGTACAGGTAATTCACCATCAACTAGAGCTCTTTTGGAATTAATTAATAAGTTTTTTTAATTTTTTTTAATTTTTAATGTATTACATTATCTAATGCATTCTATGTTTTTTAAAAGAAAATCTTTTTTTTAATTTTTTTTACACATGGCACCTACGTGGCATCCAATTTAACAAAATTATAGGTCTCATTTGTGCCACGTTGGCATTTTTAACATAGTTTTTGATTGACTTGACGGCGGGGGTAAACTAAGATGCAAAACATCGGTCAAGGAGGCAAAGTGGGTCATTTTAACTTTCAGAAGGTAAAGTGAGATTTGACTAAAGTTTCAGGGGGTGTTACAATAAATAAGCCTTTTATTAATATGTTAATTGTTGACTTTTTTTTCAATAGCGTTAATATATTAATGTTCTAATCATATTATTGTTGATTTTGGATATAAATTATCTTTGGTTTTGGAAAATGGATCAAATTACGTTATGTGTGGTGTCTTTCGAGTATTTTATATAACTATACATATATATTGCAGTAACAATTGTGTTCAAAATTTATCTTATTTATGGGAATAGAGATTTACCTAATTTTCAAGCAGGAGTTATGATGAAATCGATATATCAAGGGTCTAATATCATATACCGCAAGATAAGTGCTACCAATTAATATTTTATCTTATGCAAGTGTGAGCGTTGCTATAAATGTATGTGATTCCAAGAAACTAACTTTGTTTGAATTTTGTGAAATAAGACAATACATAAACTTATAATTTTCCACTTGTTTAGTTTTGTCAAATTTTAAATAAATAAATAAATAACTTGAAATGGAAATGGAAAAAGGAAATCTATTTCATGATCTTATCTGCATAGTCTTTTTGTTCTTTACGTCTGTTTATTATTTTATTTAATCTAGAAATGTCAATTCATGAGAATGCTTTTTCTTGATTGCATACACTTATACCTTTTCTTTTCTCTATGGAATTTCTTTATATTGGTGTGAATGCCCAATCTTGTCAAACTTTAATTTGCTGAGTTTTCTATGATTACTTGTTTTGAAACCAACTTCAATTTATTGAGAATTAAAACTTTTACATTTATGGAGAAATCAAATTTGACTATTCCCTTCTATTTTGTGCATAAGGGTATAGTTTTCAAAATACAAATATAAATTTCATTTGTCTTTATTAAAATTAATTGTCCAGATTTTGCCTAATGGTCACACTCTTGTTTTTAATTCCTATATTTATTTTGGCAATAAATTTGTTAATAATGTTGGGTGATTATCGCCATTAACATGGTTATGAAACTTAATTGCATTTTGGTGTTAATATTGTTAAGCTTGGTTGGAGCTTAATTCAGTTATATAGTCTTACTACATAAGTATATATAAATATATATTTTCACTGTTTTTTTTTCTTGGTAAAATTTTGAAAACTTTATTTAATTATTTTGGCTATTTTATTTTATTTATTATAGATGTTATAAATATTTAATTTTTAGGTTTCATTTATATATTGAATGCCTTAATTTTATAGTTTAATGTGGTGAGGGTTACATATTATTGGATGCCGGCCGCTCCTCCTTCACATTTGAACAACCACAACCATCATAATATCACATACCACAATCACCACCACCATCTGATTCTCTCCTTTTCTACTTTTATATTCTCTACTTTTGATTAGTATTTTTGGGCAATGGCTATGTAACTTGGAAACATATCCGTTTGTAAACATGCTCATAGCGGATCTTGAGCCTGTATATTAGAATCGTATCTTAGAGTCTTGTAGACCGTCAGTACCTGCAGATAGGAAGGCTACAAAGGTTTTAGGACAATATCTTTGATGTGCTTTACCGTACCAAGCTCACTAATTTATTTTACTTTTACTTACCTACCAATTTTTTTCTCCAGTTCATGCACCTTAATAATTGTCCAATTTCTTTATATTTTATTTATAATATATAGATTTTTGTATTTGGCTTTAGAAAGAGAAAAACTATATTTTTTAGGCTTATTATCACAAAACATCCCGGACGTTTGCGAAACTATCACATTGCATCCTTAAAGTGTTTTTGTATTACTCTTGGTCCCTAACGTTAATATAGGTACTCTTAAATAGTCATTCTATCCAAAAAAGGGTTAAATTCAGGGATATAATCATCAAATCAATCCAAAATTATAATATATATATATATATATATATATTATTCCCTTCCATTCTCTCTTTCTTTTCTTCTTCTTCTTTCTCTCGCCCCGTTCTTTTCTTTTCTTCTTCTCTCTCTCTCTTTCTGTTTCTCTTTTACTCTTACCACATTTGTATACCACTTCTTTATACCATCTTATGTGGCAGCTGAGGTGGACAACCACATCAATTAAAATTATTTAATATTTTCTTTTCTTTTATGATTTATTCCCGTATTTGTTTTTGTAATTGTCTTAATTAAAATATATTTCATTGATTTAATTGATGTGACATATAATATGGACGTGCCACATCATATGGTATAAAATTATGGGATAAAAATGTGGTAAGTGTAGCATTATTACTCTTTTTTTATCTCCTTCTTTCTCTTTCCTCTTTTCTTCTTATTTTCCTTCGCTGTTTCTTTTTTATCTTTTTCTTCCTCTTTCCTTCTTTGGGAAGCTTCACACATACAGTGGCGGATCCACGTTGGGACAAGAGGGGTCGGACGACCCCTTGGAATGCTGGAAAGTTGGCAAGGGACTCCATTGAAGCCCCCTTGGATAGCTGCTGGAAGCCCCCTTGGATGCACGCCAACTGCTCGACGAAAGTCCCAGGAGGAGGAGAAGCTTGCTGCGCAGCTGCACTGCGCCTTGCGCGCGCTGCGTGTGTTTTTTTTTATAAAACAGCCTTGCCAAACGACGTCGTTTGGTCCAAGGCTCAGTCAATTTTTTTTAAATGACCTGGCCTCAAAACGACGTCGTTTTGGGCCAGGTTAAAAAAAAAAAAAAAAAAACAAAACAAAACAAGAGCTCAACTGTTGTACAGATTACCTTATTTCCATCTTCAACATTTAAGTAAATGTCTTTGTCCTTTTACTTTTATTTATTTTTATATTACTCCATTTACTTAAGTTTACAATGTAAATAAGGAAGTACCCCCCATTTGGTTTCAAATAAAAATACTAGAAAATCAAATTCTCACCAAATCAAAATATGAAAATTCGGTTTTAGTGTAAAATACGATTTATGCTAAAAATGATGGCTCATTAAGTCAATATATACTTCATAATAAAATCCCATAAAATCAAGTTTTCTTATTTGATGTGTAAGGAATAAAAGCCGCCAAAAATTATCTTGAGAAAATGATTATTTCGAAAAAACCATTTTTCATACTTAGTCAATATTGCACCTCCGCTAAAAAAATTTTGGGTCCCCCAATGCTTCCCTCTCAAATCCTAACCTCTCCCAACCTCCTAACCTCCGACAACCTCCATCAACTCTTCGCCGGTGGCCCATTGGCGATCACCACCACCATCTTGTGCCGCCCTTTTTTTTCAAGTACAAGTAAGCAGGTCAAAATTTAAATTAATAAATTTATAGTGATAATATATTGTTGATATTGATTTTTTTTTTATGTAATGAAATCTATGGATATGAATCATATTGATGGATAATTTAGATTGATTGCGTTTATGCTTGATTGTTGATTGAGTATATTAAATATTGAATGATATTTGATATGATAATTTGGTATATTGAATATTGATTGATATGGGTGAATATTGAGAGTAGGTTATTGACATTTTCATATTCATATGATAATTTGGATAAAAATTAATGATTGATTCAATTAATTGATTTGTAGAATTATGGAATGATTCTATAAAAGAAAATTATCTACGGATAGTCCTTCTCTGTCTAATCCGGATAGTTCAAATGCAACAAAACCAATTGAAGTAGATGAGATATTAGCTAATCTTTAGGCAAATCCTGGACTAAGACCTCGAATGACGGATTATAGTCCTAATATTCGGGATGAGATCCGAAGAGCATATCTACAAAAGGGACCTTGTCAACCTAGAAGTTATAAATTCCCACAAACTAATCAATTAGGATTTAATAGACGTTTCATTGCTCAATGGTTTGATGAGTATGATTGGTTGGAATATAGTATAGCTACTGAGGTAGAGGAAAAATTTCGAATGACGGATTAATAGGCTTTTTTAGCATTATTTTCTTTGTAAAAAAATTTCGGAACTTTTACACTAAGCCCCCTTGGCCACAGAATCCTGGATCCGCCACTGCACACATAACCTCTCCAATGGCGACTGAAGCACCAGAGCAAGCCCCCCAAGCCGATGGAGTCCAATCTCTTTCAATTTCCGAGGCTTCACCATCCAGCTCTTCAAATCCAACCATCCAGTAAGCTTCTCTCGCTTTTCTTATCATTTTCTTATTGTTTCCAATTTTTTCCGTTGATCTGAACTTACTTCAAACTTGTGGGTGTGATTTGGCGAAGAATGAGTTTGGAGGAGAAGTACCAGATGTTGAGGAGCGTGGCAGAGGAATGTATTCAAGAGGACGAGCTTCGGAATTTGCTGGCTCATAAGTCCGAACCCATCGCCTAGGGTCGAATGCATATTGCTCAGGTGTTTTTTCAAATTTTCTTTAACAATCATAAAATTCATAACACATAATTGATGTTGATACTTTTTGTGGAGAAAAGATACTCAAATTGAGATTCTGCAGTGTGTTATTCTCGTGTATTGATTATTTGGATTGCAACGGACTTTCTTGTGTTTTGAAAGAATAATTGTAGTAAGAAACTTAAGGGCATGTTTTCATTATATCATTGTGGTTCAAATGTGCTCTTGTGTAGAGAGTTATGAAGACGATAAATGTGAACAAGATGACCTCTGCTGGCTGCAGAGTGCAAATATGGATTGCATATTGGTTTGCAATGCTAAACAATAAGATGGGGGGTGATTTGAAAAACAATATCATAATTAAACAACTACCAACTTTTCATACCAGAATGAAACGCTAACAAGTCGCAAATATAGGTGCAGTGCAGAGGGAGTTTTACTCTGTAATTACTGAAACTACCCTACCCACCAGGGACATACATCTTTTGGCAGTGTAGACGACTGGCAGAGAGGTTCTTCTTGGTTTCGTTGGATGGCCCACAAGGAGGACAAGCTAATTTGCTTATGTTGGGTTTATGTGGGAAGAAACGAGGGACCTGAGAGAGTGGGAGCATTGTTGCAGAAGCTTCCATGGATAACTCTGAGAGAGAGAGAGAGAGAGAGAGAGAGAGAGAGAGAGAGAGAGAGAGAGAGAGAGAGAGAGAGAAGGAGACAACAAAGAAGAAAAAAAAGAGAAACAGAGAGAGAGAAGAAGAGAAGAAAAGAACGGGCCGGAGAGAACGGAAGGAAATAAAAAATATATATTTTATAATTTTGGATTGATTTGACGATTATATCCCTGGATTTAACAGTTTTTTTTGACAGAATAACTATTTAAGAGCACCTATATTAATGTTAGGAGTCATAAGTGATACAAAAAAACTTTATACAAATTTATAAATAAACCCAATCCTAGGCATGTATTTATAAAAAAACCCAAGCACTATTTAAACATAGAAACACACCCAAAATCAACCTCAAAATCAACAATTGTATGTTTTTTGGGTGTGTTTGTAAATGAGTTTTGAGTGTGTGTAATGATGGGTTTTGGGTGTGTTTATAAAGTGTTTTGGGTGTTGGGTTTTTTTATAATTTCAACCCCCATTTTGGGTGTTTTAGTGAAACTCCCAAAACTTTAAGGATGCAATGTGATAGTTTCGCAAACGTCAATGACGTTTGTGATAATAAGCCTATTTTTTTATAACAGATTTACTCTGTGTGTTCACATGCTTGAAACTTTTAGAAACAAAGAGATTACTAGACTTTGAAACTAGTGATATATTTTCATCAGTTGCTTCAAAGTTTCATGGACAATACATAATATACTACACTGGTTTTAAATTTGGAGGCATGCTTCTTGAAATCTAATCAACTTGAAGCAGAACAACTGTTCTGTCACCCGAAGATACGGTTGAGGGTGGCTGCTAGTCGGACTCCACCTTGAGCCAACCGCCAATTGACTATTGGCAGCCGGGAGAGGAAATAGTCATCTGCAGACAATGTTTTTAATCATTTTTCATTCTGAGGAACAAACAAACATAAACTAGCGTTGAATTCAAATCATTCTCTCCTTACCTTCTAGCACTGAACCTTCTTCTGCACCCTTGTATGCCCAATCACAGGCCGCTTTGATGCCCTCAGATGCATATCTGCAGAATAAGTACCCAGATTTGTTTCTTATGGGGTTGTGATACAATGAATGATCAAGTTCAAAGTAGAGGAAATTGTTAAGCTGCAGCAGGGCTTATGAATTTCTTTCATATGGGGTTGTGATACATACACGTCTGGGCATGCTGTCTTATTCAAGCTGCAGGCCTCCCAACCCTTAACTTCATCTGCCCATTCAGTCTGTTGTAAAGAAATATAAAGCCAAAAAGAACACGAGAAAAAAAAAAACAGATGGATGAGTCTTAGAAAATATTGCCAAGACCAAGTGTATTATAGTTGGCACAGAATGGATGCAAATACCGTAATATTTTGTTTAATTGCATCAACCAGTTCTTCCACATTGGAGTCATAGAATCTCTCTTCTGCTGTCTCGACTATGTTGTCATCCCAAATCTGAACGCAGTATACGTTTAAAATGGTTTAACTAAAAGTAGCTTGTGCAAAGCTTGAAAGGAGGATGGAGTTGGCAATTATACTCACATGGTGAAGATTTTGCTTCCTTGTGTACCAGTGAACATCAATTGTATTGCCTCCCTTGTCTGAAGTAAAACCTACATGCAGAGGCTGTGTAACAAATGTTAAGGTCAAAAACTAATGAAAGGATCAAATCATGCATGTCTGAGAAAAGAGACTCTGCGTGACATACCTGATGGATGTCTCCAATGAAATGGGAAAGAAACAGAAGCGCTTGCGTGAGATTATCTGATTCATTGCGGAAAGAACAGAGTTTGAAAAAAAAATAAAAAAGAACTTGGTCAGCCAAATTGCGTATTAGATCACATAAAAATTAGGATTAGGATTAGGATCTTCATAGAGTTACATTTCGGCTGAGAAGAATGGCTACTGTAACCGAGAAGCTGTGAGGTATAATTGTTAATAGCCCCTGCAACACAGCGCCCCTTCTCTCCATTTTCATCTTTGCAGTCCCCTGGAGATTTTATGACCATGAGGAATTTTTATACTATTAAATCGCTCAGAAATTACATGATCAGTTATTAGAAGGAAAAAATGCACTAAAGTGAAAATTGAAATCGAATGTTTAAAAAATTGTAAAAGACTTACTATTGTATTGGTAATTACAAAGGTTGTCAGGAGTATTAATGTAGTGAAGGGCAGAGGACCAGTGATAAATAAACTTGACATGATCTGGCCATATGCACAGACTGCCCAAGTCATTTTCTGCATAGGCAGGAAGCAGCTGCTTCACTGCATCTGCTGCTGCTTTGCTCAACCTAGACTGTTATCACATCATCACATCACAAGCACAAAGGAATTTATCCAAAATTGCACAAATCATTTAATCTAAGCCACACAAAGAATGAATAGAGATGATGATGATGATGATGAATAAGTAAGAAGAACCTGAGCAATTCTGCAAACTGTGAGATGGCCAACAGTTCCCCAACCATGAATGACAGGAAAAAGAAGCAGCAGTGAACACAAAGTAATTATCTGGATTCTGCCACACCCCATTGCTTCCTTTGCTCCCAAGACCACTGAAAAGATGCAGCTCATCATATATGATAGCCTTTCTCTGCTTTTATAGTTACCACTCAGATATGAGAGTGGGGACTTAAATTGGAAAAAAAATCTAAAATTGACTGTAGGGCGTTTTCTTTTTTTGAACTTTTTCTTTTTCTTTTGAGCTGGGATGGAATGGATATCCGATTTTTGGATTGAATCATGTTTGGATGTCATTGAGTTACGATCGCGATAGATTGTTTATTTATTTCCTTCGCGAAGAGTTTACTGTGAACGAAATGAAATGGTGGCTCTGATGAAACTCTCTGTTCACACACAAACACCCTTGGACTAAATACCGACATATGTATATAATAAAAGGTTAATTAATGAGGGCGTTTCTTGGCCATTTAAACAGTAAATCAGGGATTTCATATATGTATTCATTCATGGTAACGTGCTTGAAATGGAAAGCAACTTTAAAAAAGAATGGGATTTGAAACATGGAGAACTTGTGGCGGTGGTGGTCGGACTGTACGTAACGGTAGGTGCTCTTCAAAGCCAAGCCAACAGAATATCATGGTATGGATTGATTCCGTGTGTGTGTGTTTTTTTTGTTTTTGTTTTTTGGGTCTTGTTTTGAGGGAATATTTTCTGTAATTTATTACTCACAAGCAGTGCTAAATTCATGATTTATCCACCTATGACATCATCTGTTTCATTGTCCCTTCTTCTTATTTCTCTCCTTATTTAATAAGTGACATGAGGAGAGAGATAGGAAGAAGATGACAATAAAACCGAGATAGGAAAGTTTTCTTTCCTTATTTTGATATATTTCTTTTCAGAATATTCTTTAGAAACTAAAAATCTTTTCCTCCCACAAAAACAATAGGCAATAACCTTTGCTTTAGCTGGGTCTTTCACAATATTGACATTACAATATGCAGCAGATAGGCTATGTATTAAAATACGTAAAATGTAATTTACTAATTTTAATCTCTAGTCCCCTATGCATGCTGGACAGCCACTCTCGCAATATACGCTACCAAAAACCTATGATAATATGATATAATACCTTTAAATGTTTAATAGTTTTATAATTTCTTATGTACGTACAAGGTAATGCGATAGCGGAAGGTCATACATGTTACCTTCATGTAACTTACTATAAATAAGGCCAACAAATACAAAATTGAATTTGAGAAGAACAAGGTCATTTTCTCGTTAGATCATATCTTTTATGGGAGATCCATTAAATTACTTATTCTTCTTAAAAACAGATTTACACGGTTGATTTGCTATAGGCTAACAATATCCCACGGCAAGGCAAGGCTAACAAAATCTTAGATGGGACGAGGCCCAACAACTTAGATAGGCCTGGTAAAGTTAACCTTTGAATAGAGTGTGGGCCTTGTGCATACGGTCCGTTAGAGTTAAATGACTCAATTAATAAGCACTTCTTTTCTGGTAATTACTTTTCTTCGTATTGCTAGTACTGCTAGGAAAAGAAAAGGAATAGGATGGCGATGATGGCTTTGCTTTCGGGTGACCTGTTCTGTTCAAAACAAAAACTCTTAAGTCTTTGCATAATCTAATGTCAAAGTCAATAATATCCTCAGTCATTCAATATTCAATAGAGAGCAATGGACATTTGGGTTCGTTTCTTCCCGCTATACGCGTAAAAGTTTGGTAGAAAAAACATAATTAATTAATTAATTATAACAATGCATATCACGTTACATGTTTGTTTACGTCTTTCATCAACTGTTACTTCCTAGTTCATAGATTAAGCCATGCTAAATTGCTAATGATGTCCATGGGTCAAGGTCCCCATTAATAATCTTTGAGACTGGATTATTTCTGTTTACACACGAAGACTGCCAGCTATATAGTAGCATCTTGACCGTGATATATATTTGTGGCCTATACACTACTATACCTACGTTTTTGCTTTGTAAGTACGAAAATGCCATTGACTCACCTTACAAATTACAACGGTGTGGGTTTGGTCTGGTTTGATTTGGTTTTGAGTTCAATCGGGACACCAAATCGGAGGCCTTGGGTTGTTTATTTTTGAAACCTTATATCGAATCATAACTGATGAAACCGACCAGTCCAATTAACTAGAATTTGCGGCTTGATTTGGTTTGGGTAAACATGTCAATCTTAAAACATCAAACCATAATATGGACCAAATCAACTGGTTTAGTTTGGAATTAAATAAACAATATAAATAAATAAATAAACTGAACCAAACTAGCTTGATCGGTTTGATTTAGCCAGTTTTTTGAGTTCTCTGTCTGATTGCCCACCCATCTTCGTGCTATTATTTCTAATCCAACTTTGTCTATGGATTCTTCTACAATTCAGATAGAGAGAGACTGTATATCATAGTCAGCTTAATTTAGGCTTTTTATTATTAATTTGGACCACGCACACACAACGGCACATATTTTTTTTTTTAATATATTGTATTATTTTTTTTTTTTTTTTTTTTTTTTTTTTTTTTATAAATAGGAAATTAGGTGTGGTGCATATTACCTAACCTGCTTCTGTCAGTTTGTGGGAACACCAAACTTATGTTATATATAGTTATATATATATATATATATATATCTCTCTCTCTCTCTTAAACCGCACCCCATCGTCGTCTTTATTGTGAACTAGACTCAACCATGTCTCTCTTTTTTTGTTGAGAAATTCAATGATTACATTCATAATTCAGCAAAAAAAAGGCACTAGCTACAAATGGCCAATACAAACTAGCCACAAAGTACCATTACATTAACGGAGCGGTCTAACATCAAAACTAAGACAATTTGGTGTGCCTCCATTAACAATCACGCATGATCGAAGAAACTTTGGCATATGCATTCCAACTAAGATTGAAAGCTCAGAATAATCAAAAATAGATAAAGCTTGAAAAAACCAAGCTATAACAATACAAATAAAACTCTCACAAATGAGAAATGAAAAGCTCTCACAAAGGAGAGATGAAAAGCTCTCACAAAGAAGAGATGAAAAGCTCTCACAAAGGAGAGATGAAAAGCTCTCACTATGGAGAGGTGAAAAACTCTTACAAAAGGATATGTAAAAACTACATAGAGAACCCAATGAGTCTCTGTGACTTAATCTGAATATAAAGAACCAACAAAAAGGATGGTGGTGGAGATCCGAAGCCAAAAGGCAAGTGAAGATTTGACATCGGGGCGCAATCATCTGTAATTGTTGGAGGAAAATTATAACAAAACGAAGACAAATATGGAAAACTTTTTGTCTCTAAAAATGAGGGGAAAATAGAGGGAGGAAGAGAAGAGGGGAGAAGGGAGATAAGAGGAAGAACAGTTGCTCCCTCCCCTCTCAAAGTGAAAACGACTCTAAGATACTTTTTTGGAAAAGAAGGGATAGGGTTCTACATCAAACCATGTCTCTCTATCTTGATTACCTTAATGGCAAAAGTTTGAAAATTCTCAACCATGTCTCTCTATTTCGTACAGATTAATTAGTTGGACCTCAAATTAAAGCCACTATGATTAATCTTGATATTAAAGCCTCAACCTAAATAATACTACCTTCTTTATTATGTTAATGGATTTGAACAACAATACCACTTATGTTGCAACAAACAATTATTTGATTGGACTTTGGTGCATGCAGACACTAGCTACTATGCCGGTGCCGCCTCATCAAAAAGGGAAAATTATATAATACCTAATGGTTTTGTTTGGACGGAGATGCAATGCGACCAGTGCACCATGCGAAACACACTTGAGAATTGACATTGTACAGAGAAAGTGCCACCGATTTCTTATAAAACTGGACCGCCCATTTATCGACATTTCGCCATCTTGGCCGGTGAGTCGTGCAACAAAGGCACCCACAACACACACCAATTACAAAAAAATCAATTGAATCAATACCAATTACATAAATTATCGTATGGTAACGTAGTTTATGTGGTATAATTCATTTATATGTTATAATACAAGTGGTGGTCAAATATTTCTTATATTATAATATGAATGGACAACGTAATTAATATTTCCTATTTTTAAGGTATAATGCTATAAAGATTTATTTATATTATAAGACGTATATAAATTATACCACGTGACTGTGGTACCAACCAAACTATAAGAGCATTCATAGTGGGAGGATGTATAATGAGGTGTATGTTAAATATACACAATTTGTTATCGGAATCACCCGCAATGGAGAGGTGTAAATTTGCATCACCACCATGAGATGCAAATTTAAATGCACACATATATATATATATTTTTATATCTCTTGCAGGTGGGACATACATGAGAAAATGTGAGAAAAAGTGGACAAAAGTGGGACATACAATAGAAAAGGTGAAAGAAATCAATTATACATATTCTCCACTGGAGCAAAAATCACGTTTACAACTCCTAAAGGTGTGAAGGATATGTAAAAGTGACTTTACACCCTCGAAAATACACCATCCCACTGTAGATGCTCTAACTACTCCAGCTGAAGACTAAAAAATACAAAATTCTAATAAAGTCTTGTCGCGTGTGAAGATCCGAATGGTGGAACCGTCAATTCTCTGACCACCACAAATTTTGAACCGGGACTGAAAGTAAAATAATGGATCACATTGTCCTGGGGCTCGCCTGCACCAGTGAGTCAGCCATTTCAATTCCAATCTTATTTGAAACCTTATGTTTAAACTTCCCACGAGGTCCCGCTACGCTTTTCTGACGTGGAGCGAATATCGCTGCCGCTATACAGACCCAGTCGTTATCTTCCACATCAGTCTTCGCAACTAAACCCCTTTTTCTATAATTTCGAGCATATTCCCCACTTGTATTATCTTTTCCTGCACTTTGCCTTTATAAAAGCCCAAAAGCCCCACCCTTCCCAAACCTCCTCCCTCCTACACTTCATTCTCCTCTCTTTCTCTATCTCTGTCTCTCTCTGTCTCTGTCTCTCTCTGTCTCATGGAAATTCCAGTAGTGAACAGAATAAGCGATTTTCAGTCCCGCATAACCTCGCTGCCGGACCCATCTCTTTTCTCACAGGCCTTTTCGATTTCCGTCATCGAAAGGGTCTCTCAAGCTTGCAGCTTTTGGAAATGGGGAGCTCTCATCATCGCAATTCTAGCTTCCTTCGGCACCATACTCACTAAAATAAACATTTTTATTACCAGACTCCGACGCCTAGGAGTTTTAAGCTCCCAGGCTGTTTCCCAGAAGCTCCAAGACGACGATTTCTCCGACATCGACGACGATGATGACGATACCTGTTCTATTTCTTCCTCCTCCTCCTTATCCGATGATGAATTAGAATCCGATTCCGAGATATCGTACGATAACGCCGGTACTCCCAGTGCCAGGGATGAACATTTCCTAGTCAGGGGCTCTGGTTATTACGGAGACGACCGAGAGCAGAATCGTAATTCGACGCTCCGCCGGCGCCGAAGCTTCGGAGGACACCACCGGTTCTCTTGGTCCGACTTCACCTCCGGCAAGAGTGTCGTCAAGCTCTGGGACACGTCATCGCCGGCCACGTTTCTATCTGCGGACACAAGTGTCTCGGGGCGTGCGTCAATCGGTGTATGGGACACGCGCGTCGGATGCCGGTTTCCGGCAATACTCGCCGATTGGGGCCCGCAGCTCGGTAGAATCGTTGGAGTCGCGTCGGGCGGCGTCGAGAAGCTTTACGTCAAGGATGGCGTCACGGGGGCCTTGACGGTTGGTGACGTGAGGAAGGCGGAGTCGCCGTTACGGAACGTAACGGACGCTGACATGGATGACACATGGTGGGACGCTGACGCCGTTATTGCGACGGACGGGCGTTTTGACGAGTCAGCCGTGAGTGGATGTGACTGGGCCGTCACGCGGTGTTGTAGCGCTGTTAGATCTTATCTGCTGTAATTTTGTAATTGTAAAAGTGGGAAATAACAGATGTCAAATAATGCAAGGTCATTATTTTTGTAAATATATTATTGTTTCCCTATTATTTATTTTTAATCAATATTGTTTTCCTATGTTTAAGATTTATTTTCTTTTTGATTTGTTATCTTAGTTTGTAATTAACAGATAAAATGGGATATTGCAAGCTTCTTTGTAGCTTCCTGGTGATGAGCGGAGTCATTGTTTGCCACGTGTTTTCGTTGTTTTAAGTAAATTGTTAAATTATAAAAATAGACAAGTCGTTACTGCTTTTAAATCAATTGACAGCGAGCACCATCTAAATAAAAAACTAGAAATTAAAATATGCATCACGTGCAAAAAATAAAAATAAATAATTGACTCTTTGTTTGCGTGAAGTGGTTCCAATACATTTGTCATTTCCGTTGTTTGAATTTAGGATTTTTCTAAGAAATTCAAATTCTAAGGCAAACTAGTACAGTCAGGGAGGAGGAGAGGATTATATTATGATTTTAACTCAAATGATGTTATTATTGAATGAGAAAATGACAGGTTATATATACACACACATACAACAAAAGATAAATTCACCTTATTTTTACTTGATTGAACATAAGTCATATTTTAAATAGAGAGCTTCTATGTGCAAACAATACTGAGTCCTTAAAAAGACATTGATTTTCTCATTTTCCCTTCATTACAAAACTTCGGAGAAAGAGGAGAGAGGGGGCGAGAGAATCTCACGAATCAAATGAATAGGTGTATTTTTGTAAATAATTGATGCATGTATTTGGATAGGGACGCATTGTTGGAAAGTTAAGTTTTCCCTTATAAAATTAGGTAGCAATAATGCCATGGTTTCTTGGACAAATGAATTAATTTTGTTGTTAGGAATACAGTTATCATAATGTCGTGCTCTACGTTTAATAAATATTAATGGGTTGGCACTCTGGCGTTTGAGAATTGAAGTAATTAAATTAGAAAGAACACAGCTTGAACAAAATATTTGCTCTATCTTTCTTTCCACACAGCTTCCTTTTGTCGATGTTAAGGTTGGTTGAGAAATAGATAACCCATTTGATTCTCAAGGAAGAAACATCAGAACTCAAAGACACATATATATTATACATAACTTGGAAGTTTAATAAGAATATTTTGTTACGCAACGATGAGCATACTTTATCCTAAAAACAAAGACAACTACACTTTGTCTTCTACTTACTTTGGTCATAAATCAAATGAAACTTGTATACCATAAGTTACCCAGTTACGTGACCATTTTCAATTTTTCTCACCAAAACGAAAACGCAACGTTTTTGAATTTCTACTTTCTTCGAGCACCATGCGCCTCTGAATGTGTAGCTTTGGACAAAATCCACGGACCAATAAAAAAAAAGGTATTTGGGTTTCTTCGTCGATAGTATCTTTTTCGGGCTGAAGTTATGTTTTTGGGCCCAAACTGGGAGACTGGTGGGCCTTTCCTGTTATCAACTCAAGCTATTTCCATTAAGTAGACATCCCCATGCAGTGAAATAGAAGTTTCTTGGATCATTCTATTGTTATTTGATTTCTATTATAAAAATAAGGTTGGATTACGATTAAGGATTACTCACATGGAGAGAGATATTCTATAGTAAGGGTTTTATATATGGTCATTTGGTGAGGTCCTATCTCTTAACCATTTGATTATTGTAACTAATTTAATTTAACGGTTAAGATATAAAGCCTCACCTAAGGACCATATATAAGGCCTTAACTATAGAATTCTTTTACTCATGTGTTTACTTCACACAAATGAATGAAAATGAAAGTGGTGCTAACACAAAATTAGGAATTCAACTCCTAATTTTGAGGAATTTGACCCTTGGATGGGAGATAGTATTTTAATTCCTGGACAACTAACCCATCAATAATCCATATTTTTACTCATTAAATCCTCATACAATTTTTCATGTACTTTAATCCAACAACATCCACATTTTAGTAATCAACTGGTTTCAATTATGATTCATGGGAATGTGGTAAACAACTTAAAAAGAATCAATATTGTTCTTCTCCCGATTCTAAATAATTTAATACACATTTTCAATGAGAATATGAATTCTAACCCTTCCTCATCCGATTGCGCATTAGTAAACATGCCAGAAATGTAAAATTAAGTTTCAATTTTATTTCATCTGGTCTGGTCGACATTAATAGTGTATTAATATTGAATCAATCTATCGGTCCCGAATTTCATCGTAAACCTTGTGGACGTTAACCTAGAACATTGATGAATTGGCTACTGTCTAGTCGTGGCTTCTTTAAGCCAAAATACTTTTGAAGAATGCTCATGATATGTTTGTTTATTGGTCAGGTCAAGAGTTGAGGCTGTATATAAAATTGTGTGGGTGGGGGGAGAGGGTAGTTGCACAGGAGTTTCCTTCTCTCCTTGTGCAGAGCAGTTTGTGCTGAAGAAATATACATGTATATAATATATATATATATATATGTATGTACCCAACCCAGAATCTTATAAAACTTGAGAAGGGCTATTTATAAATGAAACAGGCTGCAAGTAGGAAGAAACTAATTAAGCCAATAATAAGCATAGCTAGTGAACGCATCTAAATTAAGAAACACAAATGAAGAAAACAAGAACCAATGAATCAATTATTATTTCAGCTATGGACAATGGACATAAAATCCAAAAAATAAACAGATAATTAACGGATCAATTAAACAATAAATCAAAGTTTGCTGCTGCTGCTGCTGCTTATGAATGAATGAATGATGTCAATACTCTGTGAGTCCCTTGATGAACTTGAACATGGAAGGAGAAATGGAACCACCCACGTTAACATTGGGAGACGCATGCGACGACGAATCTGAGAATCTGTACAGAGGCCGAGGGGAGCAGAAGAAATCAGTCGAAGAAGTCGAAGTTGGCGTGAACAGAGGGATGTCTGCAAAATAGGGCTGGTTTGGGTGGCTGAACATGGCATTGGGAGGATAATATCCACAAGACGACGATGAGCTGCCTCTGTTTCCTTGATGATGAACAACATCAACATTCTTGTTATTATTATTATCACAATTCTCATCCGTGAGACCCGAGGACGACTGATCATTGTCATCATGGCTGCAGCTGCTAATTATAGACTTACTTGCAGTACTATTCATGTTGTTAATGTCGATGATCTGGTCATCTTGATTTCTTCGCCCCTGCGACAATGACGAAGCGTCCACCTTTGCATGAACATGATCATCAGTAGTAGTAGTAGATTCAGGTTGTTGGGTTTGGTCGAGGCCGGTGAGTTTTTGGACCAAAGCCATGAAATCACGTGCCTGGGCGTGGATGATCTTGGGAGATTGGGTGTAAATGATCACCGGCTGCCGCTGTTGCTGGTGGTGTTGTTGGTGTTCATGGGCATGTTGTTGATTGGCCATGCGGGAAGAGGAATTATTATTGTTGGGAGGTTTTTGAATGAGATAGGAAGCCTTGTTGATCTTCAATGGTGAGGGGCGGTTGCCATTCATCATCATCATCTGATCTTTCCTAACTGAATGTTGACGATCCTCATCCAGCTGGAGCTTTGCAGGGTTCATTGTGAATCAGTTGCCTCAGCTAACTAGTCTTAATAATTACCTAAAAAAGGAAATCAATCAGTTAATTAAGAACTAATTACGATGTCGAAAGGGTCACTGTATATATTAGAACCTATTGCTTATCAAAGAGAGAGAGAGAGAGGGAGAGAAATGGGATATAACATTTGCTTAGAGGGAGGTAGAGATGGGATATATAGAGAGCAAATGGAGAGAGATGAGATTAAGGCAAGCCAACTATTCTGACCGTTGACTTGACAATATTGACATAGATATCATCAGCGGGGAATATAATTAAAAAGATGGATGGGGGTGATCCATGTTGAATTGCAAAATGGTTGTTACTTGCTATGGTTTAGAGAGAGAGAGAGAGAGAGAGAGAGAGAGAAGAGTCGTTAGATGTTTGTAGGCTTTTCCAAGTTTTGAGTTTTTGGTTGTCCTCTCGGGCGCATTTGTCGGCTGCCCCACGCAACGCCGGCGCAGTTGGCGCTTGGTCAAGCAAGACTCTTTTTTTTTTTTTGTCATTATTTATTCTTTCACTTTGGCTTTTTGCATGCCTGGTTGAGGTTTCACATTATATATGGGATGGGAGATGGGTGGCTCTCTTCTCTATATCAAAAGATAATAATATATAAAAATGTTATTGCTTGCTGGGCTGGGAGGGAGATCCTTTTAGCAATTAGTTTAATTAGCTGAGTTATAGAGAGCTTGTGCCACTTGTGCTGAGCTTCCACCTTATTTTCTCAAAATAATGGGCGTCAATTTTGGGAAGTTCCGTTTATTTAGTTTAGTGAATGGAAGGCAAGTAAGACTTGGGGTTTGCATTTGCCTCCACAAGCTACAACTTACCAGCGCCCATCATCAGTATACTGTATATACAGTATGTATACGGATACTGCTTCGACTTTATATACGCACGTGTTGTGACTTTAAATATGACAATTTTTTATCTAATAACTTGATACATTATACATAGCCAGCCCTATCCAGTACAAACAAACAAACCAACAAGCTCAAGCTCAACCTCATTCAATTCCAGGCAAATCTCCTTTCTTTCCTGTTCAACTTTTGGGGATGACAAGTCACCTCTGTCAGCCTCAACTAGTCAACTTCTGGCTCATAAAAACTTGGAGCCTTTTTAAAATTTTGCCACTACTTTACATCTTGAGCTTTGACTAATTGGGATATCATGTTTTCTCCTCTACAATTCAATGTTATCATCATAGTCTTGAGTCTTGACCTCAATATAAAGTCAAACTCTTCCAGTTTTTTTTTAATGCTTTGCTTGTGTTGTTTATTTTTATACTCTGGTCAAAACCAAAACATTTGAAAAGTATAATTCTACTCAAATTAATATCTTATTCTCATTTATGTCCCATTATGACCAAAACCAAAATATTTGCTTGTGCTGATTTCAAAAGTTAACTAAATGAAAATACAAAACAAAATAGCTGGCTACATTACATAATTAAACTTGTCCATTTACCCCTCTGCTTCACATTTCATCAGGAAGAGAATTAAGTACAATCCCAAATCAACCTAATAACACTCCAAATTCATATAAGAGAGTAACACGTACAATATAAAACTTGGTTTAGTAAAGTTTACCACTAGTTTAACCGAGGCTCTCGGTTGGATCAATACGGTATTAAAAAATTAAATAAATAATTGTCAAACCAAAACAAACCGTGGGTTTAGTATGCTAAGTATTCGGATTGATGGGCATAAATGTCCAACTCTACTCTAAGATCCGTTCTAAATATGACAACTTGTAAACCTGGTGATAAGTAATATAATGTTAAAAGGTTGCCGATATTGACATATAGAAGTTATGTTCATAATCCATGCATGCCTATCCATTATAAATATTAATACAAACAAACATTTTCCCAGTGTATGATGTGGTTTTCTTGCAAGAAAAGTAATGGGTCCGATAGCTATGTTCATAATCCGTACATTTATAAATTTTGGTTTGGAGCTAAGAGATGACACAGTCTTTGTACGTAGGTGGGCTTAGTGCATAACTCTATTATTTATACTATTAAACAGTCAAAGTCTGATCCAAAACTCTTTGTAATTCAGCCCATTATATTTCAACTGGACCAGGTTTATAATGTTGAACAGTAGCACAGCAGGTAGCAAATATATATTTCAAAACTACTACTTGTCATCTCCTTTGTTTGCCGTTTAGAATGTTAACTAGCATTCGCATCAAGCAACTAATGAAACGCGTTTTCTTGACCACGAAAAGAGACTAATATAATGATTTGCGTAATTTGAATATGATTTTGGTGTGTTTGTTTAAAGTCCAAGTGCCGCATTACATACTTCTCTACACTTTCAATTTTATTTCCAAGTTTGTCAAAGGTCAAGTTCTGCTGCGTTCCTACCTTAAACCAACTTTAATTTTTTTTCTAAGTAATTATACCTTACCAAGAGATGAAAAAAGGGGCAAACAAAGGAAAAGTTTAGCAAGAGTTCCCCAAGTTTCAATTACCCACCTAATTAAATACGAAAAAATTTGCCACATGCATAAATCTCTTGCGTAGCATTTTTCCGAGAACAGACCACACAACTATGTCAATTACGTCGCGGAAGCCCATTGGCCGGGCCTCTCCTATCTGAGTAGCCCATTGGCCCAGTAACCTGTCCAACTTGGTTGTGGTGGCATTGGCAATTTGCAAACCCCCACATGGTTCTCATTGTGTTGTGCTTGTAAAAAAGTCAGAGAGGCAACAGAAGCAGCAGCCTGTAAGTTTTACTCTTCCACAAATTGAAAACTGGAATGGAAAACATGGAGTGGTGTTTCAAACAGACTCACCACAAACCAAGAATGTAGTAAATAAAATACACTTTTTTGTTCATTGGTATGTTAAAAATAAACAATTTGAGTTATAGGATCATGCGCAAACCAAACCAAACCGCACGCGCACTCTCTCTCTCTCTTCCATTCTTCTTCTCTCGGTCCGTAAGAATATGATCATTGATCAGAGGAGCAGAAGAGCAGAGGAAAGAAGGCCCTTTCTCTCTTTTTGGTTTTGCCTACAAACACGAAGCCATCATGCGCTCCGAGTCTAGGCATATTCATTTACCCATAGTACAATAAGTGGCTCACAACACACACATATTCATTTTATTCTTAAAATATGAATAAACACTTCTCGTTCTCGATGCTTTTGTCTTTCACTCTTTCGATCACTCCTCTCCTTGGATCTCCCGATCCCTTTTAAGCATTGCCCTTTCTGCCATTGATTTATTGTTTCTGTGTTCTGTGTTCTGTGTTCCATTATGACCAAAACCCACTTCCCACTTTTGTTTTTCTTCTAAAGAATAATTAGTTCCTGGCTTAATTACCCCAAATTTAATTAATTAAATCCCCCATAGCTGTCTAGCTAGTTGCTAGTTTGGTGAAGAAGGCTTGGTTGTCCGACTGGTACATACACTAAAGCTAATGCGACCCATGATTTTGACTATTCATCCATTTCCCTCCTCCTCCGTATGATGTATATAGTAGCTTGGTGGACCAACCTGAACCTACATATCATAAATATTACGGTGGTTCAGTGGTTGTTGTTTTGTGATTTGTGTATGAATGATGCTTCTGACTTGAGCACAAACATACAGACATACTCAGAAAGTGTAATAATATTAATAATTCTACACGCATGTTTTGTGTTAGTTACGAGATGATCATCAGCAGCAGCAGCAGCAGCACTCATTCATGGTCCCCCAAGAAGAGTTTCAATTAATTAATTAAAACTACTTTTCTTAATTAATCTCTCATTTTGTACGTGCCATTTCATGCGCATTGCACATGCTTGCTAGCTGCTGCATCTTCCTCCAAATTTTCCAGTTCAGAGAACTTAACCTCTTTGATTGTCCCCAAAGCTTTCAACTAATAATTGGTCGCCAAGAATATGAAGCTTGTCTAATAATAATTCATTCTTCTCAAATATATAATACGCTGTCATTCACGCATTCTGGCCTCGGACTCAGTTGTTGATTATACAAATAATTTTGAATTTTATGTCCACTAGAAATTGTCCCCCCTCTTGTAACTTGTATGGCACCATTGTCCCCTTCTCTTGTCACTGTCAGCCAATTTGCATCCGTCTTTCAATAAACAACACAAATCTTCCTTCTCCATGAGCATATTCTTGAACCAAAATCGTTCTCATTAGTTATTGTAATTAGCACTAAACACGTAGCTTTTCCTTAAAATCTAGTGATTTGAGTGGCAGAGACGCAAGAAACAGTTGCTCTAGCAGAAATTTGATGGGTTCCTTCCTTTCCTAGGCACCCAATTTCATACTAAATAAATTGGTTTTAATAAGAAGACCATGTAATTTGAATTTGCTCCCCACACAGATATGTCATACGAGTACCAACCCAATTACACGTATCTGGGGTTTTCCCAGAGAAAAGAAAAAACAACATTTTGAGGGGTTTGGATAACGACCTTAAAAGGATCATTCATCTCATCCTTAAACCTCACATCATCACATCACATCACATGATCACATCACAAGAAGCTTCTATGACTAATTGTTTCAGAAGATTCAGAACCGTGAACGCAAAAGAATGGCCTTGTTATCTGTAACTGGTGCCCCATCAACAACAATGCCCAAAAACTCACTTGCTTCAAAACAGAGTGTTAAGCTTTTAGGGGAAAATCTTGCATATAATCTGAATTTGCAATTACAACGTGCTAAGTTCCATTCTTTTAAAACCTTTCCACTTGAAATGTATCAACTTAATTGATGTTCTGATGCTCAGAAACTCTGAGATTTCATCACTCTGCTGCTGGTGCTGGCAACAAATTGACAAGTCATGACTTCCCATTCTGGATAGACAATTCCAATTACATATGTTGATTGAGCAGAGTAAATGTTGAGAAATGGAAAGAAAGCATCATCCTAGCCTTCACTTCATAGTTCATATCCCTGTCCTAGTTATAGATTAGCAACTCTGCCATTAATATTTGTCAAAGACTCGGGACTTGGGATATCACACACTTTCCAAAATTCTGTCACCCAATTCACAAGGCACAGAACCAACCTGGTCCTCCATCAGTCAATTGTTCTTTGAATTGGGTTTTAAAAACTGATCATTAGCATAATGAGAATCTCAAAAGAATAAACAGAAACTTGCCGGAGGAGGAGACTAGGAACGTGTGTGTGTTTGATATAATCGACGGACGGTGACGGACAAATTATATGTATCTAATAAGATGTTTCTTTTTTATGTTTTATTTTATCAGATCATTCTGGCATTCTACGAGATCTAGAGAAGAATCTAGTAAATTACAAAATCTCCAACTCGTTTGCCACCACCTTCAGTCTTCAGAGAATCGGACCCCTCACCTCTCACCTCACTGGCATAATGGCAAAATGGCATAATGGCATAATGGCATTTGACATACAGGAAGAAGACAGTTTGATTAGATTTCCCCCTTTCTTTCTAGATCGGAAAAAATCAAATGTTAGCTTCAGCTACTGCAACAAATTCCATTTTCAATTACACGCAAATACCTGACTGACAGACTACTTATTCCCTCCCTCATTTTCTAATATAAAATCCAGGCTATTTCTAATTTTCTATGCACATACTTTGAGTGGTATTCTATGTCATCGTCACCAAAAATATAAAACGAAAAACACAACAAAAATTTATATGACTCTAGGAACTGGGAAGAGTTGAGTGTGTGATTTGCTCGTTACTAACACACTAAATATGTGATTAAGAGACTTCCTAAACAAATTGATACAAACACAATTCACAGAATTTTCCTAATTAAGGTTGCGGAATTCAGAAAAACTCTTTTGCTTCCCAAAATTTTTGTTTCTCTCTTTTCTTTTTTTTCGTCTCCCGGTTTCTTGTATATGTGTTTTTTCCTCTTTTTCCACTCCCCTCCTCCCAAACCAAAAATTTTGTAACCCACTCCACTCTTCATGTTCTATTCTACTACACTGTCGCGTTGTCCCGAGCTCGGTCCTCAAGTCCCCAAGTCCATTCTCACCTTTTTTTTTGTTGGCGCGTATGGGAATTGGGAAGTAGAGGTGCAGAGGAATCTTTCCCCAAAATTGTTAACAAACTAAAAACTCGGAGGAAATTTAAAAAAAAATAGGTGTATAGCTGGAAAAAGCTGTAAGACCTACTCCTCCAAGAATTGCTTCACAACCTTCACGCTTGGTTTGACAACCTGCCTCTCCCATATCTCTGACCACCTCTTTCCGTCGTCCTCATCCGACGACGTCGTCGCAACCACCGCCCTAAACGCCTCCGTTGCATCTAGCCTCTGTAGGTCCCACCCTCCTCCCTTCAGCCGTACGATCTTCTCTATCTGCCTCTTCGCCAGCTGACACGTGTTCTCCTTGATCGCCCTCACCGCCTCTTCGTATGCTTTCCTCCGCTCCCGATCATCACCCTCCCCGCCCCTCCCCTGCGGTGGATACCTTTTAAAATACCTAGTGAACTCGGGCACCCCAATCGCCTTTCTCAACGCTGTCTGACTCGTCGTCGATTCGTCTTCGTCCTGGCGATCCGGGTCGCAGAACTCGGCCAACTCGTCCAACATCCCCGAGTCGAGCATTTCGTCCACTCGCTTGCACAAGTACTCAGTCAAGACCGCCAACGACACGTCCACCCACAGAAAACAGCAATTATACCTGAGCTCGGAAGAGACAGAGGCGTTGAAACCTGGTTCGAAGACATTGGAGCCCGGTTCGAACCGGTCCACGAGGAGCGCATGAATGAAGGAGTTGGAGCCGCCGACGAGCATCGGCACCTTCCTTCGATTCGTAATGCTGGAAATGGCTTGACCGGCCACGGCGCGAAATTGGCCGGGCGTAAAATCGCCGTGGCGAGGGTCGAACTCCCCGAGGAGATGGTGGGGGACGCCAAGGCGGTCGGGGATGGGAAGCTTGTTGGTGGTGATGTCGAGGCCGGCGTAGAGTTGCATTTTGTCGGAGTTGACGATTTCGAAGAAAGGGAAGCGGGTGGCGAGGTCGAGGGAGAGGCGGGACTTGCCGGCGCCTGTGGCGCCCATGATAATGAGAAGCTTGTCCTTGCGCTGTTGTTGTTGGCGTGGGGTGGTGGGGCCGGAGGCCATGTGGGCCCCCCGGCGGGGCTTGTTGTGGGGGAGAGGATGATGATGGGAAGGAGTGGTGGGGCAGAGGTGGTTGACCGGCGGGAACAAGTGGTAACGAGAGATATAAGAATAGAAATTGAAATTGAAATTAGAATAATGGTGGTGGGAGTGAGTTGGGAAGGGAATAAGTGTCATAGGTAGAGAAGGACAGGCTGTGTTTTGGTGAGCTGGGTATAATATTAGCTGCACTGCGCACACACACTGTCCACGCTTGTACGGACTGATAACGGAAAAGAGAGAGAGTGCTTGTTATAATTTGTGTGTGGGTGGGGTGGGGGGGGGAGGGGGAGGTACAGCCTAATTTGTGATAACGATGATCAGTACTAGCAGTCAGGACCGGACAGTACAAAAACCTGTTGGTTGCTGATGGCGGTGGCGGTGGTGCTGGTTGCGGAGGCGGTGGTAGAGGAATAATGATCATATAGTATTAGAAGACCAAGACGAAACGACTGAGGAGTATGAAGGAAACGGCAGTGGAATATGGAAAAGCGGAGTGGTGTTTTTTTACTGGAGCTGTTCTCTACTGGACTACATATATCGTATTCCAGTTTGTTCATACTCCCCCTCTCCGTCCGTGCTTCTCTGCTCTCTCTCTCTCTCTCTCTCTCTCTCTCTCTCTCTCTCTCTCTTTGTGCGTGTGTGTTCTGGCTCTTCCACCATTCCCTCACGCCATACCTTTCTCTTTATAAATATATATACAACCCTTCCCTTTAGTGCCATAACTCGTCAACATGTTTGTATATTTTCTTCTTGACAAAGTTAAAATATAAATAAATTTAATGTAAGCGGTTTTTAACTCAAGTGATTAAGAGGAATTTCCTCATCAATATCGCTTATATATAAAATAAAAATAAAAAATAAAAAGCCAAAAATGGGGTCATGTTTTTCACTAGTTCACCATCCCCGCTCTCAACCATGGGCCCGTTGAAAGTAGAATACAAGTGCAAATACATACCAAATTCTAATAGTTGATAACAGACATTATTTGAACATTTTTTATTAAAATATAATAACGATTAAGGTAATAACAAGCATCATATATATATATATATATATATATATGAAAGTTGAAACACACCGAATTTATCTCTTCTTTTTTGGCAAGAACATGACACACATCAATTCCTCTGTCACGTTCAACCAATAACCTCTTTCAACACAAAAGTCATATACTCATATTCTCAAGTCAAATCAAGTTAAAAGAATTATTTTTTTTCAAACAACAAACAGAGATTCAATTCAAGCATCAGGTTTAGAGAGAAAACTGATGATGCATGAATTTGCATATTGCTAGTAAATGAACTATACGATGGCATTATTATTGTCAAAGTGTCATGAGAATTCAATACAAGATGAATGTTTTTACTTGTAACTTGTTATATTATTTTATTTAAAGTCTTCGAAGCCTAATTATTTCGATCTCTCTCCCTCTCTTTCTCTTGACCTTTTAATATTGCATAGTCCAACCCTTCCGTAACGATCAGATGCATGCTCCTCACCCTTTTATGCCTTAAAACCCCAGTTATTATTAATGGAGCAGAATTTGACATTACAGATAGAGATAGAGAGGTTGCTGCATGCCATCCGGGGTTCAAAGCCTGCTGGCCCAATAATGGTTCTTGTTTTCAATAATAATCTTGATTTTTGTTCTTAATAAGGTTGAGATTCTACTCCTCCTCCTCATAACATATGTGATGACAAACTCATTTCTCTCTACCCAGAATGTGTTGAGAGAGAGAGAGAGAGAGAAGAGTGACTTGTACTCAAAATCGATGTTATTTCTATAGTGGAAAATTATGTTCAAACAAGGGGGCTTCTAAATATTCTCGCTTGCGTGCACATACACTACACCCCCGTTCAGTGTTTGCTAAGTAAGTTGACCCCAACCCAAATTGTGTTCCGCTTCTTCTTTTTTTATGGGCATATCCTAATGTGATTCATTAATTCACTAAGTATATGTATTATATATCCAGTTGTATTTTTCTGGAATTTTTAATTCCCTTCCATGGTTACGATAGGTAGGTTTGGTAGCAATATATGTTATGTTTGCCGGCCAGTGGAAGTTAGATGACGCAAACATCAACCGGGAAGGATTGAGGATATGGATACATTTGGCCACCTGGAAGTAGATACAATCATCCTAAAATAATAATGTTAAGTTAACCAATGAATCTTATTACGAGCTAAATTAGCAGCAAGCAAAAGAACAAAAACAAGATGATATATTATGTTATGACATAGGAAAGATTAATAACATTGGGCCGGGGTTTCTTATGATCACGACTGTGTTGTGAATTGTGAACATGCCTCTGTATATGAGTGCTGCATGCGAGCGTGGGCTTGACTTGAGCTTGACGATGGCGTAGGTGATTGGTGGTGTGTGTTGTGAGGCTCTTCACGATGACAGAGGGCGTGACTCTCTCTCTCTCTCTCTCTCTCTCTCTCTCATGGCCCTATGTATATATTAAAGCGTTATGTTGCGCCGTATGGTTACATGTTTGTTTTTATGTTTCGGCCTTGTTTTTGCTTGTGTTGCATTTCTACAATCTCTCCATTTAATGCATCACTTCCATTAGTTCATTATTGATGTTTTTTTTTCTAAGGATACGTTGGTAATATCGGCCACCTTTGAGAAAATGAAAATTAAGAGAAAGATTATGCTTTTAGTATGATTAATCGCCAATGGTCTTCGTATCATGTCAAACTCATCATTTTCATCCCTAAACTTCAAAATCAATTAATGTTGTCCTCATTCCCTTGCTCCGTACAAGAATGTCATCCACGACGTCAATTCAGTTTAAAATTCTATTAAAACGAAATGATGAGTGTGGATTGGAAAAAGAGTAAGGGGTAGACGTTGGCTAGAGAAGAGGGGACGGGCATGGGAGTGTGGACTGGGGGAGGGGGGGAGATAAAAAGAGAGGGGTGATAATGGGTGAGAGGAATTTTCAATGAAATTGACTCGAGAATGATATATTAATGTACATGATAAGAGAATAAGGATAACATTGATTAGTAAGTTTAAGAATGAAAATGTTGAGTTTGACATGATATAAGGACCACATAGACATATGATATAAACTTATAAAAGAAACAGTTAAATTCTAAACCAATTATTTTTTTGATACCATTCATATCTAGGCGACAGTTGAAAGAAAGAAAAAGAAAAATAACAAGAAACGAGTTAGAATCTAATGTTGCAATAAAAAATAAAATGAAAAGCCAAATACAAAGCAATCATGAATCCCCAACTTATGCAAAGTCATTTCAAGAAGAAAAGAATGGCATCGAGTATATTAGCTGAAAAGGGGTCAGATAATTGAACTGCTACATACCTTACAAGCATGGCCTTGCATAGCATGCAGTAGTCTTTACACGATATTGTCCTCGTTATGTCATGTGTAGGAAAGTATCAACGACTCTAAAATAAAAGAGACGAACGTTGTTTTGTACCATTTAATCAATCGAACATGCAGGAATTGATTGGTGTCACATCAGACTATCAGACGAATTCAGAGACAAATAATAGACGTGTAGAAATGTGGCGGCTGGATATCTTATATCATAGGATTCACATTAATTTAGCCATAACTAGTTAAAATGTGTCCCCAACATATTTCATGTGCGTATCCAAATAAAAAAAAATAAAAATCATGTGTGTGATGATGTATATCAAATTATTTTTGTCAAAGATATATATCATCTTATGAAGCTCAGATTATACTATTTCTCGGTTAATAGATGATTAATTTAAAAATTATATAAGACAAGTGCTAGAATTTGACGTTCACCTATCAAATGCATCAAATGCGCTATCGATACGAATATTGATGTTATATCATAATTTCAAAAAAGACTATATAAAGCTAAAAAGCAAAGGGCTGATGTGGTGGTTGGTGCAGCAGTTTTTTTCTTCACCTTCCTTGCACACGATCTTGTAAAGTCGGTCAGTCCTATAGTATCATTCGGAGTTGGTTTGGGGTTTGCCGCGCCCCGATTGTCACATTTGAAAGAGTTGAAATTTCAATAGCCAAAGCCAATAACAAGATGGATGCATGTAGAAAGTTGGTAACGGGGGATTAGAAATTCTAGGTTTTAGATTGTGCATTAAGTGTTGCAAGATTTAGAAGCCCAAAAGATCCAAGTCGGTGTTGAAAAGGTGGGATTGAAATCATGATCAGCATTGAACGCTTCTCCCCTTGGTACGAAAATTTCTAACTAAATAAACTACAATTTGCACTGGATCCCCCAAACCATGACAATGACTAGTAATTAGATATGACTGAGCCTGACGGCAAGGAATATGAGATGGCGATGCACAACTTTAATGATTTATATCTTAAAAAGGAGGAGAATTTTAAGCTACCGGAGGGATCCTCATAACGACTTTTAGGCTTCGATGGGCCTCAGTCAGTTTTATCTTTTGATTTCTTTATTATATACTACAATTGAATTGAATATCTTTTTTTAAATTAATCATCTGGAATGATATGGATTACGGCCCCTTTAAGATTTGATCGTGGCGGGGCTTAGTCGATCCATCGTATTATTAGTAGGACTCATTTGGATGTCAAGTATTTTTTATCTTTTCCTTTCCAAATTTGCGCATGCAATTCATCAAGCAGCCAACGAACCACATGTTACGCGTGCTTCAAAGAATACACGTACTCTTACTACATCAAGATGATATCAAGCTTTAATAAGATAAGTAAAGTGATTACTAAAAGCTACATAGACCCACACTAAAAGAATTTAAGATTGTGTCAAATGCGATTTGATCGTAGCGGGAGAGTTTTTCGATGCGACATCATTTGACAATGTGACCGTCCATAACACCAATCACTTTCTCATAAAGTTGTAGGTGATATGGATATATAATACTTTCCAAGAAGTTCCTAACAAATTTCATTCAAAACGCATAAAATAGCTGATTAAGTTTACAAACTCAATAGGAATCCAAAGATTTGTTAATTAAACTGACATCAACATCTGGCCAACCATACATAACCATATATACATCAATCCTAATTCTTGTACTACAGTGTACAACTGCGTACCTAAATTAAAGGCATGACAATCGGACACATGTACACATTATAACAATTTTCCATGTGTGTACCTGATAGATGCACCTACTTCTCTGGCTATGAAAACGGGAAATGATAATCATGCCACTGAGCTGAGCGGCCAACGATTTTCCAACTGTTGACTGGTTGAATGCTTTTTCAAGTTGGAAAATCACCAAATAACTCTACTTAGTGACTTCATTTTCATTTCATTTCCAAGTCCTCCACAAAATTTGACCAACTATAGATATAGTGACGTGGGCTTCTCCATCAGCAAATCAGAGATGTGGATTCAATTCCCTTCTTTCCTGGTAGAATCTTCACTTCACACACGTTGTAAAAAGTCAGTTTGCCCCCAAAGAAAAAAGAAGAAGAAAACGAGAGTTCGTCGTATGTTTGATCCGTTCAAAATATTTGCATGCGTCGAATCAGTTTGGTGTATAATACTGTTCCTAAACTGTGAAGATCAATGTTCTGTGTATTTTGTTTTTGGTGGGTAGGAACAAAGATTAAATCAATCGGGTCAGCAAGTTTTGGATTTCATTTTACATCAGAAGAGAGGCAGCCGTTGACTATTTATTAGTACAAGCCAACTCCAAATCACAGCCCTGAAAATTACTTTACTAATAAATCACATGCATGACAAAAGAGACGGACAGAGATAAACCAGATTACATAAATAAATGACCCAATTATACTCTTTTATTTTTTCTTTCTTTTGGTGAACGACACGGGTTATGCTTTTTTCTTTAATTACACAAACTTGTTTAGAGTATGTCCACTTGGCGTAATCACTGGTTTACACTGCACTTGTTGGTCATCTCGACTTGGGCCGCCGCACTTATCATGATCAAGTGTTTTGTTTAGTTTTTGAAGAGAAGATTAGGTAATTAAATCGTTATTTAAAGCTAAACATAATACGTACAAAGCATGTAATGTTAGTTTATGGAGTTTGCAAGATGGGTTTGGTTTTATATTTAATGTTTAATGTTTAATGTTTAATTTAGAGAGACACAAGCGTCCAATTGAAAAACTGTTTTTCAAATGTTTAGAGATATTTAGTCATATACCCATTTTTAGCACACAAAAATATAAATAAATCCTACATCATTTAATTTCTATAAACAAACTAAAAAAAAAACCCAAAAAATAATAGCTGGCTCTATTTAATTCAATTTTGATTATTAAATTACTTTGATACCATATTGAGTGTTTTGAGTTTTTTATGAGCTTTTGGGGTTGAGCTTGTTTTAAGAAATCAATGACATTTTTGTAATTTATAATAAGTTAAAAGCCTCTTTGTTATGTTGTAAATGGACTTTGGGTGTGTTTCTAAAGTCCATTTTATATATGATGTTTTTATAATTTGGGCTCCTATATTGAATATAATAATGAATCTCCCAATAGTTTATTCATAAATTTATCCACTTATAAAATTACATAAAAAAATAACTATACCCCAAAAAGGTCCAAGTAGCCATTAAATTTGTTATCGGTGAAAATGGTATGTGGGTAGGGTGGCTGACAATATGTGACAGTGAGATAGTGATAGTGTGGTCGAAGGGTTAATTGGGCTTTTTCCTGATCGGTGGATGCAGACTAATATGATGCCACAGGCCCAACTGTGCAGTCCAAGCCCAACTAACAGGCTGAACCCTTTGGACCTTTAGCCCGTCTACAAGACTTGGATAGCTGTCAGCTAGGAAACCACACTAGATCAAAGAGAATTGCAGAGAAAAGTAGCCGATGAGCAGCAGCAGCTTCTCTACTGTTTATACATGGTGACATTCCAAGTAGCAAACTTCATTTAAATTCTTATAATCCAAAAACATTGAAGCATATATATATATATATATAAATGAGTAGTGCTTCCACCTTTCCTTTTCTTTTCCTGGTTAAAGAGATAATACCTCAGTTTCCTTCAACAATGATATAACCTGACCATATGTTACAAGTTACAGGGTTGCAAAATCTACAGAAACAAATTAATGTTTCCCTTATCCTGGTTTTGAACCCTAGGCTCCCTGCCCATGATCCAGAAAGTCTGGTACATATCCAGATGATTTTAGCAGTTTCGTCAATCCCCTCAAGGCTCCATATATTTCCTCAGTCTCAGGATGCCTCTCATCTAAGGAATAGAACTCAACCACACCATCATTGGCCTCAATAAAGCTAACACCCGGGACTTTTTTATACCCGGTATCCCTCATTGCAACTTTTAATCTCGCCACATCTCTCCATCTCCCAAGATCACCATAAATATTTGAGAGCATGACATAATTTGCAGGGTTTTTCGGTTCAAGTTCAATGAGACGTTCAAGAGCCAGCTCTGCAAACTCAATGTTTTTGTAAATCCGACATGCTCCTAGTAAGGCAGCCCAAATAACAGCATCTGGTTCCATGGGCATCTTCCTCACAAAGTTCATGGCCTGGTCCAAAAGACCCGAGCGTCCGAGCAGATCCACCATACAACCATAATGCTCAATCTGTGGCACAATTGAGTAGTCATCAACCATTGATTGGAAATACAAAAGGCCATCTTCGACCAATCCAAGATGTGTACAAGAGCACAAAATGCCTATGAAGGTGATCCCATCTGGGTTTTCTCCATAATTCTTCATCTGGCGAAACAAATTTAAGGCATCTGCCCCACGTCCGTGCATTGCCAAGCCACAAATCATAGTGTTCCAGGTAATTAAATCCTTGTTATCCATGCTCTTGAACACGTCAAGTGCATTATCAATGATCCCACATTTTGCATACATGTCAATCAAAGCATTCCCAACGAAAACATTTCTCTTGTACCCAATGCTCTCTGCATATACATGTACCCACTTACCCAAATCAAGAGCTCCTAATCTTGCACACGCCGACAACACAGTCACTAAGGTGGCATCATTAGGAAGCACATCACCCTTGCTTAGCATCCGCTTGAAAGATCCCAGAACTTGAAAGAAACGTCCATTACGTGCATATCCTCCAATTAATCCATTCCAAGAGAAAACATTCCTCTCAGGCATCTCTTCAAACAACTTCTCACAAGCATCAATCTCCCCATTACTTGCATAACCATTCAAAACGGTATTCCAACCCATCACATCTCGTCTTGGCATGTCATCAAAGAGTTTTCTAGCTGCCACCATATCCCTCAGCTCAATATAACCTGAAACCATGGTGTTCCACAACACAATATCACGTTCCGGAGCCAAATGAAAAAGGCGCTGTGCAGAAACCATATCACCACACAAAATGTAACCATTAATCATGGAAGTCCAAGCAACCACATTCCTCTCGAACATCTCACCGAACACTTTGTAAGCAGCTCCAATCACTCCCCCAGCCGCATACATTTCAATCAGCGTCGTTCCCACATATCGGTTTGCTCTAAAACCACCTTTTATCACTACACAATGCACCTCTTCACCTTCTACCAACCTTTTCAGTCTCCCACAAGATTTAATCACAACAGGAAACGTGAAGCAATTGGGCATTATATCCATGCTCTTCATCCTTCCAAACAATAGTATAACTTCTCTATGACTCTCATTCTTAGCATACCCTCTGAACATTGCATTCCATAAAGCAAAGTTCGGGTCCGGAATTCCATCGAACACTTTGTGGGCATACGCCATTTGCTTCAGTTCGGCGCATGCCGTAATTAGTTTTGGGGCGATATAGTGGTTGTGCGAGAAGCCGTGGGTGATTATCTGGGTCTGTGTTTGGCGAAGTTGCTTTGTGGCCTTACATGATTGCAAGAGTGAGATGAACTTCTCCTCGAGAAGTCTGTGAGGGGGCTTTTGGGCCAATTCATGCAAAATCTTCGCTATTTTGTGTTTTTATCACAAGGTTATGTTTGAGCGGGAGAACCAACTGTCTCTGAAAACTTCAATAAGGCAATATCAAATTATACTTTAATTTTAGGGAGATTCACTATTATACTCGATATAAAGGCTCAAATTATAAAAATATCCCATATAAAATAGACTTTAAAAACACACCAAAAACTCATTTACAACATAACAAAGAGGTTTTTAACTTCTTATAAATTATAAAACTGTCATCAATTTCTTAAAACAAGCCTAACCCCAAAATCTCATAAAAATACCCAAAACACTCAATAGGGCATCAAAGTAATTTAATAATCAATATTAAATTCAATAAGATCAACTATCATTTTTTAGGTTTGTTTATAGAAATTCAATAGTATAGGGTTTACCTATAATATTAGTGCTAAGAATGAGTATATCACTAAATATCTCTTAATTTTACACCAAAAAAATTAATTTCTAATTTCCAGACTATAATTATAGTGCAGCGCACGTGGTCCACTCTGTTTGACTAAAACCAGAGCTATGACCGTCAAACTTGCATCCACTTCCCATAAACTATTCCATAATTACAGCCATGAACCTTCCGCTCACTCTGAGTTTCCGACCAACGGAGCCTTCTCTGTTTCACCGGAAATCCTTCTCTCCGATCAAGTATCCACAAAAACAGCACGTACCCATTTTTCATCAACCAAAATTGGACCCAAGAAGAACTCAGTTCAGGGTCACGGCTAAGAGACCGTCGCCAATAGAGGGCTTAAGCGAAGAGATGAGCGCCATGGCTTCGCAGAATCTAGACCATGCGCCTGCTCGGAGACGAGTTCGGTCGGCATTCGTTGACGTGCATCAACAGCTTGATCATTGCTTGTTCAAGGTTCGTTCAATTTGATTATGGTCGTGATAGGCTGCTAGCTTGCTGCTCAAACATTTGTAACAGTTGAATGGAATTCAAGTTTCAATTTCAAAATATTAGGAAATCATAATGCGTTTGCTTTCTCCCTGTTGAAAATTTTAGATGGATCATGCTGGCATCAGAACAGAGGAGGTAAGAAACAAATTGACTTCTTTAATTCTTAATTCCACAGATTTAATTGATGATCATTTTAGAACTTGTTGTGGCCATTGTTCGTAGTGGTATGGAAGGAACTCAAAGGGCATGGAAATTTTCTGCAAAAGCTGGTTGCCAAAACTAGATGTTCAAATCAAAGGTGCTTTATGTTTTTGCCATGGGTACGGTAGCACTTGCACATTCTTCTTTGAAGGTTGGTTGCTCTGTCTTTCCCTTTACTTATTTGTTTGTAAATTTGAGCAGCTACTTCCCCTGTATTATAATTAATCCAACTAGAAGTTTATGCCAATCTAAGGCCAAAACTTAGAAGTTTTACACATGGTGCGGTTCGAATTTGAATTTTCAGGTATCGCTAAGCGAATTGCTGCATCTGGGTACGCTGTATATGCTGTGGACTATCCAGGTTTTGGTCTTTCTGAAGGATTGCATGGTTACATCCCAAACTTTGATGAATTGATTGACGATGTTAATGAACAATTTACTAATATCAAAGGTGTGAAATTTCCTAGACTCAATGTTATTCTTCATAGTATTTTGCTGTGATCACTTTGTATTGCAAGTTGCAACTCTTACAAGACAGGCTTGCTATTTGCTAATTGCTAATTGCTTTGTATTACAATTCAGGAAGACCTGAAGTGAAAGGTTTGCCCTGCTTTATAATGGGAGAGTCCATGGGTGGAGCTGTCACTCTCAAGATTCATCTAAAAGAACCGTCTAAATGGGATGGAGTAATCCTTGTAGCTCCAATGTGTAAAGTAAGCTCCTTCTCTTTCTTTGTTTTTTGTTTAGTTTTCACTAGCAAATTGTGTTTCCGTGTTTACATGTTCCTCTCCATCTCCATTGCTGTGCAAACTTGTGATAAATGTTGGTTTCCTTTGCTGATTTAGTTACATTCGGACTTCTCATTCTTGGATCACCAACTGAATATTTATCTGTTGACTTTGAGTTGCCAAGATTGCAGAGGACGTGATGCCTCCAGCAATAGTTCTGAAGCTATTAGCACTCATGTCTGAAGTTTGCCTCAGGCAAAACTCTTTCCCCAGAAAGACATGGCTGGCCTAAGCTACAGAGATCCGAGAAAGAGAAAAACGGTTAGCCTTTTCTGCACTTCTCCATTTAGTTGGTTGATCAACTGAAGCTGAAATAATGGTTAAATTGTGATGTTAATTTTCTCTATTTAGGCTGGTTACAATGTGATTTCTTACAAAGACCACATGCGATCAAGAACAGCTGTGGAACTGCTGAAGGCCACAAGTGATATAGAAACACAGTTGGATAAGGTCGGTTGCCCTTTGTGCTATTCTGTCATGCCCTATCAAAAATACCAGCAGCACGACTTAACTAGTTTCTGGAGATTTTGCAGGTTTCAGGGCCATTGCTAATTCTTCATGGAGCAGCAGATAAGGTGACCGATCCTTTAGTGAGCCAGTTACTTTATGAGAAGGCCTCTAGCAAGGATAAAACTTTGAAGCTCTATCAAGATGGTTATCACTGCATTCTTCAAGGGGAACCTGATGACATAATTTTTACTGTCCTAGATGACATTGTAACATGGCTTGATTTCCGGTGCTCCCCTAATTAAAATTTACAGCATCCTTTCACATTTTCCTTTTAAGATTTTGATAAGATGCCAGTGCTTGAATTGATCATGGCAAACGCCATAATTTGATGAGTTAAAATTCTCACGCCCCTTTATGAGAAAGACTTCTATGAAATGAGGATATCACTATTTTGTTATACCCAAGAAATGACGCTATAACATGAATGATAACACTTCCACGTAGCATAACATTATTGGTCGAAAATAGCAAAACAGTGTTATCTTGATTGCAACAAAGTTTTTCTTCCCTTTTACATGTAACTACAAAAGTTGAACTTTTAGGTAGGCCATAGATTAGCTGGTTCTATCTATTGTCGACCTATAAACTTTCCAAGAAATCTCGTACCATAATTTGTAATATTACATAACTCTTCAGTTTTTTTGTCCTTCCCCAACAAAAGAAAAACACTTGTTCAAAAGGGTACAGCTGAACAGCTGTCGTATCCTTATAAAGTAGGGAGTTTCACTAAAACACCCAAAATAGAGGCTGAAATTATAAAAAAATCCAACACCCAAAACACTTTATAAACACACCCAAAACCCATCATTACACACACTCAAAACCCATTTATAAACACACCCAAAAAATATACAATTGTTGATTTTGGGTGTGTTTTTATGTTTAAATAGTACTTAAGTTTTTTTTATAAATACATGCCTAGGATTGGGTTTATTTATAAATTTGTATATAAGGTATCTATATAATTAAATTTCCTATACATAAGCATTAAAAAAAACATAAAAACAACTAGAACGGTAGTTTAAAGGGATCACTCCGACCAAAAGAAAAATATTTAAGCGCATGCTCCATGTGCACCCTCTAGAAAAAGTGACGTGCACTTTGGATGGACAAAACAAAAGTAGAAACAAAATCGAAGTGGTGCACTTCGGCACGTTTCAAAGGCTTACTGGTGAGCTCCCTGTCTGTGTTTGACGTTTTCCTCACTGAACTCTCTAATGGACCTTTCTCGTGCTCTGAGATACCAACCTCTTAAGCTTCCATTGTTTCCTCCTCAATTCCAAAACCCAATCAACCATCTTCATCCAAAGCCCACATTTTTAGTCCCCAGAGGAACTCGCCTAATGGTTACCGCCAAGAAAAGGCCACCCATTGAAGGTGTAAGTGAGGAGCTGAACTCGATCGCTAACCAGAACCTCGACTTTGCTTATACTCGCAGGCAGGTTCGATCCGCTTTCGTTGAGGTCCAGCAACAGCTTGATCATTGTTTGTTTAAGGTTGGTTTCTTTTAATTGTGATCATCATCTTAACCTTTACTTACCAGCCTTTGATTCGTTGAAACTAAGTAACAGTAATTAATGCTTTTATTTGTTCTTATTTGAAATGGATTGGCGGGTAGTTGGCTCCTACTGGGATCAGAACAGAGGAGGTAAGAATTAATTTTGTTTACCTGAAATTGTTTGGAAAGTAGAAGCTATCTGCATTGTATTTAATTTTGCAAATGATCCATTTGTTTGCTGACAAAATGCAAGTATGGATTGCTACTGTTATTGGGTTTGTAGTGGTACGAAAGAAATTCAAGGGGATTGCAAATTTTCTGTAAAAGCTGGATGCCAAAACAAGGTGTTCCGATTAAAGGTGTTTTGTTTTTTTGTCATGGGTATGGTGATACTTGCGTTTTCTTCTTTGAAGGTTTGTCATTATGCCATTCCATTAAGTATTGTGTAATCAGTGTGAAATTTTTTTCTATGTTTCTGATTTTAGAAGGTTTAGTTCACTTGATATCCGTCAAGTTTGGATTTTCAGGTATAGCCAGGCGAATTGCTGCATCTGGGTACGCTGTATATGCCATGGACTACCCAGGTTTTGGTCTTTCTGAAGGATTGCATGGTTACATTCCAAGCTTTGATCAATTAGCTGATGATGTGATTGAACAGTACACAAAGATTAAAGGTATGACACAGATCCTAGCTTAGTCTTAGCATCTCTATCATCTGATATTGCAAACTTTACACTAATCAAACTATTATTTTCAAAATTATGATTGACAGGAAGACCAGAGTTGAAAGGGTTGCCCCACTTTATATTGGGGCAGTCCATGGGTGGAGCCGTTACTCTCAAAGTTCACTTAAAGGAACCATATGCATGGGATGGAGTTGTTCTCGTGGCCCCAATGTGTAAAGTAAGCCCACATTACTCCAACATGCACATTAGTGGAACCAAATTTAAGATTCATTCGTTTCAACTTCAGTTTACTATTAATATGAAGTTCTGTAATCTCATGCACTTCGATTAAATTTAAAGCTTACCATGTAGAAAGCAAACTTTTCAGTCTCTATGTTTTTCTTCTGATGAATACTTTAACAAAGAGCTTCCAGAATTCATATTAGTAATTACCTGAGTTTGCAGAATTCATATTGATTTAGTTACCTAAAGAATCTTAATTTTTTTTAATTTTTAATAGTATCTTGTGCCACTGTTGGGTCATTGCTTGCTTTGTAGGAAGTTTCCTTGTTTGCATTTTTTGTGTGTGTTGAGAATTCAGGGAAAGTGAGTGGGCAGGAAAGATAGACATAGGTCCTGAATGTTTGGAGTGTATCCTGCTGATGGTTCATTAACTAAAAATGATAGCATTTACTAGAGGCGTCATCAGGAATTTGCACAACTGGCACCTGCCGATTTGGAGGCTGGGGATTACAGTCTTCAGGAATCAAAGACCTCCATGTTAGTTCTTGGAAGACAATAACTAGAGGACATTTCTGGGGAGGCCTCTACTGTGGCTAACAAGTTAGGACCCTCAAGTAGTATGTAAAACTCTACTTGAATCAATCAGTCTTGGGAGGAGGAGTGAGCTCACAGTGTCCCTATCTGTGTGTATTGGAATATAAGTTTCTGCATCTTTTGATGTCTGCCTTCTCTTTCTTATTCTTTCCCCATGACTCATGCTTCATTTAAAGTAAGTTTTACCGTCTTACACAAACAACTTAACAGGAAAAGATGAAAGATATCAAAATTGTTAGAAGAAAGCTGCCATTATTTCAACATGACCCTGAATACAACATTTGTATACACTCGTAAACAGACATATGTTAAATAGTCTGAACAACAGAAAAAGAAACAACTTACAGAAGATACTGCTGATTTCTTGTATGAAGATTTTCTTATTGTGTTGATTTCAGAAGTTGCAAGACCTAATTTCGTGTCTACAAATGCACTTTAGAAGTTACAGATTTTCATCATGAAATTTTTTCTGACCTTGAGTTGCTGAAAGATTGCAGAGGATGTAACGCCTCCAGCAGCCGCTCAGAAGATATTAATTCTTATGTCAAAATTTATGCCGAAAGCAAAGCTTATCCCACAGAAAGATTTAGCTGAGCTGGCTTTCAGAGATCCGATAAAAAGGAAAATGGTTTGTCTTTCATTTCCTCTACCAATGTAAATGCACATGTATGAAAATCTGATGGAGATGACTATTGTACAATATTAAAGTTTCTCTACCAGTGAAACAGCATAAAACTATCTATTGCCTAGCCATTCAATAAGAACTCCCCACATTTCTAATGATAAATTTCTCCTAATGAGAAAATCATATCTAGACTACAACTTCTCTTTATCTGCTTTTAGAGGATTGAGTTTTAGTATTCAAAGCTTTGGTCATCCCTTATCAGGCTGTTTACAATGTGACATGCTACAATGATCACGTGCGGTTGAAGACTGCAGTGGAACTTCTACATGCTACCAAGGATATCGAGATGCAAGTTGAGAAGGTCAGTTCCATTTTGTGTCTGATGTGCATCCCTTCTTTTGTCATTTTCTGACAGAGTATTTTAGCTCCTATGTTACATAGCGATGCCTTTCATTTGATGCCATGGGTTAACCAAATTTGAGATATGTCAGGTTTCATCTCCACTGCTAATTCTTCATGGAGCAGCAGATAAGGTGACTGATCCCCTAGTGAGCCAGTATCTTTATGAGAAGGCCTCTAGCGAGGATAAAACCCTTAAACTCTACCCGGAAGGTTATCATAGCATTCTTGAAGGAGAACCTGATGACAGAATTTTTTCAGTCCTTGATGATATTATCACTTGGCTTGATTCCCGGTGTGCCCTGACATAGATGTTCTCGTTGAATCTGTGGCATCACCATTTCATCTATTGCGTTTTTTTTAATAAAAAAATTTCTGGTGAAGAATAATGGATTTATATATAAAATAAATTATGTAAATTTAAATAATACATCATTGCATGTCTATCCGTTGTGTTCAGTCTTCTGTTGTATGCAACGTGGGAAATGTTTCATCTATTTTTGCTTCCTCTTGAAATTCGGCAAATCTGAAAATAGCTATAGACCATATGGAAATAAATCTCCTATTTATAATTTCATAGAGAACCGTCTCATTTCTATGTTTTGGATTGAGTTTTGCATGAGAGTTTTGTCTCTCAAATCCCTTGATGTCTTACAAATAGCAATAGCCTTCACTTGTTGATATCGTTGATGCAAATGAAAATGATCAAATAGCAAAATGATTTAAAATTTTAATTCCCTTGATAAAAGCTGTTCTTAAGTATGGTGTTTACCTCTAATCACCCTTTAAAAGCTTCTCACGTTAAATTGAGTTTAGCTTAGTTTTTTAGCCTTAAGGGAGCGTCTAGACAGAGCTTTTGCTAATTCTGAATGGCGATCAATGTTCCCAAATTCAAAAGTTTTTCATCTGGAACCCAGCCGGTCGGATCATTAACCCATTATGCTCTCCCTGTGCCATCACAGTACTAGTCACAAAAGGTCACGTCCTAGTTTTAAGTTTGAGAGCATGTGGACTCAACATGAGGATTGTGAGAGAATTATTGCTGCTGCATGGAATACATTGGTTGAGGGGAGACTAATGCATCAAGTTGTTGAAAAAATAAAACACACTCGTGTCTTCTTGTTACAGTGGTACCGTTCAGTTTTTTGTGCAACCAAAGGAGAGATAAAACGAGTACATGACAAATTGAGGGTAGTTTGGAATGAGCATTGTGATGACAGCACGCTTACCACTTATATTCAGGTTTAATGCATCAACTTGATGAGCTGCTCTCAAATGAAGAAGCCTTCTGGAAACAACGATCACGAGTGTCTTGGCTAAAGGAATCGTAACACTTTCTTTCATCAGAGAGCGTCTGGGCGAAAGCAAAGAAATAAAATCTCAAGTTTAAGGGATGGTAACGGAAACTGGTGTGATACAGACAGGGGCATTGAAGGGATTGTTCTGGATTATTTCGAAAATCTGTTTCCATCCACATATGCTGGCAATGATGGAGAAGTCTTAGCAGCTGTTGAAACTCGAGTTACTAGCACAATGAATGAGACTGCAGCAAAGGTCCTTGCTAACCGGTTGAAGACTATTATGCCCTCTCTCATTTCTCCTAACCAGAGTGCGTTTGTCCTTGGTCATCTCATCTCCGATAATACCATTTTAGCTGCTTTGTCACTTGGAAGAGGGAGAGGAACCAGTTTTAATCATTTGAAAGAGAGGATTTGGAAAAAATTGCAGAGATGGAAAGGGAGATTGTTAAGTGGCGCTGTCAAGGAAATTTTAATGAAAGTAGTGGCATGGCCTACCTATATTTACTATGAGCTGTTTCCTATTACCTAAGTACTTTTGTGATGATTTAAACAGGATGATGGCTTCTTTTTGGTGGAATAGTTCAAATGATGACAAGACGATCCATTTGCTCTCTTGGGACAAATTGTGCTTACCAAAGGCAGATGGTGGCCTCGGCTTCAGAAATCTCTATGATTTTAACTTAGCTCTTCTGGCAAAGCAGGGTTGGAGACTGCTAAAACAACCAGATTCTGTAACTGCACAAGTTTTAAAAGCAAAGTATTATCCCAACCACTCTTTTCTGGAGGCCGTGGTTTCCCCTCATAGTTCTTGTGTTTGGAAGAGTATCTGTGATAACAGAAAGCTTTTAATTTGTGGTTCTCGATGGCAAGTGGGAAGCGATGAGGAGATCAATATTTGGAGTGATAGATGGGTCCCCAACCATCTACTTTCCAAGTGTTTTTTCATCTAAACCTGCAGATTGTGTCCATACTAAAGTTGCTGACCTCATTCATGATAATACAAGAACATGGAATGTACCTCTCTTGCATAACCTTTTTTTTTCTTTTCTTGAAGAGGTGGAGCTTATTCGTTCCATTCCCCTAAGCTTGAGGAGGGTAAAAGACAATTTAATATGGCACCTTGATAAGAAAGGCCAATTCACGGTGAAGAGTGCTTATCATGTTGCAAGGAGAAGGACCATGCAGCCCAAGCGAGGAATGCCGCATCTTCTTCCATGAATGGTCATGGTTCTACAGAAATTTGGTCAGCTATTTGGACAACCCAAGTGCCAGAGAGGGTGAAAATGTTCTGGTGGCGTGTTTGCTCTGACATTCTCCCAATAATGACAAATTTACAACCAAAAAGAGTAAAAGTTGATCATGGCTGTATTTTCTGTAGTTAGCCGTTGGAATCTGTTGACGAGTTCTTACTTAGTTAGGATTTTGATTCTTTACTATGTTAGAATTTTGGTTACTTATCCATTTATCTAGTCCTATTATAATTAAGATTTATTTCCTATTGTAATTTAGATTTATTTTATATTTTATTTAGGGTTGTACTTCCTTATAAATACCTCCATATTGGAGATGAACTGATATAAGCATATACGAGCATATCTGAATATTTGTCCTACTTTGTTTGACATGTATCAGAGCCTAGGTTTTCTTGTGACTTGTGCTTGCGTTATCCTTGCAATTTAAGTGCTCTCCTTCCCTCCTTTTCAAAGGAGGGAGGAGGGAAGGGGAGTGAAAATGATATGTTTATTGACGTATTCCCATTACCTTGACGTACTCCTATGAATATATTGCCTATTTCTTAACTCCAACGACCCCTTCTCTTTAGGGTGATAGGTGGAGGGAAGAGAAGTTGTGTCTGCTTGAATTAGCTACATTTGATATGGAAGAATTTGAAATTTCTGTTTTTCCGATGTCGTTGACGTGGCCATTGCTGCCGTTGTTGATGTTGCCTTTTTTTGCTCCACTTTTCGTTGCTATAGTCATTGTCGATGATGTTGCTATGCTTTGATCGTCCACCAACCTATTGGGATTCAAATTGAATGGATCCAACCATTTGATTTGGGCTTCGATGATTAAACTTTATGCTACTTCACAAAGAAAATTGAGTTACCTAACTCATGACTCTGATACCCCAGATTCCAAAGATCCACAATTTGAAAAGTGAAAAATTGATGATACTACCGTGAAAAGTTGGATGATGGACACTATGGAACCTAGTTTGTTGAATATGTTTCATACTTACCTACTGTCGTGCTCACATGGTTTCTGTGTTCTGCCTTATCTACTGATGTGCTCACAGGGTTTCTGTGTTCTGCCTTATGTACTGCTGTGCTCACAGGGTTTCAGTATTATGCCTTATCTATTGTTGTGCTTACATGGTTTCTGTGTTCTGTCTTATCTACTGTCGTGCTCACAGGGTTTCTATGTTTTGCCTTACCTATTGCCGTGCTCACAGGGTTTATGTGTTCTTCTATATGCCCTATTTGTTAGGGTTTGTCAATTGTGTCACTCGTTCGATTGGTCAATGTCAAGTATGGTGTTCTATTACTAGCTTGTCAAGTTGGGCATGCGAAATATCTTTACCCCAACTTAAGGGGGAGTGTTGGCGAGTCCTTATTTAGTTAGGATTTTGGTTACTTACCCATTTATCTAGTCCTATTATAATTGAGATTTATTTCCTATTGTAATTTATATTGATTTCCTATTTTATTTAGGGTTGTACTTCCTTATAAATACCTCTATATTGGAGATAAACTGATATGAGCATATACGAGCATATATGAATATTTGCCATACTTTGTTTGACAGAATCTGCTCTAGATATTCTTAGCACATGCCCCTTTGCAATAGGTTTTTGGCGCAGTTCACCATTGGCACCAGCATCTCTACTAAATTTTGAACAGTCTTCTTGTGAGTGGGTGTTAGATAAAGCTAGATTACTCTCCAAATCTGTTGGGGTGGTCAATTTGGGAGACACGAAATGGGAAGCTTTGGCATAACTAGGAGGAACGTCATAAGGCTACTAGTTGTCGAACAATGAGTAAATTGTAGGAATTTTTGCGAGTAAGGGAAGCAACACGGAAAGGAAATAGGGGTACGAGCCAACAACAATGGGCAAAACCAGATGGGGAAACTATTAAAATTAATGTTGACGAAGCTTGGTTATCAAAGGACAAGGTGGGTGGGGTGGGAGTTGTACCAAGGGAGTCACAAGGATGTTTCCTAGTAGGGCAAGCCTTGCACATGGACAATGTGCATTCAGTTTCACAAGTGGAGGCTTTAGCTGCAAGGGAGGGAGCCTCTTTGTCGGTAGAAAGGGAGTTTAGCAAAGTTTGTTTTGAAAGTGATTTGCTCAAGATTGTTACATTTCCCTTGCTCTCACGTTCGAGTGTTTGCCCGTCGTTTAGGCCGGTGAGTGAGATTTCTGCTCATTGCAGTCACCTCTGTGGTTCTTCGCACCTGGAAAGTACCAGGACCCTTGTGCCCCTGCCCTTGATCAGATAAAGCTGTCTGCCTTGTGACCCACAACTAAAAATGAGCCTTGCGACGAGACACAGGCATTCCCCATGTTGCGATTCCCTCTGGTGCTGCTAACTTTATTAATAGGTCCTTCATCGGTCCTGTGATAAAGGATACAAGTTTTGTTGTCTCATGTCACTGGGGATGGTTATTTCCATATCCGCCGCCAAGCCAATGAAGTTGCTCATCGGATTGCACATTTTGTTGTTTTTATAAAGAGTTCTATCTTTTGGTTCGAAGAGCCCCCAAATTTTCTCATAGATGTTCTATTTGAGGATTGTAACAAGTAGTTTTTCGGATATGAGCCTACCTTTTGTACTTGTCTCTTTTCCTCTAATGAGTAAAATCATAGTCTCTTTTCATCGACCTTTGAAAAATATCCCATTATTTAGTGTCAATAACATAATAATGGTAAATTGATTTAAATATGATATAAACAAACAAACAAAAAAGTGTTACATGTAATTTTTTTTGGGTCCGACATTATTGAAGATTTTTTTTTCGGTGCTAAAGGGACAATATTGCAGATTTAGAGCTGTCATCCGAGGATAAGCAAAAATTGGTTAAAAAAAAGGGAGGCACTGATCCAGCAGAGTTGGTACATAAAAAACGAAAACTTGAACGCTATGCCAAACAGAGCTTGACCCAGAAGTTGAAAAAAAGTAGTTGATTTTCTGCAATTGTTCCCCCAGAAACTATAAATCGTAGTCTGAAAGGGCTTCATTAAGCGATCGAGATTATCTACAAGAGGCTCGTCGTCCTCATATAGGCATCCATCATCCATGTCTCTCTTGAACCAGCTTTTCAACAGAGGCGTTTTTGGCACAAAGTGGTAGGTCATACCCATTTGCCTTGGCCCCTGAATATCATCCCTTTATTATATGTTTGTTTATTTTATTCAAATCCTTATTCTTTGCTTATCATGATTTGATTTCGTATAATTTCTGTCGGTCAACTTTACTTTCAAGTTTGAACCCAGAATTCTAAATTTTCGTAGAATTGCAGTTTAATTAGTGAACAATATGTTCTCGAAATTCTGGATTCTTCGAGGCACCCAATCATTAATGCATTTCAGCATATGGGTTTCTTTCATTAAAATATTTTTGATCGATTGTGTGCATTTCTCGTCAATATTTTTGGATAGTTTTTGCTGTTGGCGCTAGATATTCATTGTCTTTAGTAATTTGGTTGTTTCTTAACTCTGCCGCGTGTAATTATCAAAAATTGAGATTGGAGTCAAATATCTGTCTACTTGTTTGCATTGCTCTTGTAATTCGGTAAAGTCTTAACCTTGGTAGTTGTTTTGTAGCAAAACATGTTTGAATTTGGCTATTTCACGCATGAAATTGCTGCAAAACAAGAGAGATGTGCAGCTTAAACACATGCGCAAGGAAATTGCGCAATTTTTGCAGGCTGGCCAAGAAGCAATAGCTCGAATTCGGGTACAACTTTCAAAACTATACTCAAAGATGTCAATGCCTATTTGATTGAAATTTAATTCATGTTTGAATTATTATTTATAGCTTTGGTGAGCATTTCATAATCTGGTCAGGTGGAGCATGTTATACGAGAGCAAGACATATGGGCTGCGTATGAGATATTGGAGCTGTTCTGTGAATTTGTCCTTGCACGTGTTCCCATTATTGAAAGCCAGAGGTAAATCCATTGATTGTTGGTAATTGTCAAATATGACATGTAAGGTATCAGGTGTATTACATTAAGAAAGTACATTGGAGTTTATATCATGATATGCTAATGGGAGTAGGAAACACTGAGCATTGTGTGTTTTTTAATTTCTTAACCAGCAGGCATGTTGAAATTCTGTTATTTCTGCACAGTTGTATGTCAACATAATTTGTTTATGCCACTCAATTTTTAACCATTTTTCTCCTTACAGGGAGTGTCCACCAGAATTACGAGAAGCTATATCAAGCATAATTTTTGCTTCCCCAAGATGTTCAGAAGTTCCAGATTTATTGCAGATCAAGAATTTGTTTACAGCAAAATATGGGAAGGAATTTGTATCAGCTGCGTCTGAGCTTCGTCCTGATTCTGGGGTCAACCGAACTGTTAAGTATTTTGTTGCATATGCAATTGTGAATCTCTGCATGAACAACCAATATTGATCAAAAACTGATGCCACTTTTTCAATTCTTTAAATGTAATTTTGGCAGATAATTGAGAAGCTTTCAGTTAGTGCTCCCTCTGGAGAGGCCAGGCTTAGGGTATTGAAGGAAATTGCACAAGAGTACAATCTGAATTGGGATTCTTCTAATACTGAAGCAGAATTCAGTAAAACGCATGAAGATCTGCTGGTACTTTTTTGCCAAATTAAGTTCTTTTCCATTTTCAAACTGATTAGGTGTAGCTTAATCTTCTGACATCATTTGGTCCATCAGAACAATGACTAGACACTCTGTGCAACTTCTCATGATATGGGAGTTTCTTGTGTGTGCAGCTCATGCTTTCACAAGCATATTCATGATATGGGAATTTCTTGGTTTTGATTTGGCATGTTAATCAACAATTACACTTTATATCATTCCATATCTATTCAGGCATATTGTCTATTGCGGAATTTGAAATATATTAGTACCTTTCATGTTATTTACTCTGTAATTACAATAACTGTGGTCTTTTTGCCATTATCTGTAGGGTGGATCCAAGCATGTAAGTGGTGGAGCTGCACCTTCTCAAGCTCCGGCAAAACAAGGCTCTTTTAGTTCTTCACCTTCTAATGGGGCACACTCTATTGTGCCTGCAGATATTAAACAAGAACCTAAGTACCTTCATGCTCCAAGACCTTTGAGGGAGACACACACATCATACACTAATGAGATTCAACCATCGATTAATGATGATAAAGCGGCAGCAGTTAGTGATACCAAAAGGGAGACAAGACCACAATCATCTGAGATCCTGGAGAGAGCTCGAGCTGCCATTGCCTCTGCTGAGCGTGCATCTGCTGCTGCCCGTTCCGCTGCAGAGCTGGTTAAGTCCTTGTAGTGCTCAAATGAATAATTGGATCAAGGTGCACAGCAGGAACAGCACATAAGAAAGCATACGTTACACCATGGAATACACTTTCCAATAGTTTTTAAAGAAGGTGCTGAGGATTATACTGTAGTGACGAATATGATCATTTGTATATCTTGTATCTTGTGATGGTCAAGAACTCAATTGTTTTTCTCTAACATTCACCAACTGTTATCTATTGTAATCTCTTTTCTTGAACTTATTTTGTGTTGTGTTTAAATTGGAAGGCGCATGCTCTTTATTTCAAACCAAGTCCCAGGATTCTTAAGCTTCATGGGCCGTCCATGAGCCATGTTTTGGACTTCTTAAGCTTTAGCAAGACCTCTGTTTTGGACTGAGTCGGTGTAGTATGCTGTTTGGATTTTGGCAATAGAAATAGCCTAATATACTCAGATATTCTCCTTGAAAATGTATTTTTAGCCATAGCCATTGGAATCTTGGATTGAAAATGGGTGTTTGCAGTCCTCCAACACGTCAAGTAAATTGAATACATACGAATAGCTTTTAATGGAAAATGGATTAGAGACTTTCCCATCACATTGGCATACTCACCATTAAAACAACACAATCTTTTGCTTGATCGATTGAGTTTCCTCTTTAGGTGATTTATTAAACCGCAAGAGAGATCCAAGGACGAAAGCCTTCTGTTCTGGTCCCTATGACACTGTGCGTCAAAATTTTGCCTATTGAAAAAAGTTAAAACACAAATCATTATGTTCGGAGTTAAGGGTTCCACTTTTCTTCTCAAGACTTGGATTCATTCATATGTTTTAATCTGCGGGCAGTGGATTATGTAACATCTGCATATATATCGTCGATGGATCTGTTGCTTTAATAATTAAAACTTCTTACTAAGAAGGAGAAACAATATATTTTACGTTCGACCAAAAAAAAAAACCAATATATTTTACGTACACCACCACCAGTAACTCGTCTGGTAAGTTTTTTCTTTTCCGAAGATAGAAAAAGGCATATAATATAGGATAGCATAGGAGGAGGAAGAGCCACAGTATACAGTAATAACTTGAAGTGGCAAACCGTGATTGGTTAAAAAACAACCAGAGAAACTGAAGGCAAAGCCAAAAATCCACAGAGAAAAGTTTGACATAGATCAGAGCAAACCAAAACATTCTTGTTTGCTTTCCCAGAGAGTCCGATCCGATCTACACTATACTGCCATATATACATATCACAGATTTCACAGCCACAGAAGGCTGAGAGAAAGACCCCTATAGGCTATAGGTTCCAGGTAAAAGTTATATAGATCCCCCTATTGCCCTAGCTATAGCTAGAGCCTAGAGCTAATTAAGGCTGCACTGCATATGCTTGTGTGTGTGTGTGTGTGTGTATATATATATATTTATATTTATATAAAGATACAAATCTAGCTAAGCTAATGGTTGTAGGGAGGCAGAGACAAGTTTACATTACCTGATGCATACTTGTACATATCATATAGTCACACTTCTCAACGACATGCCCTCTCTCATGCAAACACAAAACCCACGTCTCTTTCTCTCAAAAGACTCATGCATGAAACTTCAGCAAACAGTTCTGAAAGCCACACTAGCCGTACATTACATACATACACTTATCTTATATATATATATATATATATATATATATATTGACTGTGCCATGCCACGGAGATAGAGTGAGTGCACTGTGCATGTGTGTGTGAAAAAGATGTAACATGATAATTAGCAGCAGATGGATGGAGAAGTAATAAGGACGACGAGAGACGACAGAGGTAGCTAGACAAAGTTACATAACAACAGCGCACCAAAAAAGAAAGCCTGGTTTGAATCATAACATGCCATAAGAGGTGCTCTTCCCTCAACCGCGTGATCTACACCAACAACCCACATTGATATTGTTGAAATGAAGGGTCGTTTTCGTCTTGAATTTCGTTTTTAAATCCCATATTTTCCATTGGTCGCTCCCTTCCCTTCAGACTCACCTACTGCTACCCTAGCTGCTGCTGCTTCATCATCTCTTTTATATCTATCTATATCTCTTTTATATCTATCTATCTTATATATATATATATATATATACTTGACCAAAAAAAAACTTATATATATAATTTAAAATCTGAAAAAACACAACAACACATGCAACTTTACTAGCCAGGCCCCTAAGCCTATACGCATGGTACTTAATTACTGTTGTGGACTAAGTGGTGGCTGTTTTTTTGTTTGATATATATTTGTAAAGTAACCAAACAAGGGCAGTTCCCAGTTGCCGTTGGCTCTATTTAGCTCTGCGTGGACTATAATTAGAATCATCTTAGGCTTCCTATAGTGGTGCTATTTTCAAATTAATACAAATCCACTTCAGATACTATCATCATCAGAGCCGTTGCTTTTAATGCATTACACATCTTTTGAGCTAAACAATATAAATGCGATTATCTTTGTAACTAGTCAAATCAAATTGAAGCTGTTTGGCATTTGTCTCATCTCAAAAATTAAATGTTTTACAGTGTAATTCTAATTTTTTGATACGAACTTGTTACAGTGTAATTCTAATTTTTTGGAAATGTTTTACAATGTCAATTAAGAATTTGTTTCGTTTTTACTTCTTCACCTTACCAACTAAAATTAGTCAAATATGACCTATGAAAAAAAAAGGAAAATAAATTAGTCAACCATGAAGATTATTATTAGAAGCTTTTATATATGGTTTTTTTCTTTCTCTTTTCTGAACGAAGCTTCAAATATGATGTGGCAAAATATATAACGTGGGTAATGCAACTTTTGTCATGGAAATTATATACATATTCTCTCTCTCTCTCTCTCTCTCTCTCTCTCTCTCTCTCTCTCTCTCTTTTCTTTTTATTTTGGCCATTAGGTTTTAGAATCTTTGAGGCAACAAAAAACAAAAGAAATTTCCAGCGGTCCAATTGGGTTGCCTAGGTATACCTAGCTAGTTTTCATAGAAGGCAGAATACTATTAACTGAAGGTCAATTCTTTTTGCAATTATTGATAGAAGCCATTAAATGAGGCATTGTGAGCTAAACTATTTTCGTACCCGAAAGAGAACAAGACCTAGCTAGTTTGTCTTTCTTCTTTTCCCATCTCACAGTGCTACAGTGCACACAGAACTGATCACACGCAAACGCACTGCAAAGAGAGGGACGTATCTCAGGTCAGTTCATTAACTGAACCCCAAATAATTAACTATAAAACTCCTAAAAGATATGCTAGATTATTAGGTTAATATAAGTTGATTGGAAATAGGGTCATGCGATCCTTGTAACTCAAAAATCATAGACAATAACCCACTAATAATACAACGCTTAAGTCAAATTCAATTTTAAAATTGGATGACAATGTGTCTATGTAAGTTAATTTATTAACAAATCATGCCACTAGATCTTTATTTGGTGACTGACCATTTTTTATCCCCTAATTTTATGCAAATAAATAATACCTCTCATTGTACATTTATGTTTACACTCCTGTAATAATGGCCTACAATCAAATTAGTTCAAACATACACCCTCCAATTATATATATATATATATATTCTAATAAGTACAATGCAAATTAAAAAAAAAAATGTACTTTAATTAGATGATATTATGTACGTTAACATTTTCATGCCTACATATATTACACCATATGACTCATAGGATAAAATAATAGATAAATTATTACTCATAAAAGATAATAGGTAAATTATTATCTATGAAAAAAATAGGTACAATAAAAAATAATATGTAGATTATTATCCATGAAAAACTAGGTACAATAAATGAAATCCAAGTTCCAAAATAGGTAGATTATTATCCGGGAAATATGGAACAAAATTTCAAAAAGGCAATATAAGGAAAAAGGCCCTTTTTGGCCAACACATTGTTAACTGTATTAATAAATTTTAATAATGAAATGGATAATTAATTGCAGGCAACAATTTTAGAGGGAATCACCACAATAAATTGGGGAATCAAAAATTAAAACACCACCCCATTACACGTTGAAATATAAAGTGAAGGGTTGCAGGTAAGACAAGTTGAATTTGAAGGGTGTAAAGCAAATTTACTATTAGAAATATGGGTGAACTAAGCTGAGTCTATAGCTAATTCGCTGTCTACTTTTGTTGAGGCTATTTTGAAGTTTATACATGCACCCTTGACCTCTCATATATCAAATCTTCAGTCTCTATTTGTCTTCTGACTCTACTTAATTATCCAGGATCCATCCCTCTCTCCCTCTCTCTCTCTCTCTCTCTCTCTCTCTCTCTCTCTCTAAGCCCCAATCTTTGTCAACCTATACATACAGACACTGGCGGATTTAGTAAGGCGCAAGGAGGTGCAGCTGCACCTCCCCTATCCGGAAAAACCATTGTAAGTGCTTCAAATTGCCCATTTGCTCAACTGTTGTACATATTACCTTATTTTCATCTTCAACATTTACGTAAATGTCTTTATCCTTTTACTTTTATTTATTTTTATATTACTCCATTTACTTAAGTTTACAATGTAAATAAGGAAGTACCCCCCATTTGTATTCAAATAAAAATACTAGAAAATCAAATTCCCACCAAATCAAAATATGAAAATTCGGTTTTAGTGCAAAATATGATTTAGGCTAAAAATGATGGCTCATTAAGTCAATATATACTTCATACTAAAATCCTATAAAATCAAGTTTTCTTATTTGATGTGTAAGGAATAAAAGCCGCCAAAAATTATCTTGAGAAAATGATTATTCCGAAAAACCATTTTTCATACTTAGTCAATATTGCACTTCCGCTAAAAAATTTATGGGTCCTCCAGTGCATACAGATACAGTATCGTACCTTTCTTCATTATTTATCTCATGTCTTGCGGTCTCGGGATCGCGCATATGAGAAAGAGGGAGTATATTAACTTAATTCTATTATTAAAACAGTACAAGTTCATTCATATATAAAGAGGAAATATAGATGAGTACAAATTCAGTAAACAGTGAAAATAATAAATCAGATTAATTACTAGAAAGTTATTTTAGCTAATTTATTTTCCTTGAGAATTTTATGTTTTTTTTTCTTGGTAATAAATAGATCTATATAGCTTTGTTCTGTTTATCCTTTGTCCTTTTTTAATATACTGCTGCTGCTATAGATAGCTGCAAATACAGCAGTTAGTTGTCAGTGAATTAATTATTAAAACAAAAACCGACTTCAACGAAAGAAACACATCAAATAATCAAATGTTTCTTAGCTTCATATCTTTATTTGACATATTTATTGTGGGCCAGTCGCTCTTGAGTCATCACTTATTCAATGCTCGAACATCCAGTCTGACCTAGTTTGTGATTTGCTCTGCAAAGTGAACATTTTTGAGGTGGTTAAGTATTTATACGTATACTTATACTTACCAAACGTTTAAACAGGAAACGCCAACAAGACGATGAAGACAGCTCATCCAATTACGTGCCACCAATTATACCTTAAGTAATTATCATAATTAATATATTAATTAGTTCAATCACCAATTACATGCTAGTTAAGATATGGCTAGATCTGATTACAACAATCACCAAATTCATGTATCATCATCTACTGAATATGCAGCTAGTTAGGATCCAAAGTTCCAAACACTTGTCCTCTTTTCTTCAAACTAGCTAATAAAATAAAATAAGTTGAAGGATCTTGAGTTATATATATGTGCTTGTGGGTCCAGCTAGGTTTTAGCTTGTAACCAAATCAGGTTAAGCACTAGCTAGCAGAACCCAGTATGGGCCTTCAGATATGTAGTTCCAGTAGTTAACATACTGATCTCTTATCTGCAATCAAGCAGCGGCGTAGATGTTGCAGTCCAGCTTAACCTATGATTTATATGTTTGCAGGTTTAGCCTGTACGTGTTAGGGCTACTAGCTAGGGTTAGGGCTGCTTTCTTCTTCAAGTATCTCTGTCTCTTGTGTAGCTCCTGTTGCCCCACCTCCCTACCAATCTTCGGTCACTTCAAGTTGCACTTTTAAGCACCTGAACTCCTAATCGCCTTCAATATTCAAGCCCAGCAATTGGCCAAAAAATAGGTTGCTCTGTTAAGCCTCATGGCCATAGCCTGCAATAAAGTGTCCTAATCACCTTGTTAAGTCTCCCGAATTTAAGAGACGCTTAATAGGGAACCCACCACCACGCTACCATTATTTAATTGGATTCAAGTTCATGAGTCCATATGTCTCAGAGTGCCAATGTTCGATCGGAATTAGACAAATACAACCAATAGAAAAGAAAACCAGTAGAAAAGGCCAAAGCCTTCTCCCCATTTTTTTTTTCTTCACAGAAAATGAGAAACACACCTATCCCCCCTACCCTCCTAGTTCGAATTAAAAACATGGTAATTGGTAATTTTTATTTGGTGAAAAATTTCATCACTTTGTAATTCTTTGTTTGTCGTTTGGAAGTAAATGCACTTGTACCTAAATAGACAAACAAGTAAGTTCCTTCTATCTCAACATATAAGTGAATGTTTGGAAGTATATGCATTCTCAAATGTACATCATTATTAATTCATGCAAATATATTAAGTATGGATATGCGCATGATATAAACATATACAATGAATTTCACATTATTCATCCCATAGGATGCATTAATAGATAAACGATTTTTCTCTTCGTACAAAGGAGAGGGTCAAAAGATAATTCTAAAATCGGGTATATAAGTAAGTGCTCTATATCGCTGGAACATATAAGTCCAACATTGGATAAATTGGCATATATAGAATGATAAGGCTCTTTGTTTGACGAAATACTTTGACATATATAGTAGGAAAAATTGTCAACTGAATCCACACCTAATGAGAAAAGACTTGTAATTAAGGTTTGCATTTTAGAAGGTGAGCTGTTCTTGCAGTACTTATAACTCTTATCATTGTTTTAATTAAAGAGAAACAACTGCTAATTATTAATTAGATGAAGAGGGAAAGTAATTACTCTTATCATTGTGGCTCTGACTAATATCGGTGGGGATCCGGAGATGCTTTGGAGTTTGGAAGGGTATAGTTTGCGCATCTCTTACAGACAACAAATTTGATTGATTCTGGGTGAGAGAAGTCGCAGTAAAAAGTTTGATGGGATTGCGAGTTCTCAACAGGTCATTGCCCCCTACAGTGCAAGCATGGTGTGACCATATATGACCCAGAAACCAGAAGATCCTAATTGAGACTTAGAGAGAGAAAAGGAGGGCGATAATCCTTTTGGTGGGTAATTTGTAAAACCAAAAAGGAAGTAAGACCCCCTATGTCTTGGCTCTGGGATTGGTTAGCCTCCCTTCCACCTAAACTTTATTTCATCCAAAAAAAAACAAAAAAAGGAGGGTGAAACTCTCCCTTTTCCTCTGGTCAAAACGCTGAGGCCGCATAATTAAATGCTATAGTAAAAGGCAAATGGAAGCAAATAGAAAAAAGCGAGAAAAAGAAAAGGAAAAATTGATTGGCATGCAAAACGAACTAGAAATGCAAAAAGGGGTTGAGAACTTTCAGTTCATATCTAACTTGTTGTCCCACAAGGTCTTTCTAGTTCCCCTTTTCAGACTTGGTAGTAGAAGTGATACACACATACAAAAGACACCCCTCTTCAGATTTCCAATGTTGAAAGCCCCCCCAACCCCACAACTTGAAGCCAAACTTGCTGAGGGTGTCGATGAGCTTAAAAGCTGGCCCAGTAGAAAATACCAAAAAACCTCTCTCATCTCCTTCCTCTCATGACCCCATTTGTCAGCTTGTTAAGTCTCTCTCTTTCTCTCTGTCCATTGTGGGTGGCGTGTCGAGGCAGAGACCCTAATAATAATACTTCAAGACTATCTCTCAGAAGAAACAAAAACAAAATAATAATAATAATAATAATTTGTTTTTAATATTAGAAGCCAGGTTGAAATCGATTGATCGAAGGAGGAGGATCCAAACGCTGCTGTGTCCCTGCATAGCTCCTGCTCCAATTCAATCCCTCCTCCTGGTTCATGTGCAGTGACCCGTCTCTACCACCACCTCCACCTCCACCGCCACCTCCTCCTCCTCCGGGTCCCACAGGTGCACCAATGCAAGTGTAGTTGGCGGGCTCCGGTGGTGATGCTCCATAGTTCACATTTGGGTGACCATGACCATACTGTGAGGGGCTACTACTACTAGTGCTGCTAAGAACATGTCCAACATAATAATCATTGACCGAGTGTTGGTGGTGAGGGTAATGGGAAGCAGGGAAGGACATGGGCCGCGAAGGAGAGGAGTATAAATATGGTTGTTGAGGCGGTTGAACACCCGGCTGTGGCACCCCCGGCGGAGGCGGTGGTGGTACGAGGGTACTTGACGAAGAGCCAGAAAACATTCTTGCTGGGAATCTGAGAGGTAATGTTGGGTCACCGCCAATGTTGTTGCCTGCAGCTGCCGGATGATGATATCCTGCCGGTGTAATTGGATGGCAGCATCTACAAAATCAAACAACAATTATTAATGTAATTATTCAATTTGTTTATTACCATAAAGAAGAAAAGAAAGTGCAATTTATAAATGGAAGAGAAATTAAGCATATATACCCTAGGTGAGGAGGAGGAGGAGGGGCGGCTAGGTTATCGTTACTGAAGACTAGCTGACGAGCCTTGTTGAGTGTTTCTGTCTCCCTTTCTGGTGACCATTCCGACCCAACACACAAATTAAATCAAATCAAATCAAATCACACAACATATATAAATATAATATTAAATATAAAAGTACATGACCTTTAATTGATCCAGCAAGAATTTCAACAAACGAAACACAAATGATCAAATCAGATCACGACTTCCTTTTCCTCGACTTATTTGAAATGACCAAGACGCTTCATGGCTAAATCATTGATGAGACAACCAGTGCCCCCAATTGTGTGTTTTTTTTAATATTAATTTCACAAATATAATGTTTAAAAAAATAAAGGCAACTAGTTTTAGTTTGTGTAAATAATTAAAGAAATGAAATTGACTTGCCTTGACGATGGCGATTCATGTGTCCCCCAAGGGCCTGAGATTTGCAGAACTTGAGGGAACAAAACCTACACTCGTAGACCTTCCCACACTCGTCTTTTCCATCTTTTGCGCCGCTTTTCTTTTTTCTGTAGCCTGCAACTAAAAACCCAGACAATAAAAGCAACTTCGATAAGACTAAACTAAACTAAACTAACCCCTACCAGCTACCTCAGCCCTATCTAAATTAATTAATTACCCAAATCATCATGAACACATTTTAAGACGGAAAAAGTAGAGTCATTTAAATCCACAATCTTCTTCAAGTTAACCTTTTTTATTTGAAATATATGTTTTGTCAATTGAACTTTACAGCAAAGAACAGCTTTTCATCTGTTTTTAAAGAAAATAAAAAGATTGAAAAGGAGAAATTAAAGAAAAAAGAAAGGAAAACAAGAAATGTGAGCCCTTTCCTAAAGATAAATGGGGGTTTTGATATTGTTGATCCGTTTGGGTTTGGCGGTAGTAGTAGTAATCAGAAATTTGAAAAGTACCAGAGGAGCTGTCCTCGGCAACTTGTTTACCATCTCTACTGAAATGATCATCAGGCAAGTTGTTGAGGTCTAAAGGGTTGCCCTCATCAGGTCGCCTGCAAATCAAAACAAGAGATAAATACAACGCTAAAAGCCACAGAGGCAGTACATATATGAAACAGTAACTGGTGGGTTGGAAAGAAAAAGAGTATTGGATAAAGTATAAGGGCAGGAGAAGGAGAAGGAGATGGGGTAGAGAAAAGGGAGAAGCAATTAGCAGGTGAGAAAGGTGGGATGGGGGGAAAGACCTACATGGTACCGACAGAGAAAGACAGAAATAAAAATGTGAATGTGAATGTGAGGGCGAAGTATTCTATCTCTCACTCTCTCTCTCTCTCTCTCTCTCTCTCTCTCTCTCTCTCTCTCTCAGATGGGAAGATAGAGAGAGAACTAAAGCTTTTAGAAAATTATAAGACTTTCAGTTTGAGACTGCAATATAGAGGCTAGTTGAGTGATGGTGGAAGAAAAAGAGCTTTGAAAGTTCTCTATCAGTTTCTCTGCCAAACCCCTTTGGACTCATCTCTCAATAAATTAAAAAAATTGAAACAACAAAGCTGGGGACAGTACTGGGTCTCGTGACTTTAAAAAGAGGAGAGGTACTGTGGGGGAGGAAGAGAGAGGGCTTTGGTTTTAGGTATGTGATCAAAGTGTCATTTGGTTTGGTTGAGACTTGGGAGTAGAGGTAATGAGAGGGACGTGGCTTAAGTTTTTCCTTAATCAAAGCTGCGCGCGTGCTCTTAAGTATAATTCCTTTGGTTTATTGTTTGTGTATATATTTATATATTTTGTATTATTATTATTACGATTCAGAAGAGATCGTATAATCAAGCCAGGCTAGATCCTGTGCATACATATCTTCTAGTGTAATCATAGTGCTGTGAAGCTAAGATGAAGAACAGGATAGAGATTATGGTCCACATGCAGGTAATCAAAACACCCCCTCCTGGGTATGTATTTATAGCATTGTACTGCCATGGGGGATCATGGAAGTGTTACTTTCAATATGTCTGATTGTTAGTATTTTCATGAACTAAGTAGGGATGGGCTCAACCCCACCGATATGTTGTTTTATTCTTTACAAGTATCTAGTTTGCTTGATCATGGTCATTTTCAAAGAAATCGGGAAACTCAACCAGACTAGCTAGGGATGTACTTATATATATATATACAGTTTTTCTTTTGTAATAAAGGAAGTGAATTTGGACAAAAACCATAACCACCAATTGAATTGACCACTATATAGAGGCTAGTTGTGGTATGGCTGTTATGGGTTTTATAGGGTGGGATGTTTTGTTATGAGTTCACTGAGCTCAACTAGCATAAATAGCAAATGATCTATAGTCAAATTCATTGATAAAATTGAACAAAATTAATTACTTACACGTGTATCTATTTATCAATACGATCATGACATATGAACTAGGACGTTCACCATATTATAATAGGTAAATTAATAAGATCACGTGACATTTCTCGAATGAAAAATTATATGTCTTAATATATGATCATATAAAGTAAAACTCCCGCCTCTGGCAATATACTAAGATGGATCATTAATGAGCTCAATATAAGATAGATCTTGACTCATTAACCTCTTGCAAATTTAAAGTGCGTATTTACAGGCTCCGAATTTGCATACTCTCTAGCAAAATGCTAAACATGTTAGTTGATCTAGTTTTTATTATGAAACCCTTAACGCAGATTATGATTGTGCTAGCTACCTAGTACTCTTGTCAATAGCCAGATTCACATTCAAATTAACCGAATCAATATATATAATAAATATATATATATCTATATATTCAGGTGATTAATGGACCACACTAGTTATAGGGCTCGACTTGAGGGCATGGATCATTTGGATTGGTAATACAAATTTGCAAAGTCGGGGCATGCAAGCATGCATCGGCCGTGCACCCAAATACAGAAAAAATTTGTGTCCATAATTACCTAAGAGAGTGGTCCATTTCAGTCCAGTCTGCCAAAACATCAAACATCCTCTTCCATTTTGTATTTTAGCAAGCAAGGTTCCTTTTTCTAACAATCCAATGGAAATTCCTATCCACCATCATCATTTCCAGTCCAGTCAAACTTATTCTGAGGGTCATCTCCTCCTGCTTCTTTATTTCTCATCGCCATTCATTAATCAGTGTCATCCTTTTTTTCCTGTTTTTTTTTCTCCCCACAAACAATATTGCACTATCAAATACCAAATTAATTACAAGAGAAAGCAAGTGGGGATAAAACCTTGGCACAAAAATAAAGGAAGGGAATAATTTTTTTTCAAAAAAGTTAGTGCCACATTTGTGTAAGTAATTACTTGAATTAATAATGTGATTTTCCAAATTTAGTTCTACCTTTGCCGTGTAAAACTCGTGCGTTGGGTTGATGTGTGTTTTGCCACAACTGTGGAAGTCAAAATGAAATTGCCTCCAGGCCCATTAGATACTTCAAGCCCAAAAAGGAAAATATCCAGAACATTATTTAGTTGTTAGAATTAGGCCCAAAAAAGTTGAAAAGAAAAAAAAAGAAAAAAAAAAGCTTATCCTATCTGTTTGTGCAACACACTGCTAGTGTTAACTCCACTCTCTGTTATCCATGGCAGCGTCTCTGCTCTTTCTTCCTCCAACCCCACCTCTCAGTCTCCCTTCTTCATCTTTCAAGGTACTCTCTCTCTCTCCCTCTCTCTGTAATTGTAAGAATTGCTAACTGAGCTGATAATAATGTCAATGTTTACAGGGAAATGTGAGAAACTTGGGACAAAAACTATGTTGCATTCCGTCCCTCAAGGCGACTAGTACTACAGAAAGAAGGCGGCTAGTGGTTGTGAACAAGGCAGCGTCGACCGGAGTCGGGGCTCCGGTTACCAATGTGCGGTTCAGGCTGGATAACTTGGGCCCACAACCTGGGTCCAGAAAGAAGGGTAAGAGAAAGGGAAGAGGTATAGCTGCTGGGCAAGGGAATAGCTGCGGGTTCGGTATGCGGGGCCAGAAGTCTCGATCCGGACCCGGGGTGCGCAAGGGCTTTGAAGGCGGTCAGATGCCGCTTTATCGTCGAATTCCCAAACTCAAGGGAATTGCCGGAGGTATAATTACCTTGTCTTTATATGCAAATGCATGCCAAGTGTATGCCAATATGCTTCAGTGACATACTCAAAGTAATTGTTTTGCTGTTTGTTTTTTGTTTTTGTACAAGGTATGCAGGCGGGTTTGCCTAAGTATGTCCCAGTGAACTTGAAGGACATAGAAGCAGCAGGGTTTCAAGAAGGAGAAGAAGTTTCATTACAAACTTTGAAGGACAGGGGTTTGATCAACCCATCAGGAAGAGAAAGGAAACTCCCTTTGAAGGTAAATGCTTAATTTGTGTACTTTGCACATGTTGTGGTGGTTAAGGTCAGATTGATGTTCCAGCATTTTGTCATAACATTCAATTACTCAAATATCATTCGTGATATGCTGCTTTAAAGTATGGCCTCTATATCTCTGTTTTACTAATCGAAGCTGAATTGAACCGCAATCCTTAAAACCATATACAGGAGACTACAGAGATCATCTCTAACCGAAAACTCCTAGTTTGGATATATATTTTAACGATCGTTGCATATCTGATGGTATATAACTTTCAGCATGAACAAGCCTCTTTTAATTGAAATAACTAAGCAGTCTGTGCGTTTTTCTACAATTCAATCTTTCTTCTTAAATTTGACTTCATTGTTACTTATAAAAACACAAACTTAATTTACTTGATTTTCTGATCCTTTTGGTTAAAGAATGCGAAAGTGTGATGCATTCTGGCCAAAACTTGGCCAATCCACATATATGATCCAGCTTTTATGCCATTGATAATATATTACTTTTGTTCTCAAATTTTATGAATTGCACCTTATTCAGCAGCTGTAATACCTCCTTGACAATTAACATGTCTGAACTATAGATTGAGGCTTTTGTGGGGGAAAAAAATATTGAATAATAAAAATGTAGTAGAAGCATTAGGGCCACTTCAAGCTTGATATGGCCCAATAATTGCCAAGTTTGACGAGGGGATTGCACCTACATACGGGTTTAGGCAGTTATCAGTGTGCACTGCTCATTAAGCATATTTTAATACTAGAACTTAAGGCTCTTTTTTTCTTTCTTTCTAGATTCTTGGTGATGGGGAGCTCAGTGTGAAGCTGGATATAAAGGCTCGTGCCTTTTCAGCAGCGGCTAAGGAGAAACTTGAGGCTGCTGGCTGTAACCTCACTGTATTGCCTGGTCGGAAGAAGTGGGTAAAGCCATCAGTTGCTAAGAACCTTGCACGTGCTGATGAATACTTCGCCAAGAAAAGAGCTGCTGCTGCTGCTGCTGCTGAATCAGCACCTGCTTAGACAACTTCATAGCCACCATTAATGACACTGTATGTGAAGAAGTACATGGTAACATATTTTTGGAGGCGTATTAATCTTCTTTCCTGTTATTATCACTTAACCTGTTTTTGGTATAATAGACTAACTTCTGGCAATTGTTTCATATATTAATGTGAGAAGTAATGTTTTCAATCTCCTTCCTTCCCCAACCGTCGATTTTGGTTATAGTTAAGTGTTTCTAGCTCATTTAACCTGCCCTAGGAAAGTAAAGGATGGTACCAAGCCACACACATCTAGATGCGATGTGGAGATCCTATTTTTACAGTTAGGTGATTAATAAAATTGAGCCTTATATTATTCCTTCGTTAGGGAGAAATTGCCACTGATTTAAAATATATTTCAATTGACTTATTTATATTTTGTGGCATTGGTTGTGTTGTGACGTTGCGATGTATAAGTCTCTTGCATTGCATCTCAATTTGGAAGCGTTGACATTCTTAACTAGGAATCTAAGAAATGTTCAATAAAATTGATCAACATCAAATTTCGTTTGCTCCTTTCCGGCAATTTTGACATTAAAGTCAGCAATGGGACGGGAATGTACGTCAATGTCTGGTTTTGGTGAATGATGATGAGAACTGGGGTTGAGGAGGCACGCAATTTTCCGCCAATTTGTGCAATGATTTGGAATTTTCGTCCAAAAAGCAGGGGCAGGGACCAAAGCCAAAATGATGGTCGTGCCCGCTAAAGTTTAGATTTGAAGTCATTTGAGTCGTCATTTGCTTAGACACGGCATGTGAAATCATGGCTGTCATACACACCAATATTTTGCTTTTTAACGTAAAATGTGGAGCCTTTACTTTTGAGTCAAATCAGCATCAGCTAACTTGCTCGATCTATTTAGGAAAGATTTAATTAAAAATTATAATGTGAAGATCAACATAACATGTTTGCTTTTAGGTTAGGTCGAATGTGAGTTTGATCATTACTTGTTTGTCTTTTCTTTATACTTCATACTATGATAACGATGTTAATCTTTTGGGGGTTGATCGCGTTGATCAAGCAAACTGTGTCTCTCGGCCATACCTGAAAATGAAAAGTCCAGAGAGTGCTGCGTCGTTGCCCATCTCATTTCATGGAGGATAAGAAATGGACAGCTAACCAACCTGCAAATTAAATGCTGCCCGATCCTACGCACAACTTGCTACAATTTTGTGTTTTGGAAAATACAAAGGACAACGGCCAAACTTGTAAACCGGAATTTTAAATGTCATCAATGTAACATGTTTTTAGACGGAACATGACAGCATGAATTTATTTAAAATTAAAAAAAAATCTTTATATCATGAATGTTTTGTGATAAAAAGCATATCAATAATTTACATGCGCGTAAGTTTGGGGAGCTTTCATTGAAAGACGAAATGATTATTGTTACAGCTAGCTAGCCCTCCCAAAGACAGTGAAGTGGTGGGAGGATTGATTTTCCGGTCCCTGAGATCAAAACGCGTCGCCATCAAAATCTTAGGAAATTGATAGCGGGTCCAAGGTAGTCTCGGTAATATGTTTTTGCTAGTTGTCAACTCAACTTGCTCCACCTCCTCCCGCAACACTACAAGAGAATCTCATTCGTGTTAAACGTGCCCAACTGTGTCGTTTCGTTCCCAAAATGGATACGCGTCACCCACGACTGTAATTGTTAGGCTTTTAATAATGCAATTGGATCAAATCACAATTGATGTGTAAATTTCTTATTAAAAGTGGAGCAGCCCATCCATTCAAAACGCGGCCCAGATTGGAATCTTGTGACAAAACGCAGCAAAAGAGAAGAAGGCCTTTGCAGCTCAAAGTCTAAACCCTGAAAATTTGATTCAAGCTGCACACCATTTCGTTGTCCCTTTTTTTATTATAAAAATTAATCAAAAGTCTCTGGCATCACCGCGGTTGGAATGGGGATATTTATGGCGGGAAGGATCTTGGGGGATATTTTACTGCCCAATTGCTGTGGCAGAAAAAAGTTAGGCAATGATGCCCATCACCACCTTGTCTTAACCAAGATTGGAAATACATACACATGTCACCTTATCGTGTTTGTTAGAAAAATCAAAGTTGGAAAAATTAGTTTACATTTTGGCTCCATAACGTTATCTTAATTCTTAAATAAAAATGAAATATCTTCAGAAGGTTTTTTATTTATTTATTGGACTTTGGACGTCAAGTTTTTAATTCTATTTTTGTGGCATGGATGGCGAAAGGAATTTATTTTTGTGTATGAACATGAATGAAGCATCACTTTTTACAACAACAAAAAAATCAACTTAAATGGTGGATGCACGTGACACGTGGGGTTTGCAGGAAGTAAAGTTAAAGAAAACGGCAATAGTAAAGTTGATTTCAATGGGTTTGGTGCCGAAATCGATGTGAGTTCTCGCGGGAAGCACCGCCTGCGTGAAGCACTAAAATATTACCCATTTCCCATTTCATAACAACTTGATAACCCCAAGAAAGATATTTTAATAAAATAAAATAATTATCACTATTTAAAAACACACGTTGAACAATTTAAACAAAAATCTCAAATCAGAGAAACTGTGGGAGCCTCTGTCGGTCTTCGCTCTCCTCTGGCACACCCCAGGCCCCTCAACTTTTTCCTTTTCTACTCTCTCTCTCTCTCTCTCTCTCTCTCTAGCTGTGCTGTTAACCTGTTAACCTGTTGCCTGTTGCCTGTTGCCCCCAAGCCTCTTTTCTCTCTCCAATTTTCTGATTTCATTATTTTTCACTTCACTTTTTTATGATTCTTTGTTGGCTCTCTTTTTTCTCTATAAATCTGGTGGAAGCCATCCTTTATTAACCTTCTTCCCTTCCCTTTCCTTTTCTGTCTCTCCCCCTACCTCTCGCCTAATTTTGTTTCCGTTTTCCTTCTACTATGAAAACTCTGTAGCGATATATATAGATTTCTCTACAGAAGAAGCCTAGCAGCTAACCTCTACACTCGAACTTAAAGGTATGCCTCGCCTTTTTTTTTCTTTCGTTTGCTTACTTTCTGATTTTGTTTTCTTTTTAGTTTCTGTTAAAACCTTAGGCAATTTCCAAATTCTGTTCCTATCTGTTCAATTGACTGGCCGTAATATCAGATCATATCAGATCAGATCAGATCAGATCTGTTCAGTTCACACCTAATACGCACGTTTTAGATCTATTGCCGAAATGACTCCCTGAGTTCAAAATTAAAATGATAATTTGTAATAAATAGTGATTTGTTTCAACAGGTTTTACGTTGTCGTCTCAAAGCGTGGAAAAAGAATGAATCACTGTGCGATTCAGCAAGGGAACGCCCTCTCAGCTTGCGAAGAGATGCGGACTTGTTCACGAGACTCAGTCGTTTGTCCCAAACCTCGCCGTTTCGGCCTCCTCAACGCCACTCATCACGATCCCGTCAGATCTCTCAGATGGCAGCTCGGGTAAGGATTCGTAATTTTACCTTTTTGTGTTTAGGATTTCAAATTATCCAATTTTCTTATATCCGTTTTAATTTTTTATTTGATTGATTTTCAGCCACCAAGCGGAGCTCTATGATTCAAAAGCAGGGTCTGATATTTTGGACAACCTCCTCACCAAGGTACGTAACATTTCCTGATTTGCAGTCATTGTACTAAATTAAGCTCAGAATACATACTATATTGGAATTTATGGTCCATTCAGAAATTCAACCCTGGTTATGTTTCTACCCAAGAATCAATTGTGAGATGTTTAGCATATGGTTCTTAATGATTTTGTTCATGTTGGATTTTGTGCAGGGTTCTTTTGGTGTTGAACAGTTTTCATGTACAGAAATAGCCTCGCCGCACCCATTTTTCAGCGGGTCGCCGCCGAGCAGAGTAGCTAACCCATTAATTCAGGACGCCCGATTTGGGGATGAGAAGCTCACCCCATCCTCGCCACTGTCACCAACCCCTCACCCGTCGGGCCTCTCATCGTCTCCAACAACTTCTGCAAGGAAAGGAAGCTTTGTTCGGGCCAGTTTTGGGAGCAAACCAGCAGTGAGGGTGGAGGGGTTTGATTGCCTGGACAGGGATCGACGTAATTGCAGCATCCCTACCCTGGCATAGAGCCTAATTCAATCAATGAAGGTAAATAGGAAAAGCTGTAGTTAAAGTTTTCTATCGACAGCCACGATACTTGATAGCATGAGAGGAAATTTTGAAATTTTCGACCAGCGCGAACTATGGAGATCCTTCTGCCTTTTGTGTAAATATGTTTGAGGGATTTGTGTAAATGAAATGTGCAAGTGTCATGTAAGTAAATGAGATGTTAACCAAATAATAGATCATGTTTAGGAGAGGTTACGAGAGGGGTGGGATTTGGTTGAGAATAGTCTTGTCTGTGTAATTCTACCACGCCACCTCTTGGGTTGTAAAAAGTAAAAAGAGTATTGTTGGAAAATTTTCATTCTGTTTCCGTTTGAGGTGTTTTGGAGTTTCAATGAGCGGCTTATGAAGCGAATCTGTACAAATTGAAGTTGCTGTTGAGTCGATCTAAACTCTCATTTACAGTGTATATGTACCATTTGTGTTTCAGTTCATATGCTGCCTATTCTTTTATCTTCTGCTACACACATTGCTTACGCATGACGCCAAATTGTAGACTGTCCTGTTTGAACTTTGAACCATTTTGTTATCCATGGTGCATGCTTTTTTAAAGCAGAGCCTTAGAGGATCATTGATCTCTGTGATCTGCTTTTGTTCAAACCTTTATTCGGAATGGGGAGCATCTATCTGGTGTTGCGGACTTTCTTTTACGTTGTTGAAGCTGCAGGGCAGTGGACCTGGTTTCCGAATAGTATATTAATAATGCAGGTTAAGCTTAAATGAGTTTGATTGGGCTTGTTAGAATGTTTTGTTTGTTAAAAAAAACAAAAAGGATTGCGAGTTTTAGATGAGGTGCAGGACCCTCCCTAGGTTTAGCTCCACCAACTCGACGAAGTTAAATGGTTTCGAATAAGGATTTTTCTACTGTACAAATTCACGCTTGCATGCAAACATGGTTGTAGCGGTTAGATCAACAAATTCACACGTATGGTTTTAGCAGTTAGATCAACAAATTCACACTTGAGTGTGAATATGGTTGTTGCCGATGCTTGTACGGATTCATATTGATGATGCACCCTTTGAAATACACATCATAGGTCATGATCATGAAAAGAGCTTGCTACAATTCGCAATTTATTTGCTATTTCTGTCTAAGGTTCGATTGAAGCACATAACCATTTAAGCAATTTATTGCCAAACTCATCAATTCACATTAGTTTAAAATTGAAACGCAGGAAAAGAAAAAACTCCCTTCGACTTTCCAAACAGAGGAAAATATACTTGTCATCTTTTAAAGATGTTTCCATAATCTTTGAAAGTGGAAAGTTTGAGTTGTAAAAAGACTATACGGTACCTGGGGGGTTTCAGGTGTAATTTTCCTTATAGTTTAGATGGGTTGGAATTGGTATTTCCCAGCAGAGGCACCTCCTACACGAAGCAATAAAACACATATTACAGGTTCACCAGCAAAAAAGACATTTAAACCCTAATCCTGTTTCAACATTGTGTATGGTATGTACGTATTTCTAAATAACATTAGGTGTGGTGGAATTAATCCTCGCTCAGAGTTTGGTTTGTTTCTGACCACAAAGTATTTCCAATAGGTTTCAAATTCCTGCAATTGAAGTACCAGATAACTCGCCAACTGGAAGTGACAGTTTGCCAACCACACTACAACTTGTAATTTATTTGTATACTTTTTTAACTTGTATATTGTTGGTACATTTTAGAGGCTCCGCCTCTGTATGCCCCACACGCCTCTCACCTTCGCTTGACTTTTCTCTCTCTAGCTGAGCTGTGCTGTGCTGTTAGCCTGTTATGTTTGCACCAAGCCCATTTGCCAAATCTCTTCTCTCTCTTCAAAACTTTTATTATTTTGTTTGCTTCCCTTTTTCTTTTTCGCCAGTGGCTCTATAAATTGGGTGGAGACCAACCTATGTCAACCTTCTTTCCTTTCCTGTCTAAACCAAATTCCTTCCGCCCAATTTTCCTTCCCCTCCCATTCTTTCTCAATTCTCTGTTAATAACAACACAGAGACGAGTTAAGCAGCTAACTTCCACACTCAAACTTAAGGTATTTAATACTTCACCCCTTCTGTCTCTGTTTTTTTTTCTATTTTCTTCTCGGCTTCTTATAGGTTCAATCAAACGCTTAGGTAATTTCAATTTTCTGTATGTGGATCTGGTGCTTCCGAATCTCTTCGTTATGTTTGTTTGTTCGTAAAGGATGCAAGTTTTCTAGATCTGCGACCTCAAATTTTTTGAACGAAGTTTAAATCATTCTCAGTTACGAACTTCTTTGTCTGATTTGTTGGCTGGCTCTTTCAGATCAGATCTGTTCAGTTGACATCTACTATGCACGTTTTTTGTGGGATCAATACAGATAAAAACTCCTTCAAGTTTTAATTTCGTTGATTACTTGGTTGACCAGGTTTTACGTCGTCCTTTCGAAAGCGGGGAGCAAAAATGAATCACTGTGCGATACAGCAAGGCAACGCCCTCTCAGCTTGCGAAGACATGAGGGCTTATTCAAGAGACTCCGTCGTTTGTCCCAAACCTCGCCGTTTTGGCCTTCTAAACGCCAGCCCTCACGAGCCCGTCAGATCTTTCAGATGGCAATTTGGGTAAGTCTGCAAAAAAAAATATATAAATTTCTTCTTATTTTATTATTTAGGTTTAGGGTTTCAAGTTGTGAAATTCTCTTATTCGGCTTTTAACTATTTATTAATTAAATTGCAGCCACCAAGCGGAGCTCTGTGATCCAAAGGCAGGGTCTGATATTTTGGACAACCTCCTCACAAAGGTACTCTCCTTTATATATACGTTCTGGATCGACAATTAAATAATCATCATAGAAAAATTAAGGTCAGATAGGTGCCGTAATCAATTGCAGTTGCGACCGCTCTAGAGAAAGTTTATGAATACTAATCAGAAATTCATTGTTAGTTATGTGCCTTGAAAAGAATCAATAGGTATGGTTTTCTGAAATTTGTTCGTATTGGATTTTGTGTAGGGATCTTTCGGCGTTGAACAATTTTCGTGTACAGAAATGGCCTCGCAGCACCCATTTTATAACGGGTCGCCGCCCAGCAGAGTAGCTAACCCATTAATTCAGGACGCTCGATTTGGGAATGAGAAACTCACCCCATTCTCACCACTGTCACCAATACCCACCCCGTCTGGTCTATCCTCATCTCCTTCGTCATCCACTAGGAAAGGAGGCTTTGTTCGGGCCAATTTTGGGAGCAAACCAGCAGTGAGGGTCGAGGGGTTTGATTGCCTGGATAGGGATAGGAGAAATTGCAGCATCCCTACCCTGGCATAGAAGCCCAATTCAATCGATGAAGGTACATAGGAAAGATTGAGCTTAAGTTTGCTATAGTCAACCACAATACTTGGATAGCATTGAGAGGAAATTTTGAAATTCTCGGAGAGTGAAGGAAGCATATCCTTTTGCCTTGTGTAGATATGTTTGAGGGATTTGTGTAAATGAAATGTGTCGGTGTCATGTAAGTAAATGTTATGTTAACCAAATAATGAAAGGGGTCCATAGGTCATGTTTAAAAGCGTTTATGAGGGGGTGGCCATTAGGTTGAGAACAGAGTGTCTTTGATCTGCCACCACCACCCTCTTGTATTGTAAAAAGTAAAAAGAGTCCATGGTGGAAAAAATTTCATTTTGTTTCGATTTAGGTGTTTTTGAGTTTCAATGAGCGGCTTATCAAGGGAATCTGTACAAATTAAAGTTGCTGTTGAGTCGATCCGAGAACAGCTGTAAATATACCATCTGTGTTTTAGTTATCTTCTGCTTTCCATCGGTTGCTTTGCTTTTTCTGATTCTTGATCTGTTGAAACCCGAAGAGGTTCATGATGAGTGATGCACGCACTTTGCCTAAGCATCACGCCACATTGTGCTTTGCCAAGCTTTTCTGCCTTTATCCCTGTTCAGGATTCAGTGGCTGTATGATTTCATTTTGGTTTGTGGACGAATGCGTTTGAATCACTGGAATGGGTCATAAATGCTTTTCTAAAAGGCACCCTCAAAGGGCTTTTCATCGTATGATCTCAATTTTATTCGAAATGGTGAGCATCTATATATGCCAAGCTTCCCCCTTTTTTATCCTGTGGCTGAAGCTGCAGAGAGTGGACCCGTGGACCTGGTTTTGGTTTTTGGGTCAATGGACCTGGTTTTCGAAAGCCTAGTTGAAGCCGATTGAGGCTTTTGGTTGGAGAAGCATCTTTCTTGCTGGGATATTTTTAAGAAGCAGCATGTTGATATGTTGTGGCATTGGTTGAACGTGAGCTTAAGAAATTGACTTTGGGCTTTTTCCTTTCTTGTTGGCTTGAGAAAGAGGTTGGGTCGTGAAAGTGGAACCCACACTGCTCCCCAATAAGATACGTGATGTCCAGTCATTAAGCAGGCAGGCAGACGAATATAAAATAATCCAAATTTGACGAGTCAAACAAAATTGATGTATCTTTTAAACATTTTTGAAGATTCATATTCATAAATAAGTTTAATTTTGTGTGTGTTCCTGAATGTTACATGTGCATCAAGCTTTGGCTTGTTTGTTCTCTATTCCCCATATCGCCCATGTCGTATGGGATTGCAGATAACTTTTACTATTGACTGAAAGACATTGGAGAAGATAAAATATAAACGGGGTCCTCTAAGAAACAACCAAATTGGTTGGAAACCCGAGAATCTGTCATCAGATCCAATCCAGTTTCAACCCCCAATATAAAAATATCAATGGACCAATATAATAAATTTATGCATATTAACTCAACATGAAGATGAAAAGATGAAGGGGAATTGATTACTGCTCAACTGCCCTATCCTCGAGTTCCAAGATCAACCAACCCTTTGGTGCATTTGTTTAGGCGGCAAATGGCTGGCTGCAAATAGTAAATACTATACGCTTTTCTTTTCAATTTTGAATGACAGTGTGGGCGGTGGGCGGTGGACGCCTACCCTCTACTCATAGCGCCAGGCCACATTCTTTAAACGTCACAATATGAGACTATAGCCTGTGTTCAGATTTTTTTCCTTTTTTTTAAAAATTTTATCATTCGTTTTCATTTTCCCCCTTCTTAATTAATTTCAAGTGCACGCTCCTAAAATAGTAGGTTGTCTCATAAAATATCTAGCAATGTTCCAACTCCCACAAATATCTTTCGGTTAAAGTGTTGTTTTCACTACAATTATCTTTCGCTTAACTTAATTTGAAGGAGTTAGAATCTCTCCACTTTATTTATTTCTCTTTTCTAGATTCTTTTCTTTTTAACAATTAGTTTTCGAAAATTATAGCCTAACCCAATACTAAACGCATAGAATCCGTGGGAGTTAGGTAGAGTTGGCTTACCCAAATTCCAAAGTCTACTCAAAGTTATGGGTTTGAACTTTGATTAGCAATCATAAGAAAAATAAATAAATAATGCTTTGTTTGATGGGATGGACTCCAAAAAATGAGTCGGCAAACGAAGAAACACAGACACAGCCATCCATCCATGTTGAAGGATAAGTACATGCGTGCTGCCACTAGCAAAGATGCAAGAGGATGAGACTGTTTTCTTTTATTGTCATAAATAAATAGAAAGACCAGACTTTAACCCGAGTCCAAGTGTGTGTGTGTGTGTGTTAATTTCAATTCAACTTGCAGCCTTAGGTTAGGCCAAGCCAAGCCAAGGGACCAGTCGGTCAGCTACCATCCATCCAACTCCTAACCTGTCTATTAACAACACAAGTGGAGCTTTTTTGTTTCCCTTTGCTGCCGACATGCGTCTGTTGTATGTAGCTTTTTGGTTGCTAACACAAGCATCTTTTATTCCACAGGCCTTCCTTCCCACCATATAATCTTTAAACAAATTTCTGGGAACTGTCAAATTGACAGAGGATCACTGACTGACTGCCCAAATTTAAAGAAAAATATCAGAAAAAATCTTTTCAAATACCTATTGTTATTTATATTTTCTAAAATTGGAATTTGAAGAAGATGCTATAATATTGTAACATACAGAAAAAGATGGCCCCATACAAACAACCAAACAAAACCAAACTGCCTTAGTGTCAATTTAGATGCTGCCCAGTTGCCCTTTGGATGTGGGTAAGAGAAAGCGATTAAAACCACAACTTGGCCTTTTGGTGGCTCCAAGGGCATGCTTCGAAAAAGACAGGGCAGAGGCACGTGAACACGGTTCCACAAAAGAAAAAGAGAGAAAATCACAGTTGCTCTGCTCGTAAGCCTCATATTATGAAAAAGCAGTCCAAATTCCTAAACAACCGTCTGTTCCCAACCTTATATAAGTACCACCACCATCAATATCTTCTTGCCGTCTCCTTCACGAAGCTTAGATTTTTTTTTCGTTTAGCTCTCTGCTTATATTATATATATATATATATATGAACAACCCAGCTCTGTTTTTCTGAGAGAATTGAAGACCGGTCAATTGCACACCAAGAGAAATGAAGAGGCAAAGACGTGTGGATGTTGGTGGTGCCACCATGGATCAAGGATCAAGGTTTGAGGGTACAACAGCAGCAGCAACAACAACAACAACAATGACAATGGCAGGCAAGAAGGCTAAGAAAACGATTGACAAGGCTGCAGGGAAAGAAGATGCGAGGATCGACGGTGGAAATCATCAGTTGGGTTTGGTGGCCGCTGAGAATTTGATGGCCGGGGAGGAGAATTACTGGGGTTGTTTGACTGGTGCTGTAGTGGATGAGCAAATGTCATGGGGTTCAATTTGGATGCCATTTTGGGATGTGGAGTTCATGGGCGAAGCTCATTATGGCTTGTTCAGTGATGTGATTTGGGATGACGACATTTGGGGGTTAAGAACCACCAAATAGGTACCGAATCCGTGAGAGAAAGACAGAGAGATTTGTATTTATCTTGTTCAGCTTTTTGTACAAGAAATTTATACAAGAAAGTAGTCATTTTCGTTCCGACTTGGCTTTACACAGGCCATCCAATTGTAATCTTTGTGTTGCAGACCATGCAAATACGTGTTTGATCATAATATATATTATATAGCAGCCAAGTCTGAAACGAAATTGATTTATTCAATTCGAAAACTTGAAATCAGAAATTAACATGGCATGTATATCATATGTAAGGTCGATCAACACATCTCTGTTCACATCTAGATCAATTCACAGAATAAACGGAGGTTTACAAGAAGAGAAATTGCAGAGTAAAAAGGAAAAAAAGAGAAGCAACAAAACGAATTGAAAGTGAAATTGAAGTAAAGCCGGATAGCTAGGGTAGCCTCAAAACTTAGAAATCAGGGGGCTTGTAAGCGATGAAACTAACGCACTGTGTTTGGCGGATGTTGTCGAATCCGATGATCCTGATGAATGAATTGGGGTAAGTGGTACTGGCCTCGTCGAGCTCCTTCAACACCTGAGAAGAATCAGTGCAACCGAACAAGGGAAGCTTCCACATTGTCCAGTAACGGCCATCATAGTACCCTGGGGAATTGCCGTTCTCCCGGTGAACGAAGGGGTTCTGCATTACACACATCCATCAAACATATAAAACAATGTCATGTCATTGTCAGCTCTTTCAATTTCATCAACAACCTTAATCTCTTCACTTCACTCAAAATATCCATACCATACATCATTACATGAACATGTTTTTGTGTTTTTGGGCATGCCCAGCCTGCAGGCAGCTGTGTTACTTATTTATATATATGTCATGCTTCATGTTACATACCCCAACAATTTTAATAATTCATTACAAATTTGCCCTTCTGTAAAATCAGGTTTAAAGATAATATTTGGAAATTTAGACTAGTCGCTGTGATTAAAAAGCACCCCCCAAAAAAATAAAAAAGAGAGTAAGATTAGGTTTAATGTTGAGGGTAGTTTGGGAACCCAGTTTAGAAAATACTGTATTAATTAAGAAAACAAAATTAGGTATACCTCAACTACCACGTAAGATTGTATAAAGAAGTGGTATACAAATATGGTGTATTCTTAGAGATTAATTAATTAATTACCCCCAACTCAAATTCCAAGGTGGGAACCCAGTTGTTGCGGAGAAGATAATCTACTTCCTTGGCCAATGACTCGGCAGTTAGGGGAGGAAGGTAAGAGAGAGTCTCGAACTTCTTCAATCCAATTGGAGGCCACACCTGCATAAATAAATATAATATAATGTTATTTTTCTTTCTTTCTGTCCAGCTTAAACTTGATGATCTTTGTAGAAAATATACAAAACTAAAATTTATATATATAAAAAAAAAGAACTAGCATACGTACCTTCATGCACTGAACTCTTCCACCATTGCTGGAGATAGAGGTAATATCATTGTTGGCCTTGCGGGTGACAGGGAAGGCAGAGGCTGACTTGAGCCCAGTGAAGGGCGCAACCATGCTGGCCTGAGCAGGGGAGCTGGTCCGGTGAACTACAGCTGCTGATGAAACCATGGAGGAAGCCATTTTCCTCTGTTTCTTGTTTGATATATGAAGGCTTGCTCATGTTTGTTCGTCGTCTGTGTATATATAGGAAATAATGTCACTGCTAAATTGCCTGTGTTACTTTACCACTCCAAACCCCCGTACTCAAAAAATCTAGTGGTGTCAATTTCATCCGGACTCTAAATTTGGAAATCTAAGGCCTTATCGTTACTGCACTCCCTAGGTTATGACAGGTGCTATGCACCCATATCTTATCGGAATCACAACTTCAATTATTTGTATGACGTGTGTAAGTTTTTTTCTGAGCCCTTGATTTTTCTCTCTGGTTTTCTGTGAGCCTTAGATTTTTTTTCTTTTATTTACTCCTAATCTTTGCGTTTTCAAAACTTGGGAGTGTGACAGGAACAACAGTAACTTCTTTCGATTTTTTTTTTGGGTCAAGATATTTCATCAAATTAACCAATCTTTCACATCCTATGTTACAAGATGTTGGACCATAACCAAAAAAAAAAAAAAAAAAAAAAAAAAAAAAAAAAAAAAAAAAGAATAAAAGGTTGGGGAGACACCTGAGACACACACATTGGGTTTTTGTTCGAATTTAAAAGGAAATGGACTCATATCATGTGGGTCTTACTGCACAATTGGGCTTTCCTTGTGTTACAAAATTCGACCCCTTTGGGCTTCTTCATAATATAACTAGGTTTTTTTAAATTATTATTTTTAAGTTGGGCTTTTGTATAATTCTAAATAAGCACGTAGATAAAGGACCAAAATTCAGACATCCGCGAAAAGGAAATAAGTTAAGGTTGAAGGGTATGCTTGCAAAATCTAAAAGAAAGGCGACCGTATCTTCCCACATTCATCTCATGTTCTCCTTGAAATTCAGATGCTTGTCTGGTTGTGAGTCTGTGACTACAAAACATGTTATGGTGATTGGAGAGGTCTGCTTCAAATAGTTATTTTAATAAATGCTTTACTGTAGCGGGCCCCACATGAATAATTATAGCTTTATAATCCGAGATTTTAACTTAGAGCACTTCTATCTATAGTGTCATGGCAAAGAACAAAGGCAAATAAGAACAGTTACGGCTCATGTGAATAGTAACTACTATAGCAATTTTTTGTGTGAAAATTCTGGATCCCAGCTCTTGTTCAAATTGGATATCTCCACGGGAACCACTTTGGAAGGTCTAAGGGGCCTTTTATCTAAGCTGGGCTCCTGCAGTGGAACTTCTCTTAGTAAAATTGGGGGGGAAAAAAAGGGTATGTATAATGTATGAAATAAAATTTCACCCAAACTTTCGAGCTAAATCATTTTTGGCAAAGAACTATACCATGTTTCCTGTTTTATTTTATGTTTGATTATGTATTAAAAGTTAGGCAGCATCATAATTTATGTTTCATAGGATGCCATGGCTACATAATAAAACCTAGTTTTAGAGTTTTTTTTTGTTATTTGTTTATTTCAATTTTTTTTTTTTTTTTTTTTTTTTTTTTTTTTTTTTGGCTAGAGAGAGAAACTGGGTGGGAAAGGTCTGCAAACATAAACCCGCCTCCTCGTATTTTGATGGCAATTGCATGACCCACGGCTCTTTTCCAACGTGAGAAACACTTTCCCAGAGCCAAAGCGGCAGCAGAGGTAATTGTGTAGTTTGACTCTTTGACCACCAATCAAGGTGTTGGTAACGCTTTGTAACAGTCGCGTGGGTCGAAAGAGGCTTCCTTTTGCTAAAGAAAAAACAGCTTCCAGTGCTTTGCAACTCACACAGCGTACAGAATAAGTTGGTAAAGTAGTCACTTTTGCTCGCTCTCAGTGTCACTCTTTTTAGCTCTTTGGTACACAGGGAGGCTACAGAGGCAGAGCATCTAGGCAAGTGTTGGGAGGACGACAGGGGGAGACATGGGAGAAGGAAAGGGTTCAACTTTGGTGCACCTTCTGGTAATTGTTCTGAGCTTAGTGGCCTTTGGGTTCGCCATTGCTGCCGAGAGGCAAAGAAGTGTGGTAAGCCCTCTTTTCCTTGTTCAGTATCTCTCTCCTTTCCTTTTCCAAATGTTTACAACTCCAACTGAAGTAATGGCATTCTCCAGTCTTTGGTCTGTATCTTGATCACTGTTTTAGTGCCTAAATTTCATGATTCGGTGTTCTGTGTGTGATGTTTTGTTCTGATTGTGGTTTGTAAAAGGTTAGGGTTTTTTAGGATGTGTATATGTTTGGTAATCAGTGCAATTTGAAAGTAGGTTGTTCACAATTTTTGAGTTAGGTTTTGTTTACAAAAAAAAAAAAAAAAAAAAAAAAAAAAAAAAAAAAAAAGAGTTTGTTTGCTGGATGATAAGTTTTATTGGATTGTGTTTTCCGGGTTTGGGGTTTTTCTTGCGTATACTATGCACAAACAAGGATGCTGAATTTCACTCAATTACCAAAACAGCGCAATAAAGAGCAGGAAGTTTTGAGGGTTCCTTTTATATCTTTGTTGATGAACAGGCGATAGAGTTTCTGATTTAATACTGAATTGCTACCACAAGAATCAAGAATGTTGCTTTGTAATGCCTGTTGTTGGGTTCTTGTCCATTTCAAGATTAAATTGTTGTCATTGCCAATCTAAGATCTTGTCAGACTTTTACTAAAGAGGTTCATAGCTCATTCTTGTCACATATCCATATTTGAAATAGTGTAAAGTTTCTGGCCATAAATGAGTATGTAGCTCTAAAACTTGCTTCATCAGTCTTAGTTAATTTTGATTCATGGCCCTCATTAGCTCTGTATATGGTTGCTTAATCTCTATACGTCACAAATTTAAACCATTAAGTGATCTATCATCTCCCTTTGAATTGGACATAAACGAGAGGCAGGGGTTGTCCACAGGAGATTTCCGTCACTCCCTGTTGTTAGAATACTTCTTATACTGTTAGAACATTCTCTTTTCTGCACAGTTATGTACGTGATTTCTTGGTCATTGGAATATTTTTCTCCTTTTTCTTAACACTCACTTCATTTTTTTTTTGTTTTTTTTTTTTTTTTTTTTGGGACAAAGTTGTTTATGAAGAATTATGCATTTTCATGTAGGCATATAAGAAGAGCCAATTCATGTGTCTGTTGGATTAGTTTTTTTGAGACTGTATAATTGTGTTTCAGGGATGACTTTTTAAACATTAAAATAGTGGTCTCTCTCTGGGAAGCAAAATTTGCGAAATAGAGAAGTTCATATCAAAGAACTGAGTTTAAAAGTTTGCTGCCTTTAGTATTTTGAGGCTTGATTCTTGTTTAAGTAGGGATACATGCCGATTGCATAAGGGTTCATTCATTAAGTATGATTTATCTTCATCATCTAGCAATGTCAGAAACCTTGCAATGGTAAAACCACATGGGGAATGGGACTACAATATGCTTGGTACCACTTAATTAATCAGTTTTCGTCTATGATTGATCAAACCATTCAAATTTTATTGGAAGAGACCAGGTTCTAGTGATAGGTCTCTTATTTTGTTTCGCAATAACTTAAGGAGAAAAAAAGTAGTGGAATGCTCGTTACTAAAATGGAAATAGAGATGGTTTAGCTCCACTTCGTTACTAAAATATATATATGCAGACATGCTTTATCAGTAGCATGATACTTCAATTTCATTCATTTAATGTTTGCTTACTCTCTTAGTCACTTATTGACATTTTGGATTCTTGGGTTGAATTTTGGTGCAAATGATCAATTTTTGTACCATTAATTTATAAAGAAACTTTATTTCCTGGCAGGGCCGAATAGAGAAAGATGATCGAACAAATGAAACTTACTGTGTGTATAATTCAGATGTTGCGACTGGTTATGGAGTAGGTGGTTTCTTGTTTCTTCTCTCAGGCGAATCACTCCTCATGGGTATCACAAAGTGCATGTGTTTTGGGAGACCCTTGGCCCCTGGTGGGAATCGAGCTTGGTCTATTATATATTTTGTTTCATCATGGTGAGCATCCAATGTGCCTTGAGGATCCCCATCTTAAACAGGGCAACATTTTAACATCAACCCCTTGATTGTGTTAACTTGCCCATATTCTGCTAAGATCCAATTGATTACGCATCATATTTTGCTCTGAGCTTTATGATAGATTTACAAATTGTATTTTTGGTATCTACATTTGTGGCCTTTTGTTTTGTTTTGTTTTCTTAGAAAAATTTGCTAACCTTTTCCCTATTGTCAACCTGTTGCAAATCCTGGTATGCTGCTGCACCAGGTGTAGACGACTTATCACATGTAATCATAGAATATGATATAGGGCCTCCGCTTTGATTGAAGATATTATTCAGCTAACTGGCAAGTTCATCTTTAAAATTTGCTGCATTTTATGTATCTGCAGGACAACTTTTCTGGTGGCGGAAGCTTGTCTAATTGCTGGTGCTACAAAAAATGCCTATCACACTAAGTACCGGGGAATGATATATGCTCAGAACTTCTCCTGTGAAGCTTTACGAAAAGGTGTTTTCATTTCTGGAGCGGTATTTGTGGTTGTGACTATGATTCTCAACGTTTATTACTACATGTACTTCACCAAGGCAACTACAACTCAGGCAGCTCATAAAGCAAATCGTTCGAGCTCAACTGTTGGGATGGCTGGGTATGCATAGGATCCACTAATGAGACCAGATAGGTTCCAGGTTTTTGCATCTTGGTGTTATGTATGGGATGCCTATGTGATAGCATACTTAAAAGTGTATCATTACATTGGTTTTGTCTAAAGAGATATATAAGTACCTGTATGAATGCTGCTTGCAAAGGCAAGATGCAGAATTAGAAGTTTTGGTGGTTGACAACTCACTTTGAAATTCAACTTTATCTTGGCTATTTTACTTTGTTTTTAATTTTTAGATCAAACTATTTTACTAAAAAGATTGGAATGAGAATGGAAGGGGATATAATATTGTGTATGGTATAGATGCATGGATGGATTGACCATTTGAGAAATGGACTTGCAAATATGAGCTCATCATCACTGCGACGAGGGCCATGGCTTTCATGAACCTCTGGTGACCCAAAATCCCTGAAACTCAGCCCGACTAATTCTTGACCAGAAACTGGTCGGCAAACTACATGCTAGCCTGCCTAACCGCACACCATTCAGTCGCTACTAGATAATACTGAGTTGGTTATAACTATCATTTAAAGACAATTCTGTGCATGTAAGATTCTAATATTCATATGTTGTTGGAGTTGTACCTTCAATCGAAATTTACAGTGTTTGATTGATGTATAAAATATCTGGGGGAGTTGCTATGAATAATTAACTGCTCTATGATCAAATACGAAAAAGGGCATCAGGTGGCATTCAATGTGAGAGAGAGAGAGAGAGAGAGAGAGAGAGAGAGAGAGAAGAAAATAGGGGAATTAAATAGTAGCCTAGCTAGTAGGTGACTAAGGCCAAGAAGAAAATGGCAAATGTAATAAAAGACGGGTAAGAGAATTAAAGGGTGGTAGGAGTAGAAAATGGCAAAATGGAAGAGTAAAGGGTGGGCAAGACAAGAGGAGGACAAAGTCCAAGCAGAAGCTAAAAGTTGTCAACTTTATTGGCTGCAGGGGGTGGGGGGGGTCAGATTTCAGATAGGCTGGGTTTTGGTTCTTTTTTATCTGCTTTCAGCCACAAAACAAAACCCACTTTTGTTAACCTATTTCTTTCTAGGAGGAGAGAGAGGAGCAAGCAAAGACCACCCTAGATTATTCAAATTCTGATTTGATTCACTAGCTAGTCTCGTGTGACTTCCCTTCCCTTCCCATGGTCAAAACATTGTACCTCACGCTCCTCTTCTTCAACAAACATACATAAATTTACAAATACGGCCTGCAAATTTTATCTGTCCAGGATTAATAATTCGAATTTACAGTACCAAGTACCATTCAAAAGTTAAATGTTACTTTCTCAAGTTCCGTCAGAAATTTAACATGGACGTGACAATTCCTGACCAGTCGTGCCTTTTCTATAAATTCAGCAAAGAACACTGATTTGGACTTTCTCTTTTTTTGACATTTTCCCCTTTCTGGGTAAGAAAATATTTCTTACCACCCTTATTAACCCCAAGGATATCAGTTTTTCGAGTGCATTATAGATAAGAGAGAAGTGTTTGATTAAGTTTGGTTTAATAATTGGGTCAGTCATGCATGTCCTAACGTGCAACTTGGACTTGGTGGTTAGGCAATCTGTGTGTCTTCATGGGTCCTTCACCAATTTTCTTAAACAGTATGAAACTTGTATTTTTGTTTAACCAATTCCTTGTTTTTTTTTTCTTTTTTTCGAAAGGACCCCATTGATTTTGGTCTTGCATTCTTCATCACTACCACGTGAAATGATGAGTTTCTATACATATATAATCATGAACACATGTCAAACATCAGAGTGCCATGATTTATTTAGATAAGGTGGCCTGTGCTTTGAGTAGGTTTGAGTCTATTTGTTCCATTGTTAGCTGAATTTAACATATTCTTTTGGGGTTTTGTCAATCAGATTTGGAGCTAAACCATAAGCTGTGTCCCCTCCATGCCCATTCAGCTCACCTAATACACACCAAGACATGAAACAACCCAGTTGACTTAACTTTAATTGTCCCCCTTAGTTGCAAAACAAATACTCAGGTCACCCACCAACAAAAACATCACAGCTAATGACAACTACATCATAAATGCCATTGCCATTGCCATGCCATGCCATGCCAGAATAAAATCTACAACATCATCCAATATGTATGAATATCATCAGATGCCACAATATTTGTGAGGGGGGAGGGAGGAGAATTGGGTCTTCATTCAAGGAGCTCACAAGATTGCATCAAATTTGACAACTAATTAATTATACATAATTCATTAAGAGAGGTTAATTAAGATGTACGGTAGCCATTGATACACGTTTCCTTTCCTAGTTAACGTACGACTCTCAAACACAAATGTCTCCAGTCCAACACCGTGGCGGGATTCCCGGCCCTTCTTCTCCTCCTCGGCAGTCCCATGTTTCTCTCTCAGGATGACTCATTCTCATCATAAATACTATTTCTTTCTTTATTCAAATTCCAACCCTATACCTAAAATACTTATATATTTATTTACGGTAAGTAACTAAATATATATATTTATGTATAATATATTGATAGGAGAGTGTAATTCACCGTTAATGTGATGGCGCCTCTCGCTAGCATAGCATGCTTCGGTCACAGTGCGGTCCCTTTGGCTCGCAAGCCCACCTAAGATTTTATGCATAGTTACATGGACACTCATAAAGGCGCGTGTGCCCTTTTTGTTTTATTTTTATCTTTTCATTTTGTAATTTTGACTCTTACGGCGTCACCGACATGCAGATTTCTAACGTAATGCATTGCTAATCATATACGTATATGATTCACCTACAAAATTTGCTGTTACTTTCGTTTACACATTTGTTTATTCAAACACCCATTTGTTTTTTTTGAAAATCAATAAAAAAACAGAGTATACTATAATTAGATTAAAATACAGAGAGCATTAGACATAGACTGCTGCTATTTTCTCTTCACGTGGACCAGTGTGGGGGCATATGAGGCTCCATTTCTCTCTCTCTGACTCTCTCTCTCTCTCTCTCTCTCTCTCTCTCTCTCTCTTCCTCTCTCTTATACATAGAATAGCCGTCAATCCGTTGCTCATAAGTCATAGCGTCGAGAGACAGGCAGATAGAGAGAGAGAGAGAGAGATAAAACTCAGAACTTGATATTGTCAACAGTCAACACGAACAGCTCATCAAATTCTCTTTAGAAAAGATAGTGGGTTGGTGATTTGAAGAAAGAGGCAGGGGCAGAGGTAGAGCTTAATTTATGTAGCTGGGTATTCCGGTTATGTCTATCGCCGGCGGCTGGAGGCTTTTGCACTCTTCTCTGGTGGTGATTTTGGTCATTTCTGTTTTACAGATTTGGGTCTGCTGCGACTGCAAAGCAGGCGCAATACGGGTTTTCCCAGGACACACAAATGTGTTATCAAAGATGGAGGCAGAGAGCAGCAACACGATGCAGAGCAAGAGCAACAGAAGCAGAGAGGCCCTGTTCCATAAGTACTTCGGTGGCAGTGTCAGAGCTTCTAACTTCAACAAAACAGAGCAAGGGTATGAAGACAGCAAACGAAGAGTGCCCAGTTGCCCAGATCAACTCCACAACTAGTAAAATTATTCATTTTCTCTCTTCTTTTCTTGGGAAATTTTGTTGAATTATAACCAAAATACCCACGTTTTTCTCATTACGTCTGTGGAATTTTGATGGCCTTTTTCTTGCTTCTGTAATTCATGAAGTGGGAAAACCGGGGGTATTTTGGTTGTTATCCTATCCTATAATTAATCCTAGTTTAATTAATTTCTTTAGATTTATGGAGGATCCAGAAATGGATAATGATCATGAATCATGATGTGCAGTGTACAGAGAGAAGTTGAGAAATTTGGTTTTGCAGTGACCAGCTTATATTTTGTACTACCTGCTATAGCTAGAATCTCCGTATCTACAACTTTTCAAGATCCTCTCTTTCGTTTTTTAGCTTTTGCTTTTGGGATCAGAAGATCGAATATCATATGAGGAAGAGTGTGGCAGAAAATTTGCAAATTTACACACAGAGATTCTTGCTTTCCCACTGCAACAAAACAAACACCTTTTTTTTTCATTTTTTCTAAACTTTTGCAAGGAATGTTTGCTACTAGTGTGGCATCTTCCTTGCGTGAATGAACAAAAGTGAATGCTCCTGTTTTGGTGAAAGCTTTCTTAATCTCAGTATTATTCTGCCATTATTGAATGATGCAGTAAGCAATCAGTCTATGGTTTGTTTGCCCTTTTTGATGATATATCATAAATTATAGTCTCTGTCTCTGGCGTATGTGGTAAGTTTTCCTCTGATTATATCTATAGGATTTCGTTCCTGTCCCATTTCTTTAACTGGTAAAAAAAATTTGAATCTTCCATGACTGTCCTCTCCTCTTTCAGAAAGCTTAAAGCTAGTTTAACCAATAAATCTTAAATTTTACAACGTCCCCATTATATAATATTTGATTCGATGCCTTTCTACTCTCGTGTAACATTGATAGTCAAATTGTCTGAATTATTGCTGGACCTGGCTACGCTTTTAAGGCCATGAGCCGTTGACTCTTCCATTAGTCTTTAACAATGAAACAGGGCATAATTAAATTAAACCAAAAAAACCCAGCAAGTGCTTTTCAACTTTGTAGCTTTTTCAGAAAGTGTTTTCAATTTGAAATGAGACAGATGTATATTTATGGAGATTAGTGTGTTGTTGTTTAATCTGTGAATCTGTGAATCTGTGAATCTGTGATGCATGAGTGGGATTTGTAAAACGTGGGATTCATCCAAATATACATAAAACAGAGATATCATCATTAAACTGTTAAAAAGGTACTCTTGTGGGTTGAATGCTGGATGGACTCTAGCCTTTGTAAAGTAGCGTCATACAGAAAGTTTGTGATATTCGGCTTTGTGATTTTCTTGCAAAAGGGATTTTGTCTGGTTGTACGAGAAGTGCATGCAGACAAAGGTCACAAAGTTTGCCATCGAGTGGTGGTGCACAGAGAAAAACAGAGGTGTAAATAGACATGGCAATGGGCATAGCCCAGCCCCCCTGTTCTATTGTTCGAGTAAAATATGCGTAGTAAACACACTTATGGGTAAAAAAATTTGACTTGATTTGATGATATTAATTGAAATTCTTCGATTTTATAGTGCATGTTGTTTGCATATGGACCTAAAAGTTGGCAAAACAAATGTAAATGTTGTCTCGTATTCTGGTATTTTTGGGTGTCTATAAGGAGAGGCAGAGAGGCAGAGGCAGAGAAACCAATGCGAGAAACGCCACGTATTATGCGGCGAAGATGGGTAGCCAAGCCATTGGGTAGGATTGGTTTTTGATTCGTAAGGCGGGTTATTTTGTCTGCTAGCTTTTTGGATGTGGAATCTAATTCACCCTTCCTTCCTCCCTCATCATCATTCGTTCATCAATGCCAATTTAGCTCACCGATGCATCCATTTCCCCCCTTATGCTATGCTTTTGTGTTTTGTGTTTTGTTTTTCTTGGGCCCAAAATCAAATACCAACCCAAGTCAAAATGAGTCTTTAATAAAACATTTCATTATTATGGATTGTTGCGATTGCATGCGTGAGTTAGACTAGTTAATCAGGATTTTGAGTTTAAGTTGGTATTCTCTCTCTCTCTCGGAGATGTTCTTAATTATGATGATAAATTGAAGTTTGAATGGTAGAGCTAAACAAAGCTAAGAATAAAACAGGCACTTTCATTTCCTAGGTGATGTGAGCGCCACTAGCAATAACAATAGCAATAAGAGCGATAGGGTTTGGTGTTCTATGTATGTCCTAATTGGTATGTACCAAAAATGCACATGGGCGGGGGTGGTAAGCTGGGCCAGCCAGCCAGCCAGCCAGCCAGCCTAAGGGGGGATTGGCTTAACCACGTTGCCGTCCAACAATAATTCACCAATTTGGTTTCTACTTTAATATCTTGTCAGGAAACTCCACATTATATATCTAAAACAAGTCAGATTCGAATGACTGGTTGGATGTTTGAATAGCTAAATCTATCTAACCTTCCAAAACAGATTTACAGCTCATATATTTTGCTACTCTTTAAGTAAGCTAGTATTCTGCTGTTGGGCTGGGCCTAGTCCAAGGCCTGAACTGATGTTGGGCTGAAGTTAAAGCTTCGCCATAGGATAGGCCCAATCTCGTAAACAACAAATAAACTATACGGGCTTAAATGCTGGATTCGCATAGAACTCAGCCCATATTTATATTTTGTCGCCTGCTTAGAGCATCTCCGACCGATATGTCAAAAGTGCCACATAGATATTTAACGGCTAGAAATAACATCTCATATCACTTCAAACGAATTGTCAAAGCTGATATGGAATGAAGGCTGGAGGTTCAGCTGTTACTTTTGACATCCCAAAAGCAAGATGTCAAATGAATATTTTATTATTTTTCAAAGATAGCTGGTTGTTACTTTCATTTTTTTTTCCTTTTTTATTTTTTTTCTTTATCTTAAATGATTTGACTGTTACAATAATTATTTATTTGACATATCGGGTGGAGTGTAAAATTGTGTAAATGACAAATTGCCACATCACCCATCAAATTTAAATTGAATGCTACTATTTCCACCCCATGTCCTATTTTCCCACCCACTATATAAATTTGAAAAAACACAATCATATCTTTCCACCCACAATTATTCATAAAATACACTTTAATTATTAATTCAAGCAAATTCTCTTTTATGTTAAGAAATTCATTAGCCAATGACGTCATTTAAATTTAATCCAATGGCTAAAAAGTTGGCATATCAATAAAATATTTAAATTCAATTGAAAAAATCAAATAAAAATAAATAAATAAAAAATTTCAATCATTCTCTCCTTCCAGCCCATCGATCACCAGCTACGGACCCTCCTTTCCCCACCTAAAGCCAATCCCCAACCACCTCTCCCCCACCACACCGAACCCAACAACAATCCACCCTCCAACTCAATCAATTTCAACCCAAAGTCCCAAATTTCTCAATTAAACACTCATTCTTACAATTTTCTTTTGGTACAAATCATTGGAATTGATTAATTCATGGGATGATATGGAGTTGCAGGGATGGGAATTGAGGAAGAGCCCAATCACTAGTCCATAATTAAATTGATGTATAGGGGAGGGCATTTTCTCCGTTCTGTGAGATCGAGTCCTTTGATGGCGACTTCTTTACTTCCAAGACACCGTTACTCGACGGCCTCATCGACGCCTGCTCTTCCACCATCCCTCTTCCTCCTCTGCCTCCTCCATTAGTGAGCTCATTATTCGGCGCTTCAGAATTAAACATAGAAGAAATTGACGGTGTTAAGCTACCATGTTAAATTCAGAGAGACGAGCCATCAGTCTATTACTAACAACATCGATATTGTCCCTAACTTAACCACCTACAAAACTCAATAGGTGTGTGGTTCTATCACAAAAGGCCTTGATATTATTAGTAGTAGAACCATTCATTATATATATATATTTTATTTTATTTAGCCAAGTTTTCGATGGACTCATATTCTTCAACACACCCACTACCACATAGTAGGCCACACGTGAAGCCAAGTCCACATCGGAGTCAAACATTCATTCAAGCCCAACAAGTGAACACCATGTATTGGGTAAGGGGTAAGGGTAAACATTCAAGCCCAACATGTGATCACCACATATTGGGTATGGGGTAAGGGTAAAAGCCCAATATTTCAGGCCTAGTCATTCAACCTGCTCTGATACCAAGTCAAACAAAGTAGGGCAAATATTTAGTTATGCTCGTATATGCTCATATTGGCTCATATATTATTCTTCTCCAATATGGTGGTATTTATACAAGTACAAAGATGTGTTAACCCTAAATAAAATAGGAAATATATTTAAATTACAATAGGAAATAAATCTCTATTACAATAGGACTAATTAATAATTGGTAAGTAACCAAAATTCTAACTAAATAAGGAATTAAAATCCTAACTAAGTAAGGACTCGCCAACAAATTGTTGAGAAAGAGATAGTGTATGAGAATGGGGTTGGGTGGGTTATGGTGGTTTTTGGGGGGAAAGAGGGAGAGAAATGGGGAATGAGTGAGGGGTCGGCGCAGCTATGAGAGGACTTGGGTGGAGCTCCTGAAGGTGCGAGAGAGAGCCTGGGCAATGGCGTAGGGGGTGGAAGTAGAGGAGTGAGAAATTTGACGTTTGATCTTTGTGCTTTAGATTTTTTTTTTAATAGCTTTTTAAAATTTTTAAATTTGAGGCAATTTTTTATTTTTTAATATTTTGATTTAAGTCCTTAGAAGTTATTTTACAAAGAGATAAATTTATTTTAAAAATTTTAAAAATAAGGTGGATGGAAAAATAGGACAAGAGGGTGGAAATAGCATCACTCTTTAAATTTGATGTTTGGTATTTGGCATCTCCCTTGAAGATGCTCTTAGATTTACCAAAAAAAATGCACCCACGTCTTCAATGTAAATTAGGACATTAATTATGACACTTGTAGTAAAATAAGAAATTTTTACGTAACTTTGAAGAGGACATAAATTGATCCATTTAAGTAATTTAGGTAGATAAGGATAGTGCTTCCTTCTTTGCCCATTAGGAGGAACTCACCCTTACCTACTCATGTGGTTTAATCACGAAATAACAATTGTTCTTTTTTAAAAAAAAATTATTCTCAAAGGCGCATTTATTTTCACTTTAATTATTCTTAATAAGAGAGATACGTGTCAAATTGTGACTGTGCCACATGAATAGATAAGAAGGAATTCCTTTTTCTAGGTAAAGAGGGAAGCATTATTCGGTAGGTAATCAGTAAAATTATGGAAGCAATAATGGCGGTGATAGAGAAATAAGTCCAAGATAGTACAAGATATGCATGAATGCTCAAAATGAAAACCATAGGCCTTGCTTGATTTGTATTAGTTAGTTTTCGTTTCTTTTTGGGGTTTTGTCTCCCCTATCTTATCAATAAATAAATAAACCATTGGCCCAAACATTGGGCTGCCCACAGTAACCAGCCCGAGAAACAAAACTGGGCATCCGTATGCCAAACTTGTTTGCTTTGGTTACGGACTCTTGATAACCAGGAGAGTACCTGAGCTTCTTTACTTCTACGTAGCCTAATTCCCAATTACCAATCATGCCGTATGCGCCAGTTCGCTCGCACGCTATACTTTTAGATTTGGAGCTCATGCGTGTCACGTGCCATTTTGAATTTACGTGTCACTTACCTCTTGCTCCTTCTTTTTCTTTTTCTCCCCCAAAACATTTACACTAACTTGCATGTCTTCCGCCTTTTCTCTGTACTGTTGTCTTCTTCTTTCATTGCGAACATTTTGACCTTCTATTACCACCAAAATTACACTGGTGCATATTCAATGGGATAATAAAAATAATGCCAGGATGCGATCATACCAACTCACATGCACCGGATTCCATCAGAACTCCAAAGTTAAGCAAGTTTAGGCGAGAGTAGTATTAGAATAGGTGACCTCTTGGGAAGTCCTCGTGTTGCATCCCTTTTTTTTATCGTTTCATTTCAAAAAACAAAAGCCCAATAATAAAGGAAAAATATTATACCAAAAAAATATAAATAAAGAAAAAGAATGTTTGCTCTACCATACCACAATAAAATTAGGTGGTTAAAAGGGATGTTTATCGTGCTTGATTAAGAGCATCTACAATGAGCTATCTAAACTAACTCCTTAAACAAATTTTAGGGAGGAATTATAAAAATACAACTTCAACTATGTTCCCTATCCACCTCCTAAAATAGGGAGACTTCTAGGAGCTTCTAAATCTAAGAAGAGAGAAATGGCTTCTAGTAACTCTCAATAATTTAATGTTGCTTTATTTTGAGTATTTTAAACTTTTAATTAATGTTAACTATTTTTTATAAAGATGGACCAATCAAAAAAAGAGTTATAGTATTTACGAAATTAGAAAGTATGATTGGAGTTAAAATTTTATAAAGAGCTCCTAAAATAACTTTTATATATTTTTTAGCTAAAGTTTAACTAAAAAATAGTGAAATATTTCATAAATTTAGTCTTAAAAGTCTAATTATTTTCACTTATATTACTAATCAGCTAAATCCTGAAATCCAATCCCTATTTCTCCTTTACGAGCCAGATAGTATAGCATAAAAAATAACATATTGCCTAGAAAAGAAAACATAAAGCAGACTATTATTATTATTATTATTATTATTATTATTATTATTATTATTTGCTGAGAATAAAGCGCACCAGCCAGTTGTTATATGTAAATAAATAATAATACTAGGAATATGGCAGGTTCGTAATAAAAGTCTGCATGCAGGGTGATGGTAAAAGAAGAAAGCACAAAATAGTCAGATGAATTTCCACTTTTCCTGAACGCTTTTTCATCTAAACTGGAATAAAAGCAGTAGGAAAGGAAACCACTGGTTTTCCATCCCACACTCCAAAGAAACCACTGCGCATAACCCACAATTCCCACAATGCCCTCACCAACTCTGCTGTTAAATACACACCCTTCTGTATTTTCCGTACACCTACCTCGGTTTAAAGCCGCAGTCACCTAGATAGAGAGTCTACTGTAGGGTTAATTAAGGAAGAAAGAATGAGGATGAGCTGCAATGGGTGCAGGGTGCTTCGCAAAGGGTGCAGTGAGAAATGCTCAATCAGGCCCAGCATTGAGTGGATCAAATCCCCTGACTCTCAAGCCAACGCCACTCTTTTTCTTGCCAAATTCTATGGCCGCGCAGGCCTTCTCAACCTCATCAATGCCGGCGCCCAACACCTCCGCCCTGGTAACCCTATTTTTTAATTAATAAGCTTTATTTTCTTTTCTAGAAATTAAGTATTTCATTCTGCAGCAATGCATATGTGGGTTACGCCGGTTCGTTAGGGCAGTAACGCCACCGCTTGCACCCAAGTTGGATTTCCCTTTCCAATTAAGTAATTTAGACTATCCTTGTGTCAAAAAGTATCATTTCCACCACTAAACTTATGTGTGTTTTTTGATCAGCTATTTTCAAGTCACTTTTGTACGAGGCTTGTGGACGGATTGTGAATCCGACGTTTGGGTCGGTGGGTTTGATGTCGTCCGGGAGCTGGGCCCAATGCCAAGCAGCCGTTGATGCAGTGCTTGCAGGGTCGCCCATCGCCGGACTTGATGCGGATGCGCTAAACCTTATTCCCAGTCCTCCTAACAAATCCGGCGACATACGCCACGTGTTCAGGGACTCGAACTCGGGGGCTTCTCGTAACAAAGTTGCAACCCGGAACAGGTTCAAGAGATCCATGAACAAGTCCAAAACCCATCCTGGCTCGCTCACTGATTTTGCAACCGGGTCACATATGGCTCAATTTTGTAACTTTCCTGACCCGGATGACTTGTGCCCGAGTCCGGAAGGAAATGGGGCTGGCGGAGATTATGATGGAGAGGTTGGGTTGGAACTGACTCTTGGATTAGTTCCAATGCGTCTTAATTAGCTATTAATAAATTATGGTTAATCTTTGTGTATGTTGGTTTTGTTGGAGTGACAAGTGGAGGGTAGAGTTGGAGAAGGACATACAAGTGTGCTTCATGCAACGGGAGAAGCACATGTTTTGGCGGCTCCGAATTGGTTTCTTGCTTATTCTTTTTCTTTTTCTTGTTGTTGTTGCTTTTTTGGGCTTTGGTTTTTGCTTAGAAAAAGCTGTGTCGTGTAAAATATGGGTGGAGTTTCGGTGTAAAATATTATGCATATATGCGCAAGCACAACATAATACTTACATTTCGCCTTTGGCGATCCATATATGTAAATTCTAGTACTCAATAATCATGATTGATGTATCAGATCTTCACTCAAACATCACTAGCTCTCTGATTAATTTCTGTCTTAATTATTTGGTTTCTGAGATTCTTTGTTAACTCTAATTTTATGGTCTTTATTACAATTTCCTGAATTGGAAAATCTCAACAAATGCAGCATCTGTCCATAGGATAAAGATAAACATCCTTTCTTTGTTGGGTAAATGACAATGTCATTATTGGGCATAGTACTTTACTTGCCCAATTTTATTTGTTTAAAAAGAAAAGGAAAAAAAACACGAAATAACAAAATTCGATGACTGTTGTCTTATTGGGTTTCTGACTCGTAAACCCACCAAACCAAGAAAGTACACTTTTCATGGAAAGTGTGGGAGAAAATATTTTTGTCTCCAATCACGGCATGCCACGTGGAAAAGAAGATTATCTCTTAAATTAATTAATTGAACCAATTTATCTGGCCAATTAATTAATATGGATAAATATCTTAATGAATAGGATATTATCTTTATCTAATAAAATAATATCATTAATTCAGATATTATCCTAATAAAGAGGAGATAATATCATTAATTCAGTTATTATCTTCAATAAAGAGATATAATCAAGTCCGACTCGATTCCTACGAATTTGGGTAAAGAATAAACTCATCAGAATAAGAGTTTATTCTCTACGAAACCTTAGCCCCGAGGCTCCTATAAATAGACGACTTCATTCATCATTCAATGTACATCTAAACCTACTCCTAATACCCGAAAAAAACACCCGAAGCTCTCTCTCCCTCTCCACTCTCCATATTTTCTCCACACGGCTTCGGCCCCGGTTCACTACATACAATTCCGTACCATTTGCTTAACTATTGTTTTCCTACAAATACTCGAACTAACTTAGGCATCGAAGGGCTTTTGGCCAACACCCCTCCGGATGTGGTCTATTTACTCTAATATTTTTTTACAGGAAACGAGGAAGAGAGAGAAGGAAGATCAAAGGTTGAAGGATCTAAAAGCGAATATTCTCCCGCGAGATTATTTGCACAAACAGAAAGCCCTGAAAACAATTCTATGAGAGATTTCAACACGGGATACTTGTATCATTCCAAGTTACTTTGGCTTGTGACTCATCTATTAGGAAGATATATAAAAAGATATCAAATATTCTTTTAAGTACTTTGCTTGCTACAAAGAATTAGGTTAATTTGATGATCAATATGACTAATATAAACAAGCTAAAAGCACAGAAAAAAGAGAAATCTTGGAAACTCCTTTTCTCTTCAACTCATGGAACCTCAACCGACTGAACATTTCATCGGTTCCAGAGGATTTCCTTTGAAACCACCATCTTTTACAGCTAATAAACTGGGCCTCTGCCCCTCCTCCCTTGACACCCCCCCCCCCCCCCCAAAAAAGTTTGTGTTTGGTTTTGTTTCTCCTTGCTTTTTGGCGAGCTTTTGTTCTCCCTAGGTTGGTCTAAGGCCTTTCAATCGGCCTTTGGGTCGGATTTGTTTCCCGTTCCTCGTCTAATTGTAGAGATCTTGCTTGGCTTGCTAGGGGAGCTAAATCTATTAGAGGTTATGGGTTGATTTATGGAGGAAAGGCTAGGTATCTAGTGGAATTTTTTAGAGTTTGGGTGTTGCGGATCTAGTGGAGAAGATGCTTGCTTGAGTGTCAAGAGGAACCAGGGTGGTTATGTCCTTTAGGAATGCCAAGCATCACCAAGGAGATTAATGCAAAATATTAAATTTGAATTTGATTGTTTATGTGGAAATTTGACATTTTGGAAAATTTTCAATTCCACCCGAAATGCCAAATATTAAATTATTTTATTATATTTTTAAAAGTAAATGGGGTCCATATGATGCAAAAATTTAAAAGAGAGTAAATGATTGTAGGGTCCATGACTAAAAAATAATAAAATAATATTTGACATTAAGCTTTTTTATATGTTATTTTTGATATATCTCTTTCAGCCTTCAAATTCATATAGGATTTGACTACTTGGTTGAAGCAATTTTAACCTTTAATTTTTGTCGTTTCATGTTCATGTGGCAATTTGACATAACTTTTTAAAATAAAATAAAAAATCTTTTTACAATAAATTCAAAACAAAATTGTACAGCAATGAGAAGAGTTAATTGTACTTATCAGCCTGACTTAACTCAACCCTCTAGTTTCTGAGTTGAACAAAAAATGGGGTACAAAATTTGATAATTACAACGAAACAAGCGGAGGCTACATTTAAAATATGTAGACCACGAGCTAGCCTTTAAGCTTTGGATGAGTATGTTTATTAATAGGTGTGCATATATACAATTATACACACAAACTCAATTACTTCACTTACTGCGTGTAAGTAAACATTTGGGCTGACGCAAGTGCTACTCATAACTTAAGGATATCATTTGGTTAGCACAGGAAAAGCAGATCCTGCAAAGGATGCTCTCTTCACAAACCTCCCCTTCATTCTTGGCCTCTTCTCAGCATTCAGCTTCCGCACTTCGTACCTTATTTTCTTGGAGAACAGCCTTGTCCTCCTCTTTTCTCTGTACCTTGACACCCTCGCCTCTCTCCCTCCGTCCGCCATTGCCGGGTGTACCCATAGCCCGTTCAGATCTCCGTATGGGAAATGAAGTTCAGTTCCACATACACCCTGCACATAATTAATTCTATGTTGAATTGCTATAAACGAGAATGAATTGGGCCTAATTAACTAGCTAAGAATACCCTCACATGGTTAATTATATCAACATAATTGGCATTTCCACAATTTTTATTTAAAGATTAAGGCAGGAAGTACATACCATGCAGTCAGGCAAGCATTCGGAGTTGAAATCAGGGCGACCACCGGAGGTCCACGGAGAGCCATCCCAGGCTGTAATCACTGCCTCGTAGTCCAGCCTCAAAAATATCTCCTTCTTCTTGCCGCTTTTACTTGCACCCGCATGCACCTCCTCATGTTGTTGATGATCTCCACTGTAAGTATTATCCATCATTCCCACTCCCAGTTTGTCATCCTGTTCGCCGCACGACTGCGGCGAGTCATCATAGTCTTCAAAGTTCAACACAAACGGCTCTCTCATCATATCAATCTCCGGCGTCTCACCTAATTCACACCCCATAAAATTGGCACCTCCCGTGCCCCCTTCCTCATCCTCCTCCTCCTCATCTTCAAGCTTTACTCTACAATTCGATTCATTTTCTTTAGAATCCATCAACCCCAATCCTTCCATCCCAAAACACTCGTCATCTTCGAGCCCCTTGCCCAACAAACTATCCACGTCCGCCGCGAACTCAGCAAGATCCATGTCACTGGGAAGCAGAAACCCATCATGACCGTTATGATTATAATTAGGTGATGATGAGCTCACTTTAGAAACATCACCAGTATTAGCTAATTCGTAATTAGCAACTGCTTCTTCATTAGAATTAGCAGAAGTGGTAGCAGTGCACATCTCCGCAACAAAGGGATCGAATACGGGAACCCTATAAAGAAGCTGCTGCTGATCTTCTTCGTTCTCCTCGTCATACGAGTTGCTATCGTCTGCCCCAACTTCCGGCACCTGAGGAAACCGGTTTCGGGCACCTTCTTGGCATTTGTGCTTCCCCTGCCTCGGCGTCCGGGCCTTCCGCCTGAAGCCACGGTGCCACGATGGTGCTGCTGGGTTGTCCGAAACAGAAACTTGATCATCCTTATCGGTGGGTTTGAGCGACGACGCCGTTTTCAAGAGAACCCTTTCGTGTCTGCGAGCTAACTGGTTGGCGGAGTGTACGGAGGAGTCACAGGCTTGGCAGAGAAAAGCATCGTCGGCAGCACAGTACCAGCGAGCTCTCTTTCTTATGCAGCTGTCGCACGCTCTTGCCGTTTTGGCACCGACGGCGTTTGCCACTTTCTTGTTGGAGCTCATCGAGGAAAATCAAATGATAACAAAGTTTTGAAAAGTCGAAAGAGTGAAGTAAAATCAAAGAAGAGAAAGATAGAGCAAATCCAAAGAGTGCACAGCAACTGTTTGTTGAATTGTGCTCTTTATTTAGGTAAAGCGCTAGAGGAAGTGGTAAGTGTCCCACACCCTGCGCTTTTACAGGCCATATAACAGCGAAGGCATCTCTTGGATTTGCACTTTTGGGAGAGAGAGAGAGAGAGAGGATTGTACTTTTGGGTCCACACGAATGCCTTATCTATTTTGTAATTGGGCGAGCTTAAAAAGTTGATCCAAATCCTTGGCTTCTGATTGGCTACTTTTCCCCATGGATGGATTTCTCGTTTCTTAGTTAACATGGGGCCCAGCCAAGGGGGGTAATGGATGAGAAGTCCTGTTGATTCCATCTCTCACTTTCTAATTTGAAAGATATGCTTTTGTTGGATTGCCTCCCTCCCCTGCCCCATTTTCTCCATCACTAATATTTACTTCCGGACTCTTACCTTGACTACATGCACTGCGGTCCCACAAAATCACGTGCCCCCAATCATATCTTTCCACATAACGTAAAGATCATCTTCTATCGTATGCATATGATATGTATCACTTGACATTCTGTGCCATTTCTCTGATTTTGATTATAAACTATTTGTCTTGCTGTACCTGATTACAACATTTTCTCTCTCTTGTTCCACATCTAATCAATCAGGATGGATAAATAGTCATGACTTAGAAGTCACTCTTGAATATTAATAGAAAGAGACCGTTTGAATTAAGAAGATGAACTAACAAAATTATATGGAAGAAAATAGAGGCCTGTTTTATTATAATCGGTTTAGACTTGAACATCTCGTAGGCTCGTAGCTAGCTAGCTAGAAAGAAAGAAAAACATATATGTATGGATAAAGCTGATGTGGAGATCTCATCTCATCTGTGACAATGAAACCCAGGCACAAGATTACCGCGAAGAGTCATGAGAGCGGAATTTTCTTGAAGAAATGTCGACATATTATTCCTTGGTTGGTTAGGTTGAAAATTATTTATATTTCTGTAGCTATCTATCTGTAGGGCCTGTATCCCCATCCCTCTCTCTCCGTCTCTCTCTAAAATAATTTTAGAATCTCACTCACTCGTGTATATTTGTCCACTACTACACAACATGCATGTATGGGATAAGGTTTGGTAATTATGATAAGTTTTGCAGAATTAACAAGTTTACCGACGTTTCTTCTTTCTATTTTTCCCGTATGATATGGGCCGATATTACATAATATGGTTACAAAAAATAAAATATTTATAAAAAAAGTTGCGTTCTAAAGAATTTTCTGAAAATTGTTGCATTAACTTAAAGAAAACTAATATATGATATGATCGATGCGACAATGCACCAATTAATTGATGAGTTCGTAGTTGACGCTGTAAAAAGATAAAGAAAAAAAACAAGCATGTGGTAGCGGAATGTGACAATTATGATTATGTAAGAAAAAAGAAAAAAGAAAAAGAACGGTAATCTTACTCTACGGCCCATAGGGATATTGAAACCCGTGAAGAAATTATGCACTGGGCCTCGCCCTATTACAATTTTTAAGTCTCTTTGGTTGGGCCAGAAGGCCCACAACGAGTGAAACCTGAGAACTGAAGCGGCAACAAGGGTAATTTCGTCAACAAGAAATCCGATCGCCTTGTTGGCTGGCTGTAGGGTTGGCTATTCTGCTGAGCTGCTGAGGCAAGCACTGTTCCCGTTGAAGATCAGAGACTCGCGCGCAGTCTAAAGGCTCCTTCTTTGGGTAAGTTTTTACTTGAAACGTCGTCGTGCTCCGATTATTTGGTGGAAGCTTACAACTTGCTTCACCTGCATATATATGTTATCGTTGACATTTACTTCTTTTTTGCTTGAAATTATGAGCAGGGCTGAATTGCACTTATTCAAACTTTAACATGAGAATTATATTGTTTTTATTTACTTTTCTGTAATTAATAAATTTGATTACGGAATTGCAAAGTGCAAATAAGCAAAGCATGTTTCCAGCTTGCAAATGATTTAGAGTAAGATCAAAGTTTTGTACTTTTAAGAGATTTGAATGCAGCCGTGTAGTTGATGTTAATCCAAAATATCAAACATCAAACCCCATGATGCAATATAAGGCGTAGTGAGTTATTGTGCAGCGTGAATAGGCAAATATAGGATGAAGAAGAACTTCCGTTACAGTTTTTTGGTGCCACATCAATTTCGTATTTGTTTGTTTGCCCGAAAGAGGATGGGTTGTTTGAGGACTTGAGAGGGCTTTATGGTTTTCATGTCTAGTCATGAAGGTGGTTCCATAGGTTTCCATAGATTTGACTCAGTTGATTAGTCATAAAGCTTTTCAGGTAGCATCCAGCAAAATAGGATGGTTTTCTTTTATCATTTTGCTCTTATTTTCCACCAGGTTATCTAGTTCTTTTTTGTGTTCTAGATTTAACTTCATTAATAGATTTTGTTAGCCTTAGTTGGCGTTGACTATTTCGTCGATGTTGGTTGCAACTTGCAAGATCAATTCGGATGACTACGCTCCCAATATTACAAAGTTAAAGAAACAATAGAGATGATTAAATAATATTCTCTTCTTTTTTGTTTAGATTTGTGCTTAGGTTACTTTGAAGAGACAAATTGAGATTGGCATCTGAGGTTTGTGTTTCTTTTAGAAAGAAAGAGATAGGGCTTCATAAGTTGATTTCGTTTACAGAGAGAAAGAGATTGGAATTCATAATTTGAGGTCATTTAGTTGAGTACTTTTAATTACAAAATTTTGGGATCACATTTAGTTCACATGTTTGAGAGTTGTTAACTATTAAAGTCTTGATCCCTGATCTGATGAAAGTGGAAGATATTGTAACATTCCGTGCATCTCAAATGGTGTTCTTGAAGCAATCGAGGAAGCATGGAATCCACAAAGATTCAAGATGTTTCGTATATTTCCCTTCATTGTTTTGTTTGGGCAGCTCTGTTCCTTGAACAGTTTGACGAAGGATGATATTTTATCTTCTTTCTTAATCTATGTCTCACTTGGTTGTACCAAAATAGTGTGATGATGGTATCACTACTGCAGGATCTCTGTAATGTCCGGGAGAAATCGTATGTCTCACCATGCTGATGGTTATCGAGGTTACCATGATGATCCTCGACCTCTCATGAACCGAGGACCGGGACACTTGAGTGTACACCCTGCAGCTTTGGAAGAAGAACTTGCAATGAAACACAGAGAAATGCAGCGAATCATTGCTGAGAACCGGCTTGTAATTGACGATAATACCCTTCTTCAAAGGGAATTGACAGATGCGAAAGATGAGATTCATAGATTGGGGCAGGTCTTACCTAAACTCCGGGCTGAGAAAGAGGCACAGTCTAGGGAGTTAATTGAGAGAGGATTGAAGCTAGAAGCTGATCTCCGTGCTACTGAGCCTATAAAGGCAGAGGTTATGCAGTTAAGAGCTGAAGTTCAGAAATTAAGTGCTTTGCGGCAAGAGTTGTCTTCCCAAGTCCAAGGTCTGACACAGGAGATAACTCGATTGCAAGCTGAGAATCAGCAGCTAATTCCCATGAGGGCTGATATTGATGGGATGCGAAACGAGCTTGTTGAGACCAGGTTTTTTTACAGTGAACTTTTAATTAGTTTTCCGGCGTAATAATATCTTGCTCTTCTTTTGCCTTTCAGGGAGATGGATGACACATATTAGGACGATACTTGATGAATTTTCAGATACATTAGCAACTGCTTTATTTGTATGCATATGTGGATTGACTTTGCAACACTTTTTTTCAGGAGAGCTTATGAATATGAGAGGAAAGCCAGTGAAGAACAAGTGGAACAAAAGCAAGCGATGGAAAATAACCTTGTTTCCATGGCTCGTGAAATAGAGAAGCTAAGAGCAGAGCGGCTAAATGCAGACAGGAGGGCACGAGAACAAGGTGATCCTTCTCTCTCTTTATGTCTCGCGTGCGCACACACGCACACACACAACTTTGGTGCTCATGGATCTCATACTCTGGGATTTTTAACTTGATCTCTAGAAGGCAAGTTGTTTTGACTCCTTTCTTATCTGTATAGGTGGTGGGGGTTATGGAATGATGAATGGAAGTCCTGATATGAGATATTCACGTGGTTCATATGGCAATGGCTACAGCAGTGGTTGGGGACCTTATGATAAGCGTGGTTCACGGCGTTAATTATCATCAAATATTGAATGGTCGGGGAACTGGTTTGCATATCGCAGTTCTAGTCCTGCTTATAGAGTAAAAAGAACTCTTAAGGTCACAGAAATGAATCAATGTTAAACCTTGTAAATTTTTTTTAACATTGATCAATTATATTGTGCCTATAGCGATGAGGCTCTGAGCAACATGTTCCATAATTTATCCGTAAATTGATTTTTTTTTCCTTCTGATTTTCATTTTGATAATTGTATTTAACATACAACTCAATATAAAGTAGAACAGAATAACCAAAGTTAGTCATTTTATACCGTTATATCAAAGGGCTAGCAATATTTACTATTCCCCGTTGGATAATATAAAACTCTCAGACACGATCGATAACAAACTCTGCATTTCTTTCAAAAGAAAATTTTCGTGTAACAATTTTCATTTGCCAACATAAGGCAATTTCTTAAACTAATAGCTTCTAACACCAAACCAAAAGAATTTATGTAACGAAATCAATCTCGGTTAACCTAAAATTTCCTAAATATAGCCGTCACTGTTACTTGATCAGCACGAGTTTCCTTTTAGAGCCTTAGAAATGACTTGAACGGTGGAAGGTGTTGTCCGACAACAGCCTCCGATGAGTTTAGCTCCTGCGTCACGCCAGCTTGTTGCAAAGCATTCAAAATTGTCGTCATCAAAACTCTTGGCAGGCTGTTCATTTAACACAATCCAAAATTCATTAGTTGATCACGCATCATATTTTGTGTTTGTGTGGATTCAGTGTATGAGAAAGAGAGACGACAGAGAGAGGTTCCAAAACCAGTTGAACTCACCAGCCATCTTTTAGCTTTGCCATCCCATATCTCACCACTATTAGGGTACACAACAATTGCTTTATTGGTTAACTGGAGAAATAGCATCTGTGTTAGATCACTTTCACCTTTTCTTTTGGGGTTGAATTGTTTTCTAGTTTAGAAGTTACCTCTTTAAATTTGCAGATGAGAGATTGAATCAAATGAGGAGGTGCGCAATTTATTCCCACTGCATGTATTTTGTTACTCTTATTTATTATGTCAAGGCATTCCTTGAAGCTCTCTCCGGATGGGGCGTTTTCACCATCTACAGAGGTGAAACATATCCAAGAAGGTATTTGAATGTTTTCTTCTTCGAGCAACTCAACGCAGGCCTGCAAATGTTTACAGAAATCAAGTTAGATACCATCAAGTTCTGAAACTCCATGAAACTCTGCAAAGCAAGATTGGTAGAAGCACAAACCTGAGCTTCAAGCTTATTAGGGATGGTCTCAAATGCAAGTAAATCAGGACCTGCTTCCACAAGAACTTGCAATCTGCGTCGGTGGAAATCCTTGAGCTTATCAACATTCACTTTGGGTCCATAACATCCACTGAAAACATTGACACATCAAAATTATACAATTGAACAAAGTACATAAAATATAATTGTTAGCCATGATTGCAATCTGAAACTTGGGGTACCTATATTCTGAGCCATCAGCAAGAAAAGCTCCATAGCTTCCAATAGAGGCAGCAACCAAAGCCCTGTTATACTGATGCTCAGGTGTCACTTTGAGAGCATCCCAGAAACTGTTGCGAGCTTCAACAGCCAATTTCACACTTTTCTTCAGCAACAACTCCCCTTCTTCAATGGACAGTCCTCTGGACAAAAATCCAGGAATTGTGGCCTATCAAAGCAAATGAAAGGCAATGTGGGTTTAATGAATATAAGAATCCTGCAAACACAGGCGCATCTTTGGCCCACCTAATCGATCGTATTTTTTATGTGAAAGCAAGAATCTTTTTGGACATTTACTGCTGATATTATATGCATTCTTTATCATATGGTAAATGTGCAGAACCAAAAAGAAAGAACAGAGAGAACAAAATTGTGGGTAATGTTATAAATGAGGAAAATAAAGAATTATACCTGGTAAGATGAAGTGACCAGAACATCTGCTCCGGCTTCCAAGTATTCCAAGTGGACCTGATGAAGCAATTGAACCAAAACCCAACATTCATCAGAACCAAGCCAACCAAAGTATGTATATTTATTGTATAGATACAATAATAACAAATCAGGAAATGGGCAATGAGAGAGAGAGAGAGAGAAACAGACCCGCTTGATGAGGTCGGGGTCTTTGATGAGGCAGACGGCGCTCCAGAGAGGGTCGTTGATGGCAGCGCCGTGTCTCTCCAGCTGGGTAGCGAACCCTCCGTCCACCACAGCACAACCTCCTGCTTTCTCTATCACTTCCTCCAACGACGTCGTCGCCTTCTTCAATCCCATCTCTCTCACTATTACTTTAGACTCCAGAGATAGTAGCAATGGAGAAGAAAAAGAGGACAAATATATAAATGCGGGGGTTGTTGGATTGGATTGTAGGGTGTTGTTGGGAAAGAATAAGGACGAAATTGCAAACCAGGTTCAAGTACAATGTCTTGAGCTTGACTGACGCTTTTGCTTCTGTTTTTATTGGGTGTTCCCATTTCCCATTACGTTTTCGGTGTCAAATTTGTCGGGTGGTCGTGAAATGTGATCCGTTTGATGTGTGCATGCATCAACCCAAAAAAATTATTCCGGATCAAACGGCATTTGGACCAGCCCGATCAATTGTGCAGGCCTAGTACCTACGATTATTTACGAAGTTTTAAGCGAAAATTCAATTTCATCACAAAAAAAAGAAAAGAATTTAGTCAAATTAGTCATTGTGTTTGTCAAATCTTATAATTTATAAACATTCTATTGTTTTTTGTTAAGTTCAATTTTTATTTTTATCTTTTTAAGAAGCACCTTCAATCTTCTTTCTCTAACTCAACTAATTGGGGTATATTGTGCTGTTAGGATTTAACAAATTGAGGAACATTTTGAATCAAAATTGAAATTGTGAGGTATAAAAAGAAATGTTATCTTCAATGTAGGAGGGAAGAAGTAGGGCAAAAGGAAAGAAACATGTATGAGAGGGAAATAAGTGGTTGGTGAAGCTGATGAACTGGCCATGATGTGCTCTACTTCACCAACCTAACCAAGACTAAACAATTTACATTTATAATTATAGTTTGTATTTCTATAAATGCATGGAGAATGGTTTATTACATACACACCACCAAGATATTATGGAGGTTCGAATATAAGACTACTAAAGTACAAGTCAAGTTATTTTGTATTGAATTAGACATTATTTGTTGTCTAGAAATATTTCTTAATTTCACTATAATATATATATATATTTAGAGAGCTCAACACAATTTAATTCGAAGATTGTGATTTGAATAATAAAAAAGCATCCATTACTATTCCAAAAAAAAAAAAAAAAAAAAAAAAAAAAAAAAAAAAAAAAAAAAAAAAAAAATTATTAAACTAGAACTAAAGAAATAAAATAGCGTGATATTGGATTTGAGTTGTGTGTAGGGGCCTTGATATATATATATATTGGTAGGGCCAATAGGATAGGCCCAACAATATTGGATTTTGGGTGCCATGTCTGAATATTCAAAGGGCAAGCAAGCATTTGACCTAGGAAAGGAATTATTAATGAATATAGTTATTTAGGCCACCGGCCCAGTAAGGTGGGCAACAGTGCAAGCTCAGCTGGATCTGGATTCCACATTCATGCCATTGCCATGCCCGTCTTTATATCGTGCTTGCTAATGATAGCTGCGGCGGGAAGCAACATGCCCTGCCTCTTCTCTTCCCTTCATATTATTTAATTATTTACTTATTTATGTTCTGACAAAGTTTTCTGAGACTTCTCTTCTCGCGGAAAATTGTAAACTATAGTTGTACTTTTGTGCACAATAAGCCTGTCAGTCTGTCAGCGTGGATTCTTCGCTCATTTGGTGCTGTGTGGGTGAAACAATAAATGTCGCCTGTAAAAAGTAAACAGTATATAATATCAGATTCATGTTTATTTTCTCTCTCTCTCTCTCTCCACCTGTAATGTACTCATGAATTCGTTCACCAGTATATACAATATATTAGTACGTAGTAGGTTTGATGAACTGTTTCAATTGCATAGCCTTAACTACAGGACCTCCTCTTTATCTGCATTTTGGACACCACTGCAACAAAATTAATTAACGAGAGCTATATCCCTTTTTATTTGGTGGTCCACAAAACCTTGTTACTTTGGCATCTTCGTATACATTGATTGAACAAAATGGTAGGAACAATTGTCTTCAAGGAAGGACAATTTCAATTTCGTAAGGTCATCTCCAATTCATGAGGCCAAATTCAAAATATCCCAAATTTTAACTCAATTTTTCTTCCAACCCAAGAAAAATAAGAGGTTAAAATTCAGGAAAATCCAAACTTGGAGCTAAATACCAATACAGCTATTGTTTGAATTGGAAAACTTTTTGGTGGAGCCCACTTAAGACTAACGCAGTCCATGTGTAAGGAGGGGCAATTGGGGCCCACACTACTAGTCATGCATATTTTGTCTCGCCACATGGCAAGCGCTAGTGACATTGCCATTGGAATTCAACGGCAACATTTCAAACATCTCTTTATTTTATATTCCAATAGTAACCCAAATCAACGATCTAGATTAAATTTATCAAACGGTTGGAATTTAAATCAAACGGTCAAAATAATATTTTAAATTAATCTAAATCAGATTTAACCCCAAAACTCACTCCAAACTTTATAAATACTCACTCGTTTCTCAGATAATCTACCAAAAATCATATTTGTGGAGTTTCAATTTTTTTAGGTTAAATTGTTCAAAAAATTAAATTATGAAGTTATTTAAAAAGATTAAATGAAGAAAAGTTATCCATTTTAAAAATTAGACTTAAACCATTCTTAAACAATTTAATAAAGTTGCGAATTTAAAATTTGAGTCTGAAAGGTTGGGTGAAAAAAATATTTGAGTCCAGACAAAACCCAAATAGTTACTTTTGGATGGGAGAAAATGTGGGGTTAGGGCCATTGGAGAAGGCCTCAATTAAGACTACGTGTTGAACAAAATATTTCTATTGCATCCATCTCTCATATAGATGAACCCCATTCAAATATAAGAACATGTATAAGTAGATTCGCATTTGCTATAGCATATATGGTAAATGTAGAACTGGTGAGCTGCATATCACAAATAAGTAGTTGTTGTGTCAATTAACAAGCTCCCATTATAAATAATGTGATGATAGTACTCCATATTTATATTTTTTTAACCAAACAAACGATAGTATTTTATTAGATCAATTGAAAAGGTACATAGAGAGTCATCTTGATTAGCAATACAATGGACATGGATAAAGTTTTCTTGGTGACTAGAGTCAGCTCTAGAGCTAAAACAATCTGAAGAGAATAGATCACAAAGAACTTGTCTAAAAACCCTTATATACCGTCTAAACCTTGTACTAGATCAAGTTAGTTACATCAATGAAAAAATCTAACCGCTAACCGGCATAACTCTCCTAGAGAAACTAGACTACCTATAAAATTCAACAAAATTTATGGGAATTACAAGAGAAAACCAGACAACTCATAGAGTTTATGGACTTTAATAACAGACTACACCAAATCTAAGAAACAACACTTTGCTGTACAAATGATGCACAACCGAAGCCATCTAGAACCATAACAAAAACAACCAAATCTGCCAAGAGGAGAGAAGAGCGCATCATGATCTGCCAAGGCACAAGAGAATACCGAAAATCCAATGGGGAATAAACCCCAAGATCTGAAGCTTCTGGTTCTAACTCTCCTCCACCTCTGCCACACACTTCTCTATGGAAATCGACGGGATCATAGCTAGCTAGAACCAAGTCTGCGAAAAACAAAAAACAAAAAGAGCAAGAGCAAGAGGAAAGCATGGGCAAGGAGGGAGGATCAGAAGGGTGGGGGGTAGCCGCCACCCCTAGGGTTCTTCACTTGTTTTCTTTCTGAGTTTTTTGTTTTTTCTATTATACTACTTATTCATATATATATATATGATCATATATTTTGATCTTATTTTGTGTAAGAGCGATCAACATGACGTTAGATGTAATTGGAACTATATATATGATAAAAATGTACCTACATATGCAAGATTTATAATTTAACACGAAACCTATACGCATATATATATCTATATATATACCAGCCACCTCTATACGATCTTTATTGTAATGAGTTGTGGTACGTAGCTCTTGTAGACGATGACAATATTGATTTTATTCTTTTTTACTTAACGAGGAAAACCTTCAATTCGTAAAGTTTTTTTTTTTCTCTCTTCCATCATCTTCTCCAGGCATTCATTTAGAGAGAGAGAGAGAGAGAGAGAGAGAGAGAGAGAAAGAGGATTGGGCCGCCCATGTTTTCCCTTGGAGAGGAAGATAGATGATTTGATTAGACAAAATTAATGTTGTAGTTCCAGTCAAACGGGAGCTTCTACAGTGGCGGCTTGCATCAATTATCAACATCAGAGGTGGTTATCGATCGCAATTGATATTCTTATCGGAAGACAAGACAGTTTATAATTTGGCATCCAACCCTAAATTCGGTTTCGCTTTTAAATGACTCACGTATATATCATGCCACCGATACGATAGGATACCCCTTCATTCAATTAACAAAATACCAAACAAAGTAGGCACAACCTCACGTGTCACAACAACTAGAAAAACCAAAATCGAATTTTGAAAGGCCATCAAAAGTTAAAAAGCAAGGCATCCTGCTGTTGCTGCACTTACACAACACAAAGACACAAAGACACAAAGGAAAGGATTCATCTAATATTTAAAGAAACAAAATATCATATTGGGAGGAGCCTTGCATTGCATATCAGCACATATATATGTTATTCTTCTTCTTTCTTTCTGCGAATAATCAATCAAACACAACAACTATGTTCATTTATTTCATCAACACCAGTATAATTAAGTTACCTAAGACCAGGCTACGCTACTGATTTTCTTTCTTCTTCTCTTTTCTGATTTTAAGCTCCAACAATAATAAGTTCGACTGTGTTTTCCTTACATATGGAATGCACAATACATCCAAAGCATATTTTAGCTTCTATGCAAATTCATAGGGACGACAAGAAAGTTGAAAAACAAATATAATGAAAACGAAACAAAAGTGATGGATATGGATACTGAACTGAATCAAAGAAGAAAACCCACCACCAATCACCAATCACCAATCAGGGCATGCCTTAACGCAAGCTTTCTTTGTGGTTTAATTTTGATGTTTGTGGGTTTTGATGATTTTCTTAGAGCTTCACAACTTCAGGAATATGAACCGGATACCTATCGATGCAATCAGCCCAAGGCCCCTCCGACGGCGTTTCGATGCTCCGATTACACTTCCAAACCGCACTGTTGCACTTAAACCCACTCCCGAACGCTATCTGCCAAACCCTATCACCTTTCCTCATCCTCCCCTTCGCCTCAATGTACCCCAACTCGTACCACAGCGAAGACGACGACGTATTGCCAAACCTATGCAGCGTCATCCTCGACGCCTCGCAGTGCTCCGCCGACAGCTGCAGGTTCTTCTGCAGCTCGTCGATCACCGCCCTCCCTCCAGCGTGGATGCAGAAGTGCTCGAACGCCTGCTTGAAATCCGGAATGTACGGCTTCCATTTCGGGTTCACGATTTTCCTGCCGATCAGCGTCAGAAGGAAGAGCAACTGCTCCGACGCCGGAAGCACCAGCGGCCCCATCGTCGTGATGTTCGATTTCAACGCCTCTCCTGCGATCGCCATCAGATCTTTCGAGAGCGAAATCCCCACTTTGCCCTCCTTGTCCTCTTCCTCGAACACGCACCGATACGCCTTATCGTCAGATCCCTTGTGGGTCCGGACCACGTGGACCAATCGGTATTTGGCGCGTCGGCGCTCGGATCTTCGGTTCGATAAAAGCAAGGCGGCCCCACCCATCCGGAAGAGACAGTTGGGCAGAAGCATAGCCCGCTCGTTGCCTTGGTAATAATTAGGGGTTATGATCTCGGTGCTAACCACCACCGCGTTCGAATTGGGATGCACTTGGAGAAGGTCACGCGCCAAATCGATTGAGATAACGCCGGCGCTGCAGCCCATGCCGGAGAGGTTGAAGCTCCTGATGTTGCTCCTGAGCTTGTACTTGTTGATGACCATGGCAGACAGGGAGGGGGTAGGGGAGAAGAGGCTGCAGTTGACGATCAAAATATCGATGTCTTTGGGCTTGAGGCCCGTCTTTTCGAAGAGAGCGTCCATGGCGGAAAAGATGACGAGCTCGGCCTCGCCCCTGGCGGCCTCCATGGTGGGGTTGGGAGGGATGTAGTGAATGGCGGGAGGGAGGCAAGTCTCCTCGCCGAGGCCGGAGCGCTCGAGAATCCGCATCTGGAACTCGACGGATTTGGGGTTGTTGCTGAGGATGAGGCGGGAGTGCTCCATGAAGGTGGAGAAGGGAACGCGGCAGGTGACGGGGGGCTTGAAGCAGGCGTAGTCGACGAGGAAGACGGTGCGGGGCTTGGACATGAAGTAGACGGTGGCGATGAAGATGATGAGGAAGGAGGAGCAGAGGATTTGGACTAGGTCGAAGTGGAGGGAGGTCCAGAGCTTGAGAATCTCGTCGGGGCCGAGACGAAGCACCTCCAAGAAAATACCGGCCATGATGGGGATGAGAGTGAGGGTGAGAATGTGGTTGACAAGGTACTGGTAGCCGAGTTTTACATACTTGAGTTTGACGGAGTTGGAGAAGTCCGGCAAAATTGGAGGCATTTTGTGATGTTTGTTTGATATTGTCTATTAGGCGTTGAAGCTAATGCCGCAATGGGCTCAGAGAGAGAGAGATAGAGAGATAGAGCTAAAGAGCTAGCGTAGTGGTGGTAGTGGTGAGGAGGAGGGGGAGGTGAGATATTATGTGCGAAAGGGGGGTGGGGATTTAAAGGCAACGGGACCGAGGCAATGAAGGAGGCAGATGAGAGGATTAAATGGAGGACTTCACGTCACTCAACGCTCACTTAACTTTGGTATTAATATTTCTCATAAATTTGGTTTTCCACATGTAACTAAACCCATGCCCTACTTCCCCTTTCTGCATCATATATTTCTTGTTTTGCCACCCCAATTATCAGCATCCTCCTATATTTTCTCAAACATTAAATTATTAAGTTTGCACTCTAAATATAAAGAAAAGAATTAACTATTGTTAGACTCATGAATACGTGTCAAGTGTTGAGAAATATAATAAAAATACAACTTGAATTAAAATAATAACTAAAAATATTTCCAATAATTAATAGGGAGATTCACTAATATACCCAATATATGAGCCTAAATTATAAAAATACCCCATATTAAATGAACTTTATAAACACACCCAAAGCTCATTTATAACATAACAAAGATGCATTAACTTCTTATAAATTACAAAACTACCATAAATTTCTTAAAACAAGCCCAACCTCAAAATCTCATAAAAATACCCAAAACACTCAATAGGGCATTAAAGTAATTTAATAATCAATATTAAATTCAATAAGGGCAGCTGTCATTTTTGGGGTTTTTTTTGGGTTTGTTTATAGAAATTTAATGATGGAGGGTTTATCTATAATATTAGTGCTAAGAATGGGTATATCACTAAATATCTCTAATTAATACGCACGTTACTTGTTGTAACTAGACTAGCTTCGGTTTTTTATATTTTTGGTCGGAGACTAGCAACGGTTTGAAACTAAAGAATGATTTCCCACGTCAAATATTTTATAATTTTGGATCATCAATCAAGTAATCATGTACGTACTTTCACAGATAAATATATTTGATGCATATCCTCCTCAACTGTATGATGTTCTATCTATTTTGACTTGGGACTCTGACTAAATCACCACTTATAAAAAAAGAAAGAAAATAAAGTCAAAATAAGTCAGGCAGTGGAATTAATTTCCATTTCCCAATTGGCGTGGTTGTTAGTTGTTGTTTCCTTTTATAAATATAAGAACTTCAAGTCGCTTGCCCAATTGACTCTGTCAATACAAAATACCAAATGAAATGAACAAATGAAGAGATGTGAAGTTTTGGGCGACATGTATAAAATTGGAATCCATGGACCGTGGGGTCCAATAAAATAATGTATTCATTTCATGGGCTTATATGGTCAGCTGTAACAATAACAAAAACATGCGGTTATAGTAATTTGTATTAAGTTAAACTTTCTTGACTTGTGTATATATATTCATGAAAAATATAAATAGCTTATATTTACAATGCTGATAGTGAACCATTGATGGTGACGAGACAAAATGATCGTAACCACATATAACGTTGATATACTCTAGGAAAATTTTATGCAGTGATGATGATGGCAACCGTGTAGCATGTGGGTTGTGGTTGATATAGGCAATTCATAATTCATATTACATATTCTAATAAATTATTTCTTCTTTATTTTTCAAAATTTTGTACTCCTCTCATTTCTGCTAACCATGGTAATGAAGACAAAGAAAGAAGAGAATTTACTAGAAGTTTCTAAAGAATAAAGGAGAAGCTAAATGACGTTTTAGTATATATTTCTGATTAATTGTTTAACAATACAATGTACATATATACAGGAGTCCAAGAGATTGTGGTCACCCACCGTTGGATATTAATCTAATCGTTCAAAAAAGTTTCTTAAAAAGAGTACAAGAGTGAGTGAACCGTTGAATTTACATCCAACAGTGAGTGACCACAAATCTCTTGGACCCATGTAGTCCAAGAGATCATGACTTATATATACACACACACACACATATATATATATATACACTCAGTCTCTTTGCTTAATGAATAAGTAACTGTGCTAACAACTGATAGCTAAGCTAACCACCAGTCTAACCTCCTAACAACTTTAACAACTCTAACCATTGGGTAAACACCCCTCCTCAATCTCAGTTAGGCTGCCTAATCTAAGATTGGTACAACGTTTAACAAATATTGGACTATGAAGCCCTTTAGTAAGGACATCTACAACTTGATCATCAGTAGGAATGTATTGCACCAATATAGCGCAAAATCTGTTTAACTAAATGAAATGAACCTCTGTGGGACTGTTCATAAATTGGCAGATATATTAACGAAATAGGTGATGTTTTGTCTTGTAAAAGTTAGGTATTGAAGAACACCAACTATACTAAGGTATATTGATGGTTTTTTTTTAAGGTTCACCATCTGTGGGAAGAACCTATGTGTGAGGTTTAGATGGAGTTAGGCAGGACTTACATGATTCCATTCCAGCCTTGACTAAAAGGTCTTTAGCATACTTTTGTTGACTAATAAAGATATCACCATTAGACTTATAAGAAATCTGTAAGCCAAGAAAAAAGGTAAGTTGACCCAAGTCCTTGAGATCAAACACTGAGCCAGGATCTATAATAACCTATTGAATAACTTGAGAGTTTGAACCTGTGAGAATAATATCGTCAACATAGAGCAACAATACAACTATAACTGAATATGAGATCTTCATAAGCATACTTGGGTCACTATGTGACATTTTGAAACCAAGAGAGGGTAAGTAGCCAGTAAACTTGGTATTCCAGGGCCTTGGAGCTTGTTTTAAATCGTATAAAGACTTTTGCAATTTACACACATATTCAGGATGAGAAAAATCTTCAAACCCCTGTGGTTGTCTCATGTAAACCTCCTCGTCAAGCTCGCCATAGAGAAAGGCATTCTTGACGTCAAGCTGCCTCAAAGACCAGCCATTAATAGATGCCAAACTCATAATAAGACGAACTGTGGTATGACGTACCATTGGATTGAAGGTTTCCTCATAGTCAAAGCCGACCTCTTAACTAAACCCATGTGCCACCATCCGAGCTTTATAGCGAGAAATTGTCTCATCCGAATTTCGCTTGATCTTGTAAATCTATTTTGATCCAAAAATATTTGTATTAGCAGGTCGAGGTACCAAACACCATGTACCCTACATGGTTAAGGCATAAATCTCTTCCTCTATAGCCTTAATCCAAGCAGGAGAGAAAGAAGCCGCACGAAATGTAGAAGGCACATCGAGAGTAGTAGAATCATGTATAGAAGTAAAACATTGATAATCCTCAAAGAACTTATTTTGAGACAGACCAAATTTGGACATGGTAGTCATTGGATGTATGTTCTGAGATGAAGAGAGACTAGATAAAGAACCAGAACTGGCATGATCAATAGGGGAAATGACAACTTGCATTTGCTGATCAGAAAAAACTAGAAAAGAGCCATCAAGAGGCTGAAAAGAAGAAGAAGAAGCATCTGCATAAATGAGATTTGATAGTGCTTCAGGAGATAACTCACCATGAGAGGTAGTGGTGGAGGGATGATTGACATGTGAAGCAAGATTCTCATAAGAAATGACAAGTGTTGAAGGAAAATTAATGGAAAAAGATGGAGACTCATAGGATATAATATTGAAGTGTAAGGATAAATAGTCTCATCATGGATTACGTGTCTAGAGATGACAAACTTATGAGTAGTACAATTATAGCATAAAACACCCTTGTATCCCATAAGATATTCCATGAACACACATGTAGCAGTACGAGGTTGCAATTTATTAGAATTTGTCTCCCTCAAGCACAAATAAACAGCAGTCCCAAACACACACAAATATCTGATATCAGGTAGTTTTTGCATAAGCTGAAATAGGGAGATTGATTGGCTAGAACCTTACTAGGCATCTAATTAATGAGGTAAGCTGAATGTGTCATTGCATGAAACCAGAATTTTTCAGGCATAGAAGCTTTAGTTAAGAGAGTTATGGAAGTCTCTACAAAATGCGTATTTTTTCTTTCAGCAAGTCCATTTTGTTGAGGTGTATAAGGGCATGAGATTTGATGAACAATGCCATGAGTAAATAAAAATTCCCCAAACTTATGACTCATATATTCTCCTTCTCCATCACTTTGAAATACTTCACTGAGGCATGAAAGTGATTGATAATAAAAGAAAAGAACTTGAGAAATATAGAGAACACCTCTGATTTAACACAAAGAGTATATAACCACAGAAAGCCAGTATATTCATCAATAAAGCTTACAACATATCGATAACCCTCAACTAATTTACAATGGATAGGCCCCTATACATCACTATAAATCCCATAGAAAGGAATAATTACCTTATCATGCCTCCTAGGAAAAGGTAAATAATGCATTTTACCATTCAAGCAGTAAGAACACATCTGAGTTGAACAACCTTATTAGTGGGATGACCTAATAGCCTATGCCACAATGAGGAGTGAATTTGTTGTCTAAGAAAAGCCATATTTGGCTACTTATTGGCTACACTAGTTGAAGAATGGAAAGAACATGGAATGGGATACAAGCCATTATCACTTTTGCCTTGGAAGAGAACCTTATTGGTGACTTTGTCCTGTATAGAAAATCCAAATTAATAAAAAAATCATACTGTAATTATTATCACGGCACAAGTGATACACATACAAAAGATTGGCCATGAGTTGAGGAACACGAAAAACTGTAGATAAAGAAAGAGAGGAAGAAGTTGCAATGGGAATATGAGTTGTGTCAATATGATCAATGCGCAAACCTTCCCCATTTTCCACTCTCACTTGATCTAAAGAGGTGCAAGGTAAAGCAGAAATCCATTATTGTCATATGAGGCACCATGTGATGACTTGCCCCACTGTCTACAATCAATACTGCATCAGGAGAGAAAAAAGTTTGAGCCGTCATGGCCGTGAGGGAAGCTGGTGGTAGAGAACCTTGATAAATATAGTTGGAGCGATGGAAATAATCTAGAGCCCCATCGCCCTTTTTGCCACAAATATGACATTCAATTGTGGAAGAAGACCCGTGAGAAGAGGTATTGAAATTGCAAAAATAGCAATTGACTGCGGTGTGACCTCACTTGCAACATATTTGACACTTAAGAACAACACCACCACCAGACGTAGAAGGAACTTGAAACTTGCCTTGAAAACCATGACCAAAATGTCTAGAACTAGAGAATTTGTCTCAACCACTAAAAGCATGAGAAGAAGATCGAACAAGGGGTTGCGAACTCATATATCCAGTATGAAGCATTTAAGGAGTTGGAAGAATACCATCACCATGACTAGAACCAGATAAGGCATGGGAAGAAATAGAGGGAGAGGATTGACTCAGCATACCAACCATAGGTGCATGAGAAGAAAGCATGCATGCCTCAGCAGCTTGTTCAGCCGCAAGCAATTGATTGCAAAAATCTTTGAAGGAAAGCGAAGTGTCAAGAGCAACCAAGATTGTCTTAATCATATCATACTCAAAATGAAGTCCATTCAAAGCTGCAATCATCATATCATCGTCGGACACCGAAACACGAGTGACAGCGAGGTGATTGCGAATGTGTTTGAGGCAAAGCAAGAACTTTTCAATTGAATCAGAGCCTTTATGTGCAGTATGAAGCTCGATTTTGAGATGATTTATAGAAGCACGATAGACTATGGCATATGGATCCGTCAAATTCATCCATGCATCATGTGCCGTCTTGCAACCAATGACACATTCAATCGCATCATTAGATAGCGTGGTGATCAAGCAGCTGAGAAGTGCTTTGTCGATCTTCACCCAGTCCATGTAGGTTGCGGTGATCTCAGAGGTAGCACCTTCCTCATCCAAGATTGCAAATTTCGGCGGTGCAATGCTCGAGCCATCAAAATGGCCAAAGAGATCGTAGCCTTCCATAACAGACTCGAGTTGATAATGCCACTTCAAGAAGTTATCGTCTTTCAACCGGATCATAATAAAACCGAGAATACGATCAAAGAAATCGTGAGAGAGAGAAAGAGAAAGGAATCAAAGAAATCGAAGAAATCAATTGCAGAATCAACAAAAGCGAAGAAATTGCATAATCGAAGAAACTGCAGAAATCAAAGAATTTGCAGAAATTGTAGATATCATAGGGAAAAATAGAGTAGTGGAAGTGAGAAATCATATCCTCATAACCACAAAGAGCTCTGATACCATGCTAACCATGGTAATGAAGACGGAGAAAGAAGAGAGTTTGCTAGAAGTTTCTAAAGAATATATGAGAAGTTTAAGCATTTCAGTATATATTTCTGTTTAAACCGTTTAACAATACAATGTATATATATATATATATATATATATATATATAGGGTTTAGTCCCCTTCTATTGAGGGACGCCCTTTAGGGTACCTTACAATTTTTTTCCTAATGATCCAAACAATATATTTTTTAGGTCTTCATTCATAGATCATCCTTACAAAAAATTAGACAAATCGGAAACCGTTTCGACATCCAATTATGTCTTACAAAATCAATGAACACTGTGCTTCAAGAAAGTACTAAAATTTCAATAACTCAAATGAGTGGTCAAATGATATCGGATTCAAGTAATTTTTTTATAGAGATGATCTTTGAATGAGTATATACAAAATAGACGATTTGGATTAGTAAAATATAATCCGGAGTAGGGCCTACAAAGGGTGTCCCTTAACTCAATATATATATATATACTGGGACTTTGCTTAATGAGTAATTGTGCTAATAAGTAACAGCTAAGCTAACCACTAGTCTAACCTCCTAACAACTCTTAACAACTCCTAGGCCCAGTTTGGGATTGCTGTCACTTTTAAAAAAAGTTGCTTCTGCTGTGCTTTAAAAATAATTAGCTGTAAATTAAAGCAGCTCCGTGTTTGGTAAACAATATTTTTAAAGTGCTGTTAGTACACAAAGCAGTGTCAAAACCGTTTGGTAAGTTTTAATATAAAATTGTTGTAACTGTGAATAATGACAAAAATAGACATGATGTTAAAAGTGTTATGTACTAATCATGTGGTAGTAGTGGTAGTGATGGAGTGGAGGTGGTGGTGGTAGGGATGGCGCTTGTGGAGGTGGTGGTAGTGACAGCATGGTGGTGGAGGTGGCAGCATGGTGGTGGTGGTGGTGTTGGTTGTGGAGGTGGTGGTGGATGTGGAGGTTTTGAAGGAGGTGGTGGTTGTGGTGGTGGTTGTGGTGGAGTTGGTGGTGGTGGAGGTGGTGGTGGTGGAGGAGGTGGTAGTGGTGGTGGTGGCGGTGGCGATGGCGGTGGTTGTGGAGGTAGTGAATGTGGTGGTGTAAGTGGTAGAGTTGGATGTGGAAGTGGAGGTGGTGTTATTTTTTAAAATGAATGATGGTATTTTGGGAATTAAAAAAATTCATTAAAGGTTCATCTCTGCTTCTTTTGAAAGCAGCTTTGAAAAGCAACTCATAGCCTGCTTTTAAAAGCTGCTGTCAAAAGGCCACTGCTTTTAAAATAATCGAGATATTTTATTTTTACCAAACACCTAAAACTGCTTAACTTTAAAGTGAAGCAGGTTTTTGGCGAAAAAAAGCTATCCCAAACAGGGCCTAACCATTAGGTAAATAAGTTCCACGAAGAAATTATTTCAGTACGTACCAAAATAAAATTACTTATTGTTTTGTTTATCAAATAAATTAGTCATTGTTGACGAATACATCCAACATTAGAGAAAACTCACAAGGAAAAATAGGGCACGTTCGGTATTGTTTCCAAAGGCTGTTTTCTGTTTTCATTTCGTGAAAACAACTTGAATTCATGTTCGGTGGTGAAGATTTGAAAACACAGAAAACAATTTCAGAAATCAAATTCAAAGTGTAGTTATAATTTTGAAAACATCAAATTGATGTTTTCATTTTCGCTGTCTTCTACCTTTTAAAGAACCACACTTAGACCAACAGTGACTGGACCCACCACAACCATCACATATCCCGATTAACCACCACAACCACCTACCAATTAAACCCAATTGAACCGGCATCCAGTCGAACCCATTCAACCACTAACGACCATTCGAACCCAAAATTGAACCACCACCATTCAAATCCAATCACTCAGCTGGATATATGCAACTTCAAAGGCATGAAATATGCTGCTTCAAAGAGGAATAAGATAAAACCAAAAGAGGTTGGGAGGGAAAGAGAGAAAATGAGATAAAAGTAGAGAGAGAGATGGGTGGGTTGATGGGATTCATGCCATGGAAGAAACGAAGAGTAGGTGCGGCCTGAAAAGGAAAGCAAGAAGAAAAAAGGGCAACAGTAAGAAAATGAGAAGAAGAAAAAAAAAGAGAAAAAAGAAGAAAGAAAGGTGATAATAGTTTTAGGGCCATCAAAAAATATCCTCTCTTTTTTTCTTTTTCTTTTTTAAATAATTAAAAAAATTAAAACAGAAATTAGTGCAAATACACTTGAAAAATAACTCACATATTATTATTCTCAAATTGTATTACCAGACAAGTTTTCATTATTTTTATTTCCTGAATATGTTTTCCAATTAAACTACTAGACATATTTTCGAATCCTAAATCTAAAAATATTCTTAGAACACATTATCCAAAAACGTTATCAAACGGCACATAAGTTCTCTAACAAATTGTATTTGATTATGCAGAAACAGTTGGGCTTGGGCATATATGTTCACGTACGTTGACCAAAGTTGGAGCAAAGATTTTGCTATATTAAAAAAAAGAGCCGTAGGATTTGTTCATCTTTTTAGCGGTTTGAGAGAGAGAGAGAGTGAGAGATGTTTGACTTAAAAAGAGTATACGAGAGGAATTTCATGTTGACACAAAATTTAAAATCTTGAATCATATTTGATAAATTGTTAAAGAGGATTTACACTACTTGCCAATGAGCAAACATCACCACATTTAAATTAGGAACACTCCAGAAGAAGAAGACGATGTAAATCGTTAAGTGAAACTTAGGTAGATAATAGTCACAAAGTTGTATTTAATTCACACCATGTGTTTTAACGATTGGAATTTGTAGAGGACGGTGCGGTCTATTTTGTAGGCTTCCATGACCCATTTAAGGCTTTGGACAGCTATACCTATTCACAAAATCCAAATTCAACACACAAAAACAAAAGAAAAGGAAATCCAAAAGTGTTTGTTTTGCTTTATATACTGTTTGCCTGATCTGTACATTGCCATCTTCGAATGTATGTATGTTACTATAAACGTTGCAAAGCCCATTCAGACGCAAACAGCATTTGGTGATAAGTTTGATATAGGGCAGGTGAAGAAATTGGGCCTAAAAAGTACCAAATCATGTTAATATTTATTCAGACAGCATGCACAAGATGCATTTCGATGGAACAATAATTATTAGAGGTAGCTCCTTGTTCCCTCAGACGTACGCTTCCAAATTTGAAGACAGTTAACCGTGTCATGAAACTAAAGCAACGTTTTGTATATTTCTTTCCACATCAAAAGCTTATTAATTTCAATCGATTTGCCAACAAATACTTACTTATAAAAGAAAGGAACACGAGCCAGCGTTATATAGCTTTCACATTTCCTTTCTCAAGACTTCTTTTCTACTTGTGTGTCAACATGCAATTTCACGTGGCATTTTCAGTCCAGTCGTACTAGTGTATTTAAAGAGAGGGGGTGATCGATCGATGATGTGGATTGAAGTTGCATGTGTGAAACTGTGAGCCACACGACCATCATGGATCATGGTCCCTCGTTCAGAACGTGACGTCTGTGCATGCAGATGATCAATCTCATCTCTTCACTCCATCCCATCATCACAACTCTAAATTTTTACGGTTTGGCGGTGTGAAAAATAATGCATTGGCACAATGGCACCTGTCATTACATCAATGAATAAATAGAGTTGATTTGAGAGACGAACCAACCAGCGCCCAACCACCACCGTACCCTTTACCCGCCATCTAGACAACCGATTCGTTTGGCGTGTTTCGACTTTTTAAACGTAGCAATTAGACTTTTTAAACGTATTAAGATACGATTCACTGGAGTACGTACTATTTTGACAAACCCGGAAGACTGTTGGGATTGTGGTGTGAGCATAAGCCTTCATAATTCAGCCCATATTACTAACCCACTTGGGCCAGTTCAAATTCTTAGCAACCCAGAACGCTCGTCTTGGGCTTAAGGAAAAGTTATATCTTAATCATGCCAGTAGTGCTGACTTGCAGGTGAAATTACCCTACCTCGTAGATTGAATGAGTTATCTACCAAGATGCTTCACTTAAAATAAGATAAACAATGGCGTGTGAAGTAATAATCAAATGAAAAATGTACTGCGCATGACCATCACTAGTCTTTATTTGTTGATAACATCCTTATCACCACTTCATATATAAACAAATTCTAATTACAGAGCAGAACAGAACAGAACAGAACGGAGAGATAGAAAGATGCCAGAATACTGTGTAACTGGAGGAACAGGTTTCATAGCTGCCTACTTAGTCAAGGCTTTGCTTGAGAAGGGTCATCTTGTCCGGACCACGGTGCGAGATCCAGGTATTTATGCTCAATTCTGATTACATCGCGATGTAATTGCATTATATACATACCTATATTTTACAAGTGGTACTATTTTAAATTTTTTGTCCCTTTGATAACAGAGGATGTGGGGAAGGTTGGCTTTCTGTGGGAATTGAATGGAGCCAAGGAAAGGCTGAAGATGTTCAGAGCTGATTTAATGGAGGAAGGAAGCTTTGACGAGGCTATTCAAGGGGTTGATGGGGTTTTCCACACTGCATCACCTGTGCTTGTTCCATATGACGACAACGTTCAGGCAAAGCTAGCTACTATTTGAACCAACCCTAGTCATTATTACTACTTTCCTTGTGTACAGCCGGTCCTGAGTTTTATAAGGCCCGGGGCAAATTTCTAGAGAATGCCCTTTTAGACAAATTAAAAATTACAATTACAATTTTTATTTAATCAACAATTTAATTTTATTAGATGACATTTTTTAATTTTTATAAAAACACGAACAATAACAATAAAACTAATGAACAAAGAATAATAAAATTTGGATTTTGGGCCTTTTTTTTCTTTAACTTGAAACTTCAAATTTCCAATTGTGAAGAACAAGAATCTCTGTTGAGTTTTTTGCTAAATCAAATAAAAAGAAAAATAAGTTAACAAAGATGTCTCTTACAAAAATCCTATTATACATCTATTTATAAAAAAGAATGACACAAAGAAAAGACCTTCAAATTGCTAAAGTTTCCAATGTGTGTTGCTGCCACTGCAAGGTCTTTTTTTGGTTAAGATAAGAATTTTGTTTGGTTTTTTTTTTTTTTTTTTTTTTTTTTTTTGTTTTTTTTTGTAAACAACACACTTTGTTTTAGTTTCATTTTATTTTTTTTTTTTTGTTTTTTTCTATTATATCATTTATATTTTAGTTTCCTAGAGAATCTAAAAGAGGTTTTTGCTACCATGATTAATGATTACGTCTACTTCCTTCTAGGACACTAATGGTTTTGAGTTTTTTTATTTTATTTTATTATTTATAAATGTAAATATATAGGCTAAAAAAACCATATTTTTGTGCCCCCTACAATTTTGGGCCCTGGGCTAGGGCCGACTCTGGTACAAAACAAAGCTTAATAAATTGTTATTGTGTTAATTATATGGCAGGCAACTCTGATTGATCCATGTATAAAGGGCACCTTGAATGTGCTGACTTCCTGCTCAAAAGCACGAGTGAAACGGGTTGTGCTCACCTCTTCTTGCTCTTCGATAAGATATCGTTACGATGCCGTACAAGTCTCTCCGCTCAATGAATCACATTGGAGCGACCCTGAATACTGCAAGAACTACAATGTAAGCAATTATAAATCCTTCCATATTGTTAAGTTTTCAGAACTGAACATACTTAATAATATGACATAAATGTTGTTTGCATATACAGCTTTGGTATGCTTATGCAAAGACAATAGCTGAGAAAGAAGCATGGAGAGTGGCCAAGGAGAGCGGAATGGATCTAGTGGTGGTAAATCCCTCATTTGTGGTCGGTCCTCTGCTAGCACCACAACCAACCAGCACACTGCTTATGATACTGGCTGTAACAAAAGGTTAGGCTTTGCATCTTCCACCAAGTAGATGCAGGGTTAATGCCCTTTTCCAGCCACAACGACATCTAAGTTAGAATACAATTGGTGTTGTGTAAGTTCTTAAGTATTGTAATTTCTGTGTTAGGTGCAAGAGGTGAGTATCCAAATACAACAGTAGGGTTTGTGCACATAGATGATGTGGTATCTGCACACATCTTAGCCATGGAGGAGAGCGAAGCATCAGGCAGGCTTATATGCTCAAGCTCTGTGGCACACTGGTCGCAGATCATTCAGATGCTGAGGGCCAAATATCCATCCTATTCATATGAAAGCAAGTGCGTAGAAAATAACACTATTAACTCATTGTGTCTTTGTTTTTAATTAATATGGAACATTATTTATGATGGAATATTGTAGGTGTAGCAGCCAGAAAGGAGACAATAACCCCCACAGCATGGATACCAGTAAAATAGCTCAACTGGGGTTTCCTCCTTTCAAAACGCTTGAAAAGATGTTTGATGACTGCATCACAAGTTTCCAAGAGAAAGGATTTCTATGAATTGCACGATGCTTTTGTGTGTTCCAAGTCTTCTTTTTATGCTATGATATGCAATCTAGTTTAGTGTTACCTCATTTCAGCCCTCGATAACGATGAGCATAATTGCTGGCTTTCAGTTTTATTCAATCGTTGAGTTCAAGTCCCCAATCTATAGTATAGGTCTCACTTTCTGAGTAAATAAGTTACAAAGCAGAATCCTGATTCCTGATTCCTGATTCCTGATGTGTGTTTCGTTTTGTTTATCTTTTCCTTTTACTTTCGTTATTATTTAGTTTTCCCGTTTGGTTGGTCAAAGTTTGCAATGCTTTGTGACTTTTAGCCTTTATATTTTTCTCTTCAGCTTTTGACTGGGAAGTTTTAACAAAAACTTTTCACAGATTGTATGATTTTTCTTGAACCCTTTACCAAAATGCCAGAATTCACAACCCCAAAATGCACTTGTGCTGAAGAGTCCTTAAACCTCTTCAATTGTGCCAAAATACAATACAGATCGAAATTTATTAAAGTTTATCATGCATAGTGAGCAAAATTAATATATTTATGTGACAAAAAGCCTTCACATTGAAGGGGAAGAAAAATTCTTCACAAAAGAGTTGTGAGAGCATCTTCAATAGAGTTGTCATCCCCTCATCCCTAGCTAGCTATTTTGTCAAAAAAAAAAGGATAAGTGCGACTCCAACCGTGTCGCTACCTCGCTCACCATTTTGGAAAACATAACTTTGGCTCGCTACATTTGGCTAGGAGGAGAGAGAAATTCAAGGCTCACCATCTCCTTGCAATAGTAAACAAATTCAAATTCAAAACTTCAAAGTCTCCACGTCTTCTTTCTGTTAGCTCTCTCTCAACCGGTTTCTCTGTTTCTCTCCCTCTCTTTGAACTTTGAGTGGTATTTCCAGGTGAGATTTGAAAATTCCCTCTTTATTTATGAATTCGTTTGAAATTTGTATATGAGTTTTTGCTTGGAAGTGTTTGAAATTGATATGATTTACCAAGTATTTGAATATTTACAATGAATTCAAGTTAGCCAAGGTTCAAATTAATGCATTTTTATGGTTTGTGTTGATTGAACTTAATTATGCCTGCAAAATGTTCAATGGGTGGCTTCACAGAGCTTCTCATTAGTTTTTGTTAAGAACTTATCCTTCTCTGCAAAATTTTTTAAATTGATTTATAAACTTAGTTGTGGTTGTATTTCTCCCCACTTAACTTGTGGCTAATGGTCTTTGTACCTAATTTATGAACACAATTATTGCTTTTCTCTCTAAAAAAAACCTTGGCAATTTGGGATATAACTGTGTGAGCTACTGCTCGTCATGGGTTTTTCTTCGAATCAAAGAGTTATAGTCAGAGTTTCACTTCTCTTTAATATGAGAAATCATAATGAAAAATAATGAAAGAGCTTATAAACTCAGGTGAATTCCCTTAACTTTTCGACGTGGGACAAATATGAAGGTTCTACCCAAAAATCAATTGTTGAAATTGGGAACTTATAAAATGATGCACGGAAAAAATCATGAAAAGTGGGGATCGAGATTTTTGAGTTTAAGTTCCACCAAAAGATGCATCATTTGGCAATTTCTATTCATCATTAATTCGTTTTTTCATGTAATTTTTGTCATTTATAAAATTCGACATACCTGAATTGAAACATTGAAATTATTAATTGCCAAAATTTAAACAATGGAGATTTAAATTCTGTCATTTAAAAACTCTATATAATTTTCAATTCCTTCATCCAAACCGAGGGTTATGGGTCTATAAAACAAAAAAGGAAAATTAATGGTAACTTGCAAATGGAAGAATATTACAAACTAATTAGCCTACCTCGTAGATGAATGAGTTTAGGGGGTCCGGATTGGATTGTTTTTACCTCCAAATCATGACCGAACCAATTACAATATAACGATTTTATGCGGTTTGATTTTGACAAAAATCACGGGGGAAACTGAATCAAACTAAACCAATTTAGGACTGCTTGGTTTAGACTGAACCCAATTTTCTTTCCTTTTCCATTTTTTCAACATAATTAACCCAATTGCAACAAAAAAATTCACAACTTGCTACATTATTATTATTATTATTATTATTATTATTATTTCATTTTCTAGCACATATCAAACAATTCTACAACTCAACATCTGATAAAACTTCAAATTTGTATAACTAATTTAGCTACAATTCAAATATCAATAACGACAAAGATCTATCAAACTTCAAATTCAACATCCATATCTAATTATAAATTAATCAATGGTGATGGAATATTGTAGGTGTAGCAGGCAGAAAGGAGACAATAACACACATACCATGGATACCAGTAAAATAGCTCAACTGGGGTTTCCTCCGTTTAAAACGCTTGAAAAGATGTTTGATGATTGCATCACAAGTTTCCAAGAGAAGGGATTTCTATGAATTGCTCAACGCTTTTGTGTGTTCCAAGTGTTTTTTGTATGCTACGATGTAGTAAATGTAGTGTTACCCACCCTCGATAAATATATGAGCATAATTGCTTGCTTTCTGTTTTTCTCCAATCTTTATAAGCTCACAAGAAGGTTAAGTGCCAGTTTGGCATTGCTTATTTGGGGTGATAAGTGATTTTTAAAAAATTTTGAGAAGCCCAACCCGTTTGGTAAACTGCGAAAAAATCACTTATTGTTAAAAATTGCTGTGAGAGAAAGCTATAAGGGAAAGCAGCTAATGAGGTGCTTTCATTTTCTGATTATGCAGGAATCAATTTCGAAGATGTGTTGGGTTTAATGATTATGCAGCAATCATTTTCTGATTTTGCGTAAAATCAATACCAACAACACTTTTAACAAAAATGTTACCAAACGCCAAACTGTTTTCTCTCATAGCTGATTTCTCTCACAGCAAATCTGACAGCGATTATTTTCACAGCACAGCAATGCCAAACTGGCCCTAAGTTACAATTTACAAAGCAGAATCCTGGTGTGTGTTTTGTTTGTTTTCTTTTTCTTTTTTCACTTTTCTTATTATTCAGTTTCCCCTGTTGGTTGGTCAAAGTTTGCAATGCTTTGTGACTTATATATATTTTTCTGTTCAGCTTTTGACTGGCAAGTTTTAATAATGGCTTTTCATAGAATGTATGATTTTTCTAGGTATTTACAACAATGCCAGAATTCACAACCTCAACATGCATAAAACAGTTAGTAAACTGCTTCCCTCCTTCTCTCTCCTTCTTACAAATCACAATTTCCGTATATACAAAAGTAATTCATCAAAATACAAAAAGAGAAATTTATGCATGCATGTCTATGCATATCACACTGCTATTATTAGAAATGTAGAAGCTCATACTTACATGATAAGGAGGGAAGTACTTTCCAAAAAGTTATTATTAGTGTGACCAAAACCAAGTTATTATTAGTGTGGCCAAAACCTTGAGAAATTATAGAGTAATATGGTATCACCGCGTTATCCAGTGATGATCCCATTCAAAATCTGCCACGTGTCCTTTTTAAACAGAAAAATAAAATGGATAAAACCAGAAATGTTCCTAAACATTAAACCAGAAATCTTCAACAACATCTCTTATGACGACAACCGACTAGTGAAAGAAGGGTAATAATTGATGTCAGGGGCAAACAAATAAATGGGTTTTTTGTTGTTGATATGTTAATTTTTTTCAACCACTTTTTGGGTGGTGTTGTTTGATGTTGGTATTGTTGGAGGGGGATGGCAGCCAAGGGGCTCTGCAGTGCGAGGTAGGCAGATTGCCGACAGGAGTACCCAGTTTTTCAACTTTTTTTAAATTAATTTAAATAATTTTATTCAGGGCAAAGTTGGAAGATAAAGTCCAAGTATAAATTTATTTTATTTTTCTGCTTAAAAAGAACACATGTTAAATTTTGAATGGAAGTATTACCAGTTGACGTGGTGATACTGTATCACTCCATAATTACTCAAAAACCTGGGCGACCTGAGATACAGCTGTGTAACTGCTGCTGGTCAATGGTCATGGGTTTTTCTGCTAACAAAAAGGCCAGAGTCAGTCAGACTTTCACTTGTCTTTAATATGAGTAACTAGAATGAAAAATAATAGTTCCATTACCCCACTCGTTCTCAGCTGCCACTGCCAGCCCCTATCTCATTAGTGGCACAAACATCATCATTAACAATTGTTAATTACGTTACCATTCCCATAGCACGTTTTTCTTCTTTTTTAATGTTAAAATAAAAAGGAAAACGCATTTATTCGCATTCCATTACCAATTGCGAGCAAGAGCAAGCAAAGTTTGTGCTCTTTAATTTTAGTTTGAAGCCTTCAAGCTTCAAGCTTACCTTGAGCGTTTCGTTTTTTCCACAACCTAAACCCATGAACCTAAAACCTCTTTTCTTCTTCTTCAAACGTCTTCGACAACGTGTAGAGAAAAATATGGCTAAACCAACACCCGTCGAACAAAACAGCCTTAATTCTAGAAATAAGATGCTAGAAGTAGTGGAACAGTTATGCAGCTAGCTCGAGACCTGATCAATTATTTGTTTGCCTTTCAGTTAATCAAGAATTAATCAAGCGTCTTTAGCCATAAGTAACGGGAAAAGATTCTCCTTCTTTTTCGTAAATAACTGATATGACAAAGTCAGCAAAAACAACCAGCCCCCCGGACTTATTAATTAGCTTTAATTGATATAATTAAGCTTAAATGACTTTGTGACAAAATTTAAGCTTGGTGACTCATAACGCATAAGTTACGAAAGCGATTGAGGCCAAACACACACACACCCTATTACTTTATGGCTGCATCCGTCATAGATATCACTGTATAATGTCCCAATAATTGCTTCTCTAACCCTATTTGTCAAAACTAAAGTCCACTCGACATGTTTAATTCAACCCTAAACATTGGGCAATAACACAAATTGGAAATTGGACAAGACAATTACAACATACAAAATTTGCTCTACCCACTAGTGGCATTGAGTTGATGGATGCACCATCTGTAGCATGTAGCAACAAATTCTTCTTGAATCACTGAGATTTTTCCTTTTATCGTTATCGTGGTAATTTGATATCCTTGAAATTCAAATGACATTCAAATTTCCGTCTAATTTTGTGACAGGATAAGTACATGGGACGTAAAGAGGTATTTTGAATGAAATTTGCAGGAATTTGATAAAATTTGTAACATATCTTTGAATTGCGGGTGATGAATTACATACACCAAAAATGACTAGTGCCCGTAACGTTACTGGATATTCACTTAAGAGCACATGACCAAGAAACAGACGCATTGAAGCTGTGTCACCAAACACCCCACGGTTAGTGAATGGAGCCACTGATGAGTTGGACCAAAGGTGGCTGAGGGGTGCAATTGGATTACAGCTAGCTCAAAAGGAATTGAAAGATATCATCTTTTTACTCTGCCTCTGGTTGAAGATATACTTTGTTTGGCAAAAGAAAATCCAATCCAGGCCCCACATCTTCTGCTACAACCTTCGTACGTTTTTGAGAAGAATAGAACCAAAAAGCTTGGGAGAAGCAAAGGGCTGCACTCTTTAGACCCCTAGTCTATCATATCCCATAGAAACAGAGGGACCAGTAAAATAAACAAAGGAAAATAGAAAAGTCCCCATCTCCATTGGTATCAAAGAATTTTCTTGGCAATAACTACTGAAAAGACTTGAGAATAAAGGAGAGCACGAGGTTTGTGCTTCTTCAACGGACAGGATTCACACAAAGGGCCATGGAGACATGAACAAAGAATTAAAAGCAGTTGCAGAAGACATTAATGAACGGCAACACCAGCAGAGATAAGATAATACAAATCAAATTGAAACATTGAACATCATTTTAAACAAAACTCTGAATTAGGTAGAGCAAATATTCATTGTAAAAACTCATGTTCATTACTACATCACGGAGAAAAGAAAAGAGAGAAAATAGAGGACATTTGCAATTTTGCAGAGACTCCTCTGCTTCAGATAAACGTAAAAACCCTTTCTGCTACAAATATGACAACCCTTGGACGGCTCGAATAGCACAAGAAAACCCAAGGACTCACACTCAGCACACTACAATGCCGCTCATTTCTCTCCAAATCTTCTCTATAACCAACGAATAAATTAAACCCTCACATAAAACCACTCATTCTCAAAAACTCATGTTAGAATTCCTGAGATTTCACCTATTTGCTGCAAAATCATAACTGATAATATTAATAATTATAATAAGAGGCTAAACTTAGATACTCCTAGCTGCAAAACTTATTGGCATGCTATGTTGAGGGGTTCATCCAACCAACAAGAGATATCATCCTTGCCAAGATCCTCGAAGTAAAAGTCAGGAAGACTGGTAGGCTCATAGCCATCAATCCCACCAATCTGGACATCCTCAATGCTACTGAACTCGTTGAAGAACTTACCAAACTCCTCCAAGCAAAGCGAGTCAAGCTCCGGTCCCAGGCTAAGTTCATTCTCAAATGGAAGCGAGCCCAAAGGATCATCCAGAAAACCCAAGTCGGGTATTTGCAGTTCTCCAAGATCAGGAGAATCATCGACGACCTCCTTCTCCAAATCAACAACATTTCCAATGTTATTGGAAGCCGAAGTCTCCAAATCAAGAACCGAAGCAGGAGACCTTCGAGACAAGGCAGAGTCAGAGTCCTCGGAAGAAACAGGTTGTTGGATGTTGGCGTAGGACATATGAGACACAACGGCAGACGATGAGGTGTTGTTGCTTTTCTCAGAGCTGGCGGCCGGAGCAGCTGTTTCCCTGGCCCACAGTTGTTCGAGCTCAAGCCTCTTGGCCTCATAGGCCTTGGAAGCATCTTCTGGGGTGTTGAAAGTACCCAACCAGGTACGACGCCCTTTGAAAGGGTCACGAATCTCAGCGGCCCATTTTCCCCATTTCCTTTGCCTTACACCTCTGAAAGGTGAAGAGGACTGTCTCCTTGAAGTTCTTGCGAAAAACCCCACCTTGGGTTTTGGGGTTTTGACTCCATTGTTGCTGTCTTGACATGAACTCTCGGGCTCTACGACGACCTTAGCTGGAGGGGTGAAAATGGGATGAAGATTGATTTCATGAACTATTCGTTTTGGTTTTTTGACATAGCTTCTCCCCCTCCCTTCATCTTCGCTCGAAGATGATTCATCAGTAGCATCAGGATCGTAACAGATAATACGAACTTTCCTCACCTTCTTGGAGTCTTCAGCAGGAAATCGGTCTTCCTTAAACTTTCTGAAACCATTTCGCTGATTCAGCGGTTGCTTCCGAGGCTCCGGCATTTCCTGAAACCGGCTAAAAGAAAACTAGCGTCTCTCCAAAACCCCTCAAAAATACCCAGAAAATAAAAAGGCGAAGAAAACAAAATTAAACTTGAGATTTGAGATCAGGGTGGTGGTATTAAGTTAGATCCCCTCTCAGGAATAAGAAGAGGAAAGAAAATCGTTTTATATGAAAAGCCCCAAAGTATTGTAATCCAGAACAAGTCCTGCATATTGAAAAACAGAAACAGCGAGGTAAGATTTAGAACAACCAAAAAATGAAAAACCCACAAGGGTTTAACCGAGGTTTTTCAAGAAATTAGCAAAAACCCACATACCTTTTTGGTCTCAAACTCATCGAAACAGATGAAATCACCGGGTTCAATCTCTGCCGGAACCAGCAGAGAAGCATAAAGCAGATGGCAAGGCACGCAGAGAAAGAAGATGAAGTCAAAATCCAGAGCTTCAACAGAGCCCCAATCACAGCCAAAGCAAAGCTAGCCGACATAAATCTCTCTACACAGCCTCCTTTCACTCTCTGTTCCTCAGAGCAAACCCAAAACCCTTTCTGTTGTTTGTGTACTAACTCTGTGAAGGAGAGAGCCAAAGCAAAAAGGAGATTGTTAGAGGCAGTGATAGGTAGATATAGCACACCAGCAATACCCAAAAGCTCAGAGCTTGGGTCAAAAGGTGAGAGGATTAGGAATCTATGGCCACGATTTTCTCTCACAAAAACGTGCCAGAGAGTGGTTAAATAGTTACTATCGATTTTACAGTCCAGTTGTAGAGACCGCCTCAGATGTACACACAGTACAGACTACGGAGACATAAAAAATGGAATAGAAAATCAGAGTAAAATGACCTTCACAGATTCAACAAAGCAAAAATTTCCATGGATTTTAAAATCCCAGACAGAAAATTAAATATATAAATCCATATTGCAGATACCTTTGTTTCTTTGCTTTCTTTCTTGTTTAATATTCTATTCTTCACGTCTCTTTCTCTGCCTGCCTTACAGATGCAGTGTTGGCTCTCTCTCTCTCTCACTCTCACTCTGCTCTCCTACAAGGCCATGCTTCTCTTCCTTTACTATGCGGTCAAAAGTATGATATTAAAATGAATTTTTTATAATACTGATTTCTTTTTTGGAAATTTTAATATATGGAAGGAGATGATCAGCTGGCATGGGCCTTGGGCCATGGCCCATACATGATGCATGACCATCCAAGCTCAGGTTCATGCATATCATATGCCACAGTCCCACTCGACAGCTGTGTTCCACACTTTCCAATCGTACGGCTCTGGTTGGCGTATCGGGCAGTGGTTAGGTGGAAGAGACACTCCGCGCAGAGACTCTGTACGTTTATCGAGCGAATGATGATCCACGCGCTTCTTGCGAGCGTGGGTGGCTATGCGGTTTTGTTTAGCAAACGCCGCACCGCGAGTCGGCAACAGGAAATTTATTGTACTGTGGAGCGATTATTTAGGTTTCTCAGCTATTTTTAGACGCTAAAATAGGAATCGATATTTGACATATTTACGAGATTGTCTATAGATAGATATGGACCATATCCTGTTTAGTTATGAAGTTGATTTTGGTTTTTACTTTCCTCCGGAGACAACAAATCTTATGAAATCAGAAATTAAATACAATTGGACTTTAGTAAATAAAAAGATAACAAAATTAGCATACATAGGTCAGATTATATTTCAATCAAAATTTATGTTAAAAGTCAACACTAGACAAAGCAAAATATGCGATTTTAAACAAATACGTAAATAAAAATAAACTTGATTGAGGTTTATTCTCACTTTTGATTATATGATTCAATATCAGGTTTTATGTCCCATTGTATATTATCAATAAAAAACCACTCATATTGTTAACATTCCTATCAAATATAAAATAAAAATACATTAGTTAATCCCCTACCCTACATATTAATCTGATATATTCGAGATGTTGAAGTCAACAAAAACCATTTATAGATTATTTTTTTAAGGATTTTTCCTATTTAGAAGGATGAGAGTATACTAAACTTACACACATTAAACGCAATGACCTTTTCTATTTATAGATATTTTGACCCCAAAAAAATTTGATCATTTACATATTTACTGCTTCACCTCAATATAAAAAACTTCAATTGTTTCAACACATCTCATAATCTCAAATATATCAAAAAAATCTTTGGAAAAAGGAAGTTGCATAACAAAATTTCTTGAAGCAGGCCGCACAATAATATGATACATTGAAGCTGTTGAGTAATTAATCAGTTTACTTATCAATTAATGAAATTAATACACGATTTAATTACCCCAAAAAAGGAATTAATTGAATTTAGAAAACTAATTTATTTTTGAACGACTTACTTAACTTCCAGGGAATATGTATTTAAATGTGCCATTAGATAATTTAAAATAATCTTTTCCAACAGAAAAAAAAGAGAAGAAGGGATAATTTACAATAATAAAAAAAATCAAAATATAAAAAGTGGATTTCCCCAATCAACGGAAACCTCGGTGGGAGCAGAGCAAATGATGAAACCGACCTCATCATAACATAACTAATTTGCTGATTATTTTTTTGATAAGAACAATTTCCTGATTATGCTAATTAGAAATGTGATATTCATTTTTTTTCACAATGTGTGGGTCCTGATGGGATTGCCATTCCGAGAGCACACACACCACGTGACCATGTGCAGATCGAATTTCGAAAGCAGCAAAAGTTGATCCGACGGTCCGTACGCTTGCCTGCCCAAGAAAAAAAATGGCTGTCCCACATCCCAACCTACCCATTGAGTTTTTGGGCACTGGTAGGTGGAGCACACTCCACTGAGCCACTGACTTTAAGACCAATAGATCCTCGCCCATCTGTCCGTTGGATATTCAAGATCAACGGTCCCTATCATATGATGCATAACTTATCATGGGAATGCATGCATCCGATTTCCTATATGTTTGATGTATGTATGTATGTATGTATGTATGTATGGATGGATGCATGGAAATGACGCATACCCAGTTGACCGAAAGAAAGGGGATGTCAGAGGAGAGGAGGCCAAGTGCGTTACGCAAATTGCGATGAGTGGACCGAAGCGGGAGGGATGGCTTCCGTTTCCCGCCAAAGGTGCCGACGTGGTACCCCACCAGCCCTTTTTTTCCCGCCAAAGGACCCATTTTATCAGGTCCGGCTTCGAACGACAGCCTGCCACGCGTACTGCGATTGAGACATGTGTATCCCGCTCTTGGGTGCATGCTTGCCAGATCTTTCGCGGAAAGTGACCGCGCATCGCCTACCTTTCCCTGTACCAAAAGGTAATTGCAATGAGTAATGCTACACTTACCACATTATTATCTCACATTTCTATATCACATGATGTAGCATGTCCATATCATATGACATATCAATTAAATGAATGAAGTGTATTTTAATAAATAAAATTAGAAAAACAGAAACTAATATTTTACATGATGTGGTATGTACACATCAGCCGCCACATCATGTGGTATAAAATTGTGGTATAAAAAATGTGGTAAGACTAGTATTATTCAATTGCAATATTCATTTTCGGGTTTGAGATTTGGATTAATTAATTAATTTCTTATTTTATAATTGCAATATTTATTTTCCGGTTTGGGATTTGGTAACAGGTTTGCTCAATTTTAGAAATTGTAAATAGAAAGTGTGACAATTATAAATATAAAGTTATTTAATTTTGGGTTTGCTTTGCAGTTGCAAAGACAGGACAAGTGGACACACCCTACGGTATTTGCAAAGTTACAAGGCAGGCTATGAACTCTGCAAACCCCTTGTAGGTGTAGGTGAGATATCTTAGGAAGTTTCTTGATGTTGATGTGGATGTTGATGTTGTTGAGGGAGCAGAGTAAATTGACAGAATTCAATTGTCCAATGCTCTGTCCTTAATCAATGGCAAAGAGGACTTCAACTTGACTTTCAACGTTTTAATTTTACTTGGTTTTTTGGTCTGAGATTTTTAACTTCGATTGTTTAAGAAAAAGATGTTGATTGATACCAAACTTGACTTGTCAGCCTAGCCTTGGTTAAAATCTTCAGAATCTGTGGTGATATGCATGACGCTTCTTTTCTCATGGCCAATAATACTTGAACAATTCCGAGTTTTGATTTGTCATTGGCGGCCTCCAAGGAATTTGCAGTCACAAAAGATTTATTGGAAAACATTTTTGACGAAAATATTAGTGAAGGTTTCGTCCGCCCTTTCTGAAACCAAATCCAAATCTTTTGACCAGTGCAGTGGAGTGTGACCAAAAGAAAACAGAGCTTCTAGACCAAGTAGAAAAAGGCACATAAGCTTTCCCTCTCCTTTAAAACTATTATCATTTTAAAAGACCCGAAATCTGCCTTATTGCATACAACACAATACCTAAACAACAATGGAAGGGCCTCAAAGCAAACAATAAAGATCTAAACCTCACCATTTTGGCTTGTTTACATGGAGAAGGATGAGTATATCCTAGCTCATCTCCTCACCATCATCAAGAACCATGACAACAAATTAAACACTAAAGGCATCAACTATCTCCCTGTGAACACCTGCAGCAGTAAAAAGTGCATTAGTTAGCTCAAAAACGGAGGCACCCATCCTCTAGCTCTCAAGCTTTGATCCCCATTTTCCATGACAGAGCAAAGTTTTTCCCCACAGGAAGGGACAAACCATTAACGTCCACCATCACACTCTTGGTCGTCTCTCCATCTTCCGCCTCCACAAGGTACTTCTGTTCCGATACACTCAACTCTATGCTTGAAACACTTGTCACTGGGTTTCCATCAACCTCAAGAGCAGATGTTCCTCCACTACCATCCAATCCCAACACACTCACCTTCTCCACAACCCAGCCTTTGCCTAAAGCAAACTTACCCTCCTGAACTTCTGACCATACTTTCACACTTCTTTGACTTACAGTTGCATAGAAATCAACATATGTTGAGTAACCACTTCCAAGGTTCATTTCCGGAAGCTCATCGTCATCAAGGAACAGGTTCCCCTTAGCTGTTGCATTGCTTGCCCCTGCTGGGAAGGTTACTACGAGGTTAAAAGGGGTTGTTCTTGCTGCTTTAGATATCAGTCCACCCTGCTGCATTGGTAGAATGATATTCTGATACACATGCACATTAACTACATGCAAAGGCGCATCAAGTGTAACATACTTGCCCTGTTTTGAGTTAATGACCTGTGTCAGATCAAATAAACTGTACCAGGTTCCAGGGGGAAACAATGCCTGAACCTTGGATTTTCCCTGCTCAAGCACCGGTGAAATCATAACACTGCTCCCTAGCAAAAATTGAGTGCTCAATCCATAGGTTTCAGTGTATGTTGGGAATGAGAAGAAGAGTGGCCTGGCAATTGGGGCTCCACTGATATGAGCTTCATAGTTCAATGTGTAAAGGTAAGGGAGGAGCTTATACCTCATCCCTAGAGCATTTCGAGCAGACTCGGCTACCGACTCCCATTGATAAAGCTCTTGTCTTGGGGAATAGAAGTTTGCATGATCCCTCGAAAAGGGATAGAATGCACCTACTTCAATCCAACGGTTGCAAAGCTCTTCAGTAGGTGCTGGATAGAACCCACATATGTCTGCACCAACCATTGGCACTCCAAATATTCCAAAGTTAAGCACGGTCGTGATTGATATCTTCAAATCCTCCCAAGTGCCCTTATTATCACCTGTCCAATGTGCAGCATACCTACCCGAACCAACATACGTGGAGCGGGTTAATATAAAAGGTCGCTTGCCCTCAAGCCCTTGAAGAGCTTTGTGAGTTGCAATGGATTGGGAAAACCCATAGAGACTGTGAGCATCGTACTCCAAAACACCATTGTAATGAGTCGCACTAGTGGCTATGGTTTTGAACCCAATGGGGACCTGCAATCCTGAAGCATTTATCTTGTAAGGTGGTTCATCCCATCTCGTCTTTGTAATGTTTTTGCAATCCAAGCAACATACCCAGCCAGGTCCAGAACCAGTCGGGCACTGCCCCTTTGGAATTTTGCACTTCCCAGAACAGAAATTTGAAGCCTCGTTCATGTCAATCCATAAGCCATCAACAGGGACAAGTTCATGAAAGCGGCGGATCTCATCACCCCACCAGGATACAGTTTTCGGGTTGAGGAAGTCGGGAAAGTTTACAGCCCCTGGCCAAACTTGAGCCAAGAAGGGTTCACCCTCATATTTGATGAAAACATCATTAGCTAAACCTCTTTGGTATACACCGTAACTGGTATTGACACCAATTCCAGGATCGATGATGACAATGTACTTCATGCCTATGCTGTGTATTTTGTCTAGGAATGCCAAAAGCTTTGGCCGAGGGTAGTTTTTGGGGTTGAGGGTGAAGTCTTTGTGTCCATCCATGTGATCATCATCATTCCAAATTACATCTAGCGGGATTTGAGCCTTTTTGTAGTTCTCAACAACGTCTTCAACCACTGATAAGTTGTGGTAACCCCATCTGCATTGGTGGAATCCTGCAGAGATAAAAGTGAGAGAGAAATTCAGTACTGTGTAATTTTATATAGTCTTTTACAAAATGAGACAAGGCATATCCCCTGTTATACAATAAAAATTGTCAAAGGGACATGCAATGCACAGGACAGGACAAAAAAGACTGGCAATCAAATCATAAGATGATATGAGGTAAAAGCATGGTCACAAATTATTAGGACATACATAGAAAAAGCAATGAACAAAACAGATGGCCCATTTTTTTTTCTACAATTATAGCATAAATGGACAGATACATACATACACACATATAAGCATTCACTGAGAAGGCTACAGTTTAAACGAGACATTAACAAGTCTAGTGGATCAAGCAAACTATACATCCTTCTTTTTCTTCTTACTTCCTTTTTCTAATTTTTCATATGCAAGTAATAACCATTAATTTAACCGCATCAATGCCAACTTACAGGTCACTCAATAGAGATTCCTTAATAAAACTGTAGAACTCGATAAATGCCCAAACAGTCGAACAGAGTAACATGCATCTAAGCCAGAAATGAGATATGAGGCAATGGAAGCATTGACATTAGATGCCTTGTGTGATTATAAAAGGCAGAAGGTTTGTACAAATACCAAATTTTCTCCCACCAACCTGACAATAGCTATAATACAGACGACAGTAAAGTCCCTACAAGCAAGATGGTCACTCTCACAAGGTATGGCAGTACATCAGGGCGAAACCCTCACTTGATAATGCCAACTTACTACCACCCTAATTTATTTTCTCATCTAACCAAGTAATTCGCTCATACAATCTCTTAAAACCTCATATTGACCGACCACAAGAAATGTCCCCAAAACAGTAGCACAGATCAACAAGCCCTTTAAACCACAATTTAGATACGGGGAAATGAAATCATTCTCATTGAAGGCCTTGTGAGCTAAAACAGGTAAAAGGCACCACTATCATTTAATAGTTTTTCCCCACGATATGAAAAGAGCTACAGTGTAAGAGGGACAGCATTAACACGGAGTACCATGCCCTACAACCAAAGATGGTCTCACCCTCATAAGACATGGCAGTGAGATATGCAGAGCTTAGGCCCATACACACAAATTCTGACTAGAATGGCCTTCTAAACATTACCATAAAGCGAGACCCTACTAGCAAGCATTACAGATTTTGATATAGTTCAGAAAATTAGAAATGGAATATTCAGTTTCCACCACACACACAAAAGATATTATTTTGAAGGCCACAAGATTTTGCACGGGTTAAGCGACAATATCGCTTACAGTCCACAAGTTGCTCGCTACAGAAGTGAAAAAGTGTAAAGGCTTGTAAAGATAGCTGAAAAGCAGAAATCTTTGATGGTGAGCGAGATGATTAGAGCTTCCAACTTTATGTAAGATCATGGTTTTAATGTGGAATGAAAAGTTAGTTCTGCAGCGATATTTTTGTAAAGAAACGCACAAAAAGACTACAACTTTAAAAGAAACTGGCCAACCCACCAACCTTAATTAAAAAATTAAACAAAACATGTTTATCATACAAAAGCACGCGCGCGTCATACTAGTTCTTGATAGTTGCTGCCAGTCAAACAATTTCTCACATACTATACACTCGAGTGGTCATAGTTTTGTTCCTAAAAGATCTAACTCATTCCTAATTGTGATATTATTGTATGTATAAGCATAATGGTCCCCCACAAGACACGGCATTTATATTCTTTTTTCTTGGGTGAAATAACAAAAACATTCACAAAAGACTTGGGAGTTGGGGAGCTAACAAACACACACAAAATCTAAGCCAGAACAAAGAATAATAACAGAGTAAACTAAAAAGCAAATAGAATTGGGGTTAAAAAGTAGAACATACCCAGAGACCAGTAAGGCATTGGGGCTGGTCTGCCTACGAATGACGTGTACTGATCAACAACACCCAATGGTGTAGGCCCGGCAAAGAAGTAAAAATCAAAGACACCCCCAATGACCTTGTATGTCAAAGAAGTTCCTCTGTAAAACACATCCATGCCATTGCTGTTGAGCAACAAAACAGAGTGTGCATAAGCCTGACCACCCACATTTCTCAGATCCATATAAACAGGGTGGGAGCCATATAAATCAGTGTTAAGATTAATGGCTGAGACATCAGTGGTGAACAGAGTGTATGGATCATTTGGGTAGAGTTTGATCCCATGTGGCTGTGAGTTCTCTCCCAAACCATACAAGGATGCATCTTTGGGCAAACTAGTGGAAATCTCGAGGTACTGGTCCTTAAACACCAATTCACCATATGGGTCTTTAGGATCAGAGCTCGAGTTGAAAAGAACTTGCCCATCTGACTTTCTCTTCACTGCAAACCCAAATGGGTCTGAGATGTAGTTGAAGATCAGCTCAGAGCCAGAGTACTCGGAGACTGTTATGGGTTTCTTCCCTGTTTTCCCAATGGTTTGTGTCAGTGACGGAGGCTGCTCTCTGGGTAAAAGATTGTACGGAACCTCCCATCTCTGCTTCTGAGCATCGGTTATGTGGACCCTCAAACGGTCCTGCGTCTCGTGCCTATAAAAAACACAAAAATGAATCAAATGGGTAAAAAGAGTGGGGTGCATTTACGACCATGGACATGCGCCACATAGAATCCCATCACCATCAGAGAGCATATACTTACTTGACATAGAGCTGCAAGAGGGGGATATCAGGACCGTAGACCTTGGAGTTCTGTATGAGTTGGAGATGACCCAGAAGGCCACCATCAGGGGTCTCTTCAATGGAGACCAAACGGTAGCCTTTGCCTTTAATGGTGGGGTTAACGGTGTCAGCTGAGCTCACACCAGAGAAACAGAGGACCAACAAGACTAGGAGCAGCGAAGAAAGACATAGGGAGCACATTGCTTAATTTTAAGCAGAGCTACCACTCTCAAGGAGTGTGCGTGAGAGAGACAGTGAGAAGGAAAAAAGAAGCTCTGCTGCTGAGGCACATACACTATCGTTGGGAGTCGTTGGAGTCTAATATATAGAAAGATACCAAAGCTTTAAAGTCTCAGAGACTCAAACACTCCAAGAGTGAGTGATTGGATGCAGATGAGGTGGATGAGACCATCTTAGCCATGTGATTGATGATGGTGTGTGGGCCGTTGGTTGCGGTACCACAGCATTGCGTGGACCCTACCTTCAATTACACTGGCTTTGATCGTGGTAGACTACTCCGCTTGGCTTGGCAGACTCATGTAAAGAGTATTTATCTTTGTTTGCTGATGCAGGCAGCTGCATTATGTTGAAGTGTGGAACCGTGGAAGCGGCATATTTTAGTTCTTATCTTGTTTAGGTTTCATAAAATTAAGAAAATAATCAAACGAAAAGACAAAATAAAAGGTAACCACTCAATCCGCATAGCAAATACCAAAGAGAGTGCTGCATCAACACATTGTCAGATATATATCTGCTGTGTATAACTTCCTCGCACGAGAAAAACTTGTGAATCTGAGTTTCTCTCATCTCATACACTGGGAAAGTTGGCATTTTTTTCGCAGGGATGGCAATATGGTAAATCAGGTCGAATCAACCGTTTTCATCTCCATGCTCATTAATTTTTTCTCCTCCATTTTCGTCTCTGTACTCGTAATATTAAAATGAGAATTTTCCATTCTCACCTTTATCAAACACAAGTTCCTTGCCCACCATACCTCAAAATTTGCTCCAATCTATCACTATTCTTCATATTTGACTCGTTAGAGTTGAAGTGCAAAAACCCTAAAATGTGGAAAATTTTATTTTCTTTCCATTTGGGTTCTAGAAAAAAAGAAAGAGAAAAAAAAAGACAAGCATTTGAATCATTGATGAACGAGGGTGGGACAGGTGGTGTATTTTAATAGGGTGGGTTTAGGGTGTATTTTAGTAGGGTGCGGGCTTCGCTTAAGGAGATCACTATACCTAAGGATATGATGAATATGCGGAAGGAAAGTGACGAAGCCGAAACCGTGATTCGCGCGGCTCTTGCCTCCAACGTGTACGGCTGTGAACTTTCTTGAGTCCTCAGACTCCTGATGGGATGCTGATTAAATCTGTGATTTTAGGAGAAAAATAGAATTATAATAAGAAAGATATTGGAATTAAAATATTCTCTTTGATACAATTCAGATACTGGATGCCTTTCTTTTCTCCTGTGTCAATATAAAAACGCAGGGGTTTATCTTCTTCTTTTTTCTTCTTTTCTTTTTAGGTAATTGTCATGTATCTCATTACCGCACCGACGGAAAAGTAAAACCAACCGATTATATAAAAAGCAATATTTAGATTTCTTGTCGGGTGTAGTGATTATTTTTGCCTTGGATGGTATCTTTGATTTTGCAGGAGAGTGCAAAATCATTGAACCCAACAACAAGCAAACGTCCTGAAATGTACGTTTACAAGAAACAGAAATCCAGCTGATTGTTAAAAAAAAATAAAAAAGACATGAGGTTCAGAAAAATGTATAAAGGAAGTTGATGTCTCATTCCAAAATTAATTGACAATGAGGGAATAGTCAAACTCCTTATAAACCCATAATAAGTCTCTTGACTTTTCAATATAGGATAAATACTCTCAACAACGTGACGGTGGTCCAAAAATGTACATGAAGATGCCAACACATGTAAGATTTTGTCTGATATATATTATATCATATGACCCCGTGACACTCCCAATAAATTAATCTTGCCATTTTCCCAATTTCCCTCCATATCCCTTGGAATAAATTATATTTTGACAATGTGCCTTGATTGAATTATGCAATAATAACAAAACCAAAATATGTGGACAAAACTAACTCGCATTACCAAAAGAAAACGAAATGACTTTGGATGCTTGCGTTTGGATCACTCGCTGCAGCAACTTGGAAGATGTAGGTGACTCTGGATGCTGGTTTAATTTTGTCTTATTATCGACTTTTCATTTTTGGAGAGACTCAAAGTTAATTATTTTGACCCTTCGTCCATGATAGAAAGTATAGAACACATCGTGTTTTAACTGGAAGAGGTCAATGATGAAATGAAAATAACCCTAGTGGGTTTTTGGACTTTCAATAGTTGGGGTGCGTACTTTACATAATTACAACAGCTTTGGCCCACCACGCCCCACCAAAAGTTGGAAAAAAACACCATTTCCATTTGCAAACAATTTAAGCATTTGTGAAGACGAATTTATCCTGCCTTAATTTGTAACTCAATTAACTAGTAATTCCAGAGCTGCCTTGGATGTTCGATTTTACACCAGCGAAAATAAACGAAAAGAAAAAAGGATTGATGGGAGAGAATTTAGAAATGAAGCTTAAATTCCGATTGTTGGTATCGTAACTGACCGAGCAACTAGCTTGGCTAGATCATCCACATGCCATGCTTTGAGAGGTCATCACCTTAGCCAAAGAAGCATTACCACAAGTCACAACTCTAAGCAAAGTAAGAGGAGTCCCACATCGAAAAACTACAAGAAGTAAAGACTCCCCCTCACCTATAAAAGAAGACTACTCTCCACTTGGAAAAGGATCTTGGGTCTAGACCCTTGAGCCTTGGACGCACTCTTCTGGATCCCAGGACTGGGCTGGACATCTCACTTGTTGTCTTTATATTTGGGTCCAACCCCATGTACAAATGTAATCCTACATTATTATAATGAGAATACTTCTCTGTGGACGTAGCCCATTCATTAAGGGTGAACCACGCATATCTTGTCTTCTTTATATTTATCGTTTGCCCATCGCTTGCCCAAATCTTCACACACATGCTGAAGGTCCTCACCTTCACCCATCAACCACCATTCCACCTACTCTCTAAGTTGACCCTCTCCGAAAAAGAGCATCAACAGTTTGGCGCCGTTTGTGGGAATCGATACAAGAAGCTTCTGTCATTCTTCCCTTCCTTTAGTGCCCTTCGGCACCCTTTCCATCATCATATTTTAGCTTATCATTCAGCACCATACGTGCCGAAGCCAACATGGGATCTCAAGGCACCAATATGCCGAAGACATGTATTTGCTGAAGCAACCCACCTTTCAGATACTTTGAGGAATTTCAGTTTGAAGGCTGCCGAATATTCCAATTCACCTAGAATATCATTTTGCATGGCTTGCATAGCCAGGGACAAGCCACCATTTCAATCCAGAAGGAAGCCCACGTCTCAATTTCAAGAAAACACATTGACAACCAATTTGGAGGTTGCTGAATTCCTTGCTGTCACTTTGCATGGCCAAGGAGCGAACCATTGGAGCACTTTGCATGGCCAAGGAGCAAACCATTGCTCCAATATGAAGGCTACCAACGTGCACTTTATCATAAGCTATTAAATGCCGTTCGTCAACACAATGGAATACCAGTACTGAAGCCACTATAAACCCCTCTATTTGAAGACAAAATACGAGGATTAGATCGGCACCCAGTTTTCTAAAGCTCATCTCCAATATTTAGCATCAGCTAATGGCTTTCAGAAGCCATAGCAACCTTCAAAACTCTGCCCAGTACCATTCGGCAGTCCCATATTGAAGCAAGATACCACACCCAACCACCAAATTTATCTAGACACCCAAAACAGAATGGGTTCATCCCAGCAAGGCCACCACTGGGACCAAACGCAAGGAAGAATAGGGGAGGACCGTGTCATGCCCATCGGCACCTCTCATCGACTGAGATAGAAGCCAATCTCTAGGTGTCTTCATAAAAAGTGGGAGCAAACATATCGACTGACGATTGCCGAAAGCCCGAGAACTTGCTGGACATGGTCCTCCTTCAGCCCACTCAATTTATCGGCATAGCAATACTCGGCAGCTTCGTCACTTACCAACGGGCACTCAGAGAACATTCTCCTCAAGGCACTAAGATGCTGAAGACATCGTCCCCTGCTTCGGCAACTACACATATGCTGTTCGATGACTCCTTTTCCTCAAACTCACGAGGGGACTTGTTCCATTACCTGCCGAAGCTACAAATATGTCTGAAGCAGCACCAAGCGCATTGTTCTTATGCCAAAGCTCCACAAAGGGACTTGTCCCATTAATGGCAGATCAAACTACCATTTAGCACCTCCGAAACTTCACGGAGCCTCACCGAACCACTGCCTACAAGGCCTATCCACAGGGAAACACGAAGTACCATTTGACACCCAATGTAAAATTTTCTCTAGACACCCCTGATGCCTTCGAAAAAGGAAAAAGGCAGCATGCTGAAGACACCATGCCTGCCAAACTTGAGGCTTCATGCACCAACTTGCCGAAGCTATCACCATTCGATTGTCAGATCCATCAAATTTTGGGAAACCTTCCAAAGAGAACCAAACGGCACCTAACCACCAACAAGGCACCTAGAAAGAGTGGACTCATCACTAGTTGAAACTCGAGATTACTGACACCCCTCCCCTAATTTACTTCGGCACGATCCATGCCGAACGGCAGGTGTGAGGTCATTCTTGCCAATCGGTAGGTCGCCTACAAATCGTGCAAGAAAGGCCCCCAAATTGTCTCTATTAGCCCAACACCTCTATTGTCTCGTACCCAGGATACAGATGGTCACCCACTGGTCAAGACACCATGGAAGGATGCCTCCTATAGAAGCATTACATGACGTTCCAAAAATTGATCGAAAATGCCCTTTCCGTTCAGTAGGCTGTCGACCGAAGGTGTGAGACAGCCCTAAATCCAACTCCAAACGATTGGCAAACTTCCTCAGCAACGTGATGTCACACTTTTCGTTCAGCAAGCTCACACAACCTTCCAAACCGTCCTCACCCTGCCGATCGGTAGGCCATCGACCGAAGGAATTGGGAAACCTCCAAACCGTGTACTCCTATCCTAGAGACATGCCCAGACCTTCTAATGGATCGGCAATTCATTAATCAACAGCTTCGAACCACCGAACCTATGATGGCCCACGTTCACGGCTAGCAAATCAAACCATCGTTCAGCACCACAAATTACACACAGCTTCAAGTTTTCTCTCTGCCAAACTCAAGCCACCAATCAAGGGCGCCATCACCCATGGAACGGCAAGGTCGATGAAGCACCAATGGGCATTCTGCAAAATAGAAGAACCACAAAAACTCATGGGGAATGTGGCGTCATACCTTCCGTTCGGTAGGCCGTTGTCTGAAGCTACGAGATCCACGCAAGGAACCACACCATCTCCAGACATTCGCAGAACCCCCAAGTCTACGACGGCATCAGCAAGAGCCTCAAACCCACCTCCCTAATTGATGAGCGACACCCCCTCAATTTACTTCGGCACGGACCTTGCCGAACGGCAAGGGTGACGTTACACCTTTCAATCGGTAGGCCGTTGTCCGAAGCTATGAGACAACCCAAATCCAACTCTAACAACAGCAAAATTCCCTTGGCAACGTGATGTCACACCTGCCGAAGGTGTAGCAGACGCTTGCACAAATGCCTTCCAAACTGAAGGAATGATACAACCCCGAACCATCGGCAACGTCCTTGTCGGTTGGCAAGTCGACGACGGCATCAAAGGCACTAGACCCACCCTGAACGACCACACCAACGTGTGACGTCACACCTGCCGTTCGGCAGGCATCGTGCTGAAGGTAGGAGACGACCCCTTCAAAACTCATCAAATTGGTATGGGTCTGCCACTATTAAAAAAAAACATTTATTATTATTGTTTTTCCTAAATAATAATAATTCCAAAAAAAAAAGGGACACATTTAGATTTGTTCCCTTTGGCACCCTCTTCCCTTTTGGAACCCCCCTTTTGAAGAAGCGAAGGGACTTAGGCGACACGCGATGATGTCATACCTTTCATTCAGAACCCTCCCTTCTGAAGTATGGAAGGAAACCCACATGACTCAAAATTTTATACCTTTGGCACTCACGTGCCTAGCCACATTGCCTTGTGACATGCAAGCTTTGTGTCGCTTTCGGCACCTTTGTGCCTAGCCACATTGCCTTGCGACACATACCTAGCCACATTGCCTTGCAACATGCAAGTTTTGTGTCTCTTTTGGCACCTTTGTACCTAGCCACATTGCCTTGCAACACGCCTTCGGCACCCTCATGCCTAGCCACATTGCCTTGCGACATGCAAGCTTTGTGTCGCATTCGGTACTCACGTGTCTAGCCACATTGCCTTGCGACATGCAAGCTTTGTGTCGCCTTCGGCACCCTCATGCCTAGCCACATCGCTCTGTGACACGCAAGCTTTGTGTCACCTTCGGCACTCCCGTGCCTAGCCACATTGCCTTGCGACATGCAAGCTTTGTGTCGCCTTCGGCACCCTCGTGCCTAGCCACATCGCCTTGCGACATGCAAGCTTTGTGTCGCATTCGGCACTCACGTGCCTAGCCACATCGCCTTGCGACATGCAAGCTTTGTGTTGCCTTCGGCACCCTCGTGCCTAGCCACATCGCTCTGCGACATGCAAGCTTTGTGTCGCCTTCAGCACTCCCGTGCCTAGCCACATTGCCTTGTGACATGCAAGCTTTGTGTCGCTTTCGGCACCCTTGTGCCTAGCCACATTGCCTTGCGACATGCAAGCTTTGTGTCACATTCGGCACCCTCGTGCCTAGCCACATTGTCTTGCGACACGCTAGTTTTGTGTCGCCTTCGGCACCCACTTGCCTAGTCACATTGCCTTGTGACATGCAAGTTTTGTGCCACCTTCGGCATCCCTTTTGCCTTCGGCACCCCCGTGCCTAAGCACATTACCTTGCAAACATGCAAGCTTTGTGTAACCTTCAGAACCCTCGTGCCTAGCCACTTCACCCTGCGACATGCAACCTTGTGCCTTCGGCAACCATTTAACCTTTGGCACCCTCGTGCCAAGTTTTCTCCCTCCAATGTCCTTCTTACCCGAGGACTTGGGGGACTATGGGCAGTGCATTACACAGCTTGGAGGATGAACTATGGTGTTGCTCGGCCAGTGCACTTAAAATTACAAGTCCCCAATCAAGAAGTACCTTCTTACTCGCAAACTTGGGGAACTACTGTTGGTATCGTAACTGACCGAGCAACTAGCTTGGCTAGATCATCCACATGCCATGCTTTGAGAGGTCATCACCTTAGCCAAAGAAGCATTACCACAAGTCACAACTCTAAGCAAAGTAAGAGGAGTCCCACATCGAAAAACTACAAGAAGTAAAGACTCCCCCTCACCTATAAAAGAAGACTACTCTCCACTTGGAAAAGGATCTTGGGTCTAGACCCTTGAGCCTTGGACGCACTCTTCTGGATCCCAGGACTGGGCTGGACATCTCACTTGTTGTCTTTATATTTGGGTCCAACCCCATGTACAAATGTAATCCTACATTATTATAATGAGAATACTTCTCTGTGGACGTAGCCCATTCATTAAGGGTGAACCACGCATATCTTGTCTTCTTTATATTTATCGTTTGCCCATCGCTTGCCCAAATCTTCACACACATGCTGAAGGTCCTCACCTTCACCCATCAACCACCATTCCACCTACTCTCTAAGTTGACCCTCTCCGAAAAAGAGCATCAACACCGATTATACATAATTAAGGGGCATGGGAGGCACGTGAAGATAAATATCAACTTTGGATTTTGCATGCAAGCATGCATGGTGGCCGCCCCTCGTGCAATATGCTAAGGAAAATGCCTGCATTGTTTATTTCTTTATAAAATCGTCACCGTTAATGATGATTTGTTTATAGGACCAGTACACTTAATTAAGTGCAATGTCAAAGTAACGTGCAGATCCATGTTTCTTAGTTCAACTTCATACCATGACATGCACCTCAGTGGTTGGGTGCTTAGAGTTGGGCTTGCATGGACCATATGTATGTAAAAATAAAACCTTGGGCCCAATATATCTTTGGAAGATCCAGGCTGATGGAGATTGGGTGGGCCTCAAAATGTGGACACAAGCAAAAGCAAGCAAGCACCGGTTCATGCGCATCGAAGTAAACTGGTCCTCCCTTTGAAATGAAGGCCTGCAAAATGGTCCGGTACCTACACTACGTTACGAGAAATTTAGGGCACACCTTCTATTATAAATAGGCCGGCCACGAAGATGACTGAAAATAACACCAACCTAATCTAATGCCCGCACGCATGACCTCTATAACTCTTATTGGACCCCTACTATAATTTTCAATTATTCAGAACAAAACAAAATAAATTTGATTTTTATAATTATCTGGCCTTTGTACTGTTTATTGGACTTTGTCTTACATCATGTCCTCCCGTTTGTTGACGTCACACTCCTTAAACACTCAACAAAAGGAATAATGTTTGCCACTTATATTCATCCTTCAAGCAAATCACGGTTTGACATATATTTTAAAATAACTTATCAAAAACACACACACAAAAAAACTTCTACCCACATGTCATTCTGTCATTGGAAAAAATGTAGAAGTTCCTATGTACACGGAAAGTATGCAATTATTTTCCCAACAAAAAATGGTGGTGTATGGTATTAATAATGGTATTTAGTACACACTCCAGAAACCCCTACGCGTCACTCGTGAATATAAGGTCTCCTACACACTCCACAACTTCTCAGCTAACCCTAAACCTGAGTTGAGCAAAGGTAAAGCATCTCTCAAAATCTTTATACTCAATCACTCATCCTCTTCCAAACCCCGAATATATGCCCACTCATGTTTAATGGAAAAGAAACGAAGACAGAGATGGAGACTGAGAAGCAAAAGCAAGCAAACGACGAGGCGTCTCAAGTAGGGCAAAGAAAAAGAAGGCGTGAAATGATAACGTTAATGATGGCGAAACGGCCGTGAAAGAGAAGGAGATTGAGGAGTTCTTCGCTATCCTTAGCCGCATACACCGGGCAGTCAGGTACTTCAAGAATGCTGACGGCAGTGGCCATGAATTGATGCACAGAAGATATCGATTGAGGGCGGTGCTTGCGAGCAACGAGGAGGCGAACGACACTAAAATGGAGCCCAAAATGGATGCAGTTGTCGAGGAGGAGAATTTGAGCTTTGATTTGAATGCGAACCCGGATTCGGAATGTGATCCTAGTACTTAGATGGAAAATTATTTGTAATTTTTTAATTAATTGTGCACGTGTATTATATATTTCTGTAAGAAAATGCGCAATTTGATCCGCATGTTTTTTCTTTTAATTTCCTTTTCATTGTTTGAGCTGGCGAAGCTTAATTTCAATTTCAAAGTGACCATTCAACTACTACACCAATAATGCCAGACATGTACCTCTTCCCCTTATGGAACACTTTCACGTCAACCTCTGTGTAGGGACACATCCCATATCTATTATGTTAGGTTTGGACATTGGGCCCACATAGTTTGGGCTTGTAGTTTTGGAATCTTAGGGCTTATTTGATAATCATTTCAGTTTTTAGTATTCATTTTTCCGAAAACAGAAAATTTGTTTGGTAACTAATTTCAATTTTTAGTTTTATGAGTAGTTTGGAGATTTAAGTTTTTCAAGTCAAATTGTGATTTTGAGATCATAAAATGAAAGTGCATGTTACAAAGATTTTGTATTTTTCGGCGAATGTTTTGGAATTAGAATGGTTTTTGGTGAATTTTGAGATGAAGTTCCCGAGGCTTGGATTAGGTCTATAGAACACAAGAATCAAGCGACTAGGTCCAAGTGGGGAGGTCCTAAATACAAAATTATGATAACTATAGTGCATTTCATGTGTCGTGATGTAAAATTAATGAATGAATTAAAACAAAATGAAAACTATATTTCACTTTTTTTAAAACTGAAAATGAAATTTGTTACCAAACATGTTTTCAATTTTTAGTTTTCATTTTTCAAACAACTAAAAATGAAAATAGTTATCAAACAACCCCTTAGGTTTCATTTGGTTATTGTTTGATGATCGAACAGATTTACGCATATTAAGCAATATCTGGGTTCGATATATTCAGACCGTTGGATTGACTCCATTTCCAAATATGTTGATCTATGTACCTCTAGGATCGTGTAGGAACTCACGGAACAAGAATCGGACCTCGGATACTCCAAATCAATGATTCAAAGTTACATAAAACGATGACCGTCTGATCCTGCGATCAGGAGCAATCCGACCTCTCAATCGAGACCAAACTCACGAACCTTGTTATGTAGACCTTATTGGGCTTATAGGAACATTCGGACTGGAAATCGGAGGTTGTAGGCCCTGCAGCCCCAATTGGTCAAATGCCGCGATCGGAGTTAAACCGATAGTGGACTATGTCGGCTCGGTTGAGACCATTTGGTGGTTAAAATTGTAATTGGAGGTTTGTTTGTTTGTTTGTTTTTAAATGGTTTTATGCTATGCGAGTTTATTTAAATGTTTATGAATTATATTGAAATTGCGTTTACTTTCCAAGTATATTATATTATATTTAATTGTGTGGAATTGGGAATGGCTTGGATAACCGGGTTTTTGGAATGATTAAGGAATTAATTAAATGCTTGATTATATGTCTCTATTCAAATATATGTTTGGTGGCTTGAAATCGATGAATTATGGATATTAGTTTACTCAATAGTATGTGGTACATATTTAAATATAGTTGGGAACAGTTTTGAAAGATTATGCATGGTCAAATTCAATTAAGGAAGATTAGAATTGCTCTTGTTTTAAGAAGGGATTTTTGGTTATCTATTTAAGAACTTTTTTTTGGAAAATTAAGAAAATTTTGGAAAAGGGATTTGTGAAAGTGGATTTGTGGAACAAGAGGAATTTTATGATAAGTTTTGGAATAAGGTTTTCAAACCCACCACAAGAGTACCCCCTAGTTGTCTTTGGAACAGTCTTGCAATTTATGATAATGCCCCATGAGTTTTGGGGACACATGAATCATGTGGTGCGATGATTTACGTTCTCATGTTGATTATATCTTCCTGAGTCATGCGAGGGGATTTGACAGATATGCGTTCTCGGGCTGACTATGTGTCCCTCGAGTTCTGCGTGGATATGCGTTCTCAGGCTGACCACATGTTCCTTGAGTTATGCAAAGGTATAACATACATGGTACTTGGAATTGACGAAATATTAGTGGAATTGATGGATTGTGAATGGGGGTGCACCTAGGTAGTGAGTATTTGAGTTTTGATATATCTTTAAATTAAAATTTATGATTGTTATTTTGGTACTTATTGGTGAAAGTTTTAATATATGTTTTTCGATTTATAAGACAAGGATTGAGGGTTTTCTAAATTTTAAGGATTTTATTCAATTCACAACTATTTTCTTAAGTGATGAGTTTGTTTTTATATGTGAAAGATAGAAGCATGTTTTATTCAAATTGTTAATATCGATATTAAGGTTTCACGTGACCAATTTTATTTTAATAACTTTCTCGTTTTCATATTTATTAGTAACGAGCTATTATATATTTGAATTTGTATATGCTCATATGTGATGGGTGGAAAACTGTTATGAATCAAAATCTTTTGTTAAAGTTTTACAGGATTAATTAGAGTTGAAGTTTTTGGTTTAGGGGAGATGTGAAGGAACATTTAAATCATATGCTGACATTTGGGTTGAACTTTGTTTTCTTGTAGAAAGAACTACGCATGACTTGATCCCTCAGTAAGGGTACGTAGGCAACCTGGGTAAAACCGCAAAATAAACGGTTGAGTTATGTTTTGGAAATTGTGGCTACTTGTAAAGTAAGAAACAAATTCATAGATTATGTTGATGTAGCCTTGGTAAAGTTGAACTTGAGGCTGAAGGCCTTTCTGGTAAATGTTGTGAGTTAGCATTGTGCATGCTGAAGTTGTGAAATATTAAACTGTGATATTTACAGGTGAAAATAATTTCGTACATGTCTGTTTTTCAGGGGAGACTACCGAATGGGTATTTTGGACAATTGTGCCGATACCTGCCAGGTGTTGGACATGCAGAGGGTTTGACACAAATTCCACTTTGGAATTTGGGTCGGGTCCTGTCAATAGTGCATTACATGTGTGGTGTTGAAAACTAGATTCCATTTTTATCTTTTTTGAAAACTGAAAAGTGAAAATGAAATGGTTATTAAACAAGCCCTTAACAACTTGAGTGACAAATATATGAAAATATTCCCACTTTAAATTTATCATTATGGAAATTTTACTTATTTTCAAAGCCAATGAAAGAGAAAAAGAGAGTGGTTTTTTTTTTGGGGAGAAAAAGAGAGTGTTAATAATGCCTAAAAGATAAATAAAACTAAGACAAAAATGATATAATTCATTACATTTAAAACTAAAATTTCGAGTTCATGCTTAAACGTTTACAACTACCTGAGATCCTTCGGTCATGTTACAAATCATCTATATCATAACACTTGACTAATGAAAGAACTCAAAAAGTTTTCCTCAACAAATGTTCCCACTTTGAATTTGGATACAAGGTGATGAGTTTATTATTTTGACCAACTGACTTAACTTCCTTCGTAAATGAAGATGTAAATAATAGATAAAACTAAGACAAATATATTATAATTCAGTATCTTTAAAAAAGAAATATAAGAAAAATAAAAGTCATTGGTTATCGGTACATAAAAGACTAAAACATAAGTATTCACTTTAATTTCCCCAAAAAGGCAAGGGCAAGGGCAATTAGTATTCACTTTAATTTATTTTCTATTTTTTATACTTAAACCATTAATTTTGATAAGCTTTTCAGATAAGATTTTCAGTTGCCATGTGTCACTATGTATTATAAAATTCTCACCTAAAATTTCAGATAACATTTTCGGATAAAATATTCGGATAAGATTTTCGGTTGCCACTTTTTCATATTTATTATAAAATTCACATCTCACTCATCATACAATTGAAATTCTCCCGATCCTCATAGTCTGACGCAATCATTGGCGGAGACAGTTCCACCGGATCACGACTTGAGAGAATATTTTCCTTCGGATGACATAATAGTGTCATTATTTCCGACACGGAACGCACCACTGGAACCAATTGCGAGCATTATTCACTTGAGGAGCCATGTGTAACGGTTTTCCTCTTTTTTGCTTTGCCTTGAATAATGTATTAAAAAATAAAATTGAAAATGCAAGAAATACATTTATTTAAAATAAAAAACATTAAATTGAATAAAAACGGAAATAATTTTTTTTTTTTTACCTCGTTGCCAAGATTTTGACATCTTCGAACGTTTGTCCACGACCCCCTAACTTCAATGGAAGAGGCACTTTGTATTTTTGCACAAATGAAATTTTGTCGTAGAAAATTTGGTGTGTAAAGTGAAAAATATTGGAAAAAGATGAATTTGTATGAAGATTTGGCGTGGAAAGTGAATAATCTTGGTAGGTATTTATAGAAGAAAATTTTTTTTACATAATTTGTTTATATTTTTTACAAATTTTTTAGATGTTTTTTAGCCAAAAATTGGACAGTCATTGGATTGGATACGATTTTTGGATCGAATGCTCCAAGAGAAGCCACGTGGCTTGTAGCTGTTGGTTTCTGTGGCCTGGTGGGTCAGCGCTAACGACAGCAGCTGATTTTTATTTTTTTTACTGTTTCACGCCAACAGTGATAAACAGCCTTCGAGCAACAACCCAATCCAATTTTGCCCATAAACTTACCCGGGCTGGTGAGTCTCATGTCTTGACCGGACTGGGTTGTGCGTTCTGGAGATGGGTTTGGGGCCTAGGACAGCCTTTTGCCCGGGCCAGCCCCTGCGCTGGAGGTGGCCTTAAAAACAAAGGTATGTGGTCCCAGAGACATAAAGAGAGATTCCACAAAGTGGAATTCCAACTTCCATTTCCACCCTTTGGACGTCACTCCGATGACGCAAAAACCTCTCAATGATATGGCATCAGCCTACCATGCCATCTTTGATTCTTCTTTTATAAACAAAAACACAAAGACTAATCTAAAGTCAAATCACGCTGTCCAATATAAACACTCAACCGTTTGTACGCAAATTACAGAGAGCCATCCACAAACAATAAACTTACGCAGAGCAACCTCGTATCGCCAGATTATCAGATAATGGATGGTGAAAAGCGAAGGCGGGATGCCGGGGGCGGAGTAGAGGGGAAGAAAGCGAAAGTGGAGGGAGATCATCGGGAGACGGTAACGGAGGAGGAGGTGGAGGAGTTCTTTGCCATACTGAGGAGGATACACGTGGCAGCCAAGCACTTGGGCAAAACCGACGCCGGATTGACGGCGTCAATGAAATGGAGGCCCTCTTTCGAAGTGCAGGATTTTGAGGAAGATAACATTAATCTTATAAAAGATCAAAAGGATGGAGAGGAAAAAGCGGAGGGGGATTTCAGTTTGGATCTCAACTCTTATCCTGAAACTGAAAGCATCAGTTGAGTTTTTTTTTTTTATTACAAGAAAAATTGAGATCGGAAATGGAGAAAATGTGGGATTTAATGCTTCGTTTTGTTTTGTTAATGTGATCTGTGATCGTGTTCATCCCAAATTTACGAAAATAACCGATTGGAATCGGAGTTCTTGCATCTGAATTAACGTGTATTTTGTTGGATTTACAATTTTTTTTTATTGATTTTGTTTTTGGGTATTTTATTTTATCCATGTGAATTGTGAAGCTTGCATAATTGCATCGCGGGTATTTATTATTATTTTATAGTAATTTTATTTTGTTTATAGGAGACTGCAGGTTGACTTTTTTTTTGTTGGTACCTGAATAATTCCATTAGAGCATCTCCAGCGCGGGCCCTTTTGCCATGGCAAAAGAACCGTTTGCTCGGTTTTGGCCCTCCAGCGCAGAAGAAGCAGCTCGGACAAGCCCAAGGGCAAATCTTGCCTGGGTTTTAGCCTGAAGCTGGTGATGTCACGCTGACGTTAGCGAGCAAAAAAACAAACAAAACAAAAAAAACAAAAAAAAATTCAATTTAAAAAAAAAAGAAAAAAATTATGAATGTTTTCCCTATAGATACATAACAATTTTATTCACTTTCCCTATAAATACATAACAAGTTTATATTTCATTGCATTTTTTTTCTTACCCTTACCCTAGCCTTAGCCTTTTGGGGTGGAACCAAAAAAGGCAAGGCTGTCACTATTCACATGAATAGTAGCAGCCCTTGCCTTGCCTTTGCCTTAGTCTTAGCCTTTAGAATTCTTCAGACGCATCACAGAGGCAACATGCGTCATCATGGTTGACTAGACCCCTTAATTTCTCGCTTTAGAAAGAAAATAAATTTGAGTTGTTAGGCAAAGACTTAATAATTTCGTCTTATTTACCAAGGCATCCAAACTTAAGCTTGGGTGGTTGGTGATTCCTAGGGTTTTCGACCGAAATGGTCCCTCAAAACTCAAGAGCGAGGGACGTTGAACACACTCTATTTCTTTGATTCGGTTTTCATCCAATCTATCCCCAAAGCACATCAAAACCAGAAAGCAAAACATGGCGTATTGCAAATGCTTGACCATTCTAACACCTTTGGAATAGGATTGAGACTTTGTTTCAAGCTGGTCCCGTAGGATATTGAGAACCCATCTACATGCCCCACTAGGTGAGGTTGCGATCGAGGAGGTGTCACGTGGGACCGTAGATGGCAGAGTCATGTTGTGTGGGTTGCTGCTTATGTTCTCGTATGGGAGAAAAAAACACAGGGAATGTGGAGAAAAGGGGTGGAATGGGAGAGGGAGAGGTGAAAGCTGAGATGAGGTTTACTTTATTAATATTTTAGTTTATATGGATGGTTTTACCCCTCAATTTAACAATAAAATTGACAGACTTCGATGATATGACCAATTTGATACTAAATGGAGAGTTAGAAGATTATTGAAATGTAAAATTTAGTTCGTGGACCAAAATGAGACTGCAGCAAAAGTTGGGGGACCATTTCGATCAATAATCCGTAATTCTTAATACAGTCGTATTCTACCTCAATAAAGGGAGCATTGTTGCTCACCACTTTTACTCAAGGTGTATCCTCACCACCATTTTAAAAACTTGACACATGTTTATGTGTAAACCATAGTTAATAATACACTTTTAAAACCATAAAATAAAATAAAATAACATTTCAAAATCTCTCTCATTCTCTCTCCCCTTTCCCAACCCAACCTACCCCATATGCCCTATACCCTCTCATCAACCCTAGCCACCATTTCTCTGTATTTTTGCAGCCATTTTGGCTGTTCTGCAACAAGTCATATGTGATATCTCCATGCCTAGAAGCCCTAACCCTAGTGCCAACGTTGGACGTGGTGACTTGATGTTCGTCTCCGTTCATTGCCTTTCCGGTTCGGATATGGAATCTCATTTAGATTTGGGCCGGGCTTGGAATTTGTAAACTCTTCTTTTACCACTGCAAGGTATCTTGAAACATACCTCCCTCTTTTAATTCTCATTGGAGGTTGGGATTTTTCCCAAAACTTGCTTTCATTGAAATCTTATTTTCAAGAGTCTCAAATGTGACAAATTAATTTCAATTCAAGGGTACTGTTATGTATATGTGTGTTGGGTGGGTGGTGGATGTAGATAATTGGGCGTCTGAGGTTGTGTGTGGGTCGGGAAGAGGAGGGGGATGGGGAGATAAGAGTCCAATTTTCATGTTCCCTTTTTCCATGTGCCCTCTCTGTTACCCTCATAATTTATTGACACATGTCTTTACACTTAACTTCTAAGTGTTAACCCTTTTAATAAAATTTACACAAAATTTAAGACTAATTATTTAAAAAAGAAAAAAAAACAACAGCCAACACAACCTCTCCAGCCTACCCACCCACCCACCCATCCAACTTCGTCAGCCACCCCACCTTGCCGGTGGCAACCCCTCTCCTAGCCACCGCCGGCTACAACCCTTCTTTTCTTCTTTGTCCTCCCTGTTTACCAAGTAACACCAAACTCAAAAATCTGATATCTTTTTCTCCATCATTAAAACCCATAATCCTTTCCCCATGTCACTTTTCTTCTATGTCCTTAACCCTACACCAAAAAAAAATTTGGGGGAAAGCAACACCAAATGTGAGATCTAGTAGATCTAGATATGGATCTCTCTCCTGGTTACATAGGCTTGGTTGCATAAGAGATTTGAAGGGGAAGAACCCAACTGAGAATATGAGTGTTCCTTGTTTTCTTGACTTGTAATGCAGTGAAGATGAATGGGCTATTGAGGCTACAACACAATATGATTTATTGCATAGAACATCCTACAATTTTGAAGCCCTTCAATGTCATTCTTGTTTAAGGCTTTAACATATGAGATTGACTATGTGGTTGGGGTTGAGTTTGGGGAAGAAAATGGTAAAGTGGGAAAAGAAAGAGAGAGAAAGGGAGATAGAGATAATGAGGTATTCGGCAACAAGGAGGAGAGGGGTTGCCGGCAATATGGGGTGGGTGACCAAGTTGGATGGGTGGGAGGGTTGGTTGAGGTTGCGTGGGTGGATGAGGTTGTGGTGGCTGTTGGTTTTTGTTTTTTATTTAGTAGTTAGCTTTGTTTTTGTTTTAATTCATTAAATAGGTTAACAATGTTATGTTTAGAAGTTAGTATAGGGACAAGTGTTAATAAATTAGAAGGGTAACAGAAGGGCATAGGGAAAAGGGTAAAATGAAAATTGGACTCATGAGAGAAGAGAAAGTGTTTTTTTAATAAATAGTATTTTATTATTATTTTACTTTACTTTATTTTTATGGTTTTAAATACTTAAAAGATTTAAAAGCAAATCATTAACTATGGTTTACAAATGGAGATGCAGTGGCAGATCTAGGAATTTTCGAGGAAATGGGCAAAATTTAAAAGGCTATAAGCTCAAAAGAAATACTTGAATTATTTGAAGGAGGACTTGAACTACCCGAATTATTCGAAGGAGGATTTAGACACTTTACCTTGAAAACTTTAGAAGAATTGTAAAGAGAATTCAAAGAAACTGATTTTCTTATTTCTTTTGTTAACTACTAATTACATCATTATAGTGCTTATATATCTGCACTTATAGCATAACCACTTCTTATCAACCTAACCACATTTTAACATACTAACAAACTAGAGTGACACGTGGATATACTCTATTAGCCCCCACAAGCTCATGGGAGACAGGCTCGAGCATGAGATTGGAGCAGTGAAAATCGAATTGAAGTGAGCACAAGCCTTTGGTTAGGATGTCAGCAACTTGTTGAGAAGAGGAAACATGTTGAAGCTGGATTTCACCGCGTGTGACCTTCTCACAAACAAAATGACAGTCAACTTCAATATGCTTAGCACGAGAATGTAGAATAGGATTAGTAGAGAGGGTCATAGCAGACAAATTGTCACATTAAAGAATAGGAGACTTGGCAAGAGGAAATGAGAGATCTGTCAACAACTGCTGTAACCACACAATTTCAGCAGTAGTGGCAGCCATGGCACGATATTCTGCCTCGGTGAAAGATCTAGAAACATATTGTTGTTTCTTAGAACTCCAAGAAACGGGATTGGAGCCCAAGAAAATAACATAACCAGTTGTAGATCGCCTATCATTGGGATCACCAGCCCAATCGGCATCAGTGAAAGCATGAAGATTCAAAGAACCCTTGCGAAATGTCAATCCATGATGCATGGTACCCTTAAGATACCTAAGAATTCATTTCACAGCAAGGTAATGGGTCTTAAGAGGAGAGTGCATAAATTGGCAAACCTGATTTACGGAATAGGCAATGTCAGGCCTTGTGAAGGTCAAATATTGCAAAGCACTAACCAGACTTCGATAATAAGCAGGATTAGAAAATGGGAGACTGCCATATCTAAGAAGCTTGTGATTAGGATGAGAAGGAGTGACACAAGGCTTGCGTTCAGAAAGGTTGGCTTTAGACAAAACATCCTTGATGTATTTAGACTGAGTCATAGAAATACCAGCATCTGTATACTGAATATGCAGGCCAAGGAAATAATGAAGATGTCCAAGATCAGTCATATCAAACTCCTTGGATAATAAAGTGATCACAGAAGCAATTGCAGCAGGGGAAAAACCAGTCAAGATAATGTCATCGACATACAAAAGCAATAAAACCAAAGATGTGTCATCTTGCTTAACAAAGAGAGAGGGATTAGCTTGAGAGGTATGAAAGCCAATACATGGAAGATAACTGGTAAACCTCTCATTCCAAGCTCGAGGAGCTTGCTTAAGACCATATAGAGATTTATCCAATCGGCAAACATGATGAGGATAAAGAGGATCAACAAAGCCTTATGGTTGAGACATGTAGACTTCCTCTTTGAGAATGCCATGAAGAAATGCATTTTTTACATCTAATTGGTGAAGTTTCCAGCCAAAAGTTGCAGCTAAGGCTAATACCAAACATACAATGGTATGTTTCATCACAGGACTAAAAGTCTAGGCATAATCCAAGCCAGCCTCTTGAGAAAAACCTTTGGCAAGAAGTCTAGCCTTGTATCTAGCCACTGAACCATCCGGATTTCACTTTAGCCTATAGACCCACTTACAACCTACCAGATTTCTATTAGGAGGCAAATGTACCAAATGCCAAGTGCGTTGCTTTTGTAAAGCATCAAATTCATCTTACATAGCCTGCTGCCACTTAGAATATTTTACTACAAAAGCATAAGTGGAAGGTTCTGTAACAGAGAGATCTGAAGAGGCTTGAACAGCTGATAGGAACACCTTTTTCTTGACAATACCATATTTGCTCCTAATCTGCATAGGATGAACATTGGGATGAGCAATTGGGATAGTTGTTGCCAAATCTAAAGGAGGATAAGAGGAATGTGATAAATCTGCTGGGATCGGCTGAGGAACATGAGAGAGTAGTAGGGAAAATAAGACAGAAGAAGATTCTGAGGCCATGGGACTCACGGGCAGAAAAGGTAGGTGTGTCAAATGACTAATTGCCGAATAATAGACAGTAGGGGTCCTGAGTGGTTCTTGAAGTGGTGAAAGACTAAAAGAGACCCCAAGTGCCGAAGGAAAACAACTTTCATAAAAAATAACATGCCTCGATACAATCAGCTTGTGAGAACTCAAATTGTAACAAATGTAGCCTTTGTATTGCAAAGCATAACCAAGAAATAGACATTGAGTTGTCTTAGGCTGCAACTTTTTGTGAACATAAGGCTTGAGTGAGGGATAGCAAGTACAACCAAACACTCTAAGATGATCCAAAACAGGACATTTGCCATATAATAATTCAAAGGGAGATTTATTATCCAAGGTCTGACAAGGAATGCGATTAATGAGATATGCAGATGCAGTACAAGCATGAGTCCAAAACTGGGCAGATAATGAGGCTGTTTGAAGTAAAGTGATAGTGGTTTCGATCAAATGTCTATTCTTACGTTCTGCCAAACCATTATGTTCAGGTGTATAGGGACAAGATCGTTAATGTAAAATGCCTTTAGACAATAAGAAATGCTGAAAAGTTGTGCTAAGATATTCCCCTATCTCATCAGTTTGTAGGATTCGAATAGAAACAGAGAACTGAGTGGAAACATAGTGAAAAAAGATTGAAAATAGGAAAATACTTCTAATTTATTTCGCAATGGATAAAGCCATGTATATCTGGTACACTCATAAATGAAAGTAACATAATATCTGAAACCTTCAAGAGAGGACCTAGGAGCCAGGCTCCATACATCACTATGAATGGTCTCAAAAGAAATTCGAGATTTAGACTTAGCTAAAACAAAATGGAGCTTTGTAAACTTGCCCTTCAAGCAAGGTTGACATATATGAGGAGCAGAAGAAAAAGAACTGGATATACCAGATTTGTCCAAAGAAAGTTGAACAACAGAGTTGGTAGGATGTCCAAGTCTACAATGCCAATGCTTAGATGCAATCCTTTGGCCTAGGAAGGCAGTATGTACAGAAGAAGGAAGAGGCATAAGATAGAAACCATTATGACTGAGGCCCGTGAAAATAATTTGCCATATCCGCTTGTCCTGTATAGTTAAACGAAACTCATCAAAAATACATTGACATTTGTTATCAGCACACAATTGATGAACATATAATAAACTCTGTGATAATTGGGGCACATGCAGAACATTGGTAAGTTGGAGAGAACTTGTAGGAGTAGAAATTGAAGAAGAACCAATATGAGCAATAGCTAAACCTGATCCATTTGCAGCAATAATGGTCTCAAAACCAATATATGGAGTAGGAGCAGACAGATTCCCAAATTCAGCAGTCATATGGTTGGTTGCACCAATATCAGCAATCCAAACCTCAATAGAGGGTGAAGAAGAACAAGCCTGAGCAGTCATGGCAGTCATTGGAGTAGAGTGTGAGGAACCAGAAGGAACATTGTCTCGATAGAAACATGTTATGGCAGTATGATTTGTCTTCGAACAAATTTGATAGGGTTTAGCCTCAGAGTGAGATGGAATTGTAGATCGAAAACAACAAGTAGCAGCGATATGACCCTTTTTATGATAAATTTGACAAATAGGCACAGGAGCATAACCTTGAGAACCATAACTGTTTCGAAAAGTTTTATCAGGTTTACCAAGAATACCTCGAGCACCATTACCAAACTTAGGAGGAGAATTGGAGAATTGCTGAGGAGGATTAGAATAAGATTGATTCTTGGGATAAAAGCGTCACCCATTAGAGTAGCCATGTTGAGTATAGAACATTTTGCCTTTGCCTTTATCTTGAAATCCAGAGGAAGAATTATGAGACCCATAAGGCATAGGGGAAGAAGGAATAGAGTTCATACCAGACCCAGAAGAAGAATCTCGAGTTATGGCAGCCATAGCAGACATGATTGGAACATTGCGAGTGGATTTCTCAATTGTGGCTTCCTCAGCCTTCAATTGAGATCGAATATCTTTCAAAGAAATACCATGATCACAACCCCGAATCACAGCCTTGACCGTATTATACTCAGAAGGTAAGCCTTTGAGAACCAAAATGACAGTATCATCATCCGAAATTTCAACGCCAACAGCAGAAAGCTGATCATGAACATCCATGATTTTCTGAAGATATTGATCAATAGTTTCTGAGCCTTTCTTGATATTTTGAAGATCGGTCTTTAATTGGAAAATGCTTGCTCTGGTAACACTTGCAAATCGTTCATGAAGATTGACCCACATGGTGTTAGAGGTTGAGCAACCAATAACACACGAAATAGCTGAGGGCAACAACGTCGCAGTAATCAAAGTCATGAGTGATGTGTCATGAATCGTCCAAATCGTGAATTCGTCGGAAAGAATAGAGCCATCCTCCGTGACCAAGAATTGAGGCCGGCATTTGAATGAACCATTGACGAACCCTAGAATTCCATTCCCACGTAACAAGAGCTCTATTTGAAAGTTCCAAGTGACATAATTTGTATCATCTAGTTTAACAGAAACAGTGTTACCAACACTAGAAATCAAGGAAGAAATTGGGGATTGAGTTATGGTTAGCTGACTCGCTATCACCATGATTGAAATTGCAAGAATCGAGTAAGAGAGACGCAAGAATGGACAAGAGAAACCAGGAGAGAAAAAGAGCGGAAGCAAGAAATAATCGAGAAGCATAAGCTTTTGTTAGGCTTTTGATACCATGAAAACTTTAGAAGAATTGTAGAGAGAATTCATAGAAATTGATTTTCTTATTTCTCTTGTTAACTACTAATTACATCATTATAGTGCTTATATATATGCACTTACAGCATAACCACTTCTTATCAGCCTAACCACATTCTAACAGACTAACAAACTAGAGAGACACGTGGATATACTCTATCATACCTTTCTATAACTGTATAGTTTAAACAAGTAAGAGTCTTAAGTCTATCACTAATTGATTATAGTCTATATGGTATATCAATTAATGAACAAATTTCATGCCAATTACACAATTAGTCTACCAAAATTCATATCAAATCGTCAATTAATCTCATGAAAATCAATATCAATTAATCTAATCAAAATGCAAATCAAGTTATCAATAAAACAAACAAACCATAATTCATCATACCTTGAGTCATAGGTCGCGCATCATTCTTCTCCTCAAATTTACTACTGATTATATGAATACAAAGATAACCAAATCAGAAAACAAAAATAATATCTCTAAAAAAAAATACATATGATCAAATAAATAAAAAAACATAAGGAAAATAAAAACCATAAGAAAATAAAAAACTGAAGAAAAAAAAAATCATTCAAACTAGGAGAAGATGGATGGATCTACAGCAAGATTCAAGAGCACGCAAAGCTTCGTCAAGAATTAAGACTTCAAAGCAAGGCATCCTCTTGGTTAAATGGATTCCAACTTGGACTCTAAGACCACGCTCTTTTGTTCAAGTTTCATCTTTTATTTCTTTATTTTTCTTGGCCAAAACAACGTCTTTTGGCCAGGACTTAAAAGAAGAAAATACGCTCAACACATCATCGCAACAAAGAAAGGAACAAGTTGCTGGGTTGCTTGTTGAGGCAATTATTCGAACAGGTGGTGGGCACCTCAAAGGCAGAGAGCAAAGGGGCTTACTTTGAGGACTCCAATGCTTTCTGGCGAGGGAAGGTGCAGTTGTATCTCCTTGCGTCTTTGTAGGTCCGCCAATGTGGATAGATGTCAAGATTTTAAAATGATGATGGTGGTACATCGAGTTAAAGTGGTAAGTAAAAATGCTTCCCTCAATAAATTGTTTTTGTTTTATTTTACTTTATTATGGTGGAATTTAGGTAAGACTGTATGCTATAAGGCCATCTCCAGCCCTTGGACTCAAACCCAAAATATCCCCCCAAACATCTCCCAACTCAAGAAAATAAAGGACCCAAAATTAGAATAACCCAAATTTGGACCCAAATATGGGTCCAAGTATTGCCTGGACCTAATACTATTCACTGGAGCCCACTATGAGATAGCATAGCCCATGTGCTTCTGAAAAATGGTGGGACCCGCGCTGGTTACATATTATGATGGGCTTGTCTGTGGCATGGGCCACGTGTTGACACTAGATGAGAGAGCTATTAGGCTTTGACTGTCTCCTTTTTTAAAATAAAAAAAAAATCAAATAGTATCGATTAGGCCCACATGCTGGCTATTTCCATTAAAAAAAATTATGGAATTTCAAATTTTTTTAGGTCAAATTGTTCAAAAAATTAAATTATGATGTTATTTAAAAAGATTAAATGAAGAAAAGTTATCCATTAAAAAAAATAGACTTAAACAATTTAAATAAAATTGCGGACTTAAAATTTGAGTCCGGATGGTTGGAAGAAAAAACGATTTGAGTCCAGACAAAATTCAAATAGTCACTTTTTGGAAGGGAAAAATTTGGGTTTAGCCCCTCATGGGTTGGAGAAAACCTAATCTTCAAATAAGATGAAGCAACACTTTCGTATGAAAACAAAACAAAAAACAAAAAAAAAAAACTTTCGTGGGTATGTGACATGGATGTGATAATTATAAGAAGGGAGCTCTGTGAAGCAGATGAATGAAAGGGCCAATAAGTACATTATCTGGGCTAATATCCAATCTATTGGGCTAACCCTACCCAATGGAAATCCCCCATTTTTGTTTCCTTTGCATTGTGCATGGCCCAAAAGCTATCGGCATGTTGAATTGAAGGGGTTGGTTAATTAGGGTATAACAACTTAGGCCCCGCCGGCTCTACAATCATTTGCCTCCACTGAACTCCACAACCATCGATGCCGCCTTCCCGATGACAATTGCCACCACCACCACCTCCACTCCCACCCCTATTATCACTTTAGCACTAGCAATCCTATTAATTGCTCTGTAATGACAGACGTTAAATTTTGTATCTAAGTTCCATTCTACTTTTAGGTTAGTTAAACAATAAACTTCACAATTTCTAGAACTTTAAATTCTTTAGTATTCTTAAACTCCCTTGTCCAATAACATGGTTACTAATTTAACTTTTATTAAACTTTTATTTGATAATTAAGTAAATTGAACTCTACCAAGCAGACAAAATAATTAAGAAGTATATCTTAAGACACAAATGAAGGAAAGGATTATGCTTTACCGTAGTCACTCCCCAAGTTATGGTGTGGAATCACCACTAAAGTTTAAAGAGGTTCTGTATCACTATTACAAAAGTCTAAAGAGGTTTAGTATCAGCCAATGAAGGTTGGTTCAGCTGGTAAGGTCCCTGCATTGTGTGTAGCTCCACTAGTGTTCTACTAGTGTTCGAGTTCTCGTGCGCGATCTGTAATTTCTTACATAAATGCATACCATTGGTAGTTGGCAGTTGGGTGCCACGTGTAAGTCCTTCAGACTTGAGATTGTGCATTTACTTTTGACGCTAATAGTGAGAATAGCCAATAAAAAAAAGAGGTTTAGTATCAAATATGTAATTTATAGGCAAAAAGAAAGATTAGCCCACCAGTCCACTACAATAAATGCTTGTTTTGACACTACCACAAAAACAAACTTTACCAATTAGAATGTCGACAGATGTACAGCTAGCTAGCGTAAAAGCCAGATCACGTATCCATTGTTCTCTCCGATTTTTGGTTTGTTGTCTCATACCTAAAAATCATACAAAACAATCCATTAATATGTAATTTGCCAGTTATTGAGACAGTTGTATATAAAATAGTATAATTGTACTTTTCGATCTCTGTCAGCACGTTTTATACAAAACAAATGGAAATGGAACATCACAGACAGAAGCTTTGTGTGGAAAACGCTTTGCTATGCTAATATACGTTGAAGAATTAGATAATACATGTAAGCTAAGCATGCACCCACTTGAAGGATGACGACGAGGACTCCTTTATGAATTGGAATAATTATTTATTACTACCATGTTCATATGACCTAATTAGCAATCCTTTCCTTGTATGGATCGGGTATATATGGCCAAAACACGATCAGCAAGTAAATTAATTGATTAATGAGATGAGAGACGTACACCGCTACAAAACTGGAGCCAGTACAGCTAATTTAGTGAATTTAGCTGCCTAACAAGGACGATGCTTTGAGCAGTACGCGCGTCTAACTTTTGTCCCTTCACTGCATGTGATGCTCCATGTGGTGGTGGGGACTTGATGCTCAAGGCATGTTTATCTTACATGAGCTAAGTTTTATCCTTTTCTTTTCTAGCTAGTGGTTCGTGTCTGCATTATATTATTCATTGATTGGGTTGGGCGATCTGCTTTTTTAGGTTTCCCATTTATTTTCCAAGAGTGAGCTTGATGCAGACCTCAACCAACATTTTCTACACGTTTTCATGAAGCAAGAGTAGGTGGGAGGAAGAACGAAGAAAGGGCCCTCTTTTTTTCCATTTATAACCTGATATTTACGCGCAAGTTCAAATGGAAAAATAATTACCCATGATCAAGACGAGAAGAAAAACAAAGTCATCGAATTTTTTTATACAAAAGTAGTTGTAACATTATTTAAGATTAGGGACCTTGGGCAATCGTTTTCCTATTAGACTAGCGAGGAATATTAGATGAAACTTCTTAGCAAAAAAGAAAGAAGAAAAAAAGAAGAAGGAAGATTAGAGTCAAGTCACCTAACATATTAGTAAAGAAATAAAGTAGGAAAGATAAGTGGGAATTTGTACCTTGCCCACTCCTCAAAAAAGGAAAAAAAAAGAAAGAAAAAGGGCATTGTAAATGTAGATATGAATTCCTTCCAAGGAATTTTCGTGATCCATAAAACCTGTAGAGGGGAGGACATTATCAATGTGGCCATGGGCCACCACGTCTCCTTTTTGTGGGACACTTGCGTTTTGGGGTTAGATGGAAATTCCAATTTTCTTGAAAGGCAAGTAATTCAATCATGCAGAAAATGTGACCAATTGGGGTTGGGTTGGGCAAAGTCTTCCCTCTTTTTAGACATTTGTCAATTTCTCAATCCTGAAGCCATCATCCGTGTTGGAAACAGGAAACCCATCAAAATTGTCCCGCTAAATAAACATATTGCGGTGTGGAAAACGTGTTTTCTTCATTTTTTGGGTAACAAGACGTCTGCGTAGAACTGGCCTACACGAAATTATTACTTGAGTGAATTATCTATACAAATTATTCCATTGAGTCATCGACAAACATAATAACCTAAATTAAGTGCCCTGACGCATATAATTATAATACAAATTAAATATTTGAATTTATACAGAAATTGTCGGTCAGCCGAATCCGGTGTCGTTTTTTAAAACAAAATACACCACTACACAAAACCGGCCTTTCATTTTCTTTCTACTATTGCCTATTTTAGTAATAGTATTATTGATCAATTCGCAGGCCCTTTTTTTTTAATATGATTAATTAGTGTCATTATATGACCTTATTAAAATAATACAAATTTATAAATAAACCCAATCCTACACATGTATTTATAAAAAAACCCAAGTACTATTTAAACATAGAAACACACCCAAAATTAACCCCAAAGTCAACTTTTTGGGTGTGTTTATAAATGGGTTTTGAGTGTGTGTAATGATGGGTTTTGGGTGTGTTTATATGTTTAAATAGTGCTTGGGTTTTTTTATAATTTCAACCCCCATTTTGGGTGTTTTAGTGAAACTCCCTTAAAATAATGTGTGCAAGTTTCTGTCAAGCTTGTGTTGCTCTGCAATCCAACAAAAGGTTTGATTTCTTCAAAGAGAAGAGGCTGGAAACACGAAAACAATCAAACATGCGAGGGAGAAAAGAAAGGGCGTGCTGCCTGGTCTGACTTCGACTGAGACTGCAAACCCATCTCCACCCTTCGCACATTTATGCTTTCCACCAAAAAAGTTAAGATCAAACGGATCAGAATCTTCAGATACGTTTATTCACACCAATTAAACACGACGAATCGTATTCATCATATATATATATATATATATATATCAAGAAGAAATCTCCTCTAACAAATAAAGACAAATACCATAATACTAAAAATTGATTAATCTAAGCGTATAGTAGTTAAGTTCGATACATATCTTATAGAAATCAATAAAAGTAGGTAGATTCACTATTATACCCAATATAGGAGTCCAAATTATAAAAAAAAACCTCATATATGAAATGAACTTTAGAAACACACCCAAAGCCTTTTTACAACATAACAAAAAGATTTTTAACTTCTTTTAAATTACAAACTGTCATTTTTTTCTTTAAACAAACCCAACTCCAAAACCTCATAAAAAAAAAAGCTCAAAACACTCAATAAGGCATCAAAGTAATTTACTAATCAAAATTAAATTAAATAGGTCTAACTGTCAATTTTTGGGTATGTTTATAGAAATTAAATGGTGTATGGTTTATTTATAGTTTTAGTGCTAAGAATGGATATATGACTAAATATCTCATAAAGGTATTCACCAAGTTACAAATCCTTACTATGACAGAAAGATAGGTCAAGAGTGTAATAATTTGTATCTTTAAACTGATTTAACCTATATATTAAGGGCTCGTTTGGGACAGCTTCTTTAGCAAGTACTTCTGTTTATAAGTGTTCCTAGTAAAAACGCTTTTATTATAAATAGGTTGAAATTTTCATAAGAAATTCAAGTGTTTTCTGGAAAAAGCACATAGTATGTGCTTCTTTAGAAAGCGCTTCTAAGACCTATAAATGCTTTTAAACTTTTCTGTCAAACGATATCCTAAGAGACTGTAGTTGTCTGAAAGAGCTTTTAGCCCTTCCATAAGCACTCTCAAATAGGACCTAAATAACAAAAAGCGCATAACCCAATTGACGAGAAATGCTTAATCAAGTTTAACATAAAATCCTTACCCAAAAAAACAAAAAAAGACAAAAATAAAATAAAAACAAAAAAGAAGCTCTCTCAATTGACTAATTTTTTCACAAAGTTATTTAGACTAACACCCCATGTGGTTTTAGTGTTTTCATAAAACCACTGAAGTTTCAAAAATTACAACAATACTTCATGAAGTTTTATATTGTTTTCACAAACTCATTTTCGTTGATTGTTCGTTCAAAAATTGATGATTTCATTATTAAAAAAAAACTTATGCATATGACAAAACTATGTCATTATAAAAAATTATTAATTTCTTGATGAATAATTAATGAAAATGAATTTTATGAAAATAATTTAAAATCGTATGGAGTGTTCATATAATTTCTAATATCTCATGAGATTTTAAAAAAAAATATTCAGAAAGTGCTATTGTAAATAACTCTTTATATAAATGTAATGTGATCATGGGCGGCGAATGTTGAAGGAAATTAAGTTGTTGCGCACTAAGGAACGGCTGTGTCCGGTGTCCGATGCGTCCTCATCTAAATCCAAACTCCTCTTCCTCGTGAAGAGTGAAAACCACGACATAAATAACGTACTCTGATTCAGGTTAGACCCCTTTGCCCCTGCCTGAATCATGTGATTGCTTTTAAAACCCACCAGTGCTACACGTGGACCCCCCTCTCTTCTGCCCGACGCCGACGACGCATCAGCTTTTCTAGGTCTCCCATTTACATTATTGACAAGACCAGAAAAAAAATAAAAAAGACCTAAATCTGGCGCCAAACAGGAAGTAAATACCAAATACTTGTGGAAAAGTGGGGCACGTGTAAACGTGTAGGCAAAGCCCAAACGACAACTTGACATTAAAAAAAAATAATGCATCAATCGAGGAGCGGCTTTAGAAACAGCGGCTAGCTGGCCTACGTACGTTTAGACTTGGACGTGTCACTGAATGGACTGCATCTGCTCTGCTTTACCACGCACAGCCATCTGGAGTCGGCGCACCGTTTGAGCCACCGGCTTTGCTTTGTCCCCACAGCATAAGGCGGGTCCCACGCGAGAATAATGGGATGAGGTACGTGCGACGAGGGAAACGTTGGCCCGACAGAGTGTGTGTGAAGGAAAGAGTAAAGGAAGGGAGGGGGTTGGATTGTAGGGAGGGAAATTATGGATTGGATGAGGTTGTTTGTCGTCCACCCAGCGGATATGTTTTTGAATTTTCCTACAAAACAACCATCAGGATGCTTCGTTGACAATCAAATTATGCTGGCTAACTTATTTTATTAGCTTAATTATTGAACATTTTATTGACTAGATGGGCAAAATTCATTTTGTTGAAGATGAAAACTTGTAATGATGTTAAAGGCGGTCTTGCATTCTAGAGGAAATAGTATTTTATGGAGTACATATTTTCCGGTGTGCTCCATGATTCAATCAATTACTGAATTCTTAAATCTTTTTGAATACGGTATATTGACTTTTCTTGGATTTATGGTATATTCTTTTTTCTAGTGTAGCACATTACTTACATCCATGGTATATTTATATTATGGGCGGCCATATATTCATATGCTTGTAATTATGGATGATGCTCTCAAATCTTATAATCACCTTTTTTATTTATTATAGCGAAGCTGTAATTGAAGTTACAGAACATTAAAGCAATTGCTTTAGTGAAGAGTTGCACTCCACCAAATCCGCACCAAGCAATATTTCAATCCACAACCCACAAAAGCCACAACATCTTAAAATATCTTTGTGTCCGATTTGTTCTAAAATTATTTCAATCATCATTTGTATATGTGGATTAGGTCAATTGGCAAAGATAGTGATTGTGTCCGATTGAACCCAAGTTCGAATTCGTAACTTTGTAAATTATATTAATTTTTAGAGTATTTTAAACTATTACTTGAGTGTTATAGTCGCATAAAAAATGAGACTAGGTTGGAAGATACATCAGGGTTTTGGAGGTGGAGGTGGGAAGTATGAGTAACAAGGGGTTTCATTTATAAGCTTTATGTTAGTTTAAAGATGGATTTGTAGGATCTTCAAAATTTGAGTATCAATTTAAAATTCCCCTCAGAATTTAGAAGTTTTGTGTTACTGATCAATAAATTTAATAATCATTTAATCGAATAACATTTGAGCTGGATTCCCATTGCATTAGAAAGAAAGAGAAAAGAAATTGTATGATAAAACATGCTTTTTGTAATTAGGATAGAGATAAATTAAATATCTATGAGAAATAGGAGAGATTCCTGGAAACTACTACACCATTTTGGCAAATTCATTTGCTTTCAGTGCCCATCAACGTCATCAACCACCCATTAAGCTATTCCTTCCAGAAAAATACGTAATCAATTCACCTACAACTTTTCTCTCCACACCCAAACCAGTCTCTTTTCGATAAAGTCAAGCTCACCGCCCCGTCAAATCCAAAATCCAACTCCACCTTAATCCAACCCAACCCAACCCGATCCATTTATTCTCATTCTTTAAAAGCCAACTTAATTTACCATAATACCCTCAAACTCTCACAATAATTTCATTCTCATTCTCCCACCCATCACCAAACAACTCAAACCATAAAATGCTTTACACTTTAGTCAGCCGAATCAAGCCGACCCGAGCCAAAAATAAAAGAAAAAACCCAAGAAAAAGATAAACAAACAAATAACGCCGTGATTGACTAGGACGAGTTGGTCCCACAACTGACCGGACTTGAGCCCGGAATTCATTCCAATTAATAGAAAACAAATCTGGAAAAAGAAACCACCCAAAAAGAAGCAAATAAATAAAAAGGGAAAAAATTGAAAAAGATTGGGCAAGGAGTCCGTGATGGACTAAGTATTCGATCCCACGCGCCCGCGTCACATCATTACACACACTCTCTCTTTCTCTCTCTACTTTCTCTCTCTACATTGTCCCCTTATATAATGCTTCTCTCCTCACTTTGCCACCACCACCACATCCCCACGTTCAAATCTTCAAAACTCTCCTCTAATTTGCGATTGGTATATGTTATGGAGGACCACACCTCAAATAGTAAGAAGCGGATCCGAGACAACTCGGACGGCTCGGAGCATGACTCGGCCGAGGTTAAGCGACTCAGAGAAGACCTACTGGGTTTCCTCGACGACTCGGAACCCGACGCGGCCACTCAGGACCTCGACTCGGTCATGAAAAGCTTCGAGGAAGAGATTGGATCCACCACTTCATGTCCGACGTCGCCTCGTCCGTCGCCGGCCACGCCATCCGCTCCGGTACCGGTGGTCGATCTGACGTCAGATTCCGGCGAGTCCAATCCGGACCTTGGTTACCTTCTAGGAGCCTCAGATGATGAGCTGGGTCTCCCTCCGTCGGAGAACTTTAGCGAAGTGCTGGCAGAAGGCAGAGAGACAGAGTTGGTCCGAGTTTCGTCTGACTCGTCCGGAATCGACGAGTTTTGGCGATTCGACGACCACCCTCCGAGTTACGACTCGTTCGAGTTAGGAGGCCATGTTCATGACAGTAGTACCGACTACGTGGCGTTCGATGGACTGTTTGAGAATTCCGACGTCTACTTTGATTCGTCTGATTACACTGATTTTTCGTGGCGTTTCGAAACACTACCGGCGCAGTAGTACGAAACGAAGCGGGAAAGTTTATGTCGGACGGAATATATGATACTGCACCGATTTGTAAATTTGTTTCTTTAAATTTTTTAAAGACATATTAGGGAAATTGATTAGCATACTGAAAAGGGAAAAGACATATTAGGAGGACTGTAGGACTAGGCTCATATGAAAGATGCGTATATGTCACAGGTCGCAAGGAAATTGATTCGCGCCAAAAAGAAAAAAAAAATTGAAGAAGAAAAGAATGGTTCGCTTTTTTAATAGCGGTCATAATATTCATAATGAACCCCTCGAGGGAATCTATTCTTGCTAAAGAAGTTATCCAGATTTATTTGGTTCCATAATTATGTATCAAAAGTATTGGAAAAATATGTGGAATCCGGTGCAAAATATTTTGTGCAACCTAAATAATTCAGATGTTTGTAGCATGAGGGCATGATTTTTTGGCTTCAATTTTATTTTAGAGATGAAAAATTTCATCATTCCACATATGAAGAAGGTTTAAGTGCCACACAGTGCTTCTTGAAACATTGGTCAATTCTCACTTTACCTTTTGAAAGTTAAAGTGACCCACTTTGCTCCCTTGACCAAGGTTTGATGTTCTACATTGCCCCTTTCGTTAACTCCATCCAAAAGTCCATTAAATTTGATGACGTGGCAGGTTTTTAGTAATTTTGTGCACATAGGTTTTTTAATTACTTAAAAAAAATTAAAATATAAACATAAAATTGAAAATAAAATAGATTTCAAAAAGGGAAAACAAAAAAACAAAAACCCAACCCATCCCTTCTCCCCTAATCGCACCAAGTCCTCCTATTCCTTCTCTGTCCTTGTAACCCCCCACGCACCAGAAACCCAAAGCTCTCCCCAACTTGCAACCCACCCTTCTCCCTGTGCAGAACTTGGAAAGCCATCACCCCCCACCCGTAGCCCATCCCTCCTTGCACAAAACCCAGAACCTATTCCTCCACCACCCCCCAACCTGCAACCCACCCCCTCCCTGCGCAGAACCCAAAAACCCATCGCCCCTCTCCCCTGGTAAACCACTCTTCCTGGGCAGAACCCAAAAACCCACCCCTCAGCAAAAATCAAAACAACAACCCTCCCTCTATTTTTTCTACCCCACTCCCACATAACCCCAACCCCCATACCCATTAATCAGCTTTCAAGTTTCATGCCTCCCATCCCAAAACAACAGAGAGAGAGAGAGAGACAGAGAGAGAATCAAAACAACAACCCTCCCTCTATTTTTTCTACCCCACTCCCACATAACCCCAACCCCCATACCCATTAATTAGCTTTCAAGTTTCATGCCTCCCATCCCAAAACAACAGAGAGAGAGAGAGAGAGAGAGAGAGAGAGAGAGTTGGGCTGCCAATTATCTCCATCTAGAAGAATGGAGTTATTTTGGAAACAACATTTTTGTTATTCCTAGAAAAATAGCAAGGAGCCCCTCTTTGGTACATTCATGTATATATTGAAATGTGTTTGCTACAGTTGTTCTTAGTACATGCATTTGCATTTCTTAATGCGGTGACTTTTGACAAGATAATCTCTTCGTTGTTGATATTCTCTCAGCTTGCAATCTTGTAAACTATTTTGGGAAAATGGTTCTTGGGGTATGGTGTTGGTCAGATCACTGTGTATCAGGAAGGTTAGTGAGAGAGAGAGAGAGAGATCAATTTTTTAAAGTTTTTAATTTTTTTAAGTAATTACTTTTTTATTAATTTTTTTTATCCATGATGAAGGTGGGCTCCACTTTGCCACATTACCCACTCAAATTTATGACTAAAAAACTTAGGTGCACAAAATTACTATAACACCCTTGCCACGTCATCAAATTTAACAGATTTTTGGATAGAATTGACGATAGGGGGCACTATGGAACATCAAAACTTGGTCAATGGGTTAAAGTGGATCACTTTAACTTCTAGGGAGTAAAGTGAGAATTGACCAATGTTTCAAGGTGCACTGTAGCAATTAAGCCTATGAAAAATTCCATCATTCCAACTTTCAAAAAGTTTTGATATTGCAATTTCTTGTCTAATAGTAATACATGGTATGTTCGGTAAGAAATTTATAGTTCAAATAGTTAACATATTAGGACTATGTTCATCTCCCTGAATATTGCTTTGTATAAAAGAAGGATTAGGATCCTCTGCTCTGATTTTCTCTGCCATGATTTGTTTTACTTTTATTTTCCAGACATCAACTGATTAAAATTTAATCTAATGGATTTAAAAGTTGGCACATCATCCTAAAAACAAACCCAATACTCCTACTACAAAAAAAAAAAAAAAAAAAAAAAAAAAAAAAAACCCACACTAACGGGATAGTTAATGTCCAAAAGTTTTTTTTTTTTTTTTTTTTTTTTTTTTTTCTTCTTCATCATCTTCTCTTTTTTTCTCCTTGCTACATGTTATGTCCTCTTCTCCTTTTTGCTTCACCTTCTTGCTCCACCATCACAAAGCAATAGACATCACTATGAAAATCCATTGAAAACAAAACCATATTTGACATACCACACGCCATAACAAAACCCAATATAAATTATGAATCTCTCCATTTCGTCTTACCTTTCTAATATTGGTCAGGTACCCATAATTTAATTGCTCCACCAAAGGCAACAATCTTTATACAAGGAGGAGAAAAAAAAACAAACAAAAAGGAGAAGAGGACAGAACATGAAGAAGAAGAAGAAGAAGAAGAAGAAGAAGAAGAAGAAGAAGAAAAAAAAAGGAACGTGAAGAAGACGAAAGGAAAAAAAAGCTTTTGGACATTAATTATCCCATTAATTGGATGTTAGGGCTTTTTTTTTTCTTTATTTAATTAGGAGTAAATTGGATTTTTATTTTAGGATAATGTGTCAACTTTTAAATTCCTTAAATTAAATTTTAATGAGGTGGTATGGAGAAAGCAGATCATGACAAAGAAAATCAGAGCAGAGGATCTGGATCCATAAAAAAAACTACAAAGAAAAAACGAATGTCTAAGTCAATCATGCTAATAAAGTCAAAGTAGTTGTGGCTTATGGGTTGTCTTTTACATCATACGGGATAGATATCCATAGAAAATCCCAAGAATTCTATAGTTAGGGCCTTACATATGGCCATTAGGTGAAGTCATATATCTTACGACCTCACTTAAGGACCAATAGCCTAATATGGGCATGTATATAAGGCCTAACGATAGCTTCTTCGACCCAATTGGCCCACAAGTCGATTCCTTTCCTCCAATGAAAATGTTGGCCCAAATGTAAGCTTGAGAGCTATAAGCCCATTTCTTTTAGAGCTGTTTATAGGCCCAAAAGCTTTGTGCACAATATCGTACAAATATCTTTGGACATAAAAATTGTAATATATTTTCTCATGAGCTATCTGACAATAATACTCCAATCATAAAGGACTAAATAAATAGGAAAAATATAAGTTTCTTTTTAGTCAAGAACTGAATAAATGGGAAAAATATGAAAAACAAGGTGGTGGACGAGCAAGTTAGGCCCATCCCACCCATACATTCCATACATTCTCCAATCTCTCTTTTCTTTTTCTCCACGTATCATGAATTCATTTAATATAGTATGTGGTCGTTGATCTCATCGATGCTTTAGTGAAGATAACTTTATTTTTAGTAGGAGACGAATTACACATAAATTTTATTAAAGAGATTAACAAAGTGAGATGACTAAATTTGTTCTAGATATATATTAATGCTATAAATAATTTTATTAAATTTGTTTAAGGAGAATGTGATTAATATTAGAGGTGGGCATTTGAACCTGTTGAGGCCCAAAAAATCTAAGGTTAGGCTCAAATATATTCCCTGCCTAGTACGATACCTTAATGAGAAGAAACCTGATTTGGATATGCGAGAGTTTGTCGTACGCGCTCACACGAGTTACGGTCCACGTGCCACGCTAAGCAAATATATAACCCGTAATGAAAAGAGTTGTAACGAACCTGTAAAATGTATCGGCTCTATGAACCTATGCTTATTATCCCATCAAACGTCATTTTGACTCTACCATAGCCCTTTATAATACGATAAAACTCGAGCACGAGCACGCCAAACAACATTCAATGCCAAGCGAAAAACCCTTATTTTGCACTTAGCCACGCTATAAGTTTAAGTTGGCTCAAGCCATGCAAATGTTCGGGGCTTGCTGAGCAAGTTGTGGTATGTATGGTTACGAGCATTCACGAGGCTCATTGATGAGGCAAGAAATGGAAGTTTTGGGCTGCTTGGGAGCCCCAAAACTCGAGCCCGTTTCTTGAGCCCAAATATATGGGTAAGTATGTGTTTGTGCCAAAAAAGAGGTCCACGCGCCAGCCCACTTCTCACAAAGGCCCACAAAACAAAAAAGACGGAGGACTGGGCTTTGATTCAAAAAAATAGAGAAAGCCCAAAACCAGATCAGAAGGCTCATGTCTTTTACAAAAATGGCAGAGTTGTAAAAACGTCAAGATTAAAAGGCAATCAACCACTGAAGCAAATCAATAAAAAATTAAAAGAAAAATTGGATTGGGCCCAGCTTCTGGCTCACCACTAATCTCAAAACCCAGAGTGCAAGGTCAGCATATCTTTTTGGAAAGCCTATTCTCAGAACCCACATGACTACTTGATTTAGAAAAGTCAACAATTTCAACTATCACAAGAGAGTTGATTGGGAATTAAATGAAAGCATGTCATTAGCAGAAAGACTTCTCTGAAACTCTGGGGCTAAAAGATCATAATCATTTTTTATACAATTCTGCATCAGAGCATGTCATCTTTCCAAAAGATAAGCAAACTACAATCTCAAATAGATATGTGGGAAGCAGGGAGTTGTTCAAATAGACAATCAAAACTAACCACCACAGTTCAAAACTCTTACAAGGAGCAGTTAAAATTGGAAGAAAGGTTAGGTTTTTCTTCAAGAAAACAGGGAAGTGATTGCCTTAGGAACTGACTATTGAGGGCTTATCTGCCATAATTGATAAAACCCTTTTACTTTGCATTTAAAATTGAGAGATCTTTTGAGAATTTTTGCCGCCCATTATTAAAAGAATTAGAAACCCTACGCCAAAACATTTCTTATAAATATAAGAGAGGGTGAACAGAACAAAATGACAATCAAATCAAACACCAAAAAATCAATCAAAGACAAAACTCAAAATGATCACTTGATCCCAAAGAACCTTCAAACAAACTAAAGCAACCACAAGCTCATTGAGCCATAAGAAATGAGCCAGCTACAAGTCAAAACTTACAATTTTCAGACATAGAGAAAAGTCATTCAAAACGAGATTTCTCTCGTTACAAATTTGGTTTAGCAAAAGCCAAATCAAGCAAAGTCTGGGTTTTTACAAATATGAAAACCTCAACAAATTTATGGAGAGCTCTGATCAAGCAGAACATGTACCACAACGCAGTTCCAACTCAGTAATCCTCAAGACCAGCAATTTCTGCCCCTTTCAGACTAAAGAGGCCACAATTTTGGCTATTCAAAAAGCCTTCCAAGGCTCGAAATAGATTAAAGCTCTACCAAACTCAAACTTTGATATCGATTTATAGCTTAAGCTTAGCAGTTGAAGTTGGGAACAGTTCAGTCCAGCGCAGGCATACTCAGTTCAGCCCGGATCAGAAGCTTCTATCCAGGCAAAAATGGAAGTTCAGCCTTCTTTTTGTCTTTTTAGAGTTGATTTTTATTGTAGAGTTTTGTAAAAGTCAGTTCCGCCTGAAAACAGTTCATTTTCTTACTATTTATTCTGGCTAGAACTACCAACATTGTATTGTGAAAAATTATGAAATCCTCACCAGTCTGAGGTAGGAAAAGAACTTACTTGGGAGGTATTCCTCACCCAAATTCACAATCGCTTGTTTAGAAATCAGTAACTTAGGGTGCAATTTATCTATTTTTAAGAAGTCTGCTAGCAGTGGCACGCTCGCACACTAAAGAAAGTTGACTTGTTGACCAGTCAATGGTTTTCAAGGCAATGGGGAACTTTACCCTTCCATCACAGGAGCAAACACGAAACGGGTAAACAGTATGAAAGAGAGAAAAGTGGCCCATCACCTTAGGAAGTGGCCCAACAACTTAGAACATATCTCAGGAAGCCTCTAACACATGGCCAAAGCTAAATCCAAGATAGATCATCTGTAAAACTGAAGGATATTTGAGTGTGCATGCTGCTGGGAGTAAAACACCTTTCAGACCAACACCTTTACCCACTTATTTCCCATACCAACTCTTGCCATCAAATAAATGAAGAAAGAAGGGGAGAGTGTTGCCAGAGATAGAAGATTGCTACAAGGACAGTTGAGGGAAGACTTTAGAGCTCCCAAAAATCTTGTCTGTGTGTGTTTGGATTAGGGGGATTTCATAAAATGGGGATGAATCAAAGGAAGAGAAGAGGAATGGAGAGGGAGACTTGGCAGATTTGGGAAGAACTAGTTAGGGAAGAAGAAGCTTCTAGCGCTTATAAAATGGGGCATTTCCTACCTAACAGATAACAACAGCCAGAGAGAGCAAACATCTCCCCTCACTACTAGAACCCTTCAATTTCAAGCTCTTCAATTTCTTTCCATCTTCTCTTATAGCAAAACACCCAAGAATGTGACGAAACTTTCGTTAAGCAACTGGAAAATTTGCTCAAGCACCCATTCCTCTACCCTCTTATTTTCCTCTCTTCCTTCAACAAATCCTCCCAAAATTCCCTCTCCCCTTGCTTTGAACTTCTATTTCTCATAGGAAATCGAAGCTCTCTCTCTAATGCTAAACTCATGAATGCTCAGCTCTCATACCACAAGCTTCTTAAGCCAAGCCAAAATATTCATTTGTAAGCAATTGTTGGTTTTGTTGGTGAATGAAACCAAAGTGCTACCTAAAGATCCACGAACCTTTTGAAGCACTCTTGGGGCTTGATTCTTGATCTCAGACACAGAGACAACTCCACCCATTTGTTCTTTACAGCAGCCCAAACCCATTTTTAGCTGCTGGAACAAAAAAGCCACTACATAACTTGTAAACCAAGTAAAAGAATAGGAAAAAAACCAAATTGACAGAAAAAGTCAACCTAGACTCAAAAAACGAAACAAACCGTTTTGGATCGATTCCCGTCTAGGTTCTTATCTTGAAAAAACTGATCTAAATCGAATCAGACCAGTTATGTTCAGTTTACTTATTCATTTATATTAAAAATTACCAGTAAGACTAATCAATATTCAAATCAAGCACATTAGTAACACCATGTAATATCTATATATTTTAGCCCAATTAATAACTAAATGTCTTATTTCCAATTTATACCCAACTAAATAACAACTCTAGCCCCACTTCTTTTTCTTTTCGGTGAACCATACCCGTTATTGTTGCGCTTACCATCTTACTCTATTTTCCACGTATTTCATTATATTTCTCATCCTCTTTATCTCTTCTACCTCTTTCACTCTTATCTGATCTATTTCTCATTTTCCTATTTCTTTCTTCTTCACATCCTCATATTTATTTCATTACACACCAGAAATCGAACCGAGACTACATATGTCAAGTTTGGTTCAGTTCTTATATATATATTTCAAATAAAAGTCAAATTGAAATAGACCGTATGTAATTTTCAATTACAATTACAATTCGATGAGAAAATTGGACCGAACTAGACCGCACCCACCCCTAATTATACATGTGGCCTTTACCTTGTTTGGAATAAGGTACCAAGATGTCAAAATAATAGTTGGGGTCCTGGAAGGGTCCACATTGTTAAGTTTATGTTTTTTTAAGTTTTTCTTTTGGCTTCCCTTGACAATATTATAATATGACATACATTGTAATTACTCAAGCTCAAGTTTAGATTAAGAATAGTTTTTTTAAAGTGTTCTTTTATGGCTGCTATCTTATGGAAAATCAATCATATTGGCAAAGGTAATTTGTGCATTGCATCATATTGCATTCATTAGATTTCTTAAGATTATTACTAGTCATCCTGTTTTCGTAGGACTAGTCATCATGTTTTCGTATGACTAGTCATCTTCTGCATCAGTGAGTTTTCCAACTGGATCCTACCAAACTTTTTTGTCATATTCTACGAATTTTCTCAGTTAATATGTACCATTTTGACCCATGAATTTTTGGGTAAAAGTCAAATGATCATTTGACAACAGTCACTTATGAGGGAAAATTTTGAAAAGGTTCTTACTAACTTTTTGTTCTTTTTCTTCCTCAAGAGAAAACCACCATTTTCATCTATGAGTTTTCTAAATTAATTTTTTGAAAATTGCTTTTGAAATGTGAAATATGCATCTAGCTAGAACAAACACTTCTCATATACATCTAGGTCATATTCAAGATTGGTTTCTTTAAGAGGATGTTTTCTTGAAGAAATTGGTCATTTTCTCCTTGAATCGAAATTGTTGGTTTCTGTTCGAGTTTGAGCTGGCTGGTTGGTGTCATGAGATGAACGAGTTGAATAAGGAGTTGTCATTTTCATGAAGGACTAAGCTGCTAGCTTTGCTAAGTTGGAGAAGAAGATTGCACAAAGGAGGTATATCTCATCTTCCTAAATATATATAAGATTTCTTGAGCTGGCTTATGTTTCTTTGTAAGAATATTCTTTACTTAGTGGATTGCCTAATCAGTTGATGACCCCCAGTTTTTCCCAATGGTGGGTTTCTGGGTGAACAATTTCTAGTTTGCAGATATGTTATTTTTTGGGTACGTGTTCTTAACAGCTGACTAATCATTGCTTGATGTTATGCGTTTCTGGATTTGTGTTCTTGCGGTTGACTAGTCATTATTATCTGTCATTTGTTGTTTATTTGATTATGATGTTTTCACACACTTTCACCATAGTTGTTGTTAACACATGAGATGCTTAGATTGACGGGTACTTCTGAGTGTCTAGGTTGTCACTAGTAATCTTCTAGGCTTGTAGGTACAGTTAGGTATGCTATGAATGTGTGTTCTTGGTTATTGCTTTCATGACTAGTTATTGACCAGTCATAATTATCTTTGGTCAAGTTTTAAAAGTGTGTGAATATTGTTGTGTCTATTTGAATAACATTTAAATTTATCCATTGTTACCTAAGTACCAATTTCCCACGTCGAGGTGTAGGACTCAATCACAAAGAGTCCTTATCAAGATAAGAACTTACATGTAAGGAAATAACGCTATTTTGTTATCTCTAACTAATTATGCACTGTCACATGAAATTATTATTACGCGTGACGAAACGTGTTTTTTTTTTTTTTTTTTTTTTTTTTTTTTTTTTTATTTTAAAAGAAGAGAATGCAACACGAAGTCACCCATCCTTATACTACCTCGCCCAAACTCGCTTTGGAGTTCTGATGAGTTGGTATGATCTCATCCAAAACTGTTATTGGTGTGATACACAAAAATCTAGCTCGCCATATTCACCCGTCACCAACACGAACCACGCGCTCCCTTAACCAATACAAACAACATGCAGCCATCTGAACCGCTCATCTTACTCAAACCCAACGCATTTTTCACCGTGTGTTTCTCGCCTTCTCCCTGTAGCGCGTATATATTGAGAGCCGTTATCCCTCGTATATAAGCCAGCAAATTTGGGGCTAATTTTTCCTTTTCTTGCTTCACTTTACTTGCGCATTCGGTTTCTTTCTTTTAAACCCTCTCAGCAGATCACAGCCTTCGAGACTGTAGGGACGGCGATTCTCCGACTAGCAGAAGATGAAGATTTTTGTCAAGACTCTCAAGGGCACTCACTTCGACGTCGAAGTGAAGCCTGAGGACACGGTTAGCCTCAATCGTTCTGAATTCAAATATTTAAATTTTTTAAATTTCGTGTTATTTTTTTATATTAAATTTTCAATCGCGCATTATGATCGGAATTGGAGTGTTTTCTAGGGTTTTGGTCTCGAATTTCTGTTTGTTTCGCAATTTGGTAAGGACTTAATGTGCAAGCTTTAACAGGTTTTTATGTTTTTGGCTTTTGTACGTCAATTGGACTTAGGTTTTTGCTTCTAACACGTTGAGTATTTTTGGTTTATGGTGGAATTGGAGTCTGGGAATTTACGCTTTCCTTGTTAAATTACTTGTTCCTTTTTTTTTTTCTTTCGTTTATGTGTTTATCGCAATTTTCAAGTTCTACGGTATGGCTGACTTTGCTTAATTATAGAGTACATTCAGCTTTCTAGATGCAGGAATTGTAGTTCGGTGTGCTTATAAATTTACTTTGCTATAATTACTGACTACTTTGTCTAAATTACATTATTGATGACTAACCACTACTCTTTCCAGGTTGCTGATGTGAAGAAACAGATAGAAACTAGTCAAGGTTCAGATGTATATCCTGCTTCACAACAGATGCTCATTCATCAAGGAAAAGTACTTAAAGATAGCACAACATTGGATGAAAACAAAGTTGCTGAAAACAGCTTTGTTGTGATAATGTTGACAAAGGTATTTTTATTTTTGTATTCGATGCTTTAGAGTGCTACGTTTTCCATTTAATAATAATGGTCTAAATCTACCTTTTTAAAATAACACTTGACCTAGATTTGTAGGAAACATCATGTATGTATTGTGTACTTGTTTTGGATTATGTCGGAACATAGTTTTAGATTTAGGAAAGAGGGATCAAATCAAGAATATAGTGGTTACAAATGAGAATTCAAACTGGCACCAGTGAGCTTATAAACCATGTTGAATTGAATTCTTGATAAAGTAGTCACAGTAGGTGAGCTTGGAAGTAATAAATAATACAGTGGTGACAGTAATTATGCCTGTATTATAGCTAATGTCTTGCTAAACAACCATCATGGAAACGGAATTTATTATATGGCATTCACTACTTTTGAAATTTCTATTTGGTGCTAATGTCTTATTCTTGTATTGTGATTTCCCTGTTTATTCACATCTGGTTTGATTGAGCCCACCTCCTGTCATTCCCTGGCGTACAATTTGTTTTACTTGAAGTTGGTGATATTGTTTTGATTGCCCTATTTGGTTCGCATCTGATTTGTGCCAACTATTTGTGGTGTTGAAATTCCTTCTCCCACCAGATAATGTTGCTAAATCTTCAATTCCTTGTTGGTTTAGAATGATGACAAGTTGTTTTGACTTACTTTATATACCTAAAAATGCTAGAGTAAGAGCTCGTCTGGTGAAGGTTCAGGTGCATCAACTGCGACTACAACTAAGGTAAGACATTTTTTTCATTGTTTTTTCAGTGATTTGTTTTCTCTGTGGGAGGTGCATGGATGTTACCACTTGCTTTGGTTCAAATTGTTGGGATTCATCTATAGTCTTATGTTAATTTCTATTCTTCACAATTTATCTTTATAATTGGTTTTTCATTCAATACAAATTGGATTACTTCTGTTATATTTTAGTTTCATTAGAGCTGAGATACTGTTAAATGTAGAATTGGTCCGTGTATATACTTTGATTTGCTTGTTTGACTTTAGAAGAAAAATTATGAGCCTAGGATTATAAAAAGAGAAAAACCTTTACACAGACTTAGTGAAGTAAACAAGCTCAATAACCCAGATATATTTGCATGCATGTCTGTGGACGAACTAAAGCTTTCCTTTTGTTTTATGTTGGGCTGTGAGTGTAGTTACTGAGTGTTGTTTTTATGTGCAGGCACCACAGCCAAGTGCACCTTCTGCTGCTCCAACTGCGACATTAACAGCACCTCAGGCTCCAATACCAACCTCAGCACCGTGAGTCTTGTTTTGTATAAGCTTTAGTTGTACCAAAAGTATGATATTCATCTTTCATTATACAAATTGTGTTTCTAATTTTTCTTGATTTCTCAGGCCTGCTTCTGTTACCACACCTGCTCCTGTCTCTTCAGCTACCACAGAGTGAGTAATTTTGTTCCTTCCGGTGATGCTTTCAGTTTGAAATCTGTAGCCAATGCCCCGCAGTGCTTCCTCATTAAGTTCTTCATTGGCTTTATATATTCTTTTGTTTCCTAAGACAATTCTTTGTAATTGTTGAAGCAGGGTAGAATCTGATCCCTACGGCCAAGCAGCATCTGATCTGGTAGCAGGAACTAACTTGGAGGGAACGATTCAGCAAATTCTGGATATGGGTGGAGGTACTTGGGACAGGGATACTGTTGTACGTGCTCTTCGTGCTGCTTTCAACAACCCAGCGAGAGCTATTGACTATCTTTATTCTGTAAGTGGAGATATTATTATGAAAAATTCAGGAGTTGCTCTGCTCTCTTAGTTATATATCTTATACATCATGATTCTCTGTCAAATTTTCAACAATGGTAACAATATTGAGTAGTATTGTAGAAAAAAGAGTTGATAAGAGTACTGATTTTCAGAACCAAAAAGCAATGGTTATCCCTGCTCTTTGATTATTATTGTGCTTTCCTTTTGATGCCAATTTGGTATTTCTTGAAGGGTATCCCTGAGCAACCTGAAGTTCCACCTGCAGCCCGTATTCCTGTGACTGGGGAAGTTGCAAACCTTCCAGCACAACCTCCGCAATCAGCACAACCAGCAGCCACTCCACCAAGTGGACCTAATGCCAATCCTTTAAACCTTTTTCCACAGGTACTCATCATGCCGAATCTGGAATTAATTATGGTGGAAGAATTTTTCAGTGATACACATGCCTTTATGGAAACAGGGCCTTCCGAACATGGGTGCTGGTGCTGCTGCTGCAGGCAATCTTGATTTTCTTCGTGACAGCCAACAGGTCATTTATCTCCCTCTCTCTATCTATATGTTTGCATGTGCATGTGTGTGTGCATTCATGTATGAATGAACCCACACTTGAACATTGTGGTTTTTTTAACTCTCGATTTGGTGTTGTTTGTCTCAGTTCCAAGCCTTGCGAGCTATGGTGCAGGCTAATCCACAAATATTGCAGGTACTTCTTCCCAACCCAAATGTTGTTTAGTCACCCTGTTCTTTTGGCGATAATTCTTCTATTTTTGTTACAGCCTATGCTTCAAGAGTTAGGGAAACAAAATCCTAATCTTATGAGGCTAATTCAACAGCATCAGGCTGACTTCCTTCGCCTGATTAATGAACCTGTGGAAGGTGGAGAAGGGTAAGGAGTTTACTATCTTACCTTTTATGTACTCTTTTAGTCTTTGGGGTTTGTTGTTGGTTAGGTGTATGTTACATGATTATGTATGTTTATCTTGCTCATTTGTCACTTTGTTTCAGGAACATATTGGGCGATGCAGCGGTGCCGCAGTCAATAAGTGTTACTCCTGAGGAGCGTGAAGCTATAGAACGTGTAAGTTCTCCCTTTTTTATATAAACACTATATTTAATACATGCAATGCACATGAAATGTAGCTTAAATCATGTGAAATAAAAAATTTGAACTTGATTTGAAGAATACTTTTAAGATGAAAACAGGAAACACTGACTAATCACCTAATTGAACAAAATTTATTAAAAATTCATTGAGTGAAAAAGTTTATTTGTGATTTCCATTTAACCAAATACGCTTGGAAAAACTTGATGAATGTCCAATCATTAGTCTCGAGGGTTTGAAAGTCTTCAGTTTTGGTCCAATCATTACTGATTTAAAACAATGATTTTCATGAACTGATTTAGCTTTATGGTTATGGTATCAGTGTTATGCTTTGCACGTTTGCATTACATATGTGTTTTAATTCTTGCTAACAACTTATTACCTCTCAAGGAGTTGTGTGTATTGGACCTTAGAAGTTTTAGTTTGCTTATTTTGGCTATTTTTAATCCACTTTTTTCGCAAGGGACTTGTGGTTTCAGTGGTTGTAAGAGTTCTAAATATCAATGAATATTCCTGTTGTTCTTTGAGCGGACAATTTGCTTTCTTGTTGATGATATGTTTATCCTTGCCAGCTTGAAGCAATGGGATTTGATCGAGCAATTGTATTGGAGGTTTTCTTTGCCTGCAACAAGAACGAAGAGTTGGCTGCCAACTACCTCTTAGACCACATGCATGAATTTGAGGAATAATCTATGGAATATCAGCCGTCCAACCCCCTGTTAAATAAAAAAAGAAAAAAAAAGAATATAAAAAACCCTCTTCTCATGGCTTTCTTTTGAATTTATTGCAATTTTTTTTTTTTTTTTTTTTTTTTTTTTTTTTCCTTTTTAAGTTTTTTTTTTAATTTTGGATTATGTGGATATGGTCTATAGTTTACTAGAAATTTCAAGTCAGAACTTTCTTCTTCCCAAATCCAATCTTTCATTTCTCAGGTACATGCAATCGATTTTTATTTTTATTTTCGGTCGATTTCTTATGTTGTGAATATGAATAAGTTTTTAACTAGCACAATTTCTAGCTATGATTTGGGTGAAAGTCATACATCTTTTCCTTGTCATTTTTATCACGACATTATTGTCTGGAAGCATAGGGATTGAAGTAGAGCAACAATCAGAGATCTGGATGAAGGACAAGATACATATTTTGACATGGACAAAGGACTTGCCTGTTGGTGGTGGGCTGGCTTTCACCACCTAAATATTTACAGACTGATGACTTCCCTCCTTAGCCATACGGAGCCTCAGTGCTTGCTTTCTATTGTGACTCAACAAGAAAGTGACATGTGTCCTTTTTTTAATTGTCAGAACAGTTTTTTTTTTCCTCCACTTTTACTGAACCCCTAGCTTTTCATTTTTCTTCGATTTTTCTCAACCATTTAAAATAAATAAATAAAATCCTTACTCAGTTAAAATTTTAAGTCTTTGTGGCCTTTCGTTTTGTTTTGGTAAAACATTTAGGCTTCAGTAAAAGTGAAAAAAGAAAGAATAAAAGTTTTGACAATTCAAAAACAGAGGACACATGTCACGTTGTGGTTGAGCCACAAATATTTATCGTATGTTTATATTGATCAGGTTCACAACAAAAGGTGTCGGGAAGAGTTGCGAACCAAATCAATTGTTGCAGAAAAGAGTTTGAACAATGCAGGGAAGGTTCCTAAAGCTCCTTGGTTATGGTAGTGGTCAATGCAGTTGGTTTACCATACAAAGATAAAACACGTAAATTTGGTTCCACACTTAAACCAAATGAGAAGTAGAAGTAATACGAACAAGTTCGATTTTCTAAAGTGATGCGAAGACTCCATTGACCTTAATTCTTTTGGTGGATTCCATTCAATTTCTCTTCTTTGTTTATTCCTTTTTTTTTTGTCCAACTTATTTTTTTTATGTGGATTTTAATTTTGAGGATATTTAAGTCTATACAAGTGAGTTTTAGGCTTTTTAAAAATAGTTTTACAAAAAATTAATATTTTTAAAAATATAGGGTAAATATGGGCTTTTTATTTATTTATAAAAACTCGTGGCAATACTTACTTTAATACTAGAGTTGACAATTCTTTTAAAATTGACAACATAAAAAAAGAGTGCTGCTAAATGAACCTTAAAATTAACTGAGTACACCCCGCCACCCCTACATCCTATACGCTCTCTTATTTATTTCTTTGTTTCTTTCTCTCATCATTTTCTACATGTATCATGAATTCATCTGTTATGTTATGTGGTCGGTGATTTCACTAGTCCTGTAGTGAAATAACTTCATAAATTGCCGTACACCACCCAAACTAAAAAACCAACCAATTTAACACTCGAATTAATTAAAATTGCCAATTTAGCTCTTGTCGTTATGTTTTGTGAATTTCATCCAATTTTTCATTAACTATAAGGGTAAACTTGTATTTTTGATTAAAATAAATAATAAATCAATCAAACAAAAATAAAATAATAAGAAGAAGAAAAAAAACCAGCCCCATGCACAACTCTCTCTCTTCTTCATGTAACAAGAACATATTGGTTCTCTCCTTGATGTAACAAAAACAACTCGGTTTATGAGTTGTTATTTACCTTTTTTTAGTGTAGCAATCTTCAACCCATCAATCAATTCCCAATCGAGCCATCATTATAATCAATTCCCAATCGGGCACCAAGACCCGCCGCCCCATCACCCTTCACATGAAGTACAACGTCGACGCCCACTCCCATCTCTGCCGCCTTATCATCCCCTCCAATTATGATTCCTATTCCGAGCCTCACGAGAAGTCTCTTTCACTCCAAGAGATTCAGGCCTATATTAAGGCTGAAAACATGAGCTTGGAGGAGCCTTGTCTCTTCTCCGCCGATTGGCTTTTGGAGCAGTGGCGGTTCCAGGATTCGAAAGCCAACCGAGCAAAACTTATATACTAAACTTAACGATATGAGTGAATTTCATTAATAAACATAAAAAAATACACATAGTGAGGGGAAACGTAATGAGCTTTACCTTCAAATGCATCTATATCTACAAATACAAAAACTAATTTCTAAAACAATTGTCTTTGTGCGAGACATAAAAAAATATATATACATATATATAGGCGGGCTTGGGGTTTGTGTGAGACAAATAATAATAATTATTATTATTATTATAAGTAGTGTAGGTTTTTTTTTATATATATAACAAAAAGAGAGAAGGAAAAGGAAGAAAAAAGAAAAAGAAGATAGAAGGAAAAGAACCACAAAAAAAAAAAAAAAAAAAAAGAGGAGAGATGAGAGAAGAAAAAGAAATGAAAAGAGAGAGAGAGGAGAGAAGAGGGAAGGAAAAGAAAGAAAAAAGGTTTGTGCATATTTGTATATGCTTAATTTAAGGGGAGTTTCACTAAAACACCCAAAATGGGGGCTAAAATTATAAAAAAACTCAACACCCAAAACACTTTATAAACACACCCAAAACCCATAATTACACATACTCAAAACCAATTTATAAACACACCCAAAAAATATACAATTGTTGATTTTGTGGTTGATTTTGGGTGTGTTTCTATGTTTAAATAGTGCTTGGATTTTTTTATAAATACATGTCTAGGATTAGGTTTATTTATAAATTTGTATAATTTAAGTGGGGAACATATGTAGCGTAGGTAAGAATTTTTTTACAAAAATTTGGGCCGGTCATCCAGCCTGCCACAAGCTAGAAACGCCACTATTTTGGAGGGAGGATGTTGGGGGTGGGATTGGGTAATCTGTGCGCCGCCAAAATCTGGGTTTTGGAAGAGCTCGGTAATCTGGGCAAGGTAATAGGTGATGAAAAGAAGTTCATGACCTCTGCTTTGTTTTGCTGATTTTGATTTTGCACTCTTAAATGTGATCTTGTTAATTTCTTGTAGAATTGTTGAATAATTGGAACACCCACCTTGTAACAGAGGAGAGAAAAAGACGGGAGGGGGAGAGAGAGTAACCTTTTTTTTTCTATTCATTTTTCTATTTTTTAACTATTTTAGTTTTTATAATAATAATAAATAAATAAATATAGTAAGTCACGTGGATGACACATGACTGTTTTTACAGAAAAATGGATGAAATTCAAAAAAAAATTAACGACAAGGGCTAAATTGATGATTTTAATTAATTCGGAGACTAAATTGACTGATTTTTTTAAGGACAAACTACAGTAAACCTCCCAACTTATAAGGACATTTACGAGTTTATACTCGATTTTGGGGACATCGTTAACCAAACTGTTAGTCAGTCTGTTAAATGTTGACGTGTCAAAAGTGAGACTTTTTTTTTTAAAATGATGTGGACTTCCACGTGGACCAACAATTAATAAAAAAATTATTTTACTGTTTAAAACTCACTCTCTCTCTCTCTCTCTCTCTCTCTCTCTCTCTCTCTCTCTCGCACAAAACCCAGACCCAGAACACAATCTCTCTCTCTTCCTCCATAGCCTCTACCACCAAACCCTGTCAAAAATCACAGTGACAGTGATAAGAAAGTAACAGTCGGTGCTAGAAACAGAGCCATTGAAGCTCTTCAAGGTTTTCACGAAACCCCACTTTTTATTTCTTCGTTTCTTTCTTTACTTCTTGTTATCTGATAGGCCTCAAACCTTGAAATTGCAAAGTTTTATGAAATTGGTTTTGTTTGTTTTTGTGGTTTCTACGTAGTTTTTGGTTCACGTTGATGAGTTTTTTCAATTTTTGTGTCATTTTCATTTGTGAAATTCAGTTCTCTTGGAGCAGAGTAACAAAGAAGTGTTGTGTTCTTGAGAAGAAGATTCGGTCTCTTGCAGGTGGGTTTTGCAAATTCTTAGCAAAGATGAATGATTTGATGACTAAATCGTTCTTAAGTTATGTGGAATTGAAGAAACAAGCACAGAAGGACCTCGAAGCCAATCTTGATGTTGAAGCAGGCCAAGGCCAACTCAACCCGTCAGAACAAGAAAACCTCTCTCACTTTTTCCAAGAAGTCACACCAATCAAGAGCGATATGAAAGAGATCACCAATCTCTTGTATGATCTTCAGAGCCTGAATAAAGAGGCAAAGTCCACCCACAGTGCCAAGATCCTTCGCGGGCTTAGAGACCGGATGGAATCCGATATGGTGGCAGTGTTTCAAAAGGTGAGATTGTATTGGAGTCTCTCACCGTTTTGATCTAAAGGAATGGGCCAAGGGAAGCCATGGCTGCTGCTTATGGGGGCTACTGGAGTGTGGGGGAGAAGATCAAGTTGGACTGGTACATCTGATTTGGAACCACAAGCAGCACTAAACCTACTTTAATCTGCGAGGGGCAGAGGCCGATCGATTTTGTGCAAGGTCGTGGTGAGAGAGAGAGAGAGAGAGATTTTTTAAATAATTTAAAAAATAATTTAAACAATTAAATAATTTTTTATTAATTTTTGGTCCACATAGAATTCCATATCATATAAAAAGGAGGTCACACGTTAGCATTTAAGAGATTGACTAATAGTTTAGCTAATGGATGGAGCAAATTGTAAGTTTTCTATGACGTTGAGTATGTACTGGTAAATGTCCCCAAAATCGGGTATGAACTCGTAAATGACCTTATAGGTTGGGGAATTTAATGTAATTTGTCCTTTTTTTAATTCAAGAAGTTAATTTCTACAAGAGTAATAATTCCGAAGGTAAAGCGAAAAATTCTCTCTAATCGGAAGGAATTACGTATAAATTTGATTAACGAGATTAACAAATGGACAATGCTTGGCTTTGATACTTCTGGAGCCATTCCTCCTTCACATACGACGTGGCCTATTTACAAAAAGACACATGCTTTTTTAAAATCTTTTTTTCTTTCAACTCTTTTAACCCAAGTTCTAGTTTAACTCAGGTCACCTTCTTTCTCTTTTTTTACAACCACCTAACTCCGATCACCGGCAACATAAATCCTCATCCATCGACCACGTAAATATCCGGACACCGACAACATAAATCTCTGGCAAACTTCTCCCACTATTTGATTAATTCCTTTTGGGATGGTTAGTCCAACAACAATATTTCCCTTTGATTTTTGGAATTTTAGTTTTCATAATTCCTATGCATGGCAGATTCTTCATATTGGGGTTTGTTTTTCATAACCATTTCCAAAGAGTGGATTTCTTATGTTTATATGGTTGATCAAAGTAGCCTACTTGTAATGAACTTATGTTGATAAATATATAAAAACATCTGTTTGATTTGTAATATAATCTTATATTTTCTCCTTGTAAGCTAACTAGGCTTTTAATTTTGGTGAAATAAATGGTTATAAGTTGCAGCCAACCTGTTTGAAGAATTGTCTAAACCAAGTTGTGATCTTGTTTTTCTTTTCTTTTCTATTTTTGTGATTTCTATTTTCTTAAATGATTTTAATTTCTAAATATGATCCAGGGGTTAATTACTTAATGGTCCTCAAATTTGTACATGATTTACATTTTGGTCCATAAACTAAACTTTTCGTTCAAATGATCCATCAACTTTATATTATTAGGTCTATTGGTCCAACCGTCAAATTTTCTGTTAGATTTAACCAAAATTTAGGGTAAATATGACTTTTCATAATTAACAAATAAAAATAGGGTTAAAATAAATACAACTCATTTGTATTCCAGTTTTACACAGTTTAGTATAAATATAACTCATTTGTATTCCAAATTTCACTGATAAAATTTTTTTTTTGGTTACCCACAATGCTTGGAAACAGAGGACTTGAGGAAACAGAAGCACAAAAGTTGATCATGGTCTCAGTCAATACCAAGTCAAAAATGGAATTCAATTGACACATCATAAGACTCGCATCTTCTTCCACGAAAGATACAAATTTTCTCAAGAGAAAGTGACGAGTTGATGAAACTAATTTGTATTCCCACCATACCAACCATGAAGACCCACCCCCACTCTTTCAACTCATTTGGTAAACTATTACCATCAACAAGATCAAAACTACAACATCAAGAAGAAAATTAAAACAATAATGGGGTGGGTATTTTGGGTGTCTTGTGAATATTTTTTGGTGGATGAAAGGTGGTTGTTGGGTAGGGAGGATGGTGGTGGGTGGTTGTCTCTCAACAACGAAGGGAAATCAAGGGGGAGGGGGAGAGGGTCTGGGTGGTTGTTAAGTTGGTGTTCAGGGTTTGTTGGGAGGGGGTCTGTGGAAGAAAATTTTTTTTTTCTCTTTTTCTATAGTTGCTGGCTCGGGTGTAGGGTGGGGAGGAGCTGTGGTTATGGGTTCATGGGGCCTGGGGAGGGTGGTTGTGGGATGGGTTTTGGGGTTGGGAGAGAGAGAGAGAGAGAGAGAGAGAGAGAGAGAGAGAGAGAGAGAGAGATAGAGATATTTTTATTTCATTTTTAACGTACGAAATGACTAATTTTCCATCATATTTAACGGCAACAGTGACAGAATGTAACGGTAGGATCAATTGACCGAATAATATAGAATTGATGGACCATTTGAATGAATAATTTAATTGAGAGACCAAAATGTAAATCATGTATAAGTTTGAGGACCATTTGAATAATTAACCATATAATCCAGTAGTTCTAATTGATAGTGGCGATAAGGGTCTGGAGAGTTTTAAAAAGTTGGAGTTTCTGTTGAGGAGGCTAGAGTTAAAACCAGCCAACAAGACTTGGGTTAGAGAGTTGAAAGAAACAAAAAACAAAACAAAACAAAAAAAATTGTCTTTTTGTAACAAGGCCACGTCTTATGTCTGGAGCCAAGCATAACTTCCCTATCACAGGGATGCCACTGTACACAAACTACATAAGTGTCCCAAGCCAATAAAATATCGACAGCTCGCAACTAATTTTAAGGTTTAATTATGTACATGCCCCATGTGCTTTCAATCTTGTCTCAGATTACACCTGTGTTTGCAAACGTCTCAAAATACCCCCCCCCAAATTTTAAAAACAATCTCACGTTACCCGTTCCATCAGTTTTATAGACATTCTGTTCCGTTCGTTGGACTCCACTTTGTTTAAAATATATTTAAAAGTATAGCCGCCGGCCAATTTCCTCTTTCTCAATCACTCAAATCCCTCAACCATGGTCGAAGGCTTCGAAGTCGGAGGCGTCCAGTTCAATCCAGACGGGTGGGGCCCACCGGACAGCGCAACCACCCCAACCACCACCTCTAACCTTCCCCTCAATGTCCACTTCACCCCATCCTCTCGCGCCGAGAAGTTAGGGCGGATCGCCTACTGGACTTGCACCTTCAACAACCTAGCCCGGTCCAATAACCCATCGGATTTAGTCTTTGACTTCTCGAACGACGAGTCATTCCTTGCCTCCGCCGATGATGACGTCTTATTCCGTCTCGTGGACAGAAAGGTTTCATTACGCCCCAGGTTCGGCCCTAAATGGCAATTCCAGCAGCGGCAACAGCTGCCTCACTGTCGCGATGAAGAAGTTGAAGCCAAAAAAACTAGAGGCCGAGAAGGAGCGGCTCGCCGCGACCGGCAATACAACATGAACCGGTCCAATGTCAATGTCCCTCGCCGTGAAGCCGCGATTTTCAAATCATCGGTCGATATTTAACCCGAGTGGAACATGCTAGACCAGATCCCTTTCTCCACATTCTCAAGGCTATCTTTTTCGGTTCCAGAACCAGAGGACTTGCTCCTCTGTGGTGGGCTTGAGTTTTACGATCGTTCATGCGATCGAATCATGCCCAAGAATGAGCGAAGACTCTGGCGTTTCAAGAATCGGAACTTCTTCAAGGTCACCACCACCGACGACCCAATCATTCGCCGACTTGCAAACAAGGACAAAGCTACTGTATTTGCCACTGATACCATTCTCTCGACTCTCATGTGTGCGCCTAGGTCGATTTACCCTTGGGATATCGTTGTTCAGCGAGTTGGGAACAAGTTATTCTTCTTCTGCAGCCCCTTTTTTTATTTTAAATTTTTTTTAAAAGGGTATAGCCGTCCGGCTATACTTTTAAATATATTTTAAATGAAGTGGGGCTCAACACACGTAACGGAATGTCTATAAAACTGACGGAAAGGGTAACGTGAAACTGTTTTTAAAAGTTTGGGGGTATTTTGAGACGTTTGCAAACACATGTGGTAATCTGAGACAAGTTTGAAAGTACAATGGGCATGTACATAATTAAGCCTAATTTTAATTCGGGGTATTTTGGAAACGGCTAAAGGAGAGAAAAAAAAAAATTTAAGAGCCAAAGTAGACAAAAACGCCCTTATTTATTTTTGGATTTTCTATGGAATCATTTGCATTTACATGTTTTTAGTTTGAAAGTTTAAATGTTTTTTTTGTGTTTTTTCGAAAAGTTGTGACTTTTTCCAAAAGTAAAATTTTTTTTTGTGGCTAAAACCTAAATTTATTTTTTTTAATTCCAATTTTATATAGGGAGTTTCACTAAAACACCCAAAATGAGAGCTGAAATTATAAAAAAACTCAACACCCAAAACACTTTATAAACACACCCAAAACTCATCATTACACACACTCAAAACCCATTTATAAACACACCCAAAAAATATACAATTGTTGACTTTGTGATTGATTTTGGGTGTGTTTCTATATTTAAATAGTGTTTAAATTCTTTTATAAATACATATCTAGAATTGAACTTATTTATAAATTTTAAAATATGCTCGGCACCCATTTCCTCTTCTCCCTCTTCCGCATCCCTCTCTCTCATCCATTAATCTTTCTCTTTCTTCCTTTAGTCGCTCATCCTCCATCATCATCCACACACCCCTGCATTCCTATTTTTCTCTTCAATCAGTAATCCTTCATTACCCACACTCGGTGATATAAAAGTTTTAATTTTTAGTGAGGTATGTTTATTGGAGAAATCTGGCAAATTTGTAAATGGTGGAGTTGAGAAATTTTGGGTTGGCGTCGGTTTCGTAGAGGAACAGTTTACGTTTTGGGGAAGAAAAACCTTCTCTGGCGTCACTCTCTCTCCTCCAGATCTGAGGAATCTCTTTCCTCTTTTTTTTCTTCAAATTTTATTATCTATTGGGCAGTTTTGGAAAATTTGGAATGGTGAAGCTGAGAGAGCTTGGGTTCTGTCAGGGAACAGTGAAGGTGCGGTTTTGGGGAGAAAAATCGCACCATGTATTGATTTCTTCTCCAGATCTAAGGAATCTCTCCTGCCATTCCATTATCACAAAGTATTAAGAGGAAGTGAAACACCAGAAATAGAAGAAGAAAAAAGTTTTTTTTTACGGACTGCAAGAGGAATGGGGGAGAGAGAGAGAGAAGAGGAAGAACATGGGTGAAAATACGTCGTAAAATTTTAAATTGAAAAACAAATTGATTATGTGCGCTGAGTGATTGAATTTAAAAGAAGGAGTGAATGCAGGCGCGTGTGGGTGATGGTGATGGTGGAGGAGTGATTGAAGAGAGAGATTAATGGATGAGAGAGAGGGATGCGAAAGAGAGAAGAGAAAATGGGTTCAGAACTCTTTTTTTTAATATTTAAAATTGGAAGTAAAATTAGTTGCCAGCTGTCGACATTTGTTTGACTTGGGATACTTACGTGGTTTGCTGACAGTTGTATCTTGTGACAGGGAAGTTTTTCTCGTCCATTTGGGCTCTTGGAAGGGTCCACATCGGCGGTGTAGGAGCAAATCACAAAGATGCTCTTCACTTGGAGATGCTAACACAAACCAGTCACCAACACAAACCACGCGCTCCCTGAACAAACGCAAACTACAAGCTGCCATCTACACCGCTCATCTTAAACCCAAAGCAAAAAAAAAATTAAAAAACCCAACGCAGTTTTCATTCTGTGTATGTCGCCTTCTCCTTCTAGCGCGTATACTTGTGAGCCGCTAGCCCTCGTATTTAAGCCAGCAAATTTGGGCTCTGTTTTTCTTTTCTTTATTTAGTCTTGCCTCACTTTACTTGCGCATTCGGCTTCTTTCTTTAAACCCTTTCAGCAGATCACAGCCTTCGAGACTGTAGGGACGGCGATTCTCCGACTAGCAGTAGATGAAGATTTTTGTCAAGACTCTCAAGGGCACTCACTTCGACGTCGAAGTGAAGCCTGAGGACACGGTTAGCCTCAGTCGTTTTGAATTCTTTCATTTTTTTTAGTTCCGTGTTTAAAAATAAATAAATAAAAATCAATCGCGCATTATGATCGTAATTGGAGTGTTTTCTAGGGTTTTGGTGTCGATTTTCTATTTGTTTCGCAATTTGGTAAAGACTTAATGTGCAAGCTTTAACAGGTTTCTCTGTTTTTGGCTTATGTACGCTAATTGGACTTAGGTTTTTGCTTCTAACACTTGTGAGGATTTTTGGTTTATGGTGGAATTGGAATCTGGGAATTTACGCTTTCCTCGTTAAATCTCTCGTTCATTTTTTTCATTTCGTTTCTTTGTTTATCGCAATTTTCAAGCTCTATGGTATGGCAGACTTTGCTTCATTATTGAGTACATTCAGCTTGCTTTATGCAGGAAATGTGGTTGGGTGTGCTTATAAATTTACTTGCGATAATTACTGGCTACTTTATCCAAATTACATTATTCACAAAAAATCACTACTCTTTCCAGGTTGCTGATGTGAAGAAACAGATAGAAACTAGTCAAGGTTCAGATGTATATCCTGCTTCACAACAGATGCTAATTCATCAAGGAAAAGTACTTAAAGATAGCACAACATTGGACGAAAACAAAGTTGCTGAAAACAGCTTTGTTGTGATAATGTTGACTAAGGTATTTTTATTTTTGTATTCGATAGTTTAGAGTGCTACATTTTCCATTAAATAATAAATTAGTGACAGTAATTATGCTTGTATTATAGCTAATGTCTTGCTAAACATCCATCATGGAAATGGAAATTATTGTATGGCATTCATTTCTTTTGAAATTTCTATTTGGTGCTAATGTCTTATTCTTGTATTGTGAATTTCCTGTTTATGCCCAACTCCTGTCAAATTTGTTTTACTTGAAGTTGGTGATGTCGTTTTGATACCCTTATTTCGTTCGCATCTGATTTATGCCAACTATTTGTGGTGTTGAAATTCCTTCTCCCACCAGATAATTTTGCTCAATCTTCTCTTCTTTGTCGGTTTAGAATGATGACAAGTTGTTTTGACTTACTTTATATACATAACAATGCTAGAGTAAGAGCTCGCTTGGTGAAGGTTCAGGTGCATCAACTGCGACTATAACTAAGGTAAGACACATATTTTTTTCATTGTTTTCTGTGATTTGTTTTCTCTGTGGAAGTGGCGTGGAGTTTACCACATGCTTTGGTTCATTCTTGGCATTCATCTATAGTCTTATTTTAAATTCCATTCTTCACAATTTATCTTTGTATTGAGTTTTTCATTCAATACACGTTGGATTACTTCTGTTACATATTAGTTCTGTTAGAGCTGAGATACTGTTAAACGTAGAGTTAGTATGTGTATATACTTTGATTTCTTTGTTTGACTTTAGAAGAAAAGTTATGAGCCTGGGATTATAAAAAGAGAAAACCTTCTACACAGACTTAGTGAACTAAACAAGCTCAGTAACCCAGATCTATTTGCATGCATGTCTGTGGACGAACTAAAGCTTTCTTTTTTATCTTTTTATGTTGGGCTGTGAGTGTAGTTACTGAGTGTTGTTTTATGTGCAGGCACCACAGCCAAGTGCTTCTGCTGCTCCAACTGTGACATTAACGGCACCTCAAGCTCCAATACCAACCTCAGCATCGTGAGTCTTGTTTTGTATAAGTTTTAGTTGTACCAAAAGTATGATATTCATATTTCATTATACATGTTCTGTTTGTAATTTTTCTTGATTTCTCAGGCCTGCTTCAGTTACCACACCTGCTCCTGTATCTTCAGCTACCACAGAGTGAGTAATTTTGTTCCTTCCGGTGAGATGCTTTCAGTTTTAGATCTGTAGCCAATGTCCCCCGCCCCTTCCTCATTAAGTTCATCACTGGCTTTATATATTCTTTTCTTTCCTAATACGATTCTTTGGAATTGTTGAAGCAGGGTAGAATCTAATCCCTACGGCCAAGCAGCATCTGATCTGGTAGCTGGAACTAACTTGGAGGGAACAATTCAGCAAATTCTGGATATGGGTGGAGGTACTTGGGACAGGGATACTGTTGTACATGCTCTTCGTGCTGCTTTCAACAACCCAGCGAGAGCTATTGACTATCTTTATTCTGTAAGTGGAGATATTATAATGAAAAATTCAGGACTTGCTCTACTCTCTTAGTTATATATCTTCTACATCATGGTTCTCTATCAAATTTTCAACAATGGCAACAATGTTGAGTAGTATTGTAGAAAAAAGAGTTGATACGAGTAGTGATTTTCAGAACCAAAAAGCAGTGGTTATCCCTGCTCTTAGATTATTGTTGTCTTTTGATGCCAATTTGGTATTTCTTGAAGGGTATCCCTGAGCAACCCGAAGTTCCACCTGTAGCCCATATTCCTGTGAGTGGGGAAGCTGCAAACCTTCCAGCACAACATCCACAATCAGCACAACCAGCATCCACTCCTCCAGGCGGACCTAATGCCAATCCTTTAAACCTTTTTCCCCAGGTACTTATCATGCAGCACCTGTGATTAATTATGGTGGAAGAATTTTTCAGTGATACACATGCCTTTATGGAAACAGGGCCTTCCGAATGTGGGTGCTGGTGGTGCTGGTGCAGGCAATCTTGATTTTCTGCGTGACAGCCAACAGGTCATTTATCTCCCTCTCTCTATTTATATGTTTGCATGTGCATGTTTATGTGCATTCATGTATGAATGAACCCACACTTAAACATTGTGGTTTTTTTGAACTCTCGATTTGGTGTTGTTTGTCTCAGTTCCAAGCCTTGCGAGCTATGGTGCAGGCTAATCCACAAATATTGCAGGTACTTCTTCCCAACCCAAATGTTGTTAGGTCACCCTGTTCTTTTGGCGATAATTCTTCAATTTTTGTTGCAGCCTATGCTTCAAGAGTTAGGGAAACAAAATCCTAATCTTATGAGACTAATTCAACAGCATCAGGCTGACTTCCTTCGCCTGATTAATGAACCTGTGGAAGGTGGAGAAGGGTAAGGAGTTTATTATCTTACCTTTTATGTACTCTTTTAGTCTTTGGGGTTTGTTGTTGGTTACGTGTATGATACATGATTATGAATGTTTATCTTTCTCATTTGTCACTTTGTGTCAGCAACATATTGGGCGATGCAGCGGTGCCGCAGTCAATAAGTGTTACTCCTGAGGAGCGTGAAGCTATAGAACGTGTAAGTTCTCCCTTTTTTATATAAACACTATATTTAATACATGCAATTCACATGAAATGTAGCTAAAATCATGTGAAATAAAAAATTTGAACTTGATTTGAAGAATACTTTTAAGATGAAAACAGGAAACACTGCCTTTAATCACCTAATTGAACAAAATTTATTAAAAATTCATTGGGTGAAAAAGTTTATTTGTGATTTCCATTTAACCAAATACGCTTGGAAGTATCTGAAAAATGAGAAGGAAGGGAGAGATCTAGAAAAACTTGATGAATATGCAATAATTAGTCTCGAGGGTTTAAAAGTCTTCAGTTTTGGTCCAATCATTACTGATTTAAAACAGTGATTTTCATGAACTGATTTAGCTTTATGGTTATGGTATCAGTGTTATGCTTTGCACAATTGCATTACATATGTGTTTTAATTCTTGCCAACAACTTATTACCTGGAGTTGTGTGTATTGGACCTTAAAAGTTTTAGTTTGCTTATTGTGGCTATTTTTAATCCACTCTTTGCGTAAGGGACGCGTGGTTTCTGTGGTTGTAAGAGTTCTAACTTTCTATGATTTATTCCTGTTGTTCTTTGAGCGGACAATTTTCGTTCTTATTGATGATTTGTTTATCCTTGCCAGCTTGAAGCAATGGGATTTGATCGAGCAATTGTATTGGAGGTGTTCTTTGCCTGCAACAAGAACGAAGAGTTGGCTGCCAACTACCTCTTAGACCACATGCATGAATTTGAGGAATAATAATCTATGGAAGATCAGCCGTCCAACCCCACTGTTAAATATAAATAGAAAAAAAGAATATAAAAACCCTCTTCTCAGGGCTTTCTTTTGAATTTTCATTGCAATTTTATTTTCTTTCACATTTAGCCTTTTTTATAGTTTGGAGTTTCTCCACCTTAATATTTACCGACTGATGTTTATATCAATACATGGACAAAAGACCTGCCTGTCGGTGGTGGTGGGTTGGCTTTCTCCACCTTAATATTTACCGACTGGTGTAGAATTGGGTATTCTTTTTAAAACACTTGTCGTATGTTTGTATTCGATAAGGTCCACATCAAAATGAAAAGTTGTGAACCAAATCAATTGTTGCAGAAAGGAGTTCGAACAACGCACGAAATGTTCCTGAAGCTCCTTGTTATGTTAGCGGTCATGACCGTCAATATAATTTCTTCAAGTTTTATTTCCTTTTTCTAAGAGTGAGTGTGGAAGGAAAATTTGAGTGAGTAACATGAGCCTGCTATGTATATCAAATTATCAATCGAAGTAGGATACAGCAAAGATGAGCACGACACGACATCAACCACTCAGTTTTACCTTGTTGATGGATTTACGCGTCCTGTTAGGCATATGACGTTGAGACTTTGTCCTCCAAAAATAAAGACAAAATAATGATTTCTCTCAGGAAGACAAGAGAATCACGCGGAGCAAGATTTTTCGTGGGAACG